AACAACCACCATGATCGAATCAACCCTACATACTGAAGATAAATGTTGCTTTAGTTCTTTCCACGAATCCCTGATGGTATGTAACAAAACATTAAATCATTTCCTGTACTTGGCCATAACTGTTTATTCTTAAGTTAGTCACAGTGTACACATTTTTGTCTTAACAACTGTGTGGTAGATTTAGGAGGGTATGTGTACAAACGTCCATACAGGACATGATGACCAACTGTTACCGGAATTGAGGCCAAGGAAGCACAATGCAACAGTCAATTGCCATCAATCCAATATTATCCAAATTTCATGTAATGGGAATTAGAAGGCAAAAGGAAGGTGTATTAATTCATCAGATACTTTAGATAATATATCATGAAGCCACTATATCATTTTTCTCCTAGTGATATATTACAAATGGTATGTTCATTGCCTGCACTCATGGCAACAACTGAGGCTTGGGAGAAATGGCGCATAAACGACACCTAACATACAAATACCTATCTTGTGTGTTAAGAGCAATTTTGAATGTGAATACAATTGTATTGGGTTTTAGGTGATGGTTCACCTTCAGGGTACACCTCAGAATTGCAGTCCAAGCTTTTTTTTTTGCATGAAATATGTCCAAGACACACCCTGTGGCTTATAACTGGGGATGACTTATAATCATGCAAATACGGTATGACCACAAAAATAAATTTAAGAAAGTAACGGCAAACCACAAGAAACACAGAAAGAACATGCATATATACAAATACAATCCAAGCATGAAAATATACCATAAACTACTATGATAAAACTTCAACTCTTTGGTAAATAATGTTTCACAAATTTCAAAGATGGGGTTTTGAGGTTCAATTTCAAATGTGAACATGAACTTTGACTCCATGACCCTTGCAATATCAGCCATGACAGATGCTAAAGGGCTGTTCGAGTCATTAATTACCTTGCATATATTCCTCTTGCCAGTCTCCTATTGTAAAAAGTAGGAGAAATAAAAAAAAAAAGGAAAAATATAAATAAATGTAAATTCACCTTCATAACCTAAAACAAAGAACAATGATATAGCACACACATATATCAAAATGTTACATCCAATACCAAAATGTTACATCCATCGGCAAGGCTTACTTTGTTTGCTTCTGCTTTCTAAAATCGTAAATGAGATTACCTGATAAATGGTCCACCTTCATCTATAAAGTAATTTAGCTGATAATAAAATAAGAATCCTTACACATAATCATGGTTCACATTAAATTCTTTATAAATATGGCATAAATATTATATAAATATAATCCAATGAGTAAGAAGCTTAAGAGAAGACTTCATGAAGAGAGAAGCATAAGGCTGCAACAGAAGGATCATTACAGACAACTAACTGTACTTCATGTTTAAAGCTAACCATTATCTAAATATGATATAGATAGTTAATAACACATCTTATCAAAGATATATGATTACAATTACAATGTACTGTACTCTTTAAGCCTAACTCATTCGGCCCCCAGGCTTGGTACAAATTAACCATCAAATTACATACTAGAATTAAATTTTTCAGAATAAACTTTCACCATCCCTCTCATTAGTTTAACCATTTTGAATTTATCAGTAACGTGTGAAGAAAAATGTCTGCAAGTTCCCAGTAAGCCGATTTATCAAAGTAACATTTATGAAGAAGTCTCCAAACAATATTTGGTCCTGGTCACTTCTTTGAATGATAGTTCAATATTAGTGGAGAAACTAGCTTTCACAACTTGAGGTACAACACCTTCCTTATATTGCTATTGGAACTGATTATATTATAACAATTTAATTATTAAAATCTATCTCATTCCCTGTGCTACACGAACAAAACACTACCAAATTCAAGGATGCTTTGAAGAATATGAAGATAAAAGGAAAATATAAATGCTTCCTCTTAAAAGTAGACTAAGTGCATCCAAGAAGTTCCTTTCTGAGCAGGGCACTTGGATGTTCCCTGAGGCAAGACCACTGCTGCTTCCATTAAAGATGATCACAATAGTTAGGAAAGAGGAACATTCTGCACCAGTACAACTAAAATCTTCCTGGATGTTACCATTAAATCACACTTGTGATAGACAGTCACTGGAGAACAGCTCAATCCAGCTCAAATTGACCTCTAAAACAGCACTGCAATTTAAGCACACGAGCCCAAAATTTGACATCCAAGAAATAAATGGCTTAATAAGATGATGGTTTGAACAGTGTCAAAGTCCATGTACAAAAGACAACATACCCATGAGTGGTACTGACCCTGAACCCAGCAGAGAAAATTCAGGAGGCAGAAAGGGTAGTTGTCAAGGTATAAATGCTACATATAGCACTGCATCTGACTGCACCAAGCAATGGATAGTCCCTCCCCATACCAATGTACAATAGCAAACTGCTCATCATATCCAGCAACAGTTCACCAGACTTAGTCCAGAAATAACATATAAAGGAGAAGCCTGGGAGCAAAAGCCAGAAAAAGAGAACAAGAGTGCATGAACTCAGCCCAGGCTACACTAAGGGGTAAAGAAACAACTTGCCCACATAGGAGGCAGACTGCATTCAAGATACAATAGCTTGAAAAGAACAAATGCCTAGTCCTGGAGCAAAGCACCATGGAATTATGTAAATACAAGGTAGTGGGAATTGCAAGGACCACTGCTGAAATACAAAATGAACCAAAAGAACCCACTGCTAAAATACAAAATGAACCAAATGAACCCACTGCTGAATCACAAACTGAACCAAAACAGACGGGATCCAAATCACCAGCTGGTAAAGTTCCGAAACACACCGAACACTTCGAACACACACAACACAAAAATAAACGTACTGTACTGACTTGGCACAAAAGAATTAAAATGCTACACAGCTAAACCAAAGTTTCTAAGGATGAAAACAAGGCACATATCTGAATCCTGCCTCAATCAAGCCAGCCAACAATCAAAGGACTTATTCAAAGAATGTGGCTGTAGGCATGGGTGCTGCCATCTGGCAGCTGTGAGAGTTAGTAGTAGCCACCAGGGCAAACTAGTAGTTTATGAGAACTCTTCTTACTGGATCCTGTAATGGAAAGTAGAGGTTGGGAAGGCCGTGAACACTTATAAACTAGGTTTCTGCGATCACTCTGGGCTAGACAGAACATTTCTCCAGTGCAGCCTTAACATCGGTACATCATCATCCCGACAAAGACTTAACCCTGCTGTCACGAGCCTGTCAAATGTGACCAGCAGTGATCATGCCAAGAGGAGCATACAAAACACAATAATTTAAAAAACCACTGCCAAAAATGCCTAATGTTTCATATCTAATCATATCACTTTAACATTAAAATAAATCACTACATACAAGTAAAAAAAATCAGTCTTAAGATAGGTTCCTTTTCAACATACAATGCTTATTTTGTATTATTTTCATATTAGAGTTTTTTTTTATTTAAGTTTTATTTCCATAACATATTTAAGGCTACTTAAGAAACTGATAGTGAATAAATAAATACAAAAGTAAAATTTAAATCAATTTAAAATTAAAAGATGATGTTATTAAGAATGCTAGACAAAATATTCTGCACAAGCCAAAATCACTTCCAAATCTTAATGTGTGGTAACCATCATATTTTGCAAATTTGAACTAAAGACAAAATGTGTAAAGTATCACAAGGAAAAATATGATTCTAAGTGTTCAACTTTCACAATTTATAATCATGAGATACTCAACCAAACAAGAAAACATGCCATGTTAGTAAAAAAAAAGATGTTTCTGGACTACTAGCGTAAGACTGCGTCCCGTATTACTGCAAGACCAACCTCACCACCAGATGCAAGGCTTGCTTATACAAGTATCACACTGCGACTTAAACCAATTCTACAAACAACATTAGTAATGCAAACTCAGATAAGCTTGGGAAGCCTGTCAAGTCAGGCAAGACTCCAGAAATTATGACAAAACCCAACACAAGAACAACTGTTCTGATAAAACAAACTTAAATAATTTGTTGACTACTGTAATAAAACACATTTAGACATTAATCTACTGGATGGAATAATAAGCAAATCAAAACCTCTCATCATATGGAGAATATTTGAAAAATTATTTTAATTTTGTGGTAATTAGAATAACACACACATTATATATATATATATATATATATATATATATATATATATATATATATATATATATATATATATATATATATATATATATATATATATATATATATATATATATATATATATATATATATATATATATATATATATATATATATATATATATATATATATATATATATATATATATATATATATATATATATATATATATATATATATATATATATATATATATATATATATATATATATATATATATATATATATATATATATATATATATATATATATATATATATATATATATATATATATATATATATATATATATATATATATATATATATATATATATATATATATATATATTAATATTCAATATTAATTAACAATTAATTAATATTCATGGTTTTTGTTTGTGTGGAGTTATATTACTGAAACCCTCCCCCCACTCTGTAAACAAACATTTACAGTCCCAGATTGCATCTTGCATTCATATTAATAAATACCAATGAGAACTCTAAAGAATAAGAAAAAAGTTTACTGGGTAATTAAAATCCTACCAGCATTTTCCTCCTAATTGAGACAAGAAAGAATTTGTATTATTAAATACTATAATTTGCTTTAAGATCATTAGCAATTTTTGCAACAGTCCAATTTCCATTTACCAAAAAAAAAAAAAGTCTAAAAATATAAATATTTCCTAGTATTTCCCTTTGTATTCTCATATCCAATGAAGACATTCTGTACTGTATACATATCAACATTGAAAACATATTGAAATGTCACATAAAAAATACAAACTAAAAAAAAAAATACAAATGTCTGAACTACTTTCACACACACACACCTTATAGAATAATACAAATAATAGTTATAACTTACGAGAAGTGTCCTCCATTTCAGGTAGAAAGCGAAACTCGTGGTCAAGTTCCACAGATTCCCCATCCACGTCATCAACTTCTATAGCCTGCAAAATTAAGTTTACCAATAACACATCATAAGTGTCCATCAAATTTTTTTTTTCTAAAGCTAGCATGTTTGAGTTGCATTTATTTGTTACAACAGTGTATCTCTACATAAAATATACACTGTACTGCATGAAGTTCGCTTTATTTTGAAAAATGAGATGCCAGAAATCCCATTCTATCTCCTAAATTTCCAGTCTTAAGCTCTCAACTGTATTTACGTAAGAAAATAAGCAAGAGGAGTCACCACAGAGGGCCTGTTGGCCTAATCTGGGTGGTGGCCATAAATTGCCACATGTTGACCAGACTACACACTAGAAAGTGAAGTTCCACAGATTCGGTTCAGGTATGGACGTTTCGGCCCAGGACGGACCAAAACGTCGTCATCCCTTCACTTTCTAGTGGTCTGGTCAAAATATTTCAGCCACGTTATTTTGATTCATCGCCTGCAATTGCGACATGTAGACCCCCTCACCACTTTATTATCAACAACAATATTACTGTCAATAATCAAGCAGATAATACAAATACAATACACAGCATAGAAGAAAATGGATAAGAATGAAAAAATTTCTTCCACTTTTTCTACTCTGAGGAAGCTTTAATCAGCTGTCATTTTAACATCACTTACCACTTTTGCCACCTTGGGGCTCTTAAGTCTAGGTACATCCTCCTCTTCCTCTGGCTCCTCCTCCTCATCGTCGTCATCTACTTCCATTCCTGCCAAATAGTCTACGTTCATTATGTAAACACTGTATGTTAAGATGAAATAATATCCAGAAAAAGCTTATTATGAAGTGTTGTTCATATTTCCATGCATTCATGTTATCACAGCAACAATATACCACCAGGGAGCAATAAATAATTGTCATATTAAACTAGGCAGTCTATGAGAAAAATGTCTAGTTTAATGATCATACAATACAGTATAAATAAAACCTGCCTGTGTCTTGCACATTTTAACTGATGAAAAGTTCTGACTTGGAATAAAACAAATATTTTGTCAGCTATTACTTGTAATTAACTATGTATATTTACAGGATGAGAGCTATGCTCATGGTGTCCCATCTTCCCAACACTGTCATATAACATTTTGAAACTACTGACGGTTTGGCCCCTCCACCACCTTCCTCACTTATTCCAAGCGCCTACCACTCTGTTTGCGAAAGTGAATTTTCTAATATTTTTTGGCAGCTCTGTTTAGTTAGCTTAGCTTGAAGTTTATTTAGCTTGGTCTTGAAGTTACAGGTCTCAGGAGTTGTTCTCTATTAATTTTGTTGATTTCCATTACTATTTTGTACGTAGTGATCATATCACCTCTTTTTCTTTTATTTTTTAATTTTAACATATTTAATGCCTCTAACCTCTCCTCGTAGCACTTGTCTTTCAGTTCAAGGAACCATGTACAGTAGTCACATGTCTTTGCACCTTTTCCAGTTTGTTGATGTGCTTCTTAACTATATGGGCGCAACACAACTGCTGCATATTCCAACTTTGGTCTTGAAAAGGTTGTAAGGTTGTGAACAATTTCTTTAGTATTTAGTATTGTGTATCATAAGTAGAGCAGCAAATAAAATTAGTGGGATAACTTACCTTCACCTTGTAAGAAGTCAAAGTTATCCATGACAGCTTTCTCTGCATCACGTATCTGCGCCTCCAGTGATGACTGAGGCTGATAAATACAAAACATTTTTTATGTGCATATAATGTATTTTACTTTTCTAATATATATTCATATATTTATAAACAAAGTTTTATTTTCATAGAATAATCATGACCTCTGCATTAATTTTTTGTCCATGAGTAAATGCCCTGTTTCTTGATCACTTGAAAAAATCAAATGAAATGCATTTTTCTGAGCCATACATCTGGTTGCTCCCTGAAGATCTTACCGACCTTTGGTTAGGATCTTGTACAATCAAGGGAAGGTTGACAATCTGCACTGGTGTAGTGGGGACCTTTTTAGTCTGTCCCCCCAGTAGTGTATACTGGTGCTAGGGGAGTAAACTGAACACAAGCCTGCCCAGAACGTAGACAAAGTGCATTTACACAAAACTCAAGAGACTTCCAAGGTGCAACTTGACATTACAGAGATATACAGCATCACAGCTAACTACCAAATTGGTCATTAGATCACAGCCTCTGACCACATAAAGCCCTTAAGCCCATCCTCCTCACCTACTACCTGCACTAAGAAAATTCCTCACCATGCATACAAGACATGGAGCGAAGAGCAGGGGTGGAAATAACCAGGTGTATTGCTCAGCAAAGTGTTTTTAATCTACATTCATAAGCCTGACATCTGAGTCATCCCATTCAGATACTTCATATGACAAGTACCAGTGACAGCCACCATGATTGTAACATGGGCCAGGCATGCAGATTGGTATACACAAGTTGCAGAAGGCAGAAGGAATAAATACAAGAGATTGAACGAGAACAAAAAATTCCCCCATCACTAGCAAAACAGTTCACACAAGAGCTCATTATCCCCAAAACATCCCTCTGATGCTTTGGAATCTTACAAAAATGCATTGGAACAAATACATAAATGTGAGAAAGGGTGGCTGTAAGGAATGAATGATAATTCTCACCCATTCTGTATTTTTAATCTTGTAAGACAAGATTAAATATCAAAACTATACTAGGTAGAAGAGACGTGGCTGAACACACTACTAAACTGTCAGAGAAATCTACCCACCCCAGTTCATAACATTGAAATACTGTACAGGCAAAGAAAGTTGATATACACACACATGACATGGAATGACAAATTGCTGTTAAGAGTTCAATCCCTCAATAAGTGTAAAGTAGTGAAGATTGGAAAAGGAGGTATACGACCAAAATCAATCTATAATACTAGGGGAAAATCAACTGGAAATTGGAAAATTAAATTTATTTGTGTTGACATTATTTCATTATTGACAGAGGAGCACATAAGCCAGACAATGTCAGTAACATGTGAAGTGGCAAATATGAGAACAGCTCATATTTAGATTTAAAAATCTAAACAAACATCCTTTCAAAACTATATACACAGCTTATGCAAGATCATTACAAGAGTATGCAGCATGAACACACAATTTATTCTTTGCAAAACACAAGGAGAAACTTGAAATATATAGGTTAGCTACAAGATCAGTACAGGTACAAGAATTGAAAGGACTAAGCTGCATTATGAGAACAGGCTAAGAGAACTCGCAACCATATGGAAAAGTAAGAGCAAAGGGTATATATTCACTACAAAGCCTACAGGATAATGAAGGGAACAGATAAAAATGGAAAGTGGACAGGGACAACCTCTATAAATTGAGAGCAAATAGGGCAAGAGAGCAATGTTGGGTGGTGGAAATGCAGTCAAGTCTAAGAATCATAATGAAATACTGAATTTGTACAGTATTTGTTCATGTTTGCATTTTTTATGTTAATAGTTTAATGAACTGAAAAAAGTAAGTGATCACTGAAGTAACATCCGTTGACAACTTCAAGAACAGATAGGATACATAACTTGAATGTTAAGACATTAAATATGTGCCAGCTACAAAACAGTAGGCAGCAGGGCATAAAGAACTACATCTTACTTCCAAATAGTCACTGACATATTTACACATAGGTGGGCACAACTAAAGCTTGAGTTACTCACTGACCTTTGGCGGTCCTCGAGTAACAAGCCACTGAGGGAAGGGAGGTAGAATCGCTGGCTGCTGTCTATTGATACAACCACAAGCAGAGCAATACTTGGTGGTCTATGTGATTCAGAGTATTACTTAGAGAAATTATTTGACTATAGAGTATTTTACCTTTTGATAACCATTCAGGGCAAGATTGAAAATTCTCCACACACACACACTCCCCCTTCCCCAACCCCGTATGGCCTGATGGGGTCAATTTTAAGAGATCACTGTATCGGGGGAAAAAACGTTCACACTGACCCTGGCTGATGGAGCAGGATATTGCCTAAGGGAATGAAGAGGTGGTCTTAGCTCAAAAGTAGAGTACTGTATGTACCAATTTGACTACAGACTATTGACTTTAACTTTTGAATCTAAGACCCCAAAGGGCCACACAAACATCTCTGAGGATCAGGAACATGTGTACAGTGCTAAGTCACCTAACTGTTAAGTAGTTCTGGGTTTATCAGTTAACACATACTGTAAATGGTAGCTAGCTGACAGATGACTTCGGTGACAACACCTTGGACTGAGAAATTACAAGCATTATAACATACTACACAAATTTGAACCGTTTACCTTTTTAGGAACATTCCATCTATTGGAGTCCGGTTGTCGTTTGGTTGTGTCGGAGCCATTCATGGCGGGAGTGTTATGGTTTTCTTCATTTTCTCCACTGCTAATGCCTAACAATGATCTGAAATGACATTTATAAAAGGTTAATTGTAGCAAAATGCTCTTCTCCTCCTCTGCTAAGTGAAGTGTTTATGCAAAACACACACAACTTAGAAAAGGAGCAGGCATTGCTGTCCAGGTAAAGGAACAACTAAAGGTAAGAGTCAATACAAGGATACCTGCAAGAAGTCGACATAATGGCACTGGAAATCTGCAGTCAGCATAATAAACTGATAATCATTATTGCCTACAGTCCACCAGCAAGCAATACATAGACTAAGGAAAAGCTAGGTGACAAAGAAAGGATGACAAAAGATTAAATGACTTATAATAATCATAAGACCATTATAGTAAGAGCAGGCAAGGATAAATCCTGATTGTTGATACTGGGAGACTTCAATTTGAAGTCAATAGACTGGGACGCCTAAGAAGCAAGAACAGAGGAGATTTGGACCAGCCAATTTGCAAACCTCATCCTGGAGACTTTCATATAACATAATAAACAAGCCACGAGAATAAGTGAAGGAGATGCTCAATCAATGCTGGATTTGGTATTTACCAGGAAAGAAGACATTTAACATTTAGTACCTTTCCGAGTTCAGCAAAAGCAACCATGTCCTTTTGGAAATCAAATATGCAATGTATTATCTAGAAGAGAATGGAGAAAGGGTAATAGTGCAAAAACTTGATTTCAAGAGAGGACACTATGAAGAACTTAGCAAGTTCTTTAATTAATGGATTGGGAAGATTTGTAGTTAGACAAGTGAGTAAATGAGAGGTATGCAAAGTTTTGAGATATATAAAAATGATAGTATCAAAAAATTTATACCAAAACAAAAACAAAACCCTTACATTTTTCCTAACTGTTACCTTTTCTTTCATTTTACCTTCAAGTATATTACAGTATTTTGGGTTTTATACACTACAGGTACAAAAACAAGTTCAATTGTTTGGGGTCCCAAAACAAAAAATAAAAAATACAGTAAATAAAAATAAAAAACTTTGAAAAACAACTAGTCTGCTGAAGCAAGGTTAATGCACATCAATAACTCCATAAAAGATGCAAACTCACCTTACTCTATTACTTCGAAGGTCTATGATTGTATCGGTATATCCAATCTCTTGTAGATACCTGAAAATATTTAATGTGCATTAGTGAAACCTTAAAACCTATTCTAATCTCCACATATTGAGTTCTTTATTCAACTTAATAAAAAAAATTATCATGGACACATTTCTTGTACTATCTGCAAAATTGATATAAAACAATTACCCACAGTGCACACCAAAATTGATAAAGAAATGACACTCACTGTCTAAGTAGATGTCTAGACTGCTTCCACGACACATTTGTATTTGTAGATAGTAAAGCGTCGGTGTCTACCCGCACTTCCTCACCACCCTCTTCAACTGGTGGGTTCATGTCCCCTTGTACTAAATCTGTCCCATATTTAAGCTTGTGATATTTAGCTCTGGAAAAGAATATAATATTTAATATTTGTAAACTATAGAGATACAGTATTTTCACTACCAAAAATAAATAGAAGTTTTCATAAGTTTGTTCTTAACTCCAGGGTTCATATTCTCAAATCTCCACAACTGTTTTTGACAATCTTTTTTTTTTTTTTTTTATAATTTTTTTTTTAAATTCTCATAAGATGCATAAATACATCCTCATAAATTAATCCCTCTAATTACAATCTCCCATACTACCATTTCCTATATGGCTACCACAATAGCCTTAGTCCAATCACCTGCTATGCCATCCGACATTGATCTAACAATATGTTAGCTTTCACCTTACACCCATACCTCAACATATCTGCCATTATTGCATCTATACTAAGAGCCTTTCCTCTCTCTAACCCATTCATCGTTTCTCTAATTAGCTCTCCATCACATTCTGATTCACTGATCTTCCTCCACTCTCATCTCAGGAGCAGGCGTCAGATGAGCTGAGGTTGGATAACAGCTCTTGCTTGTTGTTTTCACTGGGTACATCATTCGACAGCACTTATGAACATTAGTCAAAATCATGCACATTTGCCAACAAAGTTTCCCCAAGATATGCTTAATTACTTCCCCCTTTTCCACAGCACAACTATCTTCAACCTTTTAATAAAATAACTTCCAATATATAACAAAGTCTTCATTCATCTTTCTCACCAACTTCTAACCATTTTCCTTACAATCTTTCAACAACTATTATATTCAACCTTTCTTCTGTCTTATCACTTTATACATCTTCCTTGAAGCAATCTTTACAATGCATCCCTTTTTATCTCAATGGTCTCTATTATGACCTCTTCATTGAACCATGTAATACAGTGCCTCCTTTCTCTCCATTCTTCACCACTTCATAGCTGCACATTTTGTATTCACACACTCAAACTCATTTACCCTTACTTCATTTATTATTTTCCCTTACTTTAGTGTATATTACAGCACTCAAAACCTAAATAATGTCTTGTACAATACTCTGTAAAGGAAAAAAAACCTTACCTTTCTTGTTTTAATGCGTATTCAAGCATTTTAATTCTTCTGACAAGGTCGTTTTTGAGGTTTTCTTGCCCTTTCCTCTCTCCATTGAGGAATGCAATCTTAGCCTGTTGAATACAAATGATAGTTAATATTTACAGTAATAACACGCGGGAGGCATCTCCCGTCATGCAGGGTGCCCTCGCCCCTCCACAGATCTCCAGTATCAACTCTTGATGCTGGTAATGGCTCAAAAGGGCCACCACTTACGGGCTATTCATGCCCGTGCCACCTTTTGGATGGCTTAATCATCATCAATCATCTACAGTAATAACAATACATATTGAAGACAAATAATTATATTACAGCAGACACTTGATAATTCACTGCATTTAATTCTTGGGTCTAAAATGAACTGACAGCCATGAATTACATACAAAAATAAGAATTGAGGAAATTGCACACTGTATATTGGTAACTGTGAAGCAGCTCCTGTTAATTATTTTATCCACCCAAACTCGCTCACATATATGTTTAGCCTAAGGTTAAAATAAATCAAGTATTCTATATATATTTTGCTACTGTACCTCGTTATCTGTTCCATAAATCGACAACTATTTCCAAACCAGTACTGTACAGTATTTACATAAGGATTTCTTTAATCTAAAACTATCCAATTATATCCATTGCTTTGTGTAGATATATTTAGCACCTTATTAATATTCTCTTGTTATCCTCTTTCATTCATTTGTAAACTTCAGTCGTGTTCCTGATCACTCTGCATTTTTTGAGCATGTAAATTCATATTTTCTTTCATGAGGGAGATGAAAAAATGGTGGTGTCAGGTCAGTGAACCAGACTCCATCAAACTTAATAGGAAATATTAACCCAAAACATAAAACAAAGACATTTGCTTGGTTACCCAATCCTATGTTTAGTTGAGTGCAATTTTCACATACACTTTGTAAATTTAAATATGATGCAGGAGTGTTTTGCTATTAATATATGACTGCCATCAAATAAATTCTCTCTTTCTAAATGTAAAAAAAAAAGTACTCCAAGTTGACCAATTCCTTAGGAATAATAAGGGATTTTTTTTCAAGCCACTGGCTTTGTGTCCCGGTTGAGGCCATTATAGACGGTGGCCGTCAGATAAATTCTGTTAAAAGCCTAGTTAAGAACTGTGTAAGGTATGCAAATGCTGTTCTATTGACTCTTGGCACAGAACTCCTGAAAAAGTGCAGGAATAGCTAAAAAAATGATACCCATTTCCTTAGCTAGGGATTGTGGATACATCAGATGTAAGTACGCAGGGTATTGTGCATTTTAGATGGAATTCCATGAGCTAACACAATTTGAATTTAGGAAAGAATAAAATACAATTTGTATAATAGTACTGTACCACATTACTCAAAGCTGCCAAAGCCCATAGGCCTGTGTCTAATAGTACACTGCTTCCCCCCCCCCCCCCCTGGACTTAATCCAACACAGTATCTACAATCATTAATTTTAATAACTTATGGTCATGGATTCCAAAATACAACACTAAGAAACAACAACAATATTTAATAAAATCATCAAGCCAAGTATGAGTTAAACACTTTATGAGCAATGACATTATATGCAGCATAGATGACAGTTCTTTAAATCTTAATATTGTACATCTTATAATTTTGTTGTTGTTGTTAAACTAGGTGTAATGTTTGCAAAAATACAAAAATCCATGGAATGCTGTACAGTACTCTCAGGAATGAATTCAAGACTTCCCAATAAAGAGCCCTTACAAAACCTAAAGATTATGTGCATGCTCAATACAAGCCTAAGTGCCAATGTACAATTAAAATACATGATAAACTGTCACTACATAATAACTATATTCATTTAGGCTTCATTTTCCTGTATCTATATAGTGCAGAATTCTAAGTACTTGTATCAAAGTATCAGTACCCGAAGTCTATACCAAAGTATGCAAACCACACACGCCCACACCACCACCTCCAACCACTCCCAGATATTCAACACACACTGTACTACCCGCACGTCAAAGAAGACCGATGCAATCACATCCCAGACGTGAAGATCCAACATAATACAACATAACATAACCCATCCTCAACTAACCTACCCCAACCTAACCTAACCTTATACACATTAAACCCATGTAACCTAATGTACTCTAACTTACCCAACCCTAATCTGTACGAACTGCGACTAACTCCCAAACATACTTCGACTCACACACTCAGTATCAGCTAAACCACACACTTTCCATAGAACAGCAAGACTTTGCTACCACCATCAACACAATGCTTCATCTTTGCCAACCCGAGTCCATTTCCACTCATATGTTTATTTCTGTCGATATGCTCACACAAATAGAAGACACCGATAACTTCCGACCTCTGCCAAACTATGAACACTGATGCGTCACCGAGAGCCGCATCTTTCAACATTGCCACTCGTGCAGTTATCGGGAGGAAAAACGTTCATACAAACCGCACGTATCACGAAAAAGAAGTACTGTAGTTATAATCCTTATTTAAACAATTCTCAACCTGTTCCTGAAAACCACTACTTTCCTGATACAGTCTACTCTGGAAGGATGTCAAAATATTATCATAAAAGGTGTCCTTGAGTCATTTATAATGCACACATTTTTATAGGGAAATCAGAAAACTAAAAATACAGTAAGAAACTATATCCTGTACCTATATGATGTAACAATTTTTTTCAATTATATTCACATATAAGAATTAGGAAATCAGAAAGTACCTAACACAATCATAAGGGAAGCTACTCTAATTCTTACAGAGTGCAACTATATAACTTTATACAGATTAATAACAAGAGGAGGCGACTTATCATCATCATAAACACTGCGAGGGCCACCCAAGTACATGGTCACGGATTAAGTACTTTAAGGGTAACTCTGACCTCTCTATTAGATTTCGAAGGGTTATAGTAAGTGTATTGTTAGAGGGAGAGTGAGTAGAGGGCCTTGACCTCCAGGGAAGGCCTGCCCAGGCTCACAAACAATGGGTATTGTGCATGAATGGCAACTCTTCAACAGCTGATCACCGTCAATCAATGATCCACCCACACCCCTTTTCTCTCCCCCGCCATATTTGGCTTATTCTCGCGTCTACCCAAGTACCGGTGGTGTAGGGGCATGGCAGCTCAAGCAGAGACGCTCGGGAAAGGCTGGAAGGCCAGTCAGGAGGCCACACGTAGCAATACTGGAAACAAAACAAACCTGAAGTTCCGCCCTTTCCAGCTCCCACTGCGAGCGCTCCATCTCAAATCTGGCCCACTCATGCTGTATAAAGTGCAGTATTCCCGGGATGGAGTACTGCACCCGCTGGCTGGGTTCCTCTAGGTTTTGTCTGTTGGCCACACCAGCCGGACCGCCGCTCCCTCCCAGCTGGTTTTGACTCGAAGCCTCGTCCATCCTCGGTAATTTCATACCATGGCAGCCATTACACCCAGACTCCTCGCCTCCGCCGCCGCCGCCACCCACACTCACTCTTCTGAAAGCCTCGCCCTCACCTCCGCCCTTCTCACGCCCTCACACCCACACCCTTATTACTCTACAAATAATACCCTTATCCCTGTAATTTTACCCGGCTTTTGAGGTTAAAAAGGATCAAATGTGGGAGATATTGTGGCGGAGGAAAATGTTATAGGAACCTCAGGTGGTGTGAGTGGAGGCGAGTGACAGACAAGTTATGGTGAGTGTTGGACTGGAGGCTGTGCGGCCTGCTGGGCCCTCACGCTCTCCTCACACACCATCATACACTTTACCCTCTCCTCACACCTAACTATTCCCTCGCGTGTCTTCATGCACCTTCCATAATTAACACAGCTGTACACTGTACCCTCACACCTCATACAGTGGTCACCACTAGTGAAGGCAGACTCCTGGGGCCTCGTCTCGTTAGACATGCTGAATGGACTCTGTTCCTGGAATATTTGTGTAATTGTGTTAGATAAGACATTGTGGAACGTGGGTGTGATTTTCATAGGCTCGTGAAGTAATCTCTTTAGGCGAGAGAAAATCAATAACCGTGGCTTATACAGCTATGGGTTACAATTACTTGGACCCGGATGGTGCTGTGCCCAATGTCTGTAAGCCAGTGGTACTCAAAGCATGGATATGTATCATGTATTCACAATGTTATGTTAATATTCTATTTAGGAAGGTGGATGCCAGAGGCACACTATTGTCCCTGTGGACAAGATCACCCTCCCTCCAGATCCTAGAGACTTCAGACAGTACTCCCTTCCGTATTATTATATTACTTTTGAAAATTGTCCTTGATGCGAGTCATGTCTGGTAACGTGGGTATTCCCCTGTGCCAATGTAATAAAAGTTTGGTCATCAATCAATAACTTATAGAAGTACATTTTATTTTATATTGTAGACTTCATGGCAAATCTAGCAAATGTTAAGTCTACCTGAGTGAGGGCCACTGGTTCGTACCATTAAATGTAATGGTAGCCTTCTTGCATTCTCAATCCTGTGCTCACATTACCATAGGACAATCCATTGTACACCTCAAGCATAAGAATATTACCCCACATCATACAAGGCGAGGCATCAATTATGGTGCCGAACCTCTTCACACATCACACTTGTCCTACTTACCTACTTAGTTTCGTGCCTACTTGTCATCAGATATATACAGGATTGTTTCTGCCTGGCTGGGTGAAAAACCATGTCCTCTCCTCTATCCACTGTCACAATCACCTGCCCTCTCCTTATCTTTGGCTTTGAATCTTTGTGCTGGTCTGTTTTTCTAAACTCCTTAAATTTGTCAATTGGTTCTTTGTTTTTTTGCTGTTCTACCAAGAGATTTGGGGATATGTAAATGTTGTTATACCCTCCCAGATCTTTTAGTTTACGCGCACTTTTAAGCGTCCTCCTGTGCTCGATATTGGCAATGGTTATGCATACCAGATTTGCCTCGGGCTTACCCAACTTCTCTACCTGGAAAATACATACTGTAGAGCCTTTTCCTTGCCTATCAGTTTTTCTGTATTGACCTCAATGATTTACTGATCATTCTTACCCTCTTCTTTTACCAGGTTTCTTAGGGTGAGTTTTTTCTATCTATCCAAAGATCTTGAATCTCTCTAAAGAGCTTCAAAATCCCTATCCTCACCTTTACCTGTATTTACAGTGTGTTGCCTGAATATTTGATTACCTTCCAGATTCTCCTGATTGAACGTGGGAATCATGCCTGGACAATTGCTTCTTGGTAGTGTTGGTATTAAGTATTTATAAATACTGTACTGTATTTTTTATTTAAATAAAATATTAATGGTATTTAGTGTTTGAAAATACTGTACTGTAAAATAAGGTACAGTAATAATTTTTGTACTGTAATTAATACTGACATTTGTTTTCTGGATACTTCATTAACTTGACCCTAAATGATTTTTTCCAGATTGATCAACATGATGCATTATTTATTGATAGCGTCAAAGACTGGCAATGTACAGTTTTCACACTACTTTACCCACATCACTCCTTGTAGTCGAACAACAATTGAAGCCAGAATTATTACTAAGTGTTTGAGTGCAGAAAAAGATGCTGTAAGTATTATATTACAGTATACTGTAATATGCTTTATTGAACTCGATAAAATAGTATTGTAACTGTGACTGCCAAAGATAGTGTACAGGTAAATTCTCTTGATCCAATCCCTTCCCTGTGAGCCCCCAGAGGGGCCAAGTGTTGACAAGGCATTATATACTCACCTAGTTGTGCTTGCGGGAGTTGAGCTTTGTCTCTTTGGTCCCACCTCTCAACCGTCAATCAACTGGTGTACAGATTCCTGAGCCTACTGGGCTCTTATCATACCTAAATTTGAAACTGTATGGAGTCAGCCTCCACCACATCACTTCCTAGTGCATTCCATTTATTAACTACTGACACTGAAAAAATTCTTTCTAACATCACTGTGGCTCATCTGGGTACTAAGTTTCCAGCTGTGTTCCCTTGTTTGTGTTCCACCCGTGCTGAAGAGTTTGTCTTTGTCCACTCTGTCAATTCCCCTGAGAATTTTGTAGGTGGTTATCATGTCTCTCTGTACTCTTCTGCTTTCCAGGGACGTGAGGTTCAGCTCCTTTAAAGTTTTTACTATGGAGCTTTATGTACAGTACTGTAATTGTATTTGCTCTTAAGACAATTTTTATTTTTCCTCATTTTTAGCAGATAAAAAGTCAAAATTTGCTGGGTTCCCAGTCATGCTGGTATTTCCTAAAATGATGATGTAAACACCAGTACTAAAGAAGCCATCTGTGCATGTCCTATATCCAAAAAACCGGGTCTACTTACTCGGATTTTTACCTTGTAATTCATAATGTTACCCATTTCTTATTACAAATTATGTACTATTAATGCTCAAACTGCTGTCATCATTATTTATTGATCTGAACCAGTAAAGTCATTGTTATTTGTTGATTTTTATTATTATTGTTCACTATTGTACATCATGTGAATATAAAGGCATTAACCAAGATCCCAGAATCTTTAATTTTCTAATAGCTTACTATGTGATCAAGTTTGTGTTCTAAGAAGTGAGGGGGGGGGGGATCCCTGTGGTTATTTGCCCAAATTTACCTGAAGATCACCATCATTAGTAGCCTCAATGGGTACAAGAAGCCAGTTTATCCAATCATGACAATTTTTTCCCTACCAGTGATGAGCAAAAAGTACTAGTCAAGATGTACACACTCAACCCACAAATCTGAAAAGTGAGTGAGTGCAAAGAGAGTGGTAGACGGTTGGGACAAGTTAAGTGAGAAGGTCGTGGCAGCCAAACCCATCAGCAGTTTCAAAGTGTCATATGACAGAGTACTGGGAAAACAGGATACTAAGAGTGTATCTCTCATCTTGTAACTACACTTGGGTAATTACACAGATTGCCTGTCCCCAATAAAATGCATTATATGCAGGGAGAATTTTTTAGCAGAAGAAAGAGAAAAATGGTTAGAAATGACAAGACTACCACCAAATTGTTTAAATGCTAGACAGGACACAAACACAGTAGCATCTCTACCAGAATAATTGATACTGTACTACCAAATAAAACACCCAGCACTTCGACAAATAAGATGATGTCATTTGTATTTGCCAACATTCAGAATATCAGAGCATGCAAAAACAAAGTCCACTTTATGGGTGGCCTCCTAAATGATGCAGATGCAGTGTTTGCAACCTTAACTGAAACAGTAAAGGACTGCTATGACAGTTAAATATGGGTACTGTGCCAGAATTCAATGTTTTCAGGTGACAGGAAACACAGGTTACAGGGTAGGATCAGCCAGTACATTAAACACTATAAATGATAAGAGGGAAGTACTGGTAATCAAAATAGAAATCCAAAGTATGGTAATTGTATATAAATCACCAGATGCAATTCCTCAGCAGTTTAAAAACCAGCTAATAAAAATATGATCTTGCTTAGTAAACTTCACAAACCCAGCCCCAAGTATCATCTGGCTTGTTGACTTAAATTTACAGCACCTAAAATGGAAAAATACCTGAAGGGCCACCATCTCACTAGTGGCCTCAACAAGGACAGAAGCCAATGGCTTGTCAAAGATCATGCAATGAATGTGCTGATGATTTTATCTTGCTGGGTTTTGAATTGCAGCAATGTTTTGGCATTTATGGTTTTGGTTGGTAGGCAGTTCCATGGGTTTTATAACTCCTATGGATAAAGAAAGCATCTCATATTTTGTCCTACATTGTGGTTTAAGCTTGATGCCATTGTTCCTTGTCTGTGTTACATTTAACCTTTTAAAGAAGTACTGTAGTCTGGATCAATATTCTCCAAACTATTTAGTACTGTATATTTATTTCAGTGAGATCAGCCCTGTCATGTCTGATTTGGTGGCGACATCCCTTTGGCCCTCAACCATTCTTGGTATAAGAGTCGACTTAATTGTGATGATTTTTGTTGTCCGGTGTTGAACTTTCTCCAAAGCAGATACAGAAGACTATGGTTTGCGAAATGAGTTATCCGAAAGTTCCAGTTTCCTGATTGGGGTTGGGGAGTCATGCTACATGAACTAAGTTTAGGTAGGAAGTGGTCTGCCAAGCCTCGCGCCAGCTGGGGTTGGGGTTACCCTACATGAACCAAGTTGGATGAGGAAGCAGTCCACCAAGCATTGCACCAGCCTGGGGTGGTTTGTGGGTGAAAGATGGTCTAGTTTGTCCACTGACCATGTTGGGTGCCACCACTTGAGTGCCTTCTACCCTGTGACTTCACAGCGTATTGTTCCTATTGTTTTGATTTGTCACGAGGCTGGAGTGTTCATTCTGTGACTTGCATATCTGCACAATCAAGGAACATCTGTGCACCATGTCGGTTCTAAATGCACCCATTGTCAGTGATGGCTGACTGGTGGGTGGATGGATGGGGAAGCTTAGGTGGAAGGGAGGCAGTGAGAGAGGGAAGGAGAGATGCTAGGAGGTAGGCTGGTTGGCTGGCATGGTTTGATTCCATTCATGAATGATGGATGGGTGCACATACCGAGGCCAAGGGACAGTGATGATGTCCAGAGAACAGGGTAAAATATTGCAGTATGCGAGTGGAATTAGATTAGTTTTTTTTTTTTTTTAAGCTGTTTGAAAACTGCCTGCCAACCATAATCTCATTTGACAGATACAGAGTTATGATACCTATTATTAAAATACATACCTTTGAAATCTATCTCATGTTTTTATATCTTCTAGTGCCACTTCCTGGAAGATGGAGACCACACTCTCATCTTCCGATGGTTTGGTCCATGTCTCTTCATTGTAGCTGCCGACCATGCTGAAAATGAAATGATGGTATACGAGTTTCTTAGCTTGTATGTCGATGCACTGCACAGGTATTTTGGAAAATTTTCAGAGAGACATGTTCTCTTGAATATTGATAGGCTTCATATGGTTCTTGAAGAAATGGTTGTAGGTGGTGAATTAGTTGAATCTTCTATTAGAAATGTACTAAACCCCATTCAGGTGCTTGACACAGTTTCAGCTAGATAATACAAAATATCCAAGTTTATATTTTCTCATGAGTGAGTTACCACTAAGCATGCTGTACTTTTATATATATAAATCGATTATTTAACATTTCTTTAAATGATTAGAATCTGAGGAATTTTTAATCAGCTGCTCTGAAGTATTCGAAGGTACAGTTTTAAATGAAAAGTACATATTGAAATTTTGGTGTTTATGTAAAACATGGATGTTTTGTTTGACTTGGTTTGTTCCTTGCTAACTAGTATTTCATGTTTGTGGTAAACGGCATTCTTCCTAGTTACAATTTCTTCACATTTGCGTGTTCCTTTTGAGCTTTCTTGAAACTCTACTGAATAAAAAGGTTGTAATATACAATTATAAAATTAATATATAATATAGTAGTCATTTTATTTTTTCCTATAATTGTAAATAAAACACACAATGTATTAAATTTATCTTGAGGCATACTCTTGTAATTCTTCCTACTTCTGTAGATTCTGTGTAACCCTCCATGGACTTTGTCATTAAAGGGGGGTGGGGGAGTTTGGGTACTCCGCTAAAGAGGGAGAGGAATCGAGTGTGGATTGTGAAGTCCTACAGCAAGCATAAGAAGGTGCACCATTGTTCTGCACACAGCCACAAGAGTAACTTTTAATGAAGCAAAAAGACAGAAAATGACAAGAAAACACTAATCCAACAAGGACCATAAATTTACTATAATTTTGTGAGATGTACTATTTAAAAGACAGCAAGACAGAGGGAACAACCATGTATGGAATAAATTCAAATGTCTTAAAATATTTCCATAGCCATCTTCCAGTACAAAATGGGCATGGGAAGTTCTTAGCCAAACTAGGTCACAAGAATAACGAAGTCACTTACTTGGTGAGAAAAAAAGATAATTGTCAAGTTTACAAAGAAACCCTCATAATCACACACAGTGCAATGTAATAAAAATTACAGAATGAATTTGTTTTGCATAGCTATAAAAATTGTTCAACCAAATTTATTACAAGAAACTTGCAGCTTGGAGGTCTAAAAACTAAACTATTTGTATTTAAAATGTACTAAAACTAAATACAGTACATACCTGTAATAAAAAAAATTAATATGGCAGGTTATAAAACGTGAGCAGAATTGAAGATATCTATGACATGAGGAGTTTGATTTTGGTATAGGAAAAAATACTGAATCGATTCACTGTTTTAATAGTATACTCTGCCTTAAAACTTATTTTCTCATTGTTAAACAGGAGTCGTCTCTCCCTGCTACAGTTCTCTTACACCCTCTAACTACTGTAATGTGTCATAGCTAGGGGGCGATTGTAAGTTTGAAGTGAGGAGGGGAGGTTCGACACTCATCCCCTCCAACCTCCCTGTTAATCGAGCCCCTGATTGTTCTGAACATTTAATCTAGGGAACATGCTCGACAACTCTGCTGATTTTCTTAAGTGATTAATTTGGATTTTCTAAGAATACAGTACAATACCATGTAGTAAAGTATAAACCTATTTTAGTTCTTGACAATGTTCTTGTAGCAAACACTAAGAGAAGGACTAATGTATTTAACTTACCATTGTAGTCTGCAATTTGTGCTTCCTATTACACCATTGTGGGTTTAAAATAAAACTTTGTAATACTGTACAGTACAGTCAAAATTAAGACACTCATGCTACTGTATATGCAAAATTAATTATCAAAAGAAAGTACCAAGTCAATATGGCCAAACAGTATAGCACTACTGCACAAGGCAAACTGATTAGTGTCATCTTAAACCATAAGAAGGCTTGAAAAGTTAGTTCAGGTTAAAAATGACTAAATTTACAGTAACTTTGACACTTCCAGTGTTTAACACTGGTTACTGCTCAAATTCAATTGAGAATAGTTACATTTTGTAAATGCTAAATCAAATTGTGCAGTTGTAGCCTACTTCATAAAAATAAATTTGCATTATCATTCCATAACTTTTAACTATATTAAAAAAAAAATACAGTCGTTTATAAATAAGCTTTTAAAGTATTATTAACTACTATAAAAAAATAATTGTAGAATACCTATACAGACTTTATAAAGGCTTGTACACTTTATGCTGTATCAATGAATACAGTACTAGGTATGCTTTGCACTAACAGCTTGAGGGAGGGAAGGAAGACGACAATATTGCAGCCAACTTCATACTATACATTATTACAACTATACAGTACATTATTACATGATCTGAAGTAACATTATATTCTTACAAATGGTAAGCTAGGTGGTCGTCGCTGAGAAACACAATAAAATATTTATCTGGTGTTTTAATAATCCCAAAATGTTTTAACCAAAAGTTTTTAGTCTACACATCATGTAATTCAAAGAATTGCAGTACTTTGAGGACTAAAATCAAGAGAAATGAAAGTTAGCACCTAGCAGTGTTATTGAAAGACTTTCTCCAAAATGACAATCTACAAAAAATTCTATGCAATATTAAATAATTCATTGTGCACATTAAATTTACTTTAATTTGACATCTAATTTAGAATTCAATAGTTTCAAATGTACTGTCTGATTACCGAACCTTAATCTTTTTAGCGTTACCACTGTACTATGTTTGGTACAATACACAAACATTTATGTCAAACTGATAATTTGTTAGCTGGCTGAAATTTCTACCTTGTCTTTGTTCAGCTTAATCTAAGAATGCTTGATTTAGTGTTGCAGGGTTTGTTATCTACATCTGCTTTTTCAGACATAGTTAATACATACAGTTGTGCACTCTACTTCAACTTGGTACCACCATATATATTTAACTCATTGGTTTGCTTCCACTAAGTGAGAACAAAATCCATCCATGATGAATTTGGAAATACATTAATAACAATACAGTACTCTCACATGATACTGGGTGGTAAAATATTGAAAACCCATGTCAAATTTTAATAATAACTTAGTAAAAATCATCAAACATGACAAGGAATTGCTTAATACTGGTATAGTAAATTTATATGCAAGGATAAATAGTCTACTGCTTAACTAAAGATTTTTAGCTGAATTACAACATATTACAACCCATCCTCCTGTTTAGATAGTACTTATCTATCGTCAATAGTCAGAATTCGTGCAGTCTTATCTCTTAGATAGTGTACTGCCTAGTTAGGAATTCTTTTAAAATAAATGAAGCTAAAACACAAACTTAAATATTCCTAGGCCTAGTACAGCACACACATATACACTATTAGGCCTAAGGAGGTTAAGATAGATTAGTTTAGTTTGTCAAAGCAACACAAGTGAAAAAAATAGTTTTCTGGTTTGTCCAACTCAATACTGTAGTTCAGATTTCTACGTTCTAATTTCATTGTACGTCAGTACATTTACTATTGGTAGTACATGTAGTAACGATGAGGACCAAAAAGGAGGCTGGGCTAAATATTAAGACAATCAAGGTTTCCTCAGCTTTTGTCACGATGAGCTGCCAACACAAAGTTACAAGAAATACAGTAGCTAATACTGCCAGTTAAAAGAAACACTTAATGATATTAAAGCTTTCAAAATTAACTTAAAATATAAGATCACCTCTTGAAATGCCCCTTATGGTACAAATTATTTATATAAATGTCAATATAATCATTTTTGTGTTATTAAATGTAGACACTGTATTGAAAGAAGTTATTTTTCAAGAAAAGGATTTCAGTTTAGAGTTACAAACATGACAGCAATAATAATTATATTATAATAAGAATAAAGGGGAAGGAAAGACCCCAATATACGTATGTGTAAGTGTATTAAAACCAAATTTTTGGATGTAACCTACATCATTTCTCAAGATGCTGTATACAATGTTCTGAATACATTGTATACAGCACCTTGAGAAAGGATGGAAATTACATCTGAAATTTGGTTATAATACACTTACACATACTGTATATTGGGTCTTTCCTTCACCTTCATTCAAGCACTACAGAATTGTAGTAAGTTTCTCAGTACTAATAATAATAACACCGATGTGAATAGATTATAACTTTCATTTTAAAAATAGCAGAAATATCTATGCCATAAAATGGCAGTAGAATCTAAAACCGGAGCCAGGATAGAATTATGACATCACTCGCATTGTGCATACCATATACAAAACATCTGATCACTTATTCTGGTAAAGTTAGGTTGGGTTTATGTAAAGAGTAGTGATGATGCAAGGTGGTGAAAATTTGCTCAGGTCTTGGACTATATTTTAAAATGGTGCTGTTATTAAGCATTATTTATTTTAGATTTAAATATTTGTGACCCAAGAGGCAGGCAGTATCATTAGATTCTTATGTGGACAAACTGTCAATATATAGGGGCTACTGGTCTATTAGTTAAATATTGTGCACTGTACACACTACTCTATTTTCAAGTACAGCAAGACATTGTATATTCCAAGTTAATCTAATATTAACACACCACAAAGATAAAAAGATTAAACTTACACAACTATCTGCTTACAATACAAAAGCTGACACTTCATAACCTCTTCTTGAATAACCAGTGAAGTCATCTATTAGTATTTTTTTAATTTTCTAAATCTTAAGTGTAAAAACAATATTTAAACAATACACAGCTTGAATTAATTCACAGCTTTGAGCATAATGATTTAAATAAGAGCAATAAACAATATTTCACCATCAAAGTGTAATCACAACACACAGCACTGAACAGTACTTGCAAGGTAATCACAGGGGTTGCAACAAAGACACTAGAACTGATGCTAAACACCATAACACAAGGAGGAATAATCGTGCGGCCTTACCACTCTTGTATCACTGAACAATGTTAGCCTTAGCCAATATTAATTCACACAATATTCAAAGTATCTGTTGGTATGGATTTGCACCAGACACTGGACCTTGGTTATATGTGATAGAAGCATGTCAATAATGATATTCACCCTCAATAATGAAATTTAATTGATTTCATCTACTAATAAAAATCATATTATCGTATAACTATAATTATGCATTTATATTACACACAAACTTGAAGTACAGTACTGTAATGTACGTTAAAACTGTTTATAGTCTACTTTCAAGTGTAATAAATGATTTAGGATTATATAAGACTGTTCAACTTAATACTGCAGTAAAACAAAGTAAAATGTCTTCATTGGTGGACTAGAAATTTCACAAATAAATTACAATCCAGTATCATCTGTATAGTCTGGCTTTGGCATGGGATTTGATCGCAGTAGATGAGTCAAAAGACTGAAATAGAAAAAAACAGCACTTTAAATTCAAATCAGCACTAGTATTACACAAAAATAAATTTCTCTTAAAATGTTGTAAGGTAAGAGCAATATTATCTTGCATACCCTGTATCTTATTTACTAAAAAGAAACAGACTTCTAAATACCTGTGGAATCTCTATATGCTACCTATCTTTTGCCTACACTCACCCTATTTGCTTTCATTCAAATAAATGACAACACAATTCAAAATAAACTACATAATAAATGATACAACAAAAGATACATTTTTTTTGAATGACTGCAGAATATCATCCTGACACCAAGTGCTAGGGTCCTAGGTCAGACTAATTTCGATACTGCAGTCTTAATCCACTCCACTTAATCCACACAATCAACCAGAAATGCATGCACACAGAGGGAGCAACAGCCAGTTCTGTTTCTGTTCAGAAAACAGACAAAAGCCAGAATAGCAAACACCTAATATGGCAGCCTGGTCAAAGCAGAAGAATGAATAGCACAGACCTTAAGGTGGATGGAGTCCCACACCCAACAGGCTGAATGATTGAGGACAAACAATGGACCAATGGCAATTAAAACTACCAAATGCCATTCTGGAAAACTGCAAACCACAGTGCAGTTCCCATCTGTCCAGAGACAGATGGGAATACCGTAAGTACCCATCCTCCACAAAAGCCCAGAAAAATATCCCTACAAAAGTTAGGGAAAATAGAAACTAAGACTGTCTCACACTCAGGCATGCATGCCAGAAGCAAGGTGTGTGTCTCCAGTGAACAATCCAATTCCTCTTTAAGGTTGGGGTTAAAAAAGCAAGCAAGACTGGAAATGAAAATTCATATGCACAGCCCATGCACTCCCTTGGTAAATGCAGTCCCCACATGCACTAGGGATAGGATCAGTTGTAATGCACAAGCAACATACAACTAATGCATAAGAAAGCTCTTCTTCCCTTTCACAGGCATCCCAGTGAAGAACGAGTCCCATGCATTACCAGAAAGCGAGTTGACATAAGAAAAGTCAGCCTCTACACCCTTCAGAGTAGAAATCTCTGGTGGGGGCAGAAAAAACAAGCCAACAACCAAGGAAGGGATCCCTTGGCAGAGGCTTGCCACATATGAAAGACCCAGAACAATGCTATCCAAGTGGACATCAGTGAAAGAACTGACCAATAAGATGGCTACGTGCAGAAGCCAGATCATCTGGTGGTAGCATTCGGTACTACAAGTTTTGTGGTAATTTTGGAAATTTCTCTTGTTCTGTGCAAATCTTTTGCAGAGTTGTTTAACGGTTTTGAGGATTTGGTCTCTGTTAACCTTCCAGTTGACTGTAAAGCTTTGCTTACTATCTTTATGCTTTCCCTGTGAAGTGGCTAATTGTCACTTGCTCTCTGCACCTCTCTGAGGGGGAGGGGGGGAGCCAAATTTTAGCTCTGGTTCACAGTAGGACAAACAGAACTCCCTCATCTGATGTGACCCATTTGCACGGAGCAAGCTCAACGAGATGGCTTCGGGAAGCCACCAGGGCCTCTCTCAGAAAAGATTAGGAATCACTGATATAGATAATCATCATTTGCCATGTTACCTTTAGGTACCGTATTTCTTTCACACAGTTACTTGTTTTCAGGTTCTGGTTGGCAGGTTAGGGTGGATCTTTTGAGACCTGGTGCATTTTCCCAAGACATGGCATGACCAGCACTTAGCATTGGAGAGGTACTGAAGGGGCCCTCCCAGAAATGTAACAAAATAATAAATAAATTTGCTTATGATCACATTACTTTCTTGCACAAAATTATTATCTATGCCATAAAGACAGTTTTCTCACTAAATTCCATGGCTAAATCTTAAGTGGACAAGTGATATGAACAAGTATTCCAGCCCTTACCCCACGACCTCCCCCACACATACACGTAGACCTCATCCTAGAGGCACTTATTTTCCAACATGTTAAACAGGCCACGAGAATGAGGGAAGGAGATGTTCCATCAATGCTGGATTTCATATTCACCAGGAAAAAAAAGAAGATATATTTGACATTCAGTACTTTCCTTCCTTGGGTATGAGCAACCATGTCCTTTTGGAAATGAAATAGTTTGCTTTATAATTCACAAGAGAATGGGGGAAAAAGCAGTTGAAAAACCTGATTTCAAGAGAGGACAATATGGAAAATTTAGCAAGTTCTTTAATGAATTTGACTGAAAAGACATTGTTTGGCAAGGAAGTAAATAAAATGTCTGCCAAGTTTTTTGACGTGCATGAAGAAGACACAAAAAACAGTGATGCAGAACTAGAAAACAGGATTGGTTCAACAGAAATTGTGAGGCCCAGAGATTAAAAGACAATAAAATGTAATCAATATAGGAAGAGGCCTAACCCTCAAACATACCAGCAATACAAACAAGCAAGAAACAATTCAACAACAAGTGAGAAGAGAGGTAAAAATTAATTTTTAGAAAGGGATAGCAGGCGAATGTAAAACAGAACCAGGTTTAATCTATAAATTCATTAAAAATAAATTGCAGGTAAAGGATATAATCCAGAGGTTGAAAATGGGGAACATATTCACAGACTAAAAAGGAAATGTGAAAAACATTAAACCATCACTTCCAAAGTGTGTTTGTGCAAATTTAATTTTTCAGAAAACCAGACAGTACGAATTTCAGAGAATAATATAGAGCAGGTGTCTTGAGACGAAGTGGAAAAAATGCTGAAGAAGCCAAGAAGAAACAAAGTACAGTTTGCAGACGAGGAGTCACAATAACGTGGCTGAAATATGTTGACCAAACCACACACTAGAAAGTGAAGGGACGACGACGTTTCGATCCGTCCTGGACCATTCTCACAATCAACTTGAGAATGGTCCAGGACGGACTGAAACATCGTCATCTCTTCACTTTCTAGTGTGGTTTGGTCAACAAAGTACAGTTTGTTTCTGGGCTATTCAAGGAAGTCCAGATGGTTTCACCTTGGGTTCTGAGAGAATGTGCATCTGAACTGAGCACCCTACTCCAATTGCTTTTTGAAGCATCTTTGTGTATAGGAGTCTTTGAAGATGTATGGAAAAATGCAAACAGCTCCAATCTACAAAAATGAAAGATAAAATCCTCTTAACTAAAGACTTGTATCATTGACAGGCATGGTGGTCAAAACACTAGAAACAATAATGAAACCAAATGGGCAGAATACCTGGAGAGAAATTATATAATAAGACAGACAGACATTATGGTTTTCGAATAGGAAGATCCTGTGTAAGAAATTAACTTAGTTTTATGATAGAATCACATAAATTTTACAGAAAAAGAGATGGTTGGGTTGACTCCATCTATCTCTACTGGCTAAAGGTTCTGGGACAGAGTCCCATATAAGAGGTTGTTCTGGAAACTAGAACATACTGGAAGGGTGACAGGGAGACTTCTGAAATAGATGGAAAATTTTCTGACAAAAATGAGGATGCTAATCAAAGGCAATGTATCAGACTGGAGAAACGTTACTCGTTACAGACATAGGGTACAGTTTTTACACCAGGAATGTTCATTGTTTATATGAATGATCTACTAGAAGGAACACAGAATTGTATATGTTTGCTGATACAGTACTGTAATGCCAAGCTTCTAGTCAAGATAAGAAATTCAGGAAATTGTTCATGCCCTTTAAGATGACCTGGACAAAATAAGTGTGAGAAGCAACATTTGGCTGATATTATTTAATGTGAATAAATGCCACGTCACGAAATGTGAAATACGATGAAATAGGTTGCACACAATTTACAAATGGCGTGAAAAGGCTTTAAAAAACTCTGACAAAGAAAGAGATCTCAGGGTGGTTCTGGATAGAAAACTGTCACCTGAGGACCACATAAAAAACATTTTGCGAGGAGCCTATGCTACACTTTCTAACATTAGAATTGCTATTAAATACATGGATGGCAAAATTGTAAAGAAATTGTTCACGACCTTTGTGAGACCAAAATTGGAATATACATTGGTAGCATGGAGCCTGTGTCTCGAGAAATATATCAACAAACTGGAAATGGTGTAAAGACATACAACTAAATGGCTTCCCAAACTAATAAACGAGGTACGAGGAGAGGTTAGGTGTGTAAAATACGCCAAAGTTTTAATATAGAAGAATAAGAGGCAATATGATCACTACAAACAAAACAGTAACAGGAATCAACAAAAATGACATGAGAATTCTTGAAACCTAGATCTTCAAGAACAAGAGGGTCATAAACTCAAGCTAAGGAAACAAAGGTGCCCCAAAAAATTAGAAAGTTCTTTTATGCAAACCAGAGTGGTAGATAGTTGGAACAAGTGAAAAGGTGTTGGATGCCAAACCCACCAGTAATTTCAAAGCACACACAGACATTCTTCCATTCTTATAGTGCAATTGAATCCACCAATTGTACTAAAATAGAAATTCATGTTTACTAACCAATACAAATATATAAAAAAAAACACCAAGTAGTATGCAAGACCAATGACAGCATCCCGCATGTGGTTCTTCAACTGTCCCATGCGATGAATCTCTGTTGGGTCATAAACTCCAAAGTTTCCTGCTGGCACCTTCATGTACCTGAAAACAAGAAAATGCATTTTACTAAAGATCCTCTCCAAAAAAAAATCAGCAATTCAATCTTAAGATACTCTTGCTCATCTGCTTTACACAAAATATTTTCATCACGGCTTCGTTGATTAAATATTGACCCTGTAGTAAAGTATTTAGAATAAAGGCACCAAACATGTTATTAATATACAGATATAGCAATACCAAACGAATATTAAACAGCTTTCATATAAAAAATGGAGAATACCCACTAATATTCTCAACATTAATTACTCTAAGCTATTTAACAAATTATTTCACATTTGGGAGGGCACTTGGTCTGCACATCTGCAATGTGTATTTACCATTTGTGCCTGCATAATCGAGCTATTAGCTCTTCGACCCCTCCTTTCTAACCAATCTATTTTCCCCTTATTATGTCTGCTACATATGCGTACTGTATTTCTCTCTTAACTGCATTACATTCTGGGCAATATAAGCAAAAGATAACATAATATATATGCTGCCTATTCTTATGCCCAATTCATTATAACACTTTTCTTGCTAAAAAGCATCTATGCATATTTTGTTACAGCACTACAGTATATTATTATTAGTGAAAAACTCTTAAAACGTCTCCCTCTTTACAAAGTACAGTGGAATCTTGGTACTCAAACCAGAAGACTTCATTCCATTTCATTTAATTCATTCCAGAAGACTGTTCGAGTAAGGAATAATGTAAATTGGATTAATCTGTTCCAGACCACAAAAATACACACAAAAACACAATAAATAGATGAAATAAATGCAAATTTATTCTCACTTTACTTGTACTTAGGAGAGTTCATGATGTATGTGATAGGCAATGAGGAAGAGGAGGAGAGATGTTATTTGGCAGGGAAGTTCCCTTCAATAAAAATATCAGGTAATTGTGCTTCTGGGGTCCTTTCTCATTTCGTAGAGATCACAGATATGTGCATACCAAACTCGGTAGCAAGAACAGGCATGCAGATACCACTCGTATTTTGCCGGAGTTTGTTTTTCATCCCTGTAGCGGTTCTAACTAATTTCCTTTTTGTTTGGGTCTTATCACTAACCTTCTTAGGTGCCATGGTGACGTATTTATGGTAAGAATATAAAAAATATCCAAGAAAACATGAGAAAGTTTACAGTGAAATTTAGTGGGGTTGTGCACTAAAGAACAGTTACAGGACACTGCCTCATTTGTTACACGTGTGTATGTTCGAGCGCCGAGTAAATGGTTGACTACCGAGCGTTTCTGTTCTCGAAAATTGTGTTCAAGTACTGAATTGCTAAATTATTAGAATTTGGAGCCATTCGAGTGCTGAAGTTTGTTTATTTATTTATTAGTTATTTTTTTTTTATGATTAACTGAAGTGTGAAGGGCACTTTTTCTATACTACAAGTCAAAATCTGTAATGGCTAGTTGAGAAATTATATTACACATGTTCATTAGATGTTATCTTGCATTATAAGGCAGTGTACAGAACATACGTATCCCTAAATTACTATAAAATATTAGTAGAAATGGTACAAAAATGTAAAAAAATATGTATAATATTGCAAAAGGTGAAAATGTGAATTTTAAAAGCATTATTACATAAAAGTTAGTAACACTTAATACACATAATAAATAACTACAATAAATTGAAAAACTTACTCGCGTACAAGAAACACAGCAAGAGGTAAGGAAGCCAGAAAAAGGTAATAGTGGCCGGTCAGGAGAAACACAACAGACAACACCACGTGTGCTGCAATCTTCGGTACCACCCACTGAAAATGGTGAAAGAGCACAAATGATAACTCAAATTTCCAGTAAGATCACAAATAAAATACTTATAAGCTATCATATTAATGAGAATGATATAACTATTACTATAATGAAATGAGTTTGGCATGAAATAATAAATAAAATGCTATGCTACTGTACTTATACAGTAATCACAACTTACGACACTAATAATGGAAAAACTACATTATTTAATTGTTTTAATATGAAAAAATATCATCGAAAAAATTAAATCAACACTCGGTAATGCAACTTATATTACTTAAAAGAAAATATAAATAGTTTTGCAATTGTCTTCAAACATTGTGAAAAATAAATATACTGTACATTAAAAATAGAATTCTGTACTCACTATGTTAAGCCTGTAGCAACATTGTTGAGCATTCAGGTAATCACACTCCAAATCGGATAAAGTAATTACCTAAGACTTAGTTAAGGCAATCACCAATATATTAAATATATAATATGTAACACATGATAAAGTATAATATATTATTAATTAAATCAAGGCAACAACATTATTTAAAAGGGATAAGAGGAGTAGACAACTTTGCCTTTCTTGGTCTTAAGTTTATTCCATTTTTTATTTTTGTCTCTCCTGCCGCACCCTCCCTAATTCTATTCCCTCTCCACAACCATAAAAGTGAATCCATATTCACTTTTATAAGTCTTTTCTTACTAAAATCAATAAAACTTCAAATTTATCTACATAAATGGCATTATCTGCTAGAAGAACTGCACCATCTGCATGCAGTATAGTATATAAAATCTGACAAATAGTACTCTATTTACTTATAAGTACAATAATTAAAACAAAAAATATATCTTTGGTAAAATAAAGTATTTTACACATTTAATCAAATGCTAAAGTAATCTATTGCTTATACAAAGTTGATTTGCATAATATGCTGACAGTTTAAACATCAGACAGTAGCAAGCCTAAGCACATTTGAAGGAAATAAATAAGACATTGAAAGGGTTGAAATGTCACTTTCTAAGTGATTTTGGTTATTTGCCCAGAGTCAACCCAAAATACTGCTCACACACCAGGTTCTCAGTGACTTTGAGCACTACTTTGACAAAGGAACTTTTGAGCTATAGCGTATAAGAACTCTCGTGGAGCAAGTTGCAAGGTAATATTAAGAACCAACTAAAGATACACCAACTCTCGGCTCGGTTAACACTGGACCACCATCCCGGTCCAAAGATGAAAACAAACTTCAAACATAAATTGATGAAAAGTATGCCTGATAACACAATTTGTTCATCGAGCGAGAATTCGTAACGTTTTCCTTAGGCCCTGAGGCTGGGCAGGCTCCAGACATCAACCTTGGGTCCAGGGTGACCCAGGACTTGGAGCCGCGTCAAGCGCAGTCATACAGGTATCAGAGGAGGGCGAATAATAGATTAATAGAAGGATACATAATAGACGAGCAGGAACAACAAGGCTCCCGTGTCAAAGAGGGAAAAGATGAAGACGGCCGTATCGAGGGATATGGAGGATTTGTCCTCGTGAAGTAGCGGCGCCTCCTCCATGGCTTGTTGTGGTACTTATATTCCAAAATATCGTCTGCCAGCGACCAATTACACATATTTATTTTTGTTTAATCCTAAATATTGTGGAACAAACTAAACATGTTCAACATAAATAACCAACAATCTTTTAGACTCATAACGACAGTGACATAAGTTAGCTTTTGGTCAATAATCATGATTAAAAGTTGTAATAAGCGCGTTATTGTACTAAATTATTTCGGCATAAAATAATAACGGTATTTATAGTGTGTATCTAATTAATAATTTACATGCGTTGAATTTTTACTATATTTATTTATATATACAAGAGTTCTTACATTCTTGTCCAATCATGTGCAACGTTACGGCCAAACGTTAATTGATAATTAAACGATAATTATATTATTAATTTATATATAAAAATATATCTGGTTTTACTGCATTATATTGATGCATGGTACAGTATTACATTTTTATTAGGGCTTTAATATGAATGCCTTGATGGACTCGAGGTATGTTTACCAACAACAATAATTATAGTTCAATAGGTACCCAGCAGGAGTGGCTGTTGTGGCCTGCATCTTGGGAGAAGGTTAGCAGTCGTTTTAGTTAAGGAAGCCCTAAGTTGGTGAGTGTGTAATTAACAGCTGATATTATTATTGTCCCTGACATCATAAAAACATTTTATACATTTGTTAAAAATTAGGATACACTCCAATGTGTTGTTGTCAGTGTCGCTCCTCATGGTGTAGGTGGGTCACTGCCCAAGGTGTAGGTGGGTCACTGCCCACGGTGTAGGTGGGTCACTGCCCACGGTGTAGGTGGGTCACTGCCCACGGTGTAGGTGGGTCACTGCCCACGGTGTAGGTGGGTCACTGCCCACGGTGTAGGTGGGTCACTGCCCACGGTGTAGGTGGGTCACTGCCCACGGTGTAGGTGGGTCACTGCCCACGGTGTAGGTGGGTCACTGCCCACGGTGTAGGTGGGTAACTCCCCACGGTGTAGGTGGGTCACTGCCCACGGTGTAGGTGGGTCACTGCCCACGGTGTAGGTGGGTCACTGCCCACGGTGTAGGTGGGTCACTGCCCACGGTGTAGGTGGGTCACTGCCCACGGTGTAGGTGGGTCACTGCCCACGGTGTAGGTGGGTCACTTCTCCGGTGTAGGTGGGTCACTGCCCACGGTGTAGGTGGGTCACTGCCCACGGTGTAGGTGGGTCACTGCCCACGGTGTAGGTGGGTCACTGCCCACGGTGTAGGTGGGTCACTGCCCACGGTGTAGGTGGGTCACTGCCCACGGTGTAGGTGGGTCACTGCCCACGGTGTAGGTGGGTCACTGCCCACGGTGTAGGTGGGTCACTGCCCACGGTGTAGGTGGGTCACTGCCCACGGTGTAGGTGGGTCACTGCCCACGGTGTTGGTGGGTAACTCCCCACGGTGTAGGTGGGTCACTGCCCACGGTGTTGGTGGGTCACTGCCCACCGTGTAGGTGGGTCACTGCCCACGGTGTAGGTGGGTCACTGCCCACGGTGTAGGTGGGTCACTCCCCACGGTGTAGGTGGGTCACTGCCCACGGTGTAGGTGGGTCACTGCCCACGGTGTAGGTGGGTCACTGCCCACGGTGTAGGTGGGTCACTGCCCACGGTGTTGGTGGGTCACTGCCCACGGTGTAGGTGGGTCACTGCCCACGGTGTAGGTGGGTCGCTCCCCACGGTGTAGGTGGGTCGCTCCCCACGGTGTAGGTGGGTCACTGCCCACGGTGTAGGTGGGTCACTGCCCACGGTGTAGGTGGGTCACTGCCCACGGTGTAGGTGGGTCACTGCCCACGGTGTAGGTGGGTCACTGCCCACGGTGTAGGTGGGTCACTGCCCACGGTGTAGGTGGGTCACTGCCCACGGTGTAGGTGGGTCACTGCCCACGGTGTAGGTGGGTCACTGCCCACGGTGTAGGTGGGTCGCTGCCCACGGTGTAGGTGGGTCACTTCCCACGGTGTAGGTGGGTCACTGCCCACGGTGTAGGTGGGTCGCTCCTCACGGTGTAGGTGGGTCACTGCCCATGGTGTAGGTGGGTCACTCCCCACGGTGTAGGCGGGTCGCTCCTCACGGTGTAGGTGGGTCACTTCCCACGGTGTAGGAGGCTTCGTGCAGTTACAATGATGGATAACATTTTTCTTTGTTTAGGGTAAATTTAATAGGCTTTAAAAATATTATCTGTTAAATAATTTATTTTGTCTTTACAGACCAGTAAAAATGGCGAAGCATGCTTGTCAGCTAAACTTTTTGTGTCGGTCAGATGGCTCTGCACTCTACTCAATAGGTAAGCTGACTATTGCAATCTTTATTCCCTTCACGTTTTTGTTTCTTGAATCAAAGCACATATCTTATGATTAATTATGTACTTGAACCATAGAAGATATCAGGACCAGTCTCTCCACTTCCACCAGTGTCCAGCTATCTTATCCTTTGTTCATCATATTGGGACCAGCCAGGAAGATTATTCTCATATTTTATGATAATTGAAGAACTGTAATTATTTTGTTTTAATTTGTAAAATTCATGTTTTCATAAGTGAGCAAATTGAAGGCTAACAGAAAACATGAGTAACATAAGTACAGTATTTAAAACTTGAATTAATACTGTCATATCTGGTATAATATAAGCATCCTGTTAAGTTTTGTTAGTTATGTTGCATAAATAACAAAAGTAATGTTGCCTGTGAATTACGTATTTTGAACTAAGATGACTAGCCAATTGTCATATCTACTCTGCATTCTTCTAAGAATGAGTTAGGCAAGCAGGAACGGTTAGGCTAGGCTAGGGTATGTTGGATAAGGTAATGTTAGGCTTAGTTTGGCTACACTGGGCTGGTTATGCACATATGAGGCTTGGTTACATTTGGCTAAAGCCAATTTTCCATGTACTGAACTTCGTACATTCAACTACTGTCACCATCATTACCACAAAAGCCACTCCATCTTCTGTAACCATTAATCATTATACTGTTCCAGCACATTCTTATTATACTGATTTTTACTCATTGCACCATCATATAAATTCTATAAATCTCTATTATGCCCCACTTGAATTATTGTATCCAAGCATGGATACCCTATCCTTGGAAGGACATATCTGCTTTGGAAAAGGTACAACACTGGGCAACAAAATTCATTCCAGAACTAAGTCTTTGGCAAGCTGCCGGCTTCATGCCCTCGTCACGGCCACTAGCATTAGTGATCCTTTGGTAATTCGGGTAAATGTATTGGTAATTCGGGTAAATGTATTTTTTTCATCATGCTATATGCATTACTATCACCTAATACAGTACTCTTTGCACCACAATATTCTCACTACATTGAATAATTAAACCTCTACTCATTTAATCACCCTACTATATTTGTAAAATGAGATGCTTCCCTCCTGGAATATCTCTCTCTGTCGTACTCGGTCAGTGAAACTATACCTAATTTCACCTTTTATTTCATATTGAAGCAATATCTGAATATCTGTTAATAAGTTGTATTCTATTTAAATGAACAATTTGGAGGGTAAGTACCCATACAGTCTTTGTTATAAAGATCATAAATAAGTGTAAGAGTAATAATGGGTGACATTCAACAGGCAACACAGTGGCACTTGCTTCAGTAAATGGGCCTGGTGAAGTTAAGATGTTCCATCGTCATTACAACAGGTCACATCTAGAAGTGTGTTATAGTCCCGCCACAGGCCAATGCAGTAAGTCCACTTTTAACTGGTGCATGTTTTCAGTTTAATTTTATTTTTATATGTTGCAAAGAATTATATTTGCCTTGGATCAAATATTTCGACTCAAATTTTTGTATCTGAATACATGTATTGTATTTCAAATTGATAACAAATACAGTATTTGTACTGTACTTATTTTGTCTGTCATTTTGTGTTTTTCATCCTTATCTGTACATTGTATGAGGCTCACATTTTCATGGACAGAAAGTCATACATGCATATCAAAGTCATCCTGTGCCAACTGACCTTTCCTAAAATGCACACCATAATACAGTAGTTGCCCAACCACCAGGTGCCCTATTTACTGCTTGGTGAACAGGGGAAATGGATGTAAGAAAACATGGCTCAACATGTCGCTCTGCCTGGGAATCAAACACTGGTTCATTTGTTTGTGAGTCAACTGTTCTATGACTCGTCTTCATAAGTACTATACTACTAACCTAGCCCAATGTTACTTTCCAATTGACATGGCCATTGCCGTACTGGCACTATAATTAAAAAGAAGTATGTAACAATGTTCACATAAATATTTTCTTGGGGCAGCCGGAATAAATTCAAATCCTGTATTCTAGAAAATTGCAAATGATCAAATGCTGTATAGTACTGTACATGCAAAAACAAACAAAAAAGTAAACAAGTACTGTAAATATGTATGGTATTATATTGTCTTTACCAATAACATGAATGGGCCAAATACACATAGTACAGTTGGCTTCGTTCTAGACTCTCGATTGTGGATTCCGAGTTTGATCACCTGATGCCTCTGTTCACCTAGCAGTAAGTAGATACCTGGGAGTTAGGTAACTGTTGTAGGGTCAGAGGGGCCCCCCTTGATACAAGCTTTGACAGGCCACCACCCTCGGGCAGACAACTGTTTCCTTTACGGTATACAGTACTGTACGTATAAAAGGGGTGCCCAGCTGCACCTGGGTCTCTCCCCTTCTCTTTCCACCCTTTCTTCTACACTTCAAACAATCTCCTCCATAACCCCCCCCCCCCTGCCCCCTTCCCTTTTTGTCTTTGCCTAGTGCTGCTTCTTGAGGAACTGATTCTTGCTTTCTCCTTCCTCCTCTTTCATAAAATGTAATATTAAGAAGCACTGAAACGACTGTATGGGTCTCTCAGAATTATTATAATCATGAAAACTCTAGGGAAATCACACCATATATTTCAAACTTGATTCCATGAATTGCATGAGTGTGTTTATAAATTTTAATATTTCTTAAAGCATTTAACTTAAATATGCGCAAATCAGCTTATATTCGTCCCATATTCCAGACTGTTTCCCCTGCAAATTTAGGTGAGGCTACCCCCAAGCAGCTGGTCTCCAACTTTGAACAGACATAGACATTCTCTTCTGTAGATGTAGATTACCATTGTTCATTGCTCCTTTATATACACATTTAAGAGAAGGCAGGATACTTTTGGGTCATACTACACCATAAGGAAGTACTGTATACCTTGTATAATGCTTGCTGAAACTTTTAACATTTAACGTTCATTATCTTGTATGGATTGTTGGAGCTATGGTAATGTGTGTTACCAGTGGTAACTTTATCATTATGGTGCCAGGGTATATATTTATTTATATAAATATAAAAATATTAAATATGATATTTTTTCCAGTATAGTGTTCTTTGCATATTTTCACAACTTTTTCTCAAAACGTTTGCATCTCTTGCACCTTTTATTAAGAGAATGAATGCTATTGTCTTTACTCCAAAGTGATAGCAGAGCGAGCCTTGGAGTCGGTGATCCTACACACAGTTGAACAAGTGATCCTGCTACACCTCCACCCTAGAACTGCAACTAATGTCACCATACAAGAGATGCAGTCTGATGGACTGGTATGGCAATTTACTTATATAATTTATTTAAATAGTGCCTTATATAAAAGTATGGGAATTGTATGACGTGCATCTGGGTGACTATTATAGGATGTTATAAACAACATTGGGATACCTGGACTGGGGTCACCTTTCGCTAAATCATAAGCCAGGGTTTATGATGGGTTATAGGCTGGCAAGGGCAACAGTAAAGATTTACTGCAGTGAAAGAATAAACATTTCCATATCACAGACATGAATATGCACATACACATACTTGCACAGCATATACAAATATGTATAAATATATATGCAAATATACAAAAAGTGTGACAGACATGAGGCACTGAACTACAGGCCGGTTTCCCTAACTTGTATACCATGCAAGGTGATGGAGAAGATCGTGAGTAAAAAGCTTGTAGAACATCTGGAGAGTAGGAGCTTTGTAACACACAACCAACATGGGTTCAGGAATGGTAAATTGTGCCTCACAGATTTAATAGAATTCTGTGACCAGGTGACTAAAATTAGGCAAGAAAGAGAAGGGTAGGCAGACTACATTTTCTTAGACTGTCAGGAAAGTTTTATGGAGACCAATGACCTCCACAATCCAGGCGAACATGGATTTTGAGTGGGAAGATCAGGCCTTTCACAGCTACTTGACCATTACGACAAAATAACTGTTGCATTGGAAGAAAAACTGAATGCAGATGTGGTATACACAGACTTTATAAAGGCTTTTGATAAATATGACCATTTATATCATTTGGAGTGATAGCCCACAAAATGAGGTCAGTAGGAATAACAGGTAAAGTAGGACAATAGATAGTCATCTGTCAAATAGAACACAAAGAGCAGCAACCACTAAAATTGGGTCCAAGCACAGTTAAAAGCTCTGTACTTTGGGTACAGTCCTTGCACTACTGCTTTTTCTTGTTTTCATATCAGATACTGTATAGACAAAAATACAAGTCACAACTACAGTATGTCATCTTTTGCAGATGCCAATTTTTTTTTTTTTTTTTAACATTGTGTTTTTTTCTGTAGAAGAAATTTAAAAACCACAAACTGATATTAATAATGTTTTTGATTGGGCAGTAGAAAATAACATGTTGTTTAACAGTGATAAATTCCAGGTATTTAGGTATGGTAAAAATGAAGATCTTAAACAAAATACAGGCTACAAAAGCATAATCAATTCTGCCCATAGTCGGAAAGCAACATATAAGGGATCTGGGAATAATGATGTGTGACAACTTAACGTTTAGGGAGCATAACCAAGCAAATATAGCGTCAGCCAGAAAAATGATAGGATAGATTACGAGAACATTCAAATCCAGGGATCCCATTGCAATGCTCATAATATTAAAATCACTGGTGCAAACCTGCCTTGAGTATTAACTTACCCCTTCAGAGCAGGAGAGATAGAAATTGCATTCCTGGAGAGGGTTCTGAGAGTTGTTCTACTCCCTGAGCCTGGCCTGAGGTCAGGCTCAACTTGTGATAACATGATCCAACAGGCTGTTGCTTGGAGCAGCCCGCAGGCCCACATATCCACTACAGCCTCATTGGTCTGGCACTTCTTTTAGAAAGCAATCTAGAAATACATTAATTTAAGTACTGTATTTGAAGTTGAACTATTAAAAACCATATGATAAAATCCTCACTGCAGCTTACAAATATACCATTGCAGACACTGTCAGCAAGTATTAATGCCACCTGCATGGCCCTGCTTGATGCTGGAGTACAAATGAAGTCTACATTTGCAGCAGTCACCTGTTGTCTCACATCTGCAGGAACCATCATAATTGAACCTACAGAAGCTGAAATAAAGGTTTGTTATTTTAGTGCTAGGCATCTTAGAAATGTTATAGTCACTTCTAAGTTAGATTGCATTATATGTGGAGAAGAGAGGGAGGAGGGGGGGGGTGTTAGGAATGTCTAGATCAAAATATTGCTTTCATAAATGAAATTTGCAATCGGCATGTTCACCCCGGTGAATTTGTTGACATTTTATTTTTATAATAAATTTAATGGTTTTGTGTCCACTTAATATAGTCCTGACCTTGTTTTGTACAGTAAACAAGAGTCCAAGAAGGTAGTTGACTTTTATAGAGATGTCACGCTTGATTGCTTTTGTTATTGTCAACATAAACAGGATATATGCATCATTATCATCATTCATGTTAACATTCCATATTTTCTCTTCCATTCTCTTCTTGGTTTGTTCCCTCACATATGAATGTTTGCTTGATGATTCATCTCTTCCTTGATTTACTCATTTTCGTCTCTCCACAAACATTGTAACTAACAAACGTGTCTACTGTCTGTAACATTTTCTATTTATTTTATAAATGTTAATGAGTCATTTATGCATAATCACAATTTTCATTTATGAACATTTGTGTCAAAAGAAATGTGTTCTCAAGGAGTGGTAGTTTTATGCACTAAAATGTGTAATTTTCTCAGGAAAGTGTGGCTGTAGCAACATTTGTATTTGACGGTCACGCATTGAATGTTTTGTCGGCACATCAAGAAGGGTGTCTCAATACAGAAAACTTTAATGCTTGTCTCAAGAAGTGCCAGACTGCTGCCAAGGATGTTTTGAATTTCTACAGACGGATTATGGAGGAGAAGTATAGTAGTGATATAAGTTAGAACTAAAATCTAGTAATGCTGGAACAGGTTATTATAGGCATACTGTACTGAAAATTTGTATTGTTGAAGATCAGGAATTTAAAATAAATTTTTTAGTTTTACTTTGAGCTGTATTTCATTTTGACATTTATAGAAATAAAATCTTTAAAAATAAATATAAACATTATGTAGTGTTTTTCATTTAAGCTTTTTTCAGTGGGGGAGCCCCTTCGGCTCCCTGGAGCTATCGGGTTAATGTTATATACTGTATTAGACTATGGCAATAGTCAATGGAGTTCAGCCTGCCGGGAACCACAAGCCAGAACCTGGCCTCTTCAAGAGAGGCACAGTAAGCAATGGCCCCTGGAAAAAAAACCTGTGGTTGATGGTTTTCCTAATCTGCCATCAACCGGCAGATTAGGAAATTATCCAAGGGGTTAGGCACCCAGAAAATTACCCAAACAGTGCCCTGGGGTTAGGTACCCAGAAAAGTAGGCATAACAAAACAGACCCAACATGGTAAGAAAATTACAACCGAACAGAGAGGCAGCACTTCCCCCAATTCCCAAGGAAACAATCAGAGAAGCAAACGTCGCACACCACACGGCTCGTCCATGCAGGGGGGGGGGGGGCCTGGACCCTCAGCGCCTGCTACCCAGCAACCCCAGTTGGCTATTGCGATCTAGGGATGTTGTCGAATCTGGCCACGATTTCTAAGCAGTGTTTTGCTTTGTTCTCTGCAGTGTTGAGGTGCAATTAACCATCCTGTGAGATGGAAATATTAAGTGAACTTAGCACTTGACCTAAGATCTCTGTAACCCCTATACAGTATAGCCTAGGACTGCAGCACAATGCTGTGTATCTAAACTTCCTATTAAAAAAATAAAATAAAGACATGCCTGAATGCCATGCAGTGTGTTCAGCCTGTTCTCTTGAGTTGTCACAATGGACAGAAAATGATGTGTTAAATTCCCCAAATCAAACTTGACTTAACCGATGGACCCATGCATATGGGTCATATGATGGCATATGTTTATATTCTACTATGGTCTCTTTTTTAATCAGCAACTACCAGTTGCTAAATTAAAATAAATATATTATCCCCCATATATTGTTTCACTCGCCCCTCCAAATACAAATATCTTTTTGGCATTCCTAGAGTGAGACTCAACCAAAGCAGAATTGCTATGCAAATGAAGGGGGGTCCAAAATTATAGTATGATCTTCCAAATTACATGAACATTACCTGACAGTAATTATCTGTATTGCCTCCATGCACTCTGGCTGTGGTCCAGGTGTTCTACCTCCAATGCTTCAAATGTGCTTTTGAAGAGAAGCATTGGAAGTAGAACTGGACCACAGCCAGAGTGGCATGGATGGGGGGGGGGGAATAATCCCTGATTGGGCTTCAGTAGAAGCCTCAGGAACCCTAGATGATTCAGTTGAATTTTAGGATGCATTGCTTTTGACCATGTGGTGTAGCGGTCTAGGGCGTGTGCTTGGGAGTACCCAGAGTACAGGTTCAAATCAAACTCACGGCACTGATTTTCTCATTAATCATCATTATCATTTATTTATTTATATACAGTACAAGAAGGTTCCTTGGGGGTGTGAGAGTACATAATATTTGTGTTCTTGCATTCTTGCAAAGCCATCATTAAATAATAATAATAATTTATATTTAAGCAAAAGCACATACAGGTACATAGAATACAAGAAGATTGTATGAATCATGGGTAGGGCAAGTACAATGCCTAAAGCCATTAAGATGCAGAGTGTTTCAGGCATAATATAGTATAGGAAAAAACTAAATGAGATAAAAAACAATAATGAATTGAATTAGGGGGAATAGAAATAAAATGACCATTATTACATGATAGAACAGCAAAAACTGTGACAGAACATCTGCCCAAAATGCAGTGCATATTAGTGGCTTTACAAGAATGTGAGAACTTGTATATATAAATAAAAATATATACGATATAGTAATTAATGTTCAATAACAGTAAAACATAGGTTGATATTTAGGAAGTAAGGAAGGTTACATAGAGTTTACCTAGTAGCTCTTTGTTTCTCTTTTTAAACTGGTTGAGAGAAGGACAGTGTTTGATGTGTTCAGGAAGACCAGTCCACATTTTGGGACCTTTGATTTGCAGAGCATTTAATTCATTGATTTCTACTTTAATAAAGTGGCACTCTTAGAATATCAAATAGATGTGAGATGCCACGAGTTCTAGTACAGCACTCTAGGAAGAATTTAAGGTCAGGATTAGCACTGCAGTTCAGTGTTTTATATATATATATGTATATAGAGCACACTTGAGAGGATGTGCAGTGACTTAATATCTAACGTATTCAAAGATTTTAAATTAAGTAATGGGGCAGAGTGCTGTCTGGGGTTTGAGTTTGTAATTGTTCTAAATGCTGATGTGTTGAGTAATTATAGGTCGGAGATAATTTTAGGTAGTAGAACCCTGGCACAAAGATCACAGGTGAGATAAGGATAGATGAGAGTAATAAAGTATTACTAGGGCAGAGTGAGGTACGTAGTATCTAATTTTGGGTAGTGTGACTGAAACTCATCCTGGGTAAATTCTTGGGTAAAATTATTTATTTATAAGTAATAAATTAATTAATAGTAAATTACACACCGTAGATATACAAAGTATTATAAGTAAATTAACTGTAAACTATAAATAAAGTCTATAATATGAATAACAATAATTAGCCTTCATGTAAAATAATAAAGTTATTAATAAATAATAAGTAAATTAACAAATAAATTAACTGTGAACAAATGGTAATATAACTGATTTAGTTAATGACGACAAAAAACAAGATAACTCAGTTAACAAAAGTAATTAACAAGCCTAATTAATGTAGTGATTGATAACAAATGAGTGCTGCGGGTGTGCGGGACCGACGCAGCCTACAGCGCTACGAGGCCCCGGAGCAGAGTTTACAGTGTCACCCATTTTAAAAAAAGTTCCTATATTTAGTATATGACACTGGAAATTCAACTTGTTATCAATGAGAACACTAAGAAATTTACCATCCTATAAGGTGGAAATATCAGATGAACTTACAGCTAGTTTTTGATAAACACTAAGTAATCCTTCAAATAGAATAGGGTAGCAACACATTGCTGTGTATATCTAAGCTTGTTAATAATAAAACATTTACTCTGTTACTTATTTGGGTATTGCTAATTCTTAGATTAATTTGATGTGTAGATTTATTACCAAACAAAATATAGAAGGTTTTCAATGATAAAAGCGAGTAGTGAGCAGTTACCCCAGAGATAGATATTTTTTAGTTCAGTATCCACTGTGTCATTCAGAAATATAAATACAAATACATATCCTTAAAATTGTAATTGTGATCATTTACTTTTTTCAATACAATGTTATTGTTATTAACAATTTAATATTATATTTGAATGTACACATCAATGAAGTATGGGCGGTGACGTCATGAGCAACTGAGGCGCTGATTGGTCGGCGGGATACACAGGGCAGGTTTGAATTCTCTTCCCAAAGATAAACAAGACGCTAGCAAGGTTCCTCTGCACATTGTCGAGAAGATGGCTCAAAATATCGCACCGGGAGCAGTTACGGCATCAAGTTCCACGAAGAATAACAGCGAGAGAGCCATCGCGGGCAGAGACTCGCACTCCGTTAGTAAAAGGTTAGACAACGGTAGAATTTAAAGGTGGCGCAGCACACCTGGGCGATGGCTGGACCTTTAACACAGGAGGGAGACAATAGACCAGGGGTCTATATCCTCCCTCGTGTCCTTCCATATGTAGATTAGCCCTTCCACTAGCCCACACACGCCCTGGAGTGTGGGGGCTAGTGTAGCTGGGATTGGGGGCTAGTGTAGCTAGGATTGAGGGCTAGTGTAGCTGGGATTGAGGGCTAGTGTAGCTGGGATTGGGGGCTAGTGTAGCTGGGATTGAGGGCATGTGGGGGCTACACTAGCCCCCACACACCTCAATCCCAGACTATTACACGAGATATGGAGATAAGCTGGGTAACAGGAAATCAACAGGAAAAAATTAAACCGAGTAAGAGAGAACCTAATGATAGGAGACACACAGGGTCATAGGGCAGATATGTTAGCTTGGAGAGGAGTGAAAAGTCAAATTTCCTAGAGCTCTGACCGAGGATCGTTGCTCTTTCTAATTTATGTAACCGAGTTACTAGTGGGAGTGTTTGCAGATCATGCAAAGTTAGTGAGAGTAATAACAGTAAGACTGTAGGGTACTGCAGGAAGACCTTAATAAATTTAGAGTATGCAGACGAATGGCTGTTGGAATTCAATTAAAGTAAGTGTAAGGTAATGAAGTTAGGAAAACTACATTATACTGGAAGACAACTACAGGAAACTGTAAGAAAGAGACCCGAGAGTGGATATATTTCCACCACTAACACCAGAAGCTCACATGAACAGGATAACATCGGTGAGCTAAGGAAAATTGGCAAATAAATGAATGCATTAAAGAAATCTAAACAAGAATGCTTTAAAGTCCATTATACACTACGTACATGTGAAAACCCATTACCGAGTATGCAGCACCAGCATGTATCACACTTAAAGTGCAAATTGAAACTTTTGACAAATTTGGCTTGCAACTAAATTATTACCAAATGAACATTACCTCACAATTTTAGAAGAGAAATGAAACGGGGGATATGATTAAATACAAGACATTGAAAGAAATAGATTAGGTGGACAAGGGCAACCTATTTAAACAAAGTAGGTAGGACAAGAAACCATCGTTGAAAGCTGGATAAGCATTTTGAGTTGTAGAGCTGTAAAGAAATTCTCATACACTGTAAGTGTGGTCACCACAATATAGAACATTAAACAAGGGATATAAACTGGTTATCTATGTCCCCCAACTCCCCTTGCCACTTTGGGGGGGGGGGATAGGGTGTTTATGTAGCTTCAGTTTAGATTTAGGAAAGACCTGGGTAAATACTGGGATGAAAACAGGGTTGTTTTGTGGAACAAATAACCAGGTAGCATAACAGATGTGAGATTGCTCAATTATTTGAAAGCATAGATTAGACACACACAAGAATGATTTTGTGTGGATATAAATAAGAGCTGCCGTATATGGGCCAGTAGGCCTTCATTTTCCTTATTCTTATCTTCTTTAGTGGAATACTTAGAAAAAAGTTATTCAAGTTACTTCCATTCACAGGTTAAAAAAAAAAAATGCTATGCGTTTTAGTGGCTTTGCAAGAATGTACTACCCAATCACCAATGTATGTATGTGCACAACCCAATGTACCTTCTTGTATGTAAATAAATATAATAAACCCCTAGAAATGTAATTGTTGTAACTGTGTATTATGTTGATATAACTTATAGTATTAGGCAACACACACAGAATAACATTCCTGGTTCTTAGATGTTCAGCCTTGTGGGGTGTCTGGAGACAGGTGCAATGTATACCAATGATTGGTACAGTGCATCCTTTTTTGGAAACTGAGTATTAAGATCTTTTTCTGTTCTTCCCATACTCAGAGGACTCTCAAACTGGTCATCCATGTTCTTGGTGTCTATCATGGTGTCTTAAGGATCATATATTATGAAAACAAACATTAAATTAAAAATACAACATAAATTTGGCAGTTAAAACACAATTTATTTTTCATAGGAATCATTTACAAAATCATGACAATATTTAGTTTACATTAACAAGTTTAAGTAAGATACATCTCATGTTTCAATATACTGTACAGTATTTTTGGATCAGAGATTCTGACAGTTTTTCTGGTTTTGTCTGCATGTACATGTAATATAAATTAGCATTTTAGGTATAATAATTTATTTTAGACTTGGAACTTAATTGGATTCCTTATTCAATCAACTTATTTTATAGGTCCTTAAAAATAATATAATGGTAGTGCAAGCATTTGGTGCATTTGTCCTGTCATAAAGTTGTTCGGTCAATATAGTTGATAATAAATTAATGTTGTCCTGCTATAGTTGAGAGTACTTGTCGTATTTTACTAAAGTGTTTAGTTGTAGATACTATATATATGCGATGCATATGCGATACATTTAAAATTGTCCATGCATGGGTAGACATTACTTCAAACATGACCAATGAGCCTATTCAGTATGTGAATTAATGTAAAATAATGATGTAATCCAGGCTGCAACATGAGCTGATGACACTGATGTTGTCCATGGACAAAGGAATCTCTGCGTTCCCTGAAGGAGACAATTTGTTCAAGTGGATCGGTACCATCACGGGACCAGCCTTAACAGTAAGCATTGCATAATATTTTATTGTACCTGTATGCTCTTAACAATACTATACCATACTTTGATTCACATAGACTTGCAAAATGTGATACAGTATAAACTGTATACTGTATTGTATATGAAGATGGTTGCTTGTACAGTGTGTTGTTCCTCATAAATGCATAATAATTTAATAACATTTGTTTAATTTTATTACAATTATTGCCTGGTAGTAACGTGCATGCAGCTTCTTCAGGACTTGTTAGATTTTTGGGTGTCTGAGATAAACTACTGTACTGTGTGCATTATGGGCACCAGTCAAGAAGGGAATTTATTAAACTTAAACTGCAGAGTATGTAATATTATTTATTTTTGAGGAAGTGCTTTGACTGGTATATGTAATACTCTATTAAATTTTACCACTGCCCGAAATGCTATGCGTGTTAGTAGCTTTACAAGAATGTAAAAACATCAATGCTATGTACTCTTATAAACCCAATGTACCTTCTTGTATATATATAATTAAATAAACATGGCAAGCAGAATGAGTCGGGTCAGGAAGTCTTTCCTCTGCCATAAAAGCAGATAAAAAGTTCTATAACTCAAATGAAATTGAATTTTTTTCTTTGGTACAGTTTCTATATGATTTGTAACATGTAAAGAACAAAAAACTTAAATTTTCTATGTGTAATCCATTTTTTAATGGCCGTAAAAAATTGTATTAACTTCTAATATTGGAAAATATTCAGCACTGCATTTGGTTTACAATACAGAATATTGTACAATAATTCTTGTGAAAATGATATCACATTGTACAGTAAATCTACACAGCGTAGATTAATGCAGTGAAACACGGTACATCCATATGTACAGTACCTGGTTATGGAGTTCAATAACGTAGTGACATACAACATGCTATTGAAGATTGCTAACTTGAGTTATTTAATTTTTTTCAGGTTTATGACGGGCTAACATACAGATTGTCATTTGAGTTCCCAAGCAGCTACCCTTATTCAGCCCCAACTGTCAAGTTTGTAACATCCTGTTTTCACCCAAATGTTGATCTGCATGGAAACATCTGCCTAGACATTTTAAAAGAAAAGTGGTCGGCATCTTATGATGTGCGGTCCATTCTTCTCTCGATTCAGTCATTACTCGGAGGTGAGTGGTAATTTAGTGTTTTTAGACTGTACTTGAGCAGCGTTTATGATACTGTACTTATTTTCTTTAGTTGGGAAAATATATTTTTGTAAGGTATAACAATTACCTGTAGCTCAATACCAGATGATAGTTTGTTTCAGGGCCCTTTCTTCAGTGGCTCCCATAGCTTGCATTCTAGCTATTAGCACAGCCCAATTAAACATCAGGTAATCATTAGGCAAGCACTGCCTACTGGAAATGATGACCTTTGACATTACCCCTTGTTTCCTTAGCAGGTGGGGATCAAATAAGGATCAGAGATGGTTTTGAACTAAGGCTTGCCATCTTGTGTAGTGAATGTTAAAAAATGCCAAAGAATGTTTTGGAAAATCACTGGAAGAATGAAAGCATATCTGCAAATTACTTATCTATCAATGTGCTATACTATGCCATTGATAAGCTGCAGGTCGGTCCACAACTGACTGGCCTCTGACGCACTCGCTCTTCCAGGTGCCTATAAACATTAAACATCTCATATGCAATGACCAGGATTGTAGACTAACAGAATTACTGTAATAATTGTAAGGCCTGCACAGGGATTAGTGTTTTTTGTTTCACAAGCACGCACTAGTTTCCTATTGAGTATCGTTAAACACTTCGGCTCTTGCTGACAGTGTTACATTTGTCTACCATGGCTATCTTCTGTGGAAATTTCTTTCGTCCTCGGCGGTTGGGCTTCTAGTGAATAACTCTGGTTTGGTTGTGTTTTGGGACTTTCTTACCGAGGAGATAAGTATTATATTGTCACAGTAAGGAGTTTGGCACATTGCATGGTTGCTAGATGGCAATTATACAATGGTCTGCTTTTGGTTCACCTGTTTGTAGAACAGGGTGGTGGTTTCAGTTCTGTGCATTTCAGAGGCTTGATACCTCAAATCTCTGCTGATTGGGTTACAATAACGTCACATCCCTAGGCACACACTTGAGTTGGAGAAATGTAAGAACACTCTTGCCCCTGTACAGGTGATTGCCAAGTGGGACGCATTGAAGGAAAAGGTTATTGAAGCCAATTCCATTCACACCTTAAAGAAAAAATATGATGGTGTTAATGCTGAGAGAGGGAATTGGAACATAAGGTATAAATGACTAGGAGGTAGGGCATGTAGAGGTAGATTTCACTCCTCTGTAGTCACTGATAAGTAAAAGCATTATTCTGCTATAGTTACAAACAGGCAAGTGGCACCATAACTAAACCACTTTTGATTGTAACTATCACTATTACCAACACTACCACAACTAACCCCATGACCATCGTTATTACCTTATGATCTTCATATAATGTAATAATTCATTTTGTTGGGAACAGGAAGTCTGTATATACTTGAGGCTTGTATTGAGGTCCTTTTTCCCCCCTAGATCGAACTTTTGACCTTTCCTAGGATGCAACCCCCACAACAGTTGCCCAGTTCCTGGATACCTATTTACTGTTATGTGAAAGGAAATGTGCCCAGCTATTTCAGCTCCGCCCAGAAATCAGTCCCAGGATCCCCAGTTGTGGGTTCAGAACAAAGCTAATAAGACCACCATTATTGCCATTGTGAATCCCACTTCCAAATCCTCTTTAAACCAGCCTGTGCTCATCAAACTGTATTCCCTGAGCTCGATGCATTCATAATAATCCTTAAAGGCATTATTTCTAATTTATACTCCCTGAACTTTTATTCCTGTTATCATAATCCTTAAAGATTAATAAATCCTTAAGATTTATGGTGCAACATTAGTACTCATTAAACTCCCTGTACTCATAACCACCAAAGATACCTACCTCCCTTTATTAGATATGATAAGGAAAGGAAAAGAATTATCAGGAGAAAGTGCACAGCCAGTGCGACTATATCAACCCGTTCTCGCAAATTTAACAAGTCAATATTGACTTATTAGTTGCGTGCATAGGTGACATACTAAACATAATAGTTTCCCTTGAAAAGCTTCATAGAAAACACCGACCTTACCTAACCTACTTAGTACAGTATGTTAAAATAAGCATCTTATAGCTTCATAATTACAATTGTTACTTAACCTATTATAGGTATAGGTTTGGTAATAATTGTAATTACGAAGCAATAAGATGCTTATCTTGACATACTAAGTAGGTTAGGTAAGGTTGGTGTTTTCTATGAAGCTGTTCAAGGGAAACTATTATGTTTAGTATGTCACCTATGCACATATTTAATAAGTCAATATTGACTTATTAAATTTGCGAGAACGGGTTGGACTATATAGCACTTGGAAGGACTCGGGATGAGGATTTGGGACGGGAGGAAAGAATGGTGCCCAACCAATTGGACAGTCAGGGATTGAACACCGACCTGCATGATGCGAGACAGTTTTAATAAACACACATACAGTTTTGTTGTCAGAAATTAATGATATTTTCTTTTACAGAACCAAATAATGATAGTCCCCTTAATGGCCATGCAGCTGAACTATGGGCTAACCAGATAGCATACAAGAAACATCTCATAGAACATTACAAGAAGGCAAATGGAGAGTCCTAGTTAGCCCAACTTGACATAGTATTTAAATTTGAATATTTATTACTCCCATACATTTTGTGGTTGTGTGTGTGTGTGCATTTTGATATTTATATCAAAGGTTTTCATCAGTTATTTTTGAGTATCTGAATTGTTTTTACAGTTTACTTCGTTTTGATTTATACTTTAATGACTTTAAATTGTGTATTTGACAACATACTGCAACTGTAAAAGTTGTGCTAATCCTTTGTACAGCAGTGTCTCTTGAAGTATATAAAGTTTCAGGAACTTATTCGAAGAGCTCTATGTCATGATGGCTTAGTGCTTTATCGTGATAATTAAATTACCTGGATGGGCACGAGCTGTTACAATTTACATAAAACTGATAACACAGCTGCTAAAAAAATCTATATTAATTAATAAGTACTTTTCATTTTATTAGGAAATGTGTGTAGCGCTTATAAAGTTAATATATGCATGCAGTAAATGATAGATAATCCTCTATGTGCATTATAATTAACAGTAATCTTAAACCAGCAAACAAATGTATGTATTATGTATCTTAAGGTATTCCCAGACATACCTAAGTGCTAATGCTTAATTAATATACTGTCTTTGGGTACCTTAAATGTACCTTTTGGGTACAAATACATTGTCATATGCATGAGAATATATAAACTAAGGCAAGTTGTTTTTAGTCCATATGTTGCCTTCCTGTATATAAAACACCTTCACAACTTTTCACTATCATCCAGGCTAGTTGAGTAAATCATGCTCTACCACTTGGCGTATCTTAATACAATTATGGTTCTCATGTTTTGTCTTCGATGTCCGTGCATAACTCTTGACCTCACCTTGTGCGTTTTCGTTTGCTTTAAAGAATGTATTAATAAGCTTTGTATATCCTTCCTCACTATATTACACTAACTTAGGTGTTTCCTTCTATACTTTTCTATTTCATTTTCATGTGGTTTACCACAGGCTAAATCTAACACATGCTCATACTTGTTTTTTCAGTTGAATGCTACCCCCTCAAAATATATTGTTAAAGTATTATATTTCTACTAAATTTTAAATTTGTCTTAGTCCATCTATCAAACCTTTCACTTCTTGAGGGACTTAAACCTTTTACACTATACTATACTGCATATATTGGATTTTCATTTTACTAAGCATGTCAAGTAAAATCTATAAAATGTCCACTAATAGTTTTTAGAATAATTAATGATGCTTTATGTGCAGAATAACTACAATCACAGAGCTTTTCCTTAGGCCTAAATATAAATAATACCAGTAACTGTACAATACTTTTTTTTTTCATTATAGTTCTTTTATGTTTTCTTAATTCATATTGCCTAACTCCAGTTTATCCACCATAGTTTTAGCAAATAAAATTAATCTTCAATATTTTTTGATGAATGCAACTAAGCACTGTTCTTAATTTACAAAACATAATTTTGTTACAGGCTATAGCTTGCATGTTACTGTATTGCCTCTACCTTTAATCTTTACCACTGTATGTAATGAGAGTACTAACACAGCAATATAATTTGGCACTATCAGCATAGCATTAGTTGAATACTTTCCTATTTTAGCCTCACCCTATAGAGGTAAGATAAACTGTATGGTGGTGATAAGTTTAAACCAGTATACAGTAATTATGCTTCATGAATGTTGGCTCCTCTATGAATGGTTATCAGTTGTAAATTAATACTGTACTGTATGATATAAATATATTTTACATATCTGGCTGTGAAAGTATGAAATGGGATAATACTGTACTGTGTTTATTATTTTGAGTTGGCATTGGATAGTTAATAGAATCTTTGTTTTACTCACTTTTTCAGTGTTCTTGGCACTAGAGGGATTTCTGAGTGCATTAGTGAATAATATTGACTAAATGCTTTGAAATATTGGTAAGGATGATAAAGTGAGCAGAATCAATACTGTGGTTTGATATTAAACTACAGTGGTACCTCAGCTTACGAATTTAATCCGTTCCCAGAGACGGTTTGTAACCTGAAAATTTGTAAACCAAAGCGAATTTTCCCAAAAGAAATAATATAAATTGAATTAATCCATTCCACACTTCCAAATATATTAACTTAAAAATAGATTTTATACAGTACCTAATTCACCCAAATTTTTAGTACTGTACTAAAGTATGTAAAACGTTATTGCTTACCTTTATTGATGACTCTTGTTGGCATATGGAAGACGGTGAGGGAGGGAGGGGAGGAAAGGTGAGGTGTTAGTGTATGGAAGGGGGAGTCCCCGTTCATTATAACATCAGGCAATGATAACTTATCTGGGGTACTCGTATTGGCATTCTTGATGATATTTAGCGCCCTCTGATTATTCCGCACATTTGATGGTGCTATATAGCCTTCCCGGTTTGGTGCCCTCTTTTTTGATACTTAATTACTTTCTTTTCTGGGGTACTCTCTCCCCTACGTTTTGTCTGCATACCACTAGTACGTGGTTGTGGCTCGCTGCTTGTTTTTCTCACTAACAACCTTTCCATAGATACTTGTTTTCCCTATGTTTTAACACTTGTCTGTAGTGAGACATCACATTGTCTCACTATGAATGATCTCTTGTTTTTCCTGTGGTCATCCTCACATGTGTTTTCATAGGTTGAACCTTACCACTGACTTTCTTGGGACCCATGGTGAGATATATAATAATAACTTTGTTCAAGTACCAAAAAATATTGAAATTCTTTACAAAGAATTCAACCGCGATTGTCACTAGACAGGAGGCACTGGTAAACTGAGGCGCGGTTGCCATGCCACCACACGCTAGGTCGGCCATACGCATATCAACAAACTATGTTTCCCGAGACAAAGTTCATAACCACATTCGGATTTTACAAAAGACATTGGTCTCGTAACCGAAAAGTTTATAAAGAGTGGGCATTCGTAAGCCGAGGTGTCACTGTACTGTATTTCAGCTGATGAATATAGATGTCATTTCCCTGCTGAATAATTAAAGGTTATATGTTTTTTGCGTGGAATGTTTATGAATGCATTTTTTTTTTTTTTTATAAAGTTTGATAAGGTGGCATTATTAGGTTGTTTGAATGTATAACCAGACCAGGAATGGGTTATCTGTAAATGTGCAATAAGGATGGCAATGATAAAACAAGACAAAAATTACCTCTAGGGAGAAAAGTGTAGCACAATATGTGCATTGAAAAGCAAGTATGGAAGTGTGCAACGTGCAAGAAACCTGCATGAGTATATATATACTGTATATTTTTGTATTACAGTACTGTACTGTATATTGAAGTGTGTTAAATACTTTGTCAATAGTGAAAGGAGGAAGCATATACTGTATAATACTTATTACATATTATTAAAGGAGTATAATACATGATATACATGTGAAAGTGAAAATGATTGACTTAAAATTACATTAAGAAATTTTTTTAATATGGTAATGTGGAATATGTGGGAGAAGCACAGGTTTAAGGAAAGATGTTTATAACTTAAGTAAATTCTGAATTTCTTAAATTGCATGAAATATTCTTACCATTGTAATATCTGAAGATCATGCATATTTACATGCGATTTTATGGTGCACCTTCATGTTAAAATAAGAACAGACTGAAATCAGTTAAGTATCCTGTAAAAAGGAAAAAAAAAAGTGTTGAAATAGCACTGAAATCTAAATTGATTTAGCTCAGCATGTTTACTGCATGTACGAATTTTGATAATTTTTTCTATGTATATTAATTACTATTTAGTTTAAAAACAAGATTTATGTGAACAATATGGTACATAATACAATTTTTTACTTATTGAAGCTTTGCTAGATTTTGCAAAGTGATAAATTTAAATTAAAAAAAATCAGTGACCATATATGATATAATTAAAGTAGCTTCATTGTTCCTCCCTTTGTGTTTGTACAGTACTAGTTTTTTTTTTTTAATAAATTGGCTCTTCTAGCTGCTTCATCTGGTGCCCCATATTATCAAGTACTGTAATCTGGTCAGGGGCCAGATTCACTAAGTTACGCAAGCACTTCCTGTATATCTTTTCTCAATCTTTGACGGCTTTGTTTACAATTATTAAACAGTTAATGAACTCTGAAGCACTAGGAGGCTGTTTATGAAAATAACAACAGTTGATTGGGAAGTTTCATACTTGTAAACTTTAAAAAATGCAACCAAAGCCTTCAAAAATTGAGGAATGATGTACATGTTTGTAAATACTTTCGTAACTGCTTTGTGAATCTGGCCCCAGGTTCTTAGAATGCAAGTGAATAGAGCTTTATATATTAATATGTATTGCTTTTTACTTAGAATTCCTTTATGAACTGTTATGGGCATATGAATATCCATTATTCCTAGATCAAAGAACTAGAACAAATAAAAAGATTTTGTAAGTAGTTTTTGTTATCCTTGAATACATATTTTCTCTTTACACAAGACTTTTCCAAAAAAAAAAAAAAAAAAAAAAAAAAAAAAAGCTAGAACCCAATAGTACGGAATGCTGCCACCTGGTGGCTTGGCTCTTGGCCAGGCTGATTAGCCTCGGATCCAGGAAGAAACACACTGAAAAACAAGGGAGGGAGGAAGATGGGGAGCCACGGGGGCTTTACCAGAAGGAGGCGCTTCATTATTCAATGTTGGACATCTGGGTAAGCCTACTGGTGGACCCTTGTAGCTAAATAAGAGACAACTTAGAGGATCATAACCAGAGAAGAGAAAGGCAGCAGCCAAGAAACATTGTACAGAGCAACACAAAACTGAAGAGGACCAGGGTCATTGACCAAATACCTGGCTCCTGTGACTCTGTTAGCCTGGCAAAACCCTGAATATCTTATATCTGCCCAAGACGTATTAGAGAAGATCGCTGTGAATGCAGTATATCTGCGACCGAATCATGGACTCTGAGATAGACGGTAGGTAGGCTAGTCTTGGTGTTATGGGACTGAGGCGGTGGCAAACAGGTAGTGTGAATTAGTACAACCTGACAAAAAATTATGCTCCCCCCCAGTCAATTCAACCATCACTAACCAAAGGACCCCTCCAGAAGCCTGCCAGAAAAGGAGACAGTTGGGTCAAAGCCGTAAGGTCCCGGGTTCTATTCCCGCTGCAAGACAGATCGCATTTTGGAAGTTTCCTTTTACGTGATGCGATTGTTCACCTAGCAATTATTAGTTGCCCGTATGCGTACTAGTGGCTTTAGGCATTGTATGAACTAGCTCTATCTGTAAATCCAACATTATGTTTGTAAAGCAACAATGTGTACTTTCCTGAATAAAATTGACTTGACTTTACTAAATAGGTACCCGAGAGTAATCGGCAACTGCATGTTGTCCCTGACTGCGGGGAAACCACAATTCGGGTAAATCAAATACATAGATATTCATACACCAGCTATATAATAAAGTAATAACAATAGTATCATTACTGAGCCAAATATATTGGGCCTAGCAACCCAGCAATTCCCCAACCGTGTGAGAATATTTCCGTCTCCACCGTTACATGTATTTAGGGCCGCACCATGTTTATTAAACCATTACCCGAGAGGGAAACCTACAGTAAATAAACGTCTCTCGTCATATCTACATATATTTTCATTTGGAAATTGATTTTGCCTGCGGTAATGTGGAATGAATTAGTGTGAATGTGAAGGTGTGGTGACGGGGAGGCTTGGCAGCCGGCACCAGCCGGTGAGACCGCCAGTTGTCCTCCAGCCGCCGTCGCCGCCGCCCGCTACTCGTCATGTTCTCCAGGCTCGCCGCCCCTCGCCGCCCACACCTCGCCGCCCTCCTCGCCAGGAGCTTCTCCACCACCCATGCCGTAAGCCGCCTCCCCCGGCCGCCGGCGTGGCCATACACTGCCACCGGGGCTCGTAGCTGCTAGGCACTTATCACGGCTGTCACCTATTGTCACCCTTGATATTGACTGGTTATGAGGGTGGAGGGGGGGGGTGTGAGTGGTTGTGAGGATGGTGCAGTGTGAGTGGTTGTGAGGATGGTGCAGTGTGAGTGGTTGTGAGGATGGTGCAGTGTGAGTGGTTGTGAGGATGGTGCCGTGTGAGTGGTTGTGAGGGAGGATGGTGCAGTGTGAGTGGTTGTGAGGGAGGATGGTGCAGTGTGAGTGGTTGTGAGGGAGGATGGTGCAGTGTGAGTGGTTGTGAGGGAGGATGGTGCAGTGTGAGTGGTTGTGAGGATGGTGCAGTGTGAGTGGTTGTGAGGGAGGATGGTGCAGTGTGGGTGTGAGTGGTTATGAGGAAGGTGATTTCTCTTGGGGTAATTACAAAATGCATAAATATGATGAAATTAGGTTTATTAGAGAAATGGGAGTCTGCTTTGATACTGAACAACTCCCAAATTACACTTGCTATTATTTATAGTTTTCTGCTGTAAATGTTTAGTTTTAATAAAATAGACCAAACCTGGAGTATGCAGCTCCAGCCTAGAGTCCATACCTAGTTAAACACTAGACAAAGTTAGAGAAGATTCAGTGGTGTGCCATCAGACTCGTCCCAGAACCGAGATGTACGAGTTACGATGAAAGGCTACAGGAACTAAACCTCATGTCCCTGAAAGACAGAACAGTTAGGGTTACCTAGGGCAGGTTAGGTAACCCTACCTTGAGGTTACCTTACCTTGAGGTGCTTCCGGGGCTTAGCGTCCCCGCGGCCCGGTCGTCGACCAGGCTTCCTAAACCAATGAAACCCTAGGTTTCATTGTTACATAGGTTACCTAGCCTCCCCCATAATCCCTTGCTCCATTGTACTCTAGCCATGATTGTATTGTAAACTATTCTTTTCAGTGTACCTCAAAGAAATCTACCTCATTTACTGTATTCTAGTGTAATTTTAGTAATTTTACTGTTTTGTTTTAAACATTGTCATTGGTAACAGAACCAATTGGTACCACACTAGAAACAAATAACCATTTGATATTTCACGAGTGCAACTTAACTAAACTAGAAATGCTCTGCAATTGACGGTGGACGAAGACAAACTATTTAGCATAGGTAGAACACAAAGGAACACTGAAGGAAATTGAGTACTCAAATTAGCCACAAAAGCATTAGAAAGAATTTTTTCATTCAAAGTGGGGTAACAAATGGAATGCAGTAGGCAGTGATGTGGTGGATGCAGACTCCATACACAGTTTCAAATGTAGAAACTGCAAATGCCAAATAGGGTAAGAAATCTGTACACCAGGTGGTTGACAGTTGAGAGGCAGGATCAAAGAGCTGAAGATCAACCCCCCGCAAGCACAACTAGGCGAGTACCAACACTTGAATTCCTTTAAAACAGTTGACCTTTTACTGGTACTCATAAAGCACTATTGTTAAATGCTCTAGCACAGCTTGAACACTTCATGTGTGTGCCCCACTTTGTATTAGTAGAGTATCACAATTTTATCCCCTACCTCCTAGGTCCCAGTTGTACAGTAGGTTTCATTCTTGACTCGCTTTCGAGAATTCCAGGTTCAAATCGCAGGCGGGACAGAAATGGTTGGGCGCATTTCTTATCGCCTAATATTCCTGTTCACCTAGCAGTAAGTAGGTACCCAGGAGTTAGCTTGTGAGATTGCACCCTGGGAGAAGGGCTCTTGATATAAGCCTAACATGTATAGATATATATATGCTGGCTGTCTGTCCCCCGACACAATGACATATAAAAGATTTATAAATGTACACTAAAGAGCACAGTCCACCACGTACAGTATCAATAAATAACTGCATATACAGTACAGTACTTCTTTATTTAGTCATTATTAAAGGATGCTGTCACACAAGCTGCATGGCATTGCTGTGAGCTGCAACATGTGCCACCCATGGTTTATCTATGGTTGACCCATGGTTGATGTATTTAGTACACCCAGGATGGGTTCCCATTTCCCCCTGCCCCCCAGAGAAGGCATCTGATTACTTGAGACCTGATCAGCAGGATGTGAGCCCCCTTGCACCCTGTGGGAGATTAAAATCTTATGCTAGCTGCTAGTGCTAAACAAAGCTCTCTCAAACTAGATTTTGATACTTGTCCAACTATTTAAAAACAACTGCACAAGACCTTTTAAAAGCTTTCTGGAAATCTAGATAAGACGGTACATTACTAGGTCTTGATATATGTAGTGCAACAATTAGAACTATACAATAATATACCTGTCTGGACATATTTTACAAATGTTAACTGAAATGGATCTGGTAAGTCATAAACCATGGTATAGGAGCAGAAAATAAGTTGGTAGGTAGTAGAGTCCTTGTTTGGCAATCAATATTGTTGCCAAGAAGGGCTTTCGATTTTTTATGACTTTCATATTTTATAATGTATTAATTAATTTCTCCACTTAGTCACTCAGCACAATATGAACTAGCAGCGATTCTTGAAAATTTCTTGTGGGGCCATGCCAATGACTTAAAATTTAAAAACCAAACTTAATGACGGTAATAAAATCTTTGTATATTTGCAGGCCAACAAGAAAGTTGGAGTGATGGGTGCCAGTGGGGGCATCGGTCAGCCACTCTCTCTCCTGTTAAAGAATTCTCCACTGGTGTCGGAGCTCTCCCTCTATGATATTGTCCACACGCCTGGAGTTGCAGCTGATCTCTCTCACATCGATTCTCCAGCCAAAGTCACGGGCTATGTAGGACCTGACCAGCTTGCTGTGAGTTATCATGTACAATAGTTTTTATCTGAACAGTGTGTTGAACATAATTCAATTCACGAGTATCTTGGATGAAAATTGATACATAAATTGGAGTGTAATTCTAAGCTGTATTAAAAAATGTTATCTATTTATAGGCCTCACTGAAAGGGTGTGAAGTGGTGGTGATCCCTGCTGGAGTGCCCCGCAAGCCTGGCATGACACGTGATGACTTGTTCAATACCAATGCTTCCATTGTGGCTAACCTGGCTAAGGCCTGTGCAGAGAACTGCCCCAAGGCTATGATTTGTATCATCTCTAATCCTGTAAGTTTTCCTAAGTTAATTGTTAATTTTATTTTGTATTAATGAAAAAGAGCATTTATGTTGATGGAAATTTTAAAAATGTACTTGGGAGAATATCAACACTTTTGCCTGGCTAACACTAGTGAAAAAACTAGAAATATAGTACTGTACTGTAGGAGGAAAGTGCTTTGAATTCACTGGTAAACAATTTTTCAAGTTTGCTTTTGAGATGAAGAAAAGAGCTGTTTCAGGCATTTTAACGTGCTGAATTAAAATATAATTAAAATTGTTGATTAGCTATTGTTTTATATATGAGGGTGGTAACAAAATCTTGCTGTATTCAACAAGTGTTGGCTGCTGAACATTTTTACCCAGGCTCCATTGATCGACGGAGTGGCTAGTCTCTCATAACATAATGGAATTCTCTCATGACTATCCCAAGCAAATGGGAGTACTTTGTGTATCCACCTTGCAGGCCCATCACAAAAGCAACAACCTTTGAGTCCCTAATAAGCTGCCACTGATGGTCATTGTTTATGCCCCTCAAAAGTTGCTTCATGTTGTCACAAGTTTCCTTCATATGGGCTGCATAACCAATGGAATTGATAGCAAAGCACATCCATTATGCAGCAAAACTGGCTAGTCTTGGATGGAAACTAGCGTTGATCAACCATTTTTAAACACCATTTTCGTTTTCAATGACTCGGAATTAGTCAAGATTGACTGTTTCAGAAGCAGTTTAGCTGTAGACCAGTGATATTGAATCAATGAGTGGAACTGATGAAAGAAGTGTCTAAGTCTAGAGAGGAGTATATAAGTTCAGTCACTCCCCATGCTGCAGCAAGTGAGGCCTGAGAACATTTAAACATCCGAGATCTAAGATTTTTAAAGCCTATCTATTTAGCAGTTGATTTAGATTGTCAATTTTGAATCATTATAGTACATGAATGGTTTTGTTGGGGTGAGAACAGCATAAGATAAAATACCATAAGTTATTTTCACTGTAGAGATAGCACCAGTGAACAATGTAACTGTTATACCACATAATTTTACTCTTGTCTGTAGTGTATGGACCAACTCGATAGTGATTTTGAAAATGTTTCACAGGGATTTTGACTAGTTGTGACTTGTCATACTCATGGTGTATGGAGCAACTGCTTACAAGCTTTTTTAAACAAAATTGCATTGCTTTGCAATGCAATAGGTCCAGAACGAACTTTTTCTGGAAAAACTTTGCAATGTTCTTCATGAATATGACATCATCATTGAGCCATATATCAGATGTTACCCTAACCCAAGATATGCCTCACCAATGATACCTTTTAAGACATTAGTGCTCTCTAAAATGCTATATTGTTGCACACTAACAGCCCCATTTAAAGCTCGAGAAATTGCTGACCTGGAGAGCATGCATAGATATTTTACTGCTTGAATCCACTTGAAACATCTAAATTATTGGACCCTGTAAAAATTTGGAAACTGTATTCCCTAGAGCACAGGCAGGAGAGATGCATAATAATTTTTAAACTTTGAAAATATTAGGAGGACTGGTTCCTAATCTGCACACAGAAATAACATCACAGGATTGGTTCGACAGAAATTGTGAGAGGGCAAGAGACCAAAAGACACAAAAATGGAATCAGTATAGGAAGAGGCCAAACCCCCAAACATACCAGCGATACAAAGATGCGAGAAACAATTATACAGCAGTAAGGAGAGAGGCAGAAAGAAATTTTGAAAAAGGGATAGCAGATAAATGTAAAACAGAACCGGGCCTATTCTACAAATTCATAAACAACAAATTGCAGGTAAAGGATAATATCCAGAGGTTGGAAATGGGAAACAGATTCACGAAAAATGAAAAGGAAATGTGTGAAACATTAAATGAAAAGTTCCAAAGTGTGTTTGTACAAAATGAAATCTTCAGAGAACCAGACACAATAAGAATTCCAGAGAACAACATAGAGCGGATAGAGGTGTCTAGAGATGAAGTGGAAAATATGCTAAAGGAGCTCGGGAGGAACAAAGCAGCTGGCCCAGATGGCGTTTCACCATGGGTTCTGAGAGAATGTGCATCTGAGCTCAGCATTCCACTTCACCTGATTTTTCAGGCATCCCTGTGTACAGGAATCGTAGCAGACGTGTGGAAACAGGCTAACATAGTTCCAATCTACAAAAGTGGCAGCAGGGAAGACCCCCTCAATTATAGACCTGTATCATTGACAAGTGTAATAGTGAAAGTATTGGAAAAGCTAATCAAAACTAAATGGGTAGAACACCTGGAGAGAAATGATATAATATCAGACAGACAGTATGGTTTTCGATCAGGAAGATCCTGTGTATCGAATTTACTCAGTTTCTATGATCGGGCCACAGAGATTTTACAGGAAAGAGATGGCTGGGTTGACTGCATCTATCTGGACCTAAAAAAGGCTTTCGACAGAGTTCCACATAAGAGGTTGTTCTGGAAACTGGAAAATATTGGAGGGGTGACAGGTAAGCTTCTATCATGGATGAAAAATTTTCTGACTGATAGAAAAATGAGGGCAGTAATCAGAGGCAATGTATCGGAATGGAGAAATGTCACAAGTGGAGTACCACAGGGTTCAGTTCTTGCACCAGTGATGTTTATTGTGTACATAAATGATCTACCAGTTGGTATACAGAATTATATGAACATGTTTGCTGATGATGCTAAGATAATAGGAAGGATAAGAAATTTAGATGATTGTCATGCCCTTCAAGAAGACCTGGACAAAATAAGTATATGGAGCACCACTTGGCAAATGGAATTTAATGTTAATAAATGTCATGTTATGGAATGTGGAATAGGAGAACATAGACCCCACACAACCTATATATTATGTGAGAAATCTTTAAAGAATTCTGATAAAGAAAGAGATCTAGGAGTGGTTCTAGATAGAAAACTATCACCTGAGGACCACATTAAGAATATTGTGCAAGGAGCCTATGCAATGCTTTCTAACTTCAGAATTGCATTTAAATACATGGATGGCGATATACTAAAGAAATTGTTCATGACTTTTGTTAGGCCAAAGCTAGAATATGCAGCTGTTGTGTGGTGCCCATATCTTAAGAAGCACATCAACAAACTGGAAAAGGTGCAAAGACATGCTACTAAGTGGCTCCCAGAACTGAAGGGCAAGAGCTACAAGGAGAGGTTAGAAGCATTAAATATGCCAAAACTAGAAGACAGAAGAAAAAGAGGTGATATGATCACTACGTACAAAATAGTAACAGGAATTGATAAAATCGACAGGGAAGACTTCCTGAGACCTGGAACTTCAAGAACAAGAGGCCATAGATTTAAACTAGCTAAACACAGATGCCGAAGAAATATAAGAAAATTCACCTTCGCAAATAGAGTGGTAGACGGTTGGAACAAGTTAAGTGAGAAGGTGGTGGAGGCCAAGACCGTCAGTAGTTTCAAAGCGTTATATGACAAAGAGTGCTGGGAAGACGGGACACCACGAGCGTAGCTCTCATCCTGTAACTACACTTAGGTAATTACACTTAGGTAATTACATGAGACCAGAAGGCATGGCAGGATGTGCAAAATAGCCCCACTGAAGAGCAGAGGTGCAATAAGCATGCCGAGAGAGAATTCGATCGACATCAAAGGGCCAAGACTTCTCAACACACTTTCCCTACACATACGTGGCATAGCTAGCCAACCTCTTGTAGTGTTCAAAAGAGAACTTGACAAGCACCTTCAATAAAGGATACCTGATCAACCAAGCTGTGACTCATTAATCGGATTGTGAGGAGGCCCATTAATGCCCCCCTCCCCTTTTTTTTTTTTTTTTTCTTACAGGCATGTTAGTCATCTCATGAGAAACTAGTGGTCTGGTTTCATCAAGAAAGGTAGAAAGACTCGGTGCTTGAAAGGTGAACCATTATACAGCATACTTACATTTCCTATGCACCTAACTTGCATTAAACTTGCCACAAAACCAAGGAGCAAACAAGATGGGAATGGTTTGCCATTCCTGTCACAAGTATATAAAAAAAAAAAAATGAAAGAAGCCCTATGTATCCTGCAGTAAGGCATGGCTACACTTGGTCCAATATGATGGGGTAGAAAATTGCAAAATCCCAAATTTGAAAACCAATTGTAGCTGCATTTTGATACAAAATGGTACACTGCTGCACATTGTGATACTCTAGTTGTAGAGTATAAATATTTTCCAAGGAAGAACAAAATTAAATTTAATTTCTGGCACGTGCTAAGAGCATATTTTTCTACTAGAAAGGTAATGACATTCACCCAAGGTGTAAACACAACCAAAACAGTGAGAGTGTACGCTAGCAGAAATGTTAATGCAGTTAAATTGTTTCATTTAAATTCTTGTACATCTGCATATCATGAATGTAGTCTGTACATCACAGCCAAGATCACACCCACAAGTCTTAAGGAATTGTATCAGCATTAAGGACACACTACAGTAATATTTTTGATACAGCTAATGATAATTTTGTTTTGTTTTTAGGTAAACAGCACGGTGCCAATTGCAGCAGAAGTATATAAGAAGGCTGGTGTTGATGCAAGTCGTATTTTTGGAGTTACTACTCTTGATATTGTTCGTGCAAACACCTTTGTTGCAGAGCTCAAGGTATTGCCAATCTCTTGTTCTTTAATTGGTATGTCATATAACCGAAATTATAAGTACTTTTTTTTTTGTAATTGTTCTTGGTAAATACTTGCATGTAATTATTAATTACCTTACATTTATTTTAAAGGGCCTGGATCCCACGACAGTGAATGTGCCAGTAATTGGCGGCCATGCAGGTACCACAATTATTCCTCTGATCTCTCAAGCCACACCTTCAGTAGAGTTCCCCAATGACCAGCTCAAGGCACTAACTGAAAGGATTCAGGTATGTATATACCGTAATGGCAAATGTTTGAAGATTAGGCCAGACTTTGTTGAAGTATACTTTCCTCCAATCTCATATTACTGTACTATGTTTGATTTTGTTCATGTTTACTATTTAGTCAGTTATTTTTTTGTCATATTGGGAAAGAGAAGGGGTGAAAAATGATAAATAGTAATTTATTGATTATGGAAGACTGCAGTGTGAAAGTTATAAAATGATCAAACATATATGGTATGAAAGACAAATGTAACAATTATTAGAACTGAAGGTAACGAGTTTGTGAACACACAAAGGTTAAAAGTGCAGTAAATGAAAAGGATAAAACAATGCTTTTGCTTTACATTATAGGCAAAGTGCAGTATTGCTATTATGAATGCAATCTTAGCACACGTGTGTGTGTGTGTGTGTGTGTGAATAATGGAAGAATTTTATAATAGCATGGATGAACAAGGAGGGCACATGGATTCATTAAGTAATGATAATGTCTTCTCGCAGACTTAATAACATAGGATAAAAAACCCACACTTGTGTATTTGTGAAATTTATGTAAGGCATTTAGTCTTTCACGCAGAGTGCTTTGTTAAGGTCTGAATGTGTAATTAGGACAATACTTGCTTCCTAATCACACACATACCCCTTGACAAAGCACCCAGGAGAGTGCAAGAGACTTGGTGTAAATTCCTTACATAAATTTAAAAAATATACAAGTGTGTTTATTACATTGGTTACTGTCATGAATAGAATATTTCTGAATGTGTTATTATTTTTTACTAAGGATGCAGGCACTGAGGTAGTAAAGGCAAAAGCTGGAGCAGGATCTGCGACTTTGTCTATGGCATATGCTGGTGCCCGTTTCGCTGTCTCCATGATCCGTGCCCTAAATGGAGAGGCCGGTGTTGTAGAGTGCGCCTTTATCAGGTTAGTATGGAACGGTTTTAAAGTGAATCTTATATACATGACGGCTTTATTGTTCATATTCTCTACCATTTAATTTTGAAACTACTGTAACATTTACTTAACCCTCAGGTGGATAATAATTTTTTTTTTTTTTTTTTTTAATAGATCTAATGTGACAGAAGCTACTTATTTCTCCACGCCACTTGTTTTGGGTCCCAATGGAATGGAGAAAAACCTTGGTATTGGTAAACTGACACCATTTGAAGCCAAGCTTGTAGAGAATGCTATTACAGAGTTGAAAGCCAGTATCAAGAAAGGTGAAGATTTTGTAGCTGCCATGTAACTTGTATGTTATTAACATTTTTATTTAATGTATTTATCTTGTCATGTTCTCCATTATAATTGTACATTTAAATTTGAAATGAATATTCGCTAAATAGCAAGTATTTTTTACTTCACTGTTTTTCATCTCATTTACATTGCAAGGTTTAAGAATTGCCCCAGGTGTTGATAGTTAATAAATTTATAGAATGTTTATTAGGCTACTATTGGATACTGTACATCTGCACATAGTATAGGTCATCCCAGTTTTATTTTAAGGAAGAACAGTCCTTTTTGAAGCTGTACATAAAACTAATTGTTGACTATGAATAAACTAAAGAAAAAATGATTTTATACTTAACCGAAGCAAGGTAGTTTGTAACAAACGATAAGAGCCACACCAAATATAACTTAACATTTATTGACCAAGTGTTAAGAGTGCAGTAGAAGCAAGGCATTGGCTCTTTGACACACCAGGCCTTCTGTGGTGCAATGCATGGAACTTGATCGTTACTAAATTGAAAAATTACTTTGAACACAGCCTCTCAGAATTAGTTGGCAACAACCTCGCCCCATGTCGGCAAGGGTAAGTACAAAATGAACCTTGTTGCATAAAATTGGACTTGAAATTTGTAATCCAAGAAGTAATAGTGTACTGTACTTCAGTTTAGACCACTCAGACAAAGCTGCAGTTGTTGTTTTGGGATTGTATATTGGAATATCTAGATTATTTGTTAATTTACTTAAACTTCATGTTTCAAAACAAAATCTTCCCTGTGTTCATCCAGGAAAAGATGCCTATTGCTCATCCTTGGAATTTTGAGGTTGTACCTTTTAGAATAGTCTAAAGCAGCAATTCCCAACCAGTGGGTCACAACCCACCTGTTGGAACTTAAATTGAGTACTAGTACTGTGTATTTAAATCATTGAATATTAGCAAGTATATGTATGTAATATATATGTCGTATCTAGTAGCCAGAACCCACTTCTTGGCCAACTATGCAAGGCCCGATTTGCCTAATAAGCAAAGTTTTCCTGAATTTATATATTTTTCTAATTTTTTTCTTATGAAATGATAAATCTGTCAGTTTCCTTGTGTATCGGTTAATTTGTTTAAATTTGAGTTAAAACTAACGTAGATATATGACCGTACCTAACCTATCTAAACCTAACCTAAACTAACACAACTAAGTTAATAATTTATGTTCCTAATATAATATAATAATTCAAATTAACTAATTGGAAACAATATTGAATAATCTTTCAGCCTATTAGGCAAATCGAGCCTTACATAGTAGGCAGAGAAGTGCGTTCTGGCTACTAGGTACGACATATATATATTGTGACGGTAGAGCGTTGGTGTTCGGCTGTTTCAAAAGCTGGGGGCAGGGCCTCGTCACATCACAAAAAAAAAAAGAGAAGTTTGTCCTTTCGTCTGTGGTAAGGTAATGGGAAGACACACAAAACACAAGTATATAAACAATGAAATTTTAATTACTCTAGAAAACAAGACATGAATAAAGACAATCTCATAAAATTCAACACTGGTCAACAAACAAAATAACATGAATAATAACTGGCAATGAAAAGTTACTCTAGGACCAGAATACAAAAATAGTGATAGCAAGATAAATTAAATAATGGGTGCTGGAATACTGGCTTCAAGCTGCCACCTTCCTTAGTACACGAAAGCCAAGGCTTAGTCTACTAGCGAGAGATGTCAACTCCAAGGAGCACAGAGATATTCTGACGAGTACGGCGTACTGCTGCCCAGACAACGACTGGTGGTGGCATGAGTGCAGGTGCGGCGAGACATTGGCCAATCAGCAACAGGCAGGCGGAGGATGAGCAGTTTGCTGGTTACGGCGGCTGTGGCTGGTGTCGGGGTGTGCATGGTACGATTTGCTTCCTGGGCAAAACGTTTGGCGATACTGGTGGACGTATCTTCTATATAGTATCTTGTACTTTAACGACGTAATGATGTAGGGAAGAGTAGGCTCAATCTCTCTTGAAAGAGATTATCGTCACAATATATATAATATATTATTATAAAATACATAAAATATTTTTTTATAGTACAAAAGTGTGGCGAGGGGCTGCAGGTCTTTTTGAGTCTTAGAAAATAGGGTAGTCTAAAAATGTTGAACTGGTCTAAATATTTGATATTATCCTAGTAAATCCTTTTTAATTTAGAAAGATGTTCTTTTTGTAACATTAAATTTGAACACTTAAAACTAATCAATGCAATTTGCACAATGCCTCTATGAATAGTATAAACTTTTTCTTTATGCAAAGTTTGATTGTTGATTTTAAGATATATTTTGATCTTTTACCTGAACCAGTAACACTTTTAGGTAATTTTAATTGCATTTATGCAGTATTTCACGGAGTGATACCAGCACCCTATGTGTGTATTTGAAACTTTTATCTTTTCATCCTCGAAATTGCTTTTAAATATTGTACTGGAGAACCAACTTATACTTGGCTTGCATTTGTTTCAGTGGTCTAATATAATTTAGAGCTAATTTAACAGATACTCAAAGACCCACCTATAATAGCAACCAATTTACCATCATCTTGTACCACAATCATGTCATGTGCAGGAACATTCCTTCCTCTGGAAATTTGGCCATGGTGCAATGGTATTTTATTGTATTTGTGGTAAACCCAGCTATATTAAGACCACTTGCAGGCTGTTACCAGAAGTGGCCTTCCTCTGTGAACATACCATTCCTCATTTCTACCACCACCTTTTTTAAGGATTAGAAAGCCCGTGTCTGACCCTTCAGTCCCATCCGCTTGTTTTAGAACCTAGTGACAGTCTGGAACCAGAGTTGTTTCTAGTTATGAGTCATCTCTGCCTTATCTCCCATATCTGAATTTGTCACCTGTGTTTACAGATCATATCTATTTTTACTTTTATACTGTTTTTTTTTTTCTCTCTAATGAATGTACATTGTTCATTTAAATACATCCGGATACCTTTATGCAAGTACAGTATCTTGGATCAGATGCATGGTCACTTCTGTGGACAGATGGTAGCGACGCGCTTCAATGCAGGTCAACGTTCAATCCCTGACAGTCAAAGTTGTTGGGCATCATTCCTTCCCCACGTCTAATTTAAAATCCCTTTTAAGTACTATAGTTGTGATGGTTTGGTACTTTCTTCTTATAGTTTCCCCTGTCCTTTTAAGTCAGATACTGCTGCCATTTCAATCCAGAAGTAGACTCGCTGCAATTCCATTACTAATATCTATGGCAATCTTTCGGAAGTTTGTTAAAGGCCTCGCTGATATTTAACACAGTACAGTACTGACGAACACTCGCATACATCTGATACTGATCTTTTGTCACCAATTCCATTAAGTATATGGCAGGATAATCACAAGTCCAGTTTATTGAGAATAAATTGCTCAAAAATATTGAGAAATTGGTGAGTGATGAGCAAGGTGGGCTCACTGATGGAACTGTGTAAATTAGATATTTACGCTAAGGGGCCCAAGCCCGTTTTTAATACTTTGCAATATTGATTTTATTGCAATTCCAAAAAATTTGTTTGAAAGAAATTTTTAACTCCTAAGTATTTTGTTTTTGCTATGAAAGTCATTGTAAAATAAATAATTGTATACTTCTATATAGAACTTCTTTTGAACTTAACATGGATAACAAATGACGGAGTAAATATTTGTTTAACACTACAAAATCACTTTTCAGGGCACCACATCAGGCATTTGCTAACATTTCTTGCTAAGCATTACCATGGCCAAAGTAGTTGGGTGTACCAATGTATTACTCCAACTCTCTTGTTTGGGTAAAATACTTAACCAAGAAAGTAAAGATTTCTAGGGTTTAATATCGCATTGTCCACACATGTATACTCGGCCATGGCCAAAGGTGCGTCACACCTGCCAACTTGTACTGCCAGCAACTCTTCCAATGTGAAGCTGCAAATATTAAAAACATGAAGTAAAGAGAAATGTCAATGACGACGTTTTAGATTATGATTGATAACTTCTTTACGTGTGTTAAAAAAAACATTACCGTCTTTTTAACTCGAATATACCTGAAAATGGTCACAATATCCTTAATAGTTTTGGTTATTAATGTGTTGCTGGGTGTGCACTTGCAATGAGAAAAATGTAGCCATCATTTTCTTTCAAAACGCCTGACTTTTATTACTTTTAACTATACTAACATAAGAGTACAGTTTAACCTACGATTTAATAACAAATCGGCTGGAAAGTGTTTCTGATGACTGGCATTTGGAAAGTAGCGAAACTTTAGACTATTTTTCTAGTTTTTTGTTTCGTGTTTATTGAGGTCTCCCCATGGTGAACTACTGACCTTCCCCATATTGCAACTCGAAACAGTTAAATTCCAGGTGCTGTACCTATTTACTACTAGGCAAACAGAGGCATCAGGTGAAAGAAAATTGTCCAAAATTTGTCCTGTGGTAATCAAACCTGGAACATCTTGGATGTGACCTGATAGTGTTGACCACTGTGTTGCAAGTGTGTAACATCTTGTATAGTCCTGCATCTTGAGACACCTAAGTGGAGAAGTCATGAGGATAAGGTGCACCTGCACTATTACCGCACATTCACCTCTCCTGAACATAACCACTAGCATCATCTGCAATATATAAAGTTATTAACAATAATTGTCAGAACTGGACACTTAGAATTCATACAAATTGCTGTACTGCATCTTGGTGTATCCTGGATACTAACCAATAGCTCACTGATAACTGTTTAGCCATACAGTACTTCAAATCCAGCACATGCAGATGGATCAACGAAGCCAGCTACTTACTCTGGCCCTTGTGGTAGGAGCTGTCAATACCAATGCAGCAGCTGAATCTGTGGGCTGCAATTTATTTATAGTTTATTTCTTTTAAAAATCTGTTTAGGACATGCCTCTTATATTTGAACACAATAACTGAACTAAGCCTACATACTTTATTGTGCATTAAAATGCTGTACACAGTATAAACTAAAAAAAAAAAAAAAAAATATTGGTTTTAAACAGCAACATATTTATAAGCATTGTTATTAAGTGATGACTGTTAGCATATCCACGAGGCCGACAGCTACACCGACTATATATAAATCGATAAATAATATAGCCTTAAACAGAACGTGTGTAAGCATCGGTGTATGTGTGTGTACTGTATATGAATGCTACACAGTATTCATATATACACACATGCTGAAATACATGTGAAGAACCTCACTCACGTTACAAAAGTTGGAGCAACAGGCAGGAGTAAAAGGTAAGGTGCTCCAGTGGATAAGGGAGTATCTAAGCAACAGGAAACGGCAAGTAACTGTGAAGGGGGAGACATCAGAGTGGCAAGATGTCACAAGTGGAGTCCCACAGGGCTCTGTACTTGGCCCCATCCTGTTTCTAATATATGTAAATGATCTTCCAGAGCGTATAGACTCATTCCTCTCAATGTTTGCTGATGATGCAAAAATTATAAGAAGAATCAAGACAGATGAAGATAGACAGATTACAGGATGACCTGGACAAACTGGAGGAATGGTCTAGAAAATGGCTGCTGAAGTTCAACTCAGAAAAGTGTAAAGTAATGAAATTAGGTGAAGGGAACAGAAGGATGAACACAAGGTACCATCTGGGAGGTGAAATCCTGCAAGAGTCAAATAGAAAGATCTGGGGGTGGGGTTGATATCACACCCAACTTGTCCCCAGAGGCCCACATCAAAAGGATATCATTAGTGGCATATGCTAGGTTGGCCAACATAAGAACTGCCTTTAGAAACTTGTATAAGGAATTACACACATCACAATAGCGTGAGGCATCAAATGAACAAATCCACAAGGGCCGTGACGAGGATTCGTACCTACATCCGAGAGCATCCCAGACGCTGCCTTAATCGACTGAGCTACGACATGATCAAAAAGAGTTGAAACCAGAAGTTCTACTAGACTTACTTGGATCCTGCAGCCTCTCAGAGAGAGAAACCAGGATTTTACAGAATTCCCCCATGCACTTGAGCTATGTCAATAGGCTGTTCTACCTCTTTGCCCTTACTTCATTACACACGGAAATCACAATAGTGTGATGCATCAAATGAACAAATCCACGAGGGCCGTGACGAGGATTCGAACCTACGTCCGAGGTTTGTGTCTCGGAGAGGCTGCAGGATCCAAGTAAGTTCAGTAGAACCTTTTGGTTTCAACTCTTTTTTTTTTTTTTTTACTATGTCGTAGCTCAGTCGATTAAGGCAGCGTCTGGGATGCTCTCGGATGTAGGTACGAATCCTCATTACGGCCCTTGTGGATTTGTTCATTTGTGTAAGGAATTATTCAGGCCCATGTATACTACTTATGTCAGACCAATCCTGGAATATGCAGCTCTTGCCTGGAGTCCACATCTAGCTAAACACAAGACAAAGTTAGAGAAGATTCGGCGGTATGCTACCAGACTTGTCCCGGAACTGAGAGGTATGAGCTACGAGGAATGGCTGAAGGAGCTGAACCTCGAGTCCCTGGAAAACAGAAGAGTAAGGGGAGACATGATAACCACCTGCAAAATTCTCAGAGTGGACAGAGTGGACAAAGACAAACTCTTCAGCACGGGTGGAACACGAACAAGGGGACACAGGTGGAAACTTAGTTCCCAAATGAGTCACAGAGACATTAGAAAGAATTTTTCAGTTAGTAAATGGAATGCACTAGGAAGTGATGTTGTGGAGGCAGACTCCATACACAGTTTCAAAGGTAGATATGATAGAGCCCAGTAGGCTCAGGAATCTGTACACCAGTTGATTAACAGTTGAAAGGCGGGACCAAAGAGACAAAGCTCAACCCCCCCTCAAGCACTCATAGGTGAGTACAGCTCCCTGACGAGAGCAAGCTTAGCTGCCAACACCCACAGATTGTGTCAGCAAGGCGGACAGCCCGCCTGCTTTAAAAAACTTTCCATTTCTAAACTTCTCTTCGCCTGTGCTCCCCCCGCCAAGAAAAAAAAACTTAGGCACTGAGAATGCTGCCAAGAACCCAGGGTCAGGGAAGCCGCTCGTCTTAACCTTGAGGCACAGGCTCACAGGAAACAACACTCGCGCCAGCAGTATCTTGCCACGTCGTCATGCTTCGCTCCATAACTAATACATACACAAAATTAATTTGTAAAATTTTACACTAAATATGATTTTAATCCATTTAGGCGGTTAATTTAATATTAAGGATTTCTATGTGTGCTATTCTGATCCAAGGTAATGACTGGGTCTATTCCTTGATCTGTATGTGAATTTATCTCAGAACTGCATTCGTGGAACCAATTATATATTCCTTGTGGTTAACCTTACTGGCACTAAATTAATAACCATTGGATCATGTTCTGTTTTTTTTTAAATAAAATTACTAGCAACAACTTGCATGGAGAGGACCACATCACATACAGTCGTTGTTTTGTCATTGGGTGTATGAATATATATATATATATATATATATATATATATATATATATATATATATAATATAATATATATAATGTATACCAATGTATATATAATATACATTGGTTGATACAAAGAGTGCTTAAAGGTTATGGATCTCTTGAAGCTCCGCTTCAGGACGGGAACCGAGGATGCAGCAGGCGTTTCCCCTCTGTATCGCCACACTGAGGCGCTGAAGCAAAAAACTGGCGGCTCTTGGGTCCCTGGTGACGTCAATGAGCTTGGATCCCAATTCCTTGAGAAATCCCAAGGCACTCTTGCCCCAGGGGCCATGAATCTCAGACGCTATGGGAACAAAGATGTATATTGACCTTCCAATCACATGTATTTGACTGATTTTGCTATTTCCTTGTGGTTGGCCGCCCCACCTGCTTGATCAGCACCGAAGTGTACATAGGTGTCAACCAGGGTATGTGTGTGTGTGTATATATATATATATATATATATATATATTTATATATATATTATATATTTATATATATATTATATATATATATATATATATGTCGTACCTAGTAGCCAGAACTCACTTCTGAGCCTACTATGCAAGGCCCGATTTGCCTAATAAGCCAAGTTTTCATGAATTAATTGCTTTTCGACTACCTAACCTACCTAACCTAACCTAACCTAACTTTTTCGGCTACCTAACCTAACCTAACCTATAAAGATAGGTTAGGTTAGGTTAGGTAGGGTTGGTTAGGTTCGGTCATATATCTACGTTAATTTTAACTCCAATAAAAAAAAATTGACCTCTTACATAATGAAATGGGTTGCTTTATCATTTCATAAGAAAAAAATTAGAGAAAATATATTAATTCATGAAAACTTGGCTTATTAGGCAAATCGGGCCTTGCATTGTAGGCTGAAAAGTGAGTTCTGGCTACTAGGTACGACATATATATATAAACACATAGACAACCCCCTCCCATTCCTGGAAGGGGGGTAGGGGAGTATTGTGGACATAGTGTGTTGCTCGGGGCAACCACAGAGGGGGTGGTGGTGGTGGTCCTCTGGTAAGGGGTGGGGAATGGAGGCCAGGGGTTACCCGCCTGCGGGGAGTTGGGAGGGGGACCCTGAGGGCCCGTCCCTATGGTTTGGCTGGGGTCCGTGTTTATGGGCGGGGATGGTGGCAGTGGTGGCCGCCATTGGTGCCTCAGCTCCTGCCGCTACCGTACGTGTTCACTCTTTCTCCTGGTAAGACAAACTTTAATACAATTTCATAATCTAATGTTACTGAAAATTGTTATTTCTCTTGTTAAAATATCCACATGTATTCTCTGATGGTTGTCATGGCAAAGATATTATGTTTGCTAGCAAGAAACTTGAATACAGTGATTCAATATATAAGCCATTGCAGTTCCCGTGGCGCAGTGGTAAAACACTCGCTCGGCTTTTTGGTCTGGGTTCGTATCCTGGCCAGGGAGGACTGACTGGGAGACAAGCCTCTGTTCACCCAGCAGTGAATGTGCTAACGATTCGGCGGGTCGTATTCCGGAGAAAAATTAGTATTAAGGACCTTCCCGAAACACTACGCGTACTAGTGGCTTTACAATAATGTAAGAACTCTTGTATATATAAATAATAATAAATAACTTAGTGTGATCATAACTGAAAGGTCCCGGGTTCGATTAACGCGACGGGACACGTTTGGGTACACGCGTTTTCTATCACCTAATGCGTCTGTCCACCTATCAGGGAATAATTACCCGGGAGTCAGCTTGTTATGGGGTTGCATCCTGGAGAGGGTCAATAATTCGACTGTATATACATACATACATATACTGTATATATATATATTGGCTGACTGTCCCCCGACATAATGAATTATCATTAATATATATCTATGAAGTATCGGGTAATATTGTCCATGTTTGTAAAAATATAAAACTTGCCTTTGACCAGTGAATGTTAGCACTATTCTCATAGCAACAGTTTGCGTCATGTTATCGTGATGTGTATTAATGACAGGTGTTATCGGTATGTAATTTCCTCGTCACCTGTACTACTATCTGCCTCCCCCGGCGCCTGCCTCCCAACTCTCCTCATTCACATTCAGACCCGTGTCTCCACGCACCACTCTGCATCCAGACCATTCCCAACTGCTTCAAAAGTGCCACCATTAGATTAGTGGCCACTTAAGCCAGGAAAACCACCAACTCAAACAGGAAATTACAGATCACTTTCCCATCTCGCGGTATCAGGCATAATATTAGAAACAATAATTAACAACAGACGTGAAATTCAACGAAGAGAGACCAAAGTACATCAGACAACATGGATTCAGACACCACAGAAGGGACCATACATCTATATCACTGATAATGTGAGCATACAATATAGCCAACACCATCACGAAAAAAATAGTAATGTAATATGGTGCTCTGAGATGAAAGCTTTCGACGAAGTCTGGCCTAAAATACATGATATATGAACTAAGGCTTCAGCAGAGACTCAATACCATACTTCAGCTTCATAGACAACAGACAACCCGTCCTTCAGCCCGTCCTCCAAACAAAGACCCAAAAGTGATTCCATGCACCCGCCAAACCCCCTGTTTATGAATGAGAAACAGTTTACACACGACTCAACTGAGTCGTGTGTAAACTGTTTCTCATTTGATTAAACTGATTTCGTTTGAACACTTCCGGAACAAGTGCTTCACTGACAAATTATGTTCGAACCACAACGCTGTAAATGCTTCATCCATGTTCTCGTATTGGCATCCTTGGTGATATTTAGCGCCCTCTGATTATCCCGCACATTTGATGGTGTTACATAGCCTTCCCGGTCTAGTGCCTTCTTTTGATAATTACTTACTTCATCCACGTACTAAACATACAAATAATCGCCAACAGAACACCTAACACCTTAGGTAGAACCTAAACACCTAACCCACGCCTGTATATGCACAATATGCTAATGTATTATAATATTAATTTATATTTGAGCAAATTCCTGTTTTGAATAAACAGCATGTTAACATTTATGAATGAGTCTGTGGGGGTTGACCGCTGGATGGAATGGACTTGGGTCGAGGACTTTGCAGCTGCTTATCTCCAACTCCAACAAAACAAAAGCTACCATAGAATTCATAAATAACTTTGAAAAACAATGAAAAATAAGTACCAACAAACAAAAGTTCCAAATACTAAAGTTAAAAATAGGAAACTATCTTTGACAACCGCCCAATTCAACATACGAATGCAATCAGAATACTGGGACTCAAGTTAAAAGAACAGGCATCAAAATTCACTTATAGATAACGTGACGGTAACGCGTTGGTGTTCGGCTGTTTCAAAAGCTAGGGGTATGGCCTCGTCACATATAGAAACAAAAAGAGAAAATCTGGAACTTCGTCTGTGGTAAGGTAATGGGAAGACACACAAAACAAAAGTAAATTTAACAATGAGATTTTAATTACGTTAGAAAAGCAAAACATGAATAAAATGGACATACAAATTGGAAAAAAATCAATCAAAATAATAAGAATAATCAAATGACAAAATGAAAAGTTACGTTAAGACAAGCGAGTAATAACAAGTGAACAATATACAATCAGATATATAGGTGCAGGAATATTGGCTTTAAGCTGCCACCTCTCTTAGTACACGTAAGCCAGAGCTTAGTCTACCAACGAGACGTGTTAACTTTTTGAAAGCACTGGATATTCTGAGGTCTCTAGGTCGTGGTGGCCCCAGACATCAGGTAGTGTGGTGGGTAGGGAGCAGGTGCGACTGACCACCAGCCAATCGGCGATGAGCAGGCGACGGACAGGTAGTTTGGTGGTTCGAGGTGGAGCAGGTGTTCCCGGTGCTGAATACGTTTGCTCTCTGGCAAACCTTGGTGTTGTATTTGTTGGATATTTCTTCCATATTAGTTGTATAGGGATGTATAGCGACGAACTTAGGAGGGAAGAGCAGGCTCAATCTCTCTTGAAGGAGATTATCGTCACAATAAACAAAGATTTATTGTCTATAAACAACGAGTATAGATTTATTCAATGACAATAAACATAGCGAAAATAGCCTTAGGGAAACATACACGCGTACAGGGCGCTAGTCCAGGTGCATTTGGAATACCCTCCAGTACCATTTCACATCTTACAGAAAGCTAACATTTTCAAAAATACCTACAAGGAATGCAAAGCAACTCACTATGAACAGCTTCAACATAGTGTACACCATGTGACCAGACAATCCTGGAGCTCCATGAAGCATGAACATAAACTACTAAACCCCAGACTACAACCAGGCCGTTCTCGCGAAAGTTTCAGCGTCAAGAAACTGTCATATTAAAGTGACCTAACATAACCTACCGGAGGACCCACGAACAGAAAACGAGACATTATGTCAGTTTCGCGAGCAGCTACCATTTTCATTTATATTAGAAGACCTAATGTTAGAAAGATTACTTGAAGATGAGACGCTCCACTCCCACAGCCAATGGCCCAAAAGTTTGATTTTACTCGAGGTAAACCAAGCCCCCACAATGCATAATTCTAAGTATGGAGGAATTAGGCATAAAGCTGCAGTTGGGCAGCAGTTAGTTGCTTCAGAAATCATTCCTTATTGTGGCTGTTCATAGCGTAGGTTGATAAAAGCTACTGTCTCCCGGTCATTTTTAGACATACGTTATTGAATATGATCGCATTATATAACTTAACTGATTTTAGCACGAATCTTCTTTAAATCTATTATAAAAAGGAACTTTTGAAGAGTGTTATAGGTTGGCATGGATACAAGTGGTCTTGCTGATATGAGGCCATTGTTACGTCAGCGGGGAGGCGACGGTCAGGCTACCTCTCTGATTCTGCTTGCAGTTCTTGATGATGAGTTGGCGTAGGTGGAGCTGGCGAAGCAGCTGGTTCTAATACTGTGTTATACAATTTATGGCTTGAAACAGCAGAATGAACGGAAAAGATAATTATGAAGAAATGCACCAAGCCTAGAAGTGAACGGAATAAACTTTAAGGTTATTTCAAGACGTAAAATATTTTATCTATGTAAAAATCATTCCATAATTAAATTTAAAGAAAATAACATGTTACAAATTTTGGTCAAACAATATATTAATATATCCAATTATATTATACTACTAATATAAGTACAGAGTCCAACAGTTAACTTGCCAATGTTGCCAGTGAAAACAGCAAAACCTGCCTTTCAGATGTGCCCCCTGCTCTCAGAACCTAGTATTTGTCCTAATTGCAGTCCACTCGTACACTCAGCCTTGTTTACGTTATTGAAAGAAAAAACTAAGTTTAACTAGTAACAAACATAGTGCCATTAATCATGAATTTTCCGATACGCGACGAGGGCGCACCAGCCCACCAAGACCCTCCAACCCTAGGCGCCCCTCCGCCAAGCTATCGCCAGACGCTGTCCCCGCCCGAAGAACCAGTCAGAAAACTAAAAAATCAATCACCTTCCCTGTGACCCCAGGAGAAGTGCGTCAGGCGTCGTAACGGACCGTTGATAAGTAATGTCTCACGGCAATATCAAGACCCATAGAGTAATATCGCTGCACGTGTTATATATAATGGTGGCCCCCCTGATGTCCAGCTGTGTGCTGTGCTCGTCGTCAGAGTCGAAGGTCAAGAGTCCTCTTTCCTGTGCTATTACTCGGTCTTCTCCTCGTCGTGTTCTGCCTCCAGATTTACACCTCTCTCTCTTTTTTTTCCTTGCTCCTCATTCTCTTTTTCTCTTTCACGCTACTCTCCTTTTCAAACTCCACAAGTGCCTCGTGCAGGCTGATATGCACCTCAGACAGTAATATAAGAAATATTTCATTACCACAGCAGGTCAAGATGAGGGCTGGTGGAACATCTGAAACCAAGGCTCCGAACGATGAAGTTCAGCAGCTCCTCTTGACTGTCAAGGATCAGGTAGGATGACAACACTAGTAACTCAGGTTTTTTTTTTAGTTTACTGTTTCTTTATTGTAATATATATGTGATATGCTTCATTGTAATATGTTAGTATGAACTAGTAAAGTGCAGCAGGTTATCAAGTCTTGGTGTGTCTTGATAACCTACTGTACTTGACTAGTACTTTAGTAGCACTATGTCTTCAGTTCCTGAAGCCATTTTGATATGTCTTTGCACCTTTTCCAGTTTGTTCGTGTGTTTCTTAAGATATAAGCACCCTCCATCTGCTACATATTCCAGCTTTGGTCTCACAAAATCAGTTTTGCTGAGCAGTTTGAACTGTTCAGTTCAAAATCAGTTTATTGAACAGTTTCTGTAGTATTTCATCATCCATGTATTTAAAAGCTTATTCTGAATTTGGTTCCTCGCACAATGTTGTTTATGTGGTCCTCAGCTGACAGTGTTTATGTGGTCCTCAGCTGACAGTGTTTATGTGGTCCTCAGCTGACAGTGTTTATGTGGTCCTCAGCTGACAGTGTTTATGTGGTCCTCAGCTGACAGTGTTTATGTGGTCCTCAGCTGACAGTGTTTATGTGGTCCTCAGCTGCCAGTGTTTATGTGGTCCTCAGCTGACAGTGTTTATGTGGTCCTCAGCTGCCAGTGTTTATGTGGTCCTCAGCTGCCAGTGTTTATGTGGTCCTCAGCTGCTAGTGTTTATGTGGTCCTCAGCTGCCAGTGTTTATGTGGTCCTCAGCTGCCAGTGTTTATGTGGTCCTCAGCTGCTAGTGTTTATGTGGTCCTCAGCTGACAGTGTTTATGTGGTCCTCAGCTGCCAGTGTTTATGTGGTCCTCAGCTGCCAGTGTTTATGTGGTCCTCAGCTGACAGTGTTTATGTGGTCCTCAGCTGACAGTGTGTATGTGGTCCTCAGGTGACAGTCTACTATCCAGAACAACCCCTAGATCTCTTTCTTTGTTAGAGTTCTTTAATTTCTTTCCACTAAATTTGTAGATTGTGTGTGCGTCCCGTTCTCGCGAGCGTTCCTAACGTCAAGAAACTATCATACTTAAGTGCCTTATTCTCACCTACCAGAGGACTCACGAACAGAAAACGAGACATCATGTCAATTTCGCGAGCCTCTACCATTTTCTTGTAAGGCAGCTTGTGGCCTTACGTAAAGTGTACGTCGAAATGCGACGTGCTATTAGGAAGACGGGGCACATACGTCTATTTTCTCCTATTCCATAATATGGCAGTTATTCACATTGAATGTCATTTGTCACATGGTGCTCCATACACTTTTTTGTATAGGTCATCTTGAAGGACATGACAATCGTCTAAGTTTTTTTATCTTCCCCAGTAGCTTAGCATCATCAGCAAATATGTTCATATAATTCTTCATTCTGTCTGGTGGATCGTTTATATAGAAGATGAACACTGCTAGTTCAAGAACTGACTGAACCCTGTGGTACTCTGCTAGTAACACTCCTCCAGTCAGGTACATTGTCTTTGATATTGTGTGTGTGTGTGTGTGTGTGTGTGTAGTTACAGGATGACAGCTACACTTGGGGTTTTCCTTTGAAACTACTGATGGTTTTGGCATCCACCATCTCACTCGTTCCAACTGTTCACCTCTAATCATTATATTAACATTATATTAACATTATATTAACACCATGAATTTCTAACATAGTTAACCCTAGTTTTGCCTGTGTTAGGCAGTATTGAGAAATAATAGGTCCCCAGTCATAGCAACCCTGAGTACCCACTCTCATATTAGCTCCCCTAGACTCCACCACAATACCTATACTATAGTTCAATATTAATCCTCACTTGACACTCTTTATATAAGAATGTAATATACTGTAGCACAAAAAATACACAACTAGTAAATATTTATTTGATCTTACCAGAGTCCAACTAAATCTATGCAAACACGCAATGCAAATAATTGTACTTCAAAGGTCCTACTTTCCAGCACCACAAGAGTATGTGGCGTGGAAACCCTAGGTGTAATATGATACACTCGGGGTTTCAACACCATAGATTAATACAATTAATCATTGTAACTGCAAAACCTGTGGATTTAGTGTTGGTTTTCAGGCCCTAATTCTACCACAGAAATATTAATAATTCAAATAAATCTGTATGGGCAGGTGGAGGAGAAGTTGGGTCGGACGTTGGCAGAGTTCAAGCTCCTCTCCTACAAGACTCAAGTGGTGGCTGGACGAAACTACTTTGCCAAGGTAAATTAATGCATAATAAATATCATATTGCCATGTACACACAATAAGGCAAACATTTTTAGGTTACCTGATACGCAGCAACCCATCCTCATATTTTGATAGTACTTTTGTAACTATGTGGGCCATCGTACATATATTGACGTAATGGACTATTAAATAGTAGAATTTGGTAATATCCATTTCATACCGTCCGGAAAAAATAAATCTAAAAACAAACAAATATTCCTAAACCTAGTATAGCACATATATGTATTATGTTAGGCCTCAGAAAGCATGAATTAGGCCTAGGGGTGACAATTCAAACCTTTTCTGGTTTGTCCTAATACAGTAGCACCAAATTCTGCTCTCTAATTGTCTATTACGTCAATATAAGTGCGATGGTGCACATCATTATTATAAATACTGTCTAAACAGGAGGATAGATTGACCAAGGGGGGTAGAAATAGCCTAAGCTACTCTATCCCTTTGAGATGTATTTTTTCTTGTCTCAATAAACATACTTGAACTTGAACTAGACTGACCTACTTTACATAACTTTACATTTTGCCAAAATATATCTTAATATCTCAGGTGGCATTCAAATAATTTTGTTCCTGTCTTAATTGTCACAAATTTTAAAATAAAATTAAAGATTTTTTTATACACTGCTGTTGCTATCGTGAAAACTTCCCAAGTTCTGTGCTTACTTTAATGATTCTGATTAGTTGCAACTGTATTTGTTGTTTGTTAGATTGACATCGGCGATGGTGAGGTGATTCACCTGCGCGTGTACGAGGACCTCCAGCGGAGGGTGACCCTACACTCCGTGCAGGTCGAAAAGAGTCTCCATGATGACATTTCTTACTTCTGAAGCCTCACCTTGGAAATCCCAAATTGTTTTCCATCGTACCACTTTCTTCGGCAGCCTTGTCAACAATGTGGCTAATCCTCAAAAGTTTAACAATGTGGCTAATCCTCTAAAGTTTATACCATCATTAATTCCAATCCCAACTATTTCCAAATTGCACATTGATTATCTGACCTCGAAAGAAGAAGCGATTGGATAGCTAGTCTGATGCACTAGACTACTGAAAACGGTTTAATATAATCTTGAAGGATAAATGCACATAGTTGAATCTGTTACATTGTTACACGTAGCTTAAGAAAATGGTGATTTATTATGAGTGTTTTGCTTTAGTCTTAGTTATAATGGTGATGCACCAGTTGTTGTTCACATGTGTTGATAAAGTTATATGATAGTGAAGACAAAAGTGACCTGTTATTACCATATAGCATCAACAGTCACTTTTTATAATTTTTATATATCTTAAATTTCTCATTTAAACATTTTAATTTTGGCTTCATATTGTTATTTAACCTTCTCCTTTTAGAATACGAGTAGACTTTATTACATATATTTTTTATATTGGAATTAGTGAATATTAAAGTATGAAGTATTATAATGGGCTTTCGTTTATTAATCCTCTCTATCGACAGGAATAATTAAGAAATTAATACAAAGTTCATAGATGATTGATCAACGTGTTTATTTTCTTCTACAAAATTAACCATTAAATTACAATGTTGCATAGAATATACAGGATTATTGTCACGTGACGAGTAACTGTCTCAGGGTATATAAATCACATAAAATCTGCTGTAAAATTACTCGTTTAATTAAGAAAAATAACAAGCCATCGACAGGTTTAATTTCGACCTATCAAAGGGGGTCTCGGTAGTATAGTTGGGTTCATTGTCGAATCACAATCGTGAAACGAAAATTTGGTAAAAGACGTTTGGGTGTTAACAGGTACAAGGACTGAAGCACGTCTGAACATAATTAAGAGTGTCAGAAACAAAGAAGAAGATTTAAATGCTCTCGTCGGCACAGAAACACTAGATATTATTGCAGTAACTGAAACGTGGATGAATGTAGAAAGCACGGTGCTATTAGCTAAATATCAAATAATGGGACTAAAATGAAATCACAGATAGATTTGGCTAGGAGGGGGAATAGCTATACTGTGTATGTTAGGGAAAACTTAAAATGTATAGTGCCAGAGAGAAGGGATCAAAACTGAGCCATATACTGAAACTATTTGGTTAGAAACTTAGAATTTAATGAATATAATAATTTATGAGGGTTGACTTATTGCTTGATTTCCAATTTAGGGTGATTGACAGTCCTAGATTGTGTGCTTCTTTTTCTATATGTAAGATTTCTGTGATGAGTTGTATATTATCTCTGTACTGGCTGGATAACAATGAATGGAGCGAAGATTTAGAGTCGGTATGAATGATGACATCATAAAAATGATTATTATTATTAATATTTTAGTATCATTATTTATGTTCAACTGAAATAAGTCAGTAGTACAGGTGGCTTTGCTCTCGACTCACAATGGGTAATGCCGGGTTTGATGCCCGTGTGGGACAGAATTGGTTGGACACGTTTCTCTGTCTCAAAAGACAGAAGCAAAGGGTAGAGGTGGGGGCGAGGAGACGGCGCTGACACCAGCGGCCTGAAGCACAACTAAATAATAAAATAAAATAAAATAAAATAAAATGTTTATTTAGGTAAGGTACATACATACAAGAAATTTTTACAAAGATTGGTTGACTTATAGGTAGAGCTAGTACATACAATGCCTAAAGCCACTATTACGCAAAGCGTTTCGGGCACTACTGCTGCCAGGCGCTACCAACTAGTCATTTCACATTATTTAGGCGGATACAGTTGGCCATGGTCACAGCTGAGACCACAGACTGTTGTTGGGGCAACACTCCCCCATAACCCCCCATGGGTCTCGTCCATGGGTCGTCCTCGCCCACACTTCAACAACACCAAAGTTAAAGAGCCTGTGCTGTAGCTGCCCTTGACCTATAACAACGTCACAAGTTCTACACATTATTATCATTACCTTCAGGCACACTGCGTCATAAGACAAAAGTGTTCATACACGACAGACCATAAAGGTGTGAGTAGTTATGCCTCTGGTGTTACATGGGGAGGTAATTGCCTTGACTATTACTGGATCACAAGGGGTCAAACTTTTAATACCAAATGGTTCCCAAAAAAGATATTCTGATTAAGGAATTCAAACTCGTGTAAAGTAGTTGTGCTTAGAACCCTCATTGTCGCCTAGCAAAGAAAATACCAGAGTGCAATCCCTGAGCACTGTGTTCTATCATTGTTCACGTGAGTAGTGTCTAAGACCTGAGTAAAGTTTGGTATGTGTTTGTGACTATAAAATACATCTCAAAAAGCTAGAGTAGCTTAGGCTATTTCTACCCTCCAGGGTACCTATTAGAGTCTATGGAGTAAGGTGTTTATGCCCCATCTACTCTCCTTGTACCTGTTGTGCCTCAACTATTCTGACTTTCAAATTTTTTTGTTGAATCTGGCCTTAGAGTTGTGGATGGAGCCCACTTGTTATTAGTGGGTGCTTTTAGAGGACAAGTAGTGTAAAAGGGGGGGGGGTATCATCTATAGGGGTTAGGCTAGGTTTGGCCCCCAGGAAATGTTCCCAAAAATAATTTTTTTATTATATATACAAGAGATCTTATATTTTTGTACAGCCACTAGCACGCACAGCATTTCGGGGAAGTCCTTAATTCTGTACCCCAGAATACGACCTGCCAAATCGTTTTAACAATCGGGAACCCATTTTACTGTTGGGTAAACAGCGGGTACAGGGAAGAATTAACATCCAGTAAATCCTCCCTGGCCAGTATACGAACCCAGGACAAAGCGCTGGCAAAATGCCAGGCGAGTCTTACCACTACACCGCAGGGACTCTGTAGTGTGTAGAGATACATAGTCTGCAGTCTAGAGCAGATTTCCTAATCCTATTCAAAGAACAGGGATGATAAACACCGGTATTTAACGCCCCAGAGTACGCCCCAGAGTAACATGCAGTACTGTACTGTACTTTACCACATCCTGTTTACCATGGCAGGAGATGAGATTCACATAGCAGCAAGCAGCAAACTACTGTAGTAGTAAAGTCTACCATTCAGGTTTGTTATCAATGCACAGTCATGAATTCCGGGCTCGAATCCCAGACGGGACAGAAATGGTTGGGTGTTTCCTTTCACCTAATGGCTCTGTTCACCTAGCATTAAGTAGGTACTTAGGAGTTAGTCAGCTTGGTGTGGGGATTACATTCTGGATGGGGTCAGTGTTCTGAACCATAATAAAATCTGACCCAAGTAGCAATTGGGTCAACCCATGTGTTGCATTTCCACAATGGTCGCCCAAGTTAAAATCGGCGAACGCTGATTTTAACATTCATAATTTCCCCACAGATATGAAGACCCCATGGCACAGTGGTAAAACACTGACCTAACCTAACATTAAAAAACTTTGTATTTTTGGTTTAATAAGTTATCAAGATGTATTCAACAATATTCTTGGGGCGTTCATCGATTTTAACTTGGGCGACCATTGTGGAAACGCAACACATGGCTTAACCCAATTTGACAATCTGGTTTGATTCTAATAAGGGTTCGACCACGTACATATAATGTGCCTGTCAAAATGCTTTACACTACATTACAACTAAATGTTAATGCCTGTATTAAATGTTTGTATTTTAATAAAGTTCAGTGATAATTTTTATATTGTGGTTTGATTTCCAGATGACAAAGGGAGAGGTTTGAGACAGTCTTCATGATAAGGCGGGACAATGAAGATACAGTTTAGAGAGAAAGGGGAAATATCAGGGGAAGTACTGCTGGAGGCACTTGAAAGTGAACAGTGGCACCGAGAGCAGGCATACCAGCAAGAAAACTGTACAAGAAAATTGTTACAGAGGTGAGGTTCTGAACTCGGGTAATTACTGTACTGTACTATGTTTGGTGCTTGACTGAAAATAAGGCACGGATGGGTGTGATACCTTTGATTCAAATTATTTGAATTTTCTGATTCAAAGTTTTGCACAGTATTAAACATTTATTATATTTTGGGGAAGGGAAGTTATCTGAACATTTAATATTTTCACTGCAAACCAGGCATGATGGCTGATTTCATCGAAACTCTTTAAAATACGGAACAATTTGGAGGGATCCAGGCAATTTCTTCAGTCAGGTATAACACAAACAATTCATTGTAATAATTCATTACAATATAATATATATAGAATTATGTAATATAATTCATCGTAACTAAAATTCTAGCTTCCAATACATTAGTAAACCCAGTTCAATATTCACAATAACACAATGTTGCGTTTGATAGGGTGATTGTCTACTCCAATCCAATATGCATTTTTTTTTAACATCTCTGTCAAGTCATATTGGTGTTAGTGAGGCACTGGAGAAAAGCTCATTCTAACCCAGAGTGGGTACTGAAAGTTCTCATAACTACTCAAAGCCTTTCCAAGCTCCTCTTGGCATCACAAGGGGCTACAAAGTAGTGCTCCCAACAAGCCATCAATTATCACTCTGGCCACTGCACCTGGCAGCTACCAGATGGCAGTATCTTTGCCAACACCAAATCTCTAACCTCGAGTTCCATCACATTCTTCCGAATTTTCCCTTGGTGTTTAGGCAGACTTGAGATTGGGATACAGTAAGTGATTTTTTTTTTTTACATCCTTAAAATCTAAGTTTCACTGTTTAGTTACCTCATGCTGTGTATTTTTTTTTTTTAATGCAATCATATATTTGGAAGGCTTCTCGTGTATGTGTATGAAAAGTTTGTCTCTAGTATGAAGCATTATAAGGAGATTGCCTAGTTCCCAATTGATTCTACTTGATTGTTGATGTCCAGGCTGAAATGGCAGATCTAAGGGCTGAGGAAATTGTCTGTCTCTCTGTTCAGTTTGAATGATGTTACTTCATTTCATCCTGGTCAGTTTGGTTCGTTGTGCTACAGTTGGAAGATGTTTTAGCACTTAACTGCTATTCAGTCTTCTCTCTGTAGTTATGGTTTGGCATAACAGGACATGAATTTTTTTTGAGCAATGGAGATTGCACATCTGAACCTAACCCATCTTTGCTCAAGTTTGTTCATCATTTGCCTTTTGGCTTCAGCATTGTCCTTTCTTTGCTGGCAAACATTCCTCTATTTTCTACTATGTCAGCCTTTTGTTCTCGAGTGGAAGGAGGCTCTTGCCTCTTCCATGTGCATTTGGTGGGTAAGAATTCTGATTTCTGAGATTTTCACAGTCGGTCTGCAAGAGCCTGGTGTTGAGCAAGTTCTGGAATCTCCCTGGATGCGTCTTCAATTGCACTACTCTTCCTCCTTGTTCCTACTTTTCCATAATCAAGTGATACAGCAAGATCTGAGTTATGCAAGGTTATCCTTTCAGCCATTGACCCAGTTATGGATGAAATCTGCAGCTCTCTTCTTGAAGGCGGGGACTTGTAGTTGTGTTTTTGTTGGCCTTGTGTTAGGAGTAATGTTCCTGGTGAACAACTGGAAGGTTCTTATACCTGTTTGTCTGGTCTTGAGAACCAAAGAAGGGCCATACGTCCATTTATTGAGCCACATCTTTAGCATTTAAAGCTATTTTGGCATTATTTGTAGTGGCAAGATGGTGAATTAAAATACAGTATGTATGTCCTGTAAAGAGAGTGAGCTGCTTGAGACAAAGCTGATCGATGTGTGTGTGTGAACTGTAGAATACAAACAACATTTATTTACAGTGTTAATCATTTTTACATTTTTAATTTCTTCTCCAGTTTACGAGACAAGTGCTGTGGAGGTTCATGGCTATCGCTAGTATTGTTAGTGAGCATAGTGATTTTCTCCCAAACATGGCTCATTCTTTACTTGTTGAAGATTTGGGGATCCTTTTATACTCCAGCTGGTCATATAGTTTACAAAGATTCTCTAGGAAAGGCAAGTATTAGAGAGATGATCTCACCATTTATTCATCTTGTTTGCCTTCTATACATTTACTAATGTTTCCACATTTCACGAATGTTGTGTATGGATTTGCTAATACTCAAAGTTCTTCTGGTCATCATATTGTTCATATGTTTTTAGTTTTGTTTTTTAGGGCCTTCAACATATTGATCTTGCCACTACAGTTCGTTTATAATTCATTTAATTTAATAAAGATAACAAAATGCAACTGCATAATTATAAAATTGTTATTTGAGCTGTAGCAGTTGAATAAGATTATTAGACTTTGATTCCCACAATCTAATATGTACATTTTTTTTCCAGTTGCATCATGTGCATTTTTCCTGGTCTAACTGTGGGGAATCTTCAGACCCTGTTCAGGTATGACTTAATAGTACATTACTGTGCTAGATTTATATCAAGAGCTGCTGATTTGTTATATGCAGCTACTGCATATTGAACTCTCCCTCTTATTCTGAATGACACAGTGAATACTGAACTGAATAAATTTCATCTTTGGCTAACTGCTAACAAACTCACCCTTAACATTGACAAAATTTTCTATATTTTGTTTGGTACTAAATCCTCATATCAAATTCATCTAAGAATTAACACTATTTAAATTAGTAACAAAGTAGGGGGTAAATTCCTTGGTATTCTCATTGATAACGAGCTGAATTTCCAGGACCACATTCAAAATATAGCAAAAAAACGTTTCTAAAACTGTTGGCATTCTTTCTAAAATCAGATATTACCTGTATGTACCTCGCCCTGCCTTGGTAATGTTCTGTTACTCTTTCATCTATTCTTGTCTCAATTATGGTATGTGCTTCGGGTTCTGCTACCCAAAATCATCAATGTTCTCTAATTACTCGACACAAATCTGCTATTAGAACAGTAACAAACTCTGGCCCCAGACAGCACTTGGCTCCCCTTACTTAAATCTTTGAATGTGTTAGATTGTCACTGCACATCCTCTCGAGTGTACTCAATATATATAAAACTCTGAACTGTAATTCCAATCCTGGCCTTAAATGCTTCCTAAAAGGTTGTAACAGAACCCATGGGCACCACACCAGAAACAAATACCTATTTGATATTCCAAGGGTGTGACGTAACCAAATTAGAAATGCTCTGCAAATCAAGGGATCTAGAAAGTGGAATGACCTCAATTATGCCAAAGACTGTCCCTCTCCCAAACAGTTTGAGAAAAACTAAGTACTGTACTTCCTAAATAAACTTTCTAATGTAACCCACCATTCCTCCTAAATGGCATCCTATGTCTTGCCATTTTCAAATATGGATTATTGACCAACTTACATAACTGCTGATATCCACCATGCATAAACTTGTAGTCTTCTGTTTATTTAGTTAAAATTGCTTCTGCTGTTCTGTTGAAATTTCTGCTGTTCCATCCAACATGTAATTATCATTCTTTTTTATTTTTTTCCCCTTTTTCATTTCAATTTATGCTTTTGATCTCAATTAGTTTTAAGTTTGTCAGTGTTATTCCCTCATCTTGCGGGAAATGCTGTGTGTATTAGTGCCTTTAGGCATGGTATGTACTAGCTCTATCTAGAAATCCAACATTTCTGTTTGTAACTCATTTTGAATGTATGTACTTTTACCTAAATAAATATCATTATTATTGTATAAAAGCTACAAATTAACTTGAATTTACCTGAGGAGCTACCATCCTTAGTGGATTCACTAGGTATCTAGCCATCAAAAGTCCCCCCCCCCAGGTGTAGGTAAGGTGCTTCAATAAATCCTTAAAATTCTGGACCAAATCTTTAGAAGATAAAAATAGAAGAAATGATTTATGCAGACAGTAATTTTTGATCTCAAGTTTGTGTGGCAGTATACGTTTTCCAAACTAACTGTTCTTATTCTTAAAATGTTAGAAGACAAATCAATTTTATTTTAAGTGCATTAATCTGTTATAGATATTTATCATAAGAATACAGTGTACATAGAAAACGTGGGTAGTGCAATTCAGATTCCCATACCAATGCAGGCTAAAGTTTAGGTCAGTGAGGCCATATCTTGTGTAAAGAATACTTGTGTATATGTAAACCTAGCCATAAAAAATCCTTTCACCATTTGTCCACATGCAAAAAAATAGTATTGAAGCATTTTATGTTTGAGTCTTCCTGGCAGTAAAGTACAGTACTTTAAAATTCTTAGTGCATTTATAGTAAGGCCCCTATTAAACAAATTTAATCTTTGGCTTGTTGCTAATGTTAACCCTTGCATGCCAAATGCTGGTGAAGGTATGGTGGGAAATTCATCAGTGCCTTTCAGCAGCTTGGGTTTGGTCCCCATTTTATTTTTGGGGTTCTCTGTGCTCCTCCACCTGGACTGCAATTACATCTGTTAAACGTTGTCCAGAGGGTATTGCTTCAGACCTCTTTTTTTTTATTATAATAATATTATTATTATGGAGGTCTTCTCTCATTCTTACCACAATTACAAAGTAAGGCTTGCATTCAATTTAATTTTCAACTTTTCTGTAGCTAGCTCCTCCATTCCCTACTTAAGATTGTCTGCTTGGCCTGACAACTCTTTCATCTGATATTAAATGGTATTTCAGCTGAAGCTATTAAAAGTGAATCCAGATCCTGTTCTCCTAGATGGCAACATAACTTTGGATCTGAATTCTGTATTAACAGAGAACTTGATGTCACCAATTAAGGTAAGTTGGACATTAGAACTCTTTATTACTTCATTATTTATAGCATTTTCATTAGCCTACTGTCACTGCCTTCTAAAGATATGAGCTTGCACTTTGAAAACCTTTATATTGCTGAAGTTTGGATACAGTATTTGCTGGACCATTTCTGGCTGAAAAAAGGCCTTTAATAGAGAGACAGTTACTGTTCTGTAGTTTAATACTGTACTAGTACTGTAATGCCATAAAGGGTGATTACCACCACTGTAATACAGGACACTGGTACTTTAGCTGTGCACTTGTAAGAATAGACAGCTTTTAAACTGTTGTGATACTGCCAAGTGTCAAAAGATCAATACTGTATTATGAAAAGACCTGTTAGCCTTTAAATATCTTTGATATGCTTTGATTGATTTTTTCTCTGTTCATAATTTGTATTTAGCTTCACTGGGCAAGAGCCTTGCTACCTAATAAGTGTGATATAGGGCAAAGGTAATTCATGCTTTATGTTCCTTGTATCCACATTCTTAAAATTATCTTTAAGTACAAGTATTAAATTAGTTTTAAGCTGTTAATAGTTATAATTATATTAAAGTGTAAAACCACATTGTATAGTGTTTGGGATTTGGCTTGGTGTGATACTTGTCTTTGTAGATGTGTAGAGGAGAGCCCCCAAACCTTATGAGGATATTATTGTCATAAGAAAATCAGAAACCTTAGAGGTGTTGAACCAGCTCATTTGGTACTACCACGCTAATGCCCTAGACCGCTACACTACAACACGGTCAAAAGCAATGTAACCTGGAATTCCACTGAATCCACTAGAGGTCCTGAGGTTCCCAACCAAAAGCCCAGACCAGGGGTTTCAGATTGATATGATTTTATTGTGCATATTGTCATCATCTTGCTGTGTGTACCTTGTTTAATTGATGACATGTGTGCAGTACAAAAGTTATCTTATAGCTATGAAATTCATTTTTGTTGTATGTTCTTGATTTATGTAGTAAATAATGAAAAAGTTGTTCATTCTATTTGCTAATTTTTATTAATGTAGTCTCTCTGATGTTTATGATTTTCATAATTTTCAGGCAGTTGTTGAAGTGGAACGTCGCATTGGATGGTTATGGGTGAAGATTCCTTGTCTGGATGGTTTGGGATCATGTTCTTATGAAGATGTGTGCGAGTTGGTGCCATTTTCATTGCCTGAGCCTTGTCCTGATCCATTCCCGAGATTCAAACTCCCATGTCGTTGTCCTGCTTTAAAGGTACTGTACTGTAATTTTTCATCAAAATACTAGTTATGAATCTATACTTAACTTCACTGAGTATTGATTATTGTTATGCATAGTTCATAAACAATAATTTGATGAATCAGAATGATACATTAGAAGCTGCATTTGTGTAGTGGTGTCACTAGTTTCTTTTATAAAAGTCCAGTAACCTACTCAATGGTACCATTGGACCCCAATCAGTTCTGGTAATTTGAGTATTCATGGATATTTACCGATCCCCATCAAAGTAAGTGATCAGTTAGGGTGGTAATGCCATACATCTTGCTATCACCTGAGGTGAACGTGTCAGTAGAGGGTTGGGCCAGGGCACTCAACAGGGACTGGCCGGCTGAGCGAACAGCATGCTGGACACGTGATCCTGTGGTCCCGGGTTCGATCCTGGGTGCCGGCGAGAAACGATGGGCAGAGTTTCTTTCACCCTGATGCCCCTGTTACCTAGCAGTAAAAAATAGGTACCTGGGAGTTAGTCAGCTGTCACGTGCTGCTTCCCGGGGGTGGAGGCCTGGTCGAGGACCAGGCTGCGGGGACACTAAAAAGCCCCGAAATCAACTTGAGATAACCTCAAGATAACTCTACATCAATAGCAGTGTCTGAACTTCACATGGACTTAGTCCATAATGGTTTATTTGATGTCCTCTAAATTTTTAAGATGTGCACTCAAATAAGTATATCTTTTAGAAATTTTAGTCTTGCATATTTGCCCAGTCTGATAATTCATGGTATATTTCTAGTCCAGGATTAAATTTGCCTGAAAATTACCCGTGGGCATCATCTCTAGTGACTTTGATGGGGACAGGTAGTTGGAGGCTGAAACAATGAATTCAGTTATGATTTTTATTTTTTTGTTTTTTGGTTACTCTGGAGGATATGGTACACAGTCCTTTAAAAAAAAAAAGCTCGCTTGTATTTCAATTAAAAGATTCAAGATCAATGTGGTAGCAATTTAAGGAATCTTGTCTCAAACCAAAGACATCGAGTAGCTATGGATTGTTTTGAGTTACTAATCAGTAATCACTGCTGGGGACTCGGTTAACAGCTTCATTAGCAGATGTGTAACAATAGTCATGAATTTTTTAACTGTCAATACTATTTTTGTCATTGGTTACAAACCCTGAGAAGCCTTGCCTTAAATTCTACTACAGTATTTGCATCAGAGTATCAGTCTGTCAAAATATTGGTATCAATAACCAATTACCAATTACCTTAACCAATTACTGTTGAGTACACAGTGTGAACAATGAAGGAAGAGTACCTAAATTGTTCAGACATATGACACATTAGGTATACGGTATATATTTGTTGTAACAAGATTTGTGAAATATAATTTCCTTTCAGGGTCATTATGTGGTAAAGGATGGAATGTTTAGTATAGCAAATATTGTGACCATCCTACCTGCCTGGCTAGTCTCTGGTGACTACTATGTACATGGAATGGCATACAAGAATGGAAAGAGGCTTGGCTGCTATACTGTTTATGCTTCAATTTCATACTAAGGTTAATATTTTGTATAAATCTGTTTCTCTTAGGTTTTCATTTACTTGTCCTTTAGCCCAGTAAATTGTTTTGTTTAAGAAATTGTTCTTCACAAACTCATAGGCTAATGTAAGAGTTCCAATGAGGCAGTACTGTATATGTGTAGTGACAATTTATTTAATAAGTAATTTTTTGAAGGGAAAATGCATGATTTAGGGCAAGAAAAATACAAACAAAATAGTTAGATGCCTGTTGGACCAGCTCCACAAAGCTGAAACAGGTACAGTTCCAATTAGTCCACTCTAGAGATTTCAATGTATGGCTATCATTAGTCACATTTACAGTACAGTACTGTATTTAGAAAGAGTTGCCATTGTAAATCTCATATTAGTACATTTTGAATATACTGTATTAGCCCTGATGTTTTGTGTTGCTGCTGGTGTGACATTTTGTTGGTTTAGTTACTGTCAGCATCATTGTATAATTTTCCAAGAAAGGTATACATTCCCAGTCTCATATTTTGGGGCTACTTGTGATTGATCCATACATGCTCGAGTCCAATTATTTAAATAATGAACAGGTATACATCTTCATCTTCACTGGGCAAGAGCCTCACTACCCAATAATGCCTAAGAATTCTACCTCTATTTTCACTGGTATTTGAAACATTATGCTCAGTTACCACAACTTTTAGTTGTCAAGTACAGTGTGCACTTGTCATCAGTATGCATAAAAGGTAAAGTAATATAGCATCTATTATGACATTTGCCACTCTTCTATAGTATAAAATCATGAAGCCAAACCAATATGTGCCTTACAAGCTTGCAACTACTTTTTGAGGTAGTTGTAGTATGTACTTTAATTTTTCTAAATACTGTACCCAGATTTTTCATTACAATACTTGCTATGTTAAGTACTGTAGTTTGTAACCTGGAAGACTAATCGTCTCTACTATCTTAACATGTTATGACTTTTGGATCTTTAGTATTGGTGACTAAAATTACTTTGAATGAACTTTTATATAAAATTATTTGCCACGTATTTTGATGTACAATAGGGTATATAAATATCCATACATATTTTATATACAGTACTTAAAACTTGTTAAATTAAACACGGGTACATATTGGCATAGAATTGATTCTACAAAGAATAAGCATATTGCTCAGTTTTTACTGATGTGTGCAGTAGCTTTTTCAAAGGAATACATGTATTTTGATACATTATACACATACTTTGATACATCATAATGTTATGTATATACTGTTACTAAATAAATTTATCTTTATACATTGCTAATATTATATCCTTAATATTTATTTTACAACATAAATCCTGTTAGTTTTGTGTGTCCACAAAGGCCAGGGATAAACAATAGAACAATCCAGATTGTGTGTGGAGTTTCAATCTAGGTATCACAACCTCCCATCATTTACTCCGTGCAAAATAGCAGGTAATATTAATTGTGGAGTATGAGACAAGTGCAATGTGCACAGTATACTCATTAAATAAGTTTAAGGTATTGTCCATACCACATAAGTAAAATAAGTGAATCATATGGTAGTCAAGCAACTGGCATCCTTGAAGAATGGAACACTATGGAAAAATGGTGAGGGAAGGAATCTCCTGAAGAAACTTCTGTTGTAGTCACACCCTTAGTAGCGAGCTCATGGGAAGAAGTGTTGGGACTATAGAGAACAGGACAAAAATACCATCTTTAGGAGCTAGAAAAACAAATGCATTGAAGAAACAATGTAGTACAATGATTGCCTCAAACCATGAATTCAGTGCAAATCCTCTTTACTCCTAAAATAATTATTAGGAAAAAGCACAAATCATTGATTACATAACACTTTAAAGGAATGGTATGGGCGCAAATTGTTTTCTTTGACGACCCTTACCTAGCTGTTGGCACATGTCCATACGATTCTTCTATTTTTTCTCCCTGCCTTAGATGGCTGGCTGCTGCTACGCAACAATCAGTTTACTGTACATCTCTGTATGTCTACAATTAAGGAACTGTAGCTTCACAAGTGAGTAAGCTTCACGTGCATTTAAAATGTTCGTTATTACATCTGTAAACCAGCAAGTTAATTATCAAAAGAATGTGCCAAGCTAGGGCAACTATGTAGCACCATTGAAGTTGCAGGATATTCAAAAGGTGTTAAATGTCACTAAGGATGCCAATACGAGAACAAAAGCACACAAGGTGAAAAATATCAAAGGTATCCGGTTCACCAAGGATTCTATCGAGGGACAAAATACTGCAAGGGAGATTCGGGAAGCAAGGCACATGCACATCCTGGAAGTCAGGACATTTAACAAGGATATACACACACCAGTAAGACAGACAATGCAGTTTGGATAATAAGCAGGGTGGCACTCCATTAAGTTTCTGTGAGCTAAACGAGTATGGCCAATGCGTAACCTCCCCAGAGCCGTTTTCCACCACCTGTTATAGTGAGGAGGAAGGCCAAGGTTACCCTTAATAACATGCCGTTTGTTACCAGTAACAGGACCAACGACCCTGCTAAGGGGCACGGATTGAAGAATGACTGGGTATTAGTTGTAATAAGGAAAGCCTTTGCGGGAAATAAGACAAGTTGGATAGCCTCCTTAGCAACAGCATCCACATGCTCATTTAAATAAATGCCAATATGGTTCAGAACCCAGCAAAACTCCTTAAATCTGCTGGAGACAAGAAATGGCCAATGTTGAAGTTCGACTACCACAGGATGGGTAGGATTAAATGACTCCAGAGTCATGCTGGCACTGCAAGAATCAACTACGACAAAGAAATGTTGACTAGAAAGCAGTTGACCAAGAACATACAAATTTACATAAAGTTCTGCCATGAAGATGCTAGTCAGTGGGGGCAGGCAACACATATAGGTGTGGTCAGGAAATACAACCGAGTAGCCTGCACTGTTGGCAGACTTGAACCCATCTGTGAAGATGGCAATGGAGCAGGAGTGAGAGGAAGTGTGCAAGGAAAAGGGGTTTCAGAACTGTCGGAGGGGTAGAAGCCTTTGCCATGTGGGTCAAAGTGTTGCAAAACATTGGAAGTGGAACCCTCCATGGGGCCAAGGATGGAACGACACTAGGAGAAATGTTGGTAACGAGAACTGAGAGAATCTTGAAAGCGAGACATCCGTACAGAAAAAGGAAGTTGGTAAAAGGGAATAGGGGCCCACAAGAAGGGTAATGGTCAAAGCACGACATAAGCAAGAGTAAAGGTGTTGTAGGGACTGCAAAGTAACGATTATGGTGATCCTTTAGACACGACGCAGGTTACAACATACAGGCCCTCAAGTAAGGGATAAACGAAAGGCACCAGAGCTGAGGTGTAACTCAGTATGGTGCAGAGCATCAGGAGGACGAAGAGTTGAAGCAGAGGCAGAGTAGTAAGCAGGATAGCCATAATCAAGTTTAGACGGCATAACAGAGTGTAAGTAGGGGAGCATGCTTCAATCAGCTCTCCAGGAAGTATGGGGCAATACGGTAAGCTAGGAAGAACCAGTATAGTATTAATCGTGTATCAGGAAGTGGTGGTGTGTGTGGGAGGTATAGGAAGGTGTGTCTAATTGTAGATTTATTGAATATTAACATTCATTTTACTTTGTTTAATACTGTATATGTATTATCGAGTGGAAAGTGGACATTTGAGACTAGAACCTATTCCTATTTTCCCCGTGTGTTAAGTTTAAAGGCAGATTTGCTACACACATTGTTTTCTAGTAAGCCACATTCATCCCAAACTTAAGAGCCAATATGACATAGAACCCAATTATTGGATTCAAATAATGCTCCAGGTACAAAACTAGGTGATGGATACAAAACAAGGCTTTGTTTACATCAACGAACACTCATTCGATATGCCTAATTTACATACAAAATGCAATACCATACATTATATAATACTGTACAGTATTAGAATAGAAAACTAAAGAACAAAATTTATTCTTAACTCTAAATATACACGGTAATTTTTTTTTTAAGTTTTATTGATGTGTCTGGTACGGAATCAAACCTTTAAATGAGAGGTTGTGCACAATGTTAATAGATTTGTTTCATTTCCATTATTGCAGCTAGTGTATCACATCTGTCAAACAAGTGTATACATGTTTTTTTTCAATTTACCTGTCTACCTTTACCTCTAAAGCAAAAGCATGTATATTTACATAAAAAAGTTTGTTGGAGATATTGTACATGGTTTAAAATATTATAGAGCAGGTACTGTATTCAAATCAAGTTTATCAATGGCTATACAAGGCCGGTTTTCAATTGAAATTGACCATAACAATTATTAATAGATGTAGTCTAGTAATTACAGCATTGTATATCATAATATAAATTTGCAAGTAGAGTATGGCATATCTTATGGAAAAATATTGAAGATAATTTTGTATGTACATAAGATACTAGATAACAATTAAGAACAGAACATAAGGAACCATTGAGAACTGTTCAGTATTATGGTTATACAGTAGTATTCAAACTTTATTTTCAGATTCATTTTAAGGAAGCTGCATTATCAACTAAACAAAACAACTAAAATATTTTAAAACATTAGTCAATACAAATTTAAGTCTGAGCTGAAAGAATGAGGATTCCAAATGCTTCCCTTTTTTTTTGTGCAGGTAAATTGAGAAAACTTAAACCAAACTAGATAGACTTTTGTAAAAAAAAAAAAAAATAATCACTAGCAACACTCAGTAATAATCACAGTATCAAATATTTGTTTGAGGGCAATGGGAATTTGAAAAGCCAAAATTACTCTAAAGTAAATATTCGAGCTGCAATATCCCGAATAAGCCAATCAATGCCAGAAACAAGATTTTCTCCTGTGACTGCACTGCACGGCAAGATGTACCAATGATGTGTTTTTAAGCTATTCAAATCCAGAATCTGCGGAGAAGAAAAAAATATGAGAATTTTATTAACTTGATTTTTTCAATAATTTGTAAAAATAACAATAAATCAGCACTTTCACTCGGGTTAAAAAATCCAGAACTTTTCCAAAATACACTCACAGCGAGCCATATGTTGCCTGTTAACATTAATATAGTATGTACAATGTTAAATTGTATTTCCTGGCTACCTTGTACAAGACTAATAATGCATCACACATCCACATTCTTCATGAATTACTGTTCCTTATCAAAAAACAGAGAATGTCATCATGAGGTGGGGAAGTCATTAGCCCAGGTGAAATAGAGCAATGATAAAAAAAAAAGGTCACCATCTATTCACCACATACTCCACTATGTACAATATAATCAACTTCACACAAAAAGAAAATACTGTACTCATATTGGCACCGCACTGCTTCACCCAACTTCAGTACAGTAGATGCAAAGTACTTTATGGGAGTTCACCCACATTTACCATGTCGACCCAATTTTGTTCTCGGCTTTCCTATCTGCCAGTCTGCCTACCTTCAACTACTCTATTACTCAGTCATTCCCCTTATGACCAATTCCTCTCAATAAGCAGATATCAATCTTATTATTTCCTGACTTGTACATGTATTCTATAACTTTACTCATTTTAATGTCTTGCCCGGTTCATGTACAGTAATACCATAAATGCATTTTAGTTTTATTTTCAAAAACTCTTAAATGTTATTATTGGTTATGCGTATACCACATCACTCCTTCATGCAATCTTTGAACTGCCTCTTCCTGTTTTAGTCTACATAATCAGTTCTTCAAACCACACCAGCTACTCTTAACTTTGTGCAAAATTCCACTTTTGTGAATGACAGCCCAGATATTGAAACTGGTCAACTGCTATGAGGACTTTTGTTTACAATTACTGTTTTAGTTTCCTTCTCTCTCTCATTATGTATTACCATTACTTTTGCCAGCTTGGCTGGCTTTTGGTTACTTAGTGTGTGTGTGTGTGTGGGGGGGGGGGGGGGGGGGGGTATGTAGATGACACATAACGTAGTATTTGGGACAAAGGCAGGGTCACGAGAAAATACTATATTATACACAATAATCGCAACATACAAATAACGCTGTAATATTTAGACATAACACTGTGTAATCTGTAAGACCCAACTACATAGTAGTTACTGTACTATCATACATGTACATAACAACTGCAATGTGAATAAAACTAACTGTAACTGTAATTAATTTCATACAAGACATGCATAATAGCTTTGTAACAATTAATGTCGAACAACACCTGCTGGGGTTTGAGTATAGCTTTTTATCCTCTGGAATCATTTTTGCACTACAACTCATTGATGTCAATAATTAGTCTATAAATCAATATGTGCACCATACAGTATAACATAATAAAACAAAGGGTGATAAGTGCTCTACTGAAGCTTTCACATGTATAGATATGAACATATTGAAAATAAGTAATTTATGTAATTATTATGATTTTCTTTTGCAGGCTCTCAAATTTACAATAAAGTAGCTTCAAACAGACGTCATGTGAAAATAACTCATTTTTAATGTAATGGCAATTTTGTCTTTCTTTACATCAGTGTTGCCATCCCCGCACCTTTACTCCATTTAAACCATATATTATTGATCAAGTTCACAACCTCTGGCATTAATAACCCAAAATTAATAGACTGCCTGAAAGACGCACTCCTAGAATGTGATAACCATTTTCCATTGTTCTCAAACAGCTGACATAATACAATAACTGGATACAGCTGGAAACAGAGCTTAACACGGTACCACACATTTCTGCAAGCAAAATTGTCTCTTGTCACTATTGTTGCTGACATTGCTAAGACCCTTTAGCCAGAACCTTTACTTTTTACTTTTAGAACCTTTAGCCAGAAAGGTCTCTATATTCTTCAATGCTTGTGTCTTTGTTTTTATATTTTTTAGATCTAACATTTTGTATAATGATTTTTCGCATAATGTAAATAGAGCTCAATGAGTGACAATAACATGGCACAAACACAATAACGTGTTACTTTGTGTTATTTTACACTCAAAATTATTTTTAATAATATTACAAATTAGAGAATATGCTCTTTCACACATTTTGATTTGGAAAAAATCAGCGTTTAATGTAATGAAACGCCATTTTCTGGGTGAGACCCGGAGCCTACTGGGCTTCCCCCAGAAAACTCCCTAGTTGTAGCTAGACTGCATACTTGTGATTAGCTATTTTTCTATAAATAAATGATAAAATCCGTGCACTTTATTTTTAGCTGTTCTTTCCCAGAAGAACTATTGACATCTTTTAAATTCATACTGGTGCATAATCGAACTGGTAGTGGTGGTTTTTAGTCTGGTGAAGGGGGTTATGGGGACATGTTGGGCACTCCATTGAGGATCTAAAAAAGTTAAGAACCCCCTGACCTAGGAGATTACCTTTCCCCAACACAGGGAAACCAAAACTACTGGAGTATAAAGGGAAAATTCTACCATATTGTATAACAAGTAACAACTTACATCTCTTATCTGTTCATCTGAAAGAGCTTCAGGCAGATCCTGCTTATTTGCAAATACCAAAAGTGTTGCTCCAGCTAACCTCTGAAGAAGAAAGATACATAATTGTATTAGGCTCTAGTAATCATTACTCTGCCTGTCTGAAGATACAAGCAGTGAGTTACGTACATCACAACAATATATGCACTACTCTCTCTCCTCATGCCTTACATTTTACACTGCATCTAAGTTTTGAACATTATATCACCAACCACATATCATGCCACCAAAGAAAAGCAGCCCTAAAACAAGGAAAAGAATATTAGAAGGAAAGTAAGTAATTATCAAAGGCACAAAGCAGGGAAGATTATGCAATACCATCAAAGACGCTTTTAAATTCATCTTTTAAAATAAATTTAAAAGGCATTAAATATCACTAAGGATACCAATACAAAAACAAAAGCACATAAGGCGAGGGATATCAAAGGTATCAGATTCACCAGGGATTCGATTTAGGGACAAATGACCACGAGGGAGAGTCAGGAAGCAAGATACACGAACATCCTGAAAGTCAGTTCATTCAACAATGAGATGCATGACTAAGAGGGACAAAATGGAGCAGAGTGGTACTCCATTAAGTGCCCACGAGTAAAACGTGTATGGGCAATACATAACTTTATCAAAGCTGTTTCCCACTGCCAGTTACAGTGGTATTAGAAGCAAATTAATGCTGGAATAATGAATTCAACTAATATAAATTATGCTACCTCATCCAATATCTTGTGATACTTTTTAAATATCTTACACCTTACATTATATTAATTTGTCCTTGTTTTAGAGTTCATTATTATAATTGGTAATTCAACCTGATACCTTTGATTTGTGTTATTTCATATATCATGTAGGGAACAAAGTTGATTAAAGATGAGAAACTGAAATCTAATATATTATTTACCTCCAGCTACTTCATATATCTTCCCCCAAAGCTACCTGTGTAATACCACCACCAGGCATAAGGTACAGGGAACCCCATTACAAACAAACCAAGTGTGAATACTGTAACATTAGGGCCATGATAGTAGAAGAAACGAAGCAGTGCTATAAATTAGTTTGGTGGGCAAAAGCAACGTTAATTTTCATCCACTATTTTTCTAGTAAAACTATAAACGCATAGATGAGCTTCCCAAAACTACACTGTTGGAACCAAAGCCACTATTGATTCTAGATTATTTTAGGGTTTGGGATAACGGAGCCCCATATGGAGCTTCTGATTATGATATGCTCATAGCTAGTACTGTGTAGCAATGTCTACAATTTTTGTTTGCAGTTATTGAGCATATGATTTATCAGATATACTCACTGCTCCCATTTAAAAAACAAAACTGTACATGTACAAATTGCATCAAAAAATAAAACTTACCTCTTCCTCTAGTAACTTCTTTAATTCTCCCTGGCAGTCTCTTAGGCGGTCAACATCAGCACTATCAACCACCCATATAAGTCCGTCAGTGCACTCAAAGTAGTTACGCCAATAAGATCGTAGGGAACTCTGCCCACCAACATCCCAGATGTTTAATTTATATCTTAAAGGGAGGAAGGGATTCACTGTTTAATATACAGGATAAATATATACTGTACATCTGTACGTAATATATACTGTACTGTATTAACTTGTCAGCCATTATGTTTATGGTATTTTGTCTTGGAGGACAAAATAACTTTTATAAGAGTCCTCCATTTTGTTTAAGCTTTCCAATTTATATATCACAGCATTTATAATCCATTTATATATCACAGCTTTAAGCAAATTATACTTTGATGAATTCAATTATTATAGGAATAAATCTACCATAGAGGCTACAGGTTATTATTCCATCTACTGTACAGTACAGTAGCTACAATATACAATTATTAAAACTATCATGATATAAAATATATTTAAAAGAAAAATCATTACACACTTAAAAGCCAAAAAATATCTACTTACCCATACTTATCAACGATATGCTCAACTGTCTTTATGTTGAACCCATATGTTGGAGATATGGTGCTTATGTCCTCACCACAAAACCGTTTTACTACAGTAGTTTTCCCTGCATTGTCTAATCCACTATACATTGCAGTTAAGGTCAAACCATGTTATATTGTACAGTACTGTATCTTAATACAGTACTGTACTGAGTGCTGTTCATTATATCTGAACTGACAGCCAAATAGAAAAAAAAATGGATACAAAAAAATCTTTCAATGCAGATATTTACAAGGTTTCAAATCCTTGAGTATAAGTAAAACATTGTAATAAAAAGTTCAGTACTGATATTATATCAACAGTATTTTGAAGAACAAACAGTATGTATACTGTATACCAACATTGAAAAACTAAATAAGTTTATTGTGCATTTTAATTCACAGCCATATTGGAAATCTACTGACATACATCATTTTAGTATGTGGACAGAATGCTTATTTCCTGCAAAGATATGGCTTAAGGCCATACCCCTCCTGCTGAAGCTTCATATTGGTTTTAAAATTGGCCAACAAAAGATTATATGACCCACTTACAAAAAGGAATCTTACTTTAATCAACATACTTCAAACGAGCCATAATGTAGGACAGAAAAAATGTTTTTTCAACCAAAGAGTTATAAACCTATGGACCCACCTACTCAAAGAAGCCATAAATGCCAAAACATTGTTGGATTTCAAAATCCAGCTTGACAAAATCATCAGGACAAATGGGGAGACCTTCGACAAGCTACCAGCTTCCTGTCTTTGTCACTGTGACTAGAGAGATGGTGGCTCTCAGATAAATTTAGGTACATATGCAGAGAAATATGAATTATGATGAAGGACTAGGAATTAAATCTCACATAGCCAGAAGAAAAATTATTGAAACAGCGAATATATAATAGCCTGATACCAAATTTTCAAGGGAATAGACAGGGCAGACATGGATAGAATATTTAGCATGGGTGATACAGGAACAAGAGGACACAGGTGAAAACTATGTACCCAAATAGGCTAAAAAAAGAAAAAAGACAATAGAGAGAATTTTTCAGTGTCAGTAGTGAACAAACGGAATGTATTAAGAAGGATAGAAGTAAACTTCATACACAGCTTTAAATGATGTTATAACCGAGTCCAAAAGGCTTGGAACCTGTACATCAGTCGTTGAAGGTTATGAGGCAGAACCAAAGATATGAAGCTTCACTCCTGCAAAGCAAAATATAATGTTAGGGAAGCCTTACATAAATTTGAGATTACAAAGGTCTCATGGGAAGAGGACATATTTTAATATAGATCCACTAGGTGTTGCATTATTTGGATATAGGTCCATGGCATGCCACACAATTTGGGTACAGGCACATGGGACACTGCTGTTTAGAGGCTAAACAGTATCTGAATAGCAAGCAAAAGGTTCTTGTCAATTCTAATAGTCAAGAACCTATAAGAATAATTGTGAGAACAGTAAGCTAACAACTGAAACATCTTGTGCAGACGATGAGACTCAATAACATGGCTGAAGTTATAATGACTAGACCACACTTCAGAAAGTGGAGAAATGACAATGTTTCGGTCTGTCTCAGACACAGCTTGATAATGGTCCAGGACAGACCTGAAACATTGTCGTTTCTTCACTTTCTGATGTGTGGTTTAGTCATTATATGAAAGATCCTAGAATTGATTTCTACTCAAGTGGTGATGTTTTGACATATTTCCTTATAACCAACTTAAAATTTCCTTAAAATTTTCCAACAAAGTTATTGATCATTTTGTTCAAAAGACAAGAGGAATTCCATTGAACTACAGTATGTATAAAATGTTAAGGCAAATTATAAAATAGGAAGTAGTAACATAAATTATACTAAATGAATTAATATCTTTTTATTAATTTTTCATTTTTTCACAACATGCCTCAGAGTTCATGTACTCAGTACCGCGAGTACACAAATCACTCGGTTAGTGTATGATACAGTTATCCATGCATTACCTGTACACTATTAATTTTTGCTATTTGAACTACTAGTATCCTACTTAATGTGAGAGAGTGAAAAAATGAACATTTAAAATGTTACTACCATGGTTTAAAGAAACTTTCACACAGTAAAATGCACAAAATAATAATAATAATAATAAAATAATTAGTTTGGCTCTCCAGTACAAAAAGGATACAGCATAAGGATTCGAACTTCATGCTCCTTTTGCTTCAGCTTCTTAAGTATACTGTGCAACCCCATCTTTGTCACTCGTGGTGCTCCAACGATGTCGCCTCAGAAGAGAGAGTTCTAGGATCACACAGTAGCCACAGAGCACAGTGCTATGTTCACAGATTTTGCCGAGTAGTGTTGGGAGACCACAGACGTGGCTTGGGGTAGTGTTGGGAGACCACAGACGTGGCTTGGGGTAGTGTTGGGAGACCACAGACGTGGCTTAGGGTAGTGTTGGGAGACCACAGACGTGGCTTTGGGTAGTGTTGAGAGACCACAGACGTGGCTTAGGGTAGTGTTGGGAGACCACAGACGTGGCTTAGGGTAGTGCTGAGAGGCCACACACTTGAGACCACTGCACTTGAGACGTTCCAGGCGTGTTGACGTTCCTTGCTCGCAACTCCTACACACACACACACAAACTCTCTCTGGAAACATGTTATATTATAAGTATAATGTGTAATAAACATGACTTCGTGAGTTTTGGGCTTTACAATATCGCCAAAATTTACGGCTGTTGGAAAATTTATTACTAGGCAAAATTATATCAAACGGCGAAATAAAAAATCATTTTTTATTTCGGCCACCGAAATAAAAAATGATGGGCCAACAAATAATGTCCATTACCGAAGCTGAATGTTGAACGTACTTAAAATATTGGCTATAAATATTTCTTGCGAGAATGATTAGTTTATATATTTGTGAATAGGTTTATCGGCGTGAGAAGAAATAGTGGCGTGGTGGTGATGGCCGCCGGTATATGTCTCATGCCTATTTGTCTCATTCACCTCCACCGGCTTGGTAGGCACTAGTCTCTCATCAACTAGGGGTTGATACTTGTAAATGACACTGTCATTGTCTATTACTGCATTGGTAGAATGAGGTAGCTGGAACTACGAGAGGATAGGGTGCCATAGAAGTCTGTTAATTAATACATTTGCATGACACCGGCAAGTTTGTGGCTCCTTGGGTAGGGCAGAAGCCCCGGTCTTTGGTGTGGAATGTTAAGAGTGGTCATAATGGCTGGTGGAGAGTTATATAGTGAGACACAGTGTAGGGAGAAGGCGACCTCAAGGCTCCGCACTCACATGTTCCCTCTACTGTGTGGGTCACTGTTTTGGGAGGCGTCTCCTGCCTCTACTGTGGACTCTGTGTCCCCCTAGGGCTTATACACCACTACTATGTCCACTCGGCTCACTTTATCCACACTCTTTGCAAATAATTCGATTAATTTTCAATAATAATGTTGTAGAACCATCGTACAAGTCCAGTAATGTTTTGGGTGATGAATGGTGTAGTGGGCGAGTGTGTTGTTGTTTACTGGGTGTATTGGGTGTAGTGCTGTAGTGTGCCCTCTGGGGCTTCTTATCTGGAGTACACACCACCGACTAACTCTTCAAGATGCCTCTCACGGAAGAAGAAATCTCTCAGTTTAGAGTTGTGGACCTGAAGGCTAAACTGGCGACCTTTGGGCTGCCGACCCACGGTATGTTGCAGACTCCAGACTGGGCGATGGCTTCACTCATCCCTTATTCAATTTTTTCATTTAAAATACAATATGTACAGTCGCTGGCAAGTCTTCCATGTGTGGGGGTGGGGAGGTAAAACTTTGTGACACTTTTTTTAGGTGGTAAGATGTGTCAAGAATTACAACATTTTGTTTTTACATTAACCGATTGGTTTTAAGTATTTTTTCCAGTATTTTCATTACTACACTTGTCAGTGATAAAATTAAGGAAGGGGGGTATTCCATGCTACCACTTTTGTAGATTGGAACTTTGTTAGCTTTTTTCATACATGCCAGGGCTCCTGTACACAGAATCCTGAAAAATCAGTCGAATTGAACTGGGCCTGATGGCTGAGGGGACAGCGCTCGGGATTCGTAGTCCTAAGGTTCTGGGTTCGATCCCCAGTGGAGGCTGGGGATCGTAAATTCTCCATATACATGGAGAATTTACAGTACTGTACTGTAATATGAAAGGTAAAAGAAATGTGATTAATTAAAAACTAAATAGACATTATAGTTTAAAAGAGGGCACATGCTTGCTGTTAAAAGTTAGGTAATGACTTATATATATAAGAGCTAGGAAAATATAAAGCTGAATAAAGTATAAGAGAAGCAGAATTCATTGCATCAAGCATCAGAATGATATTAATGTTTCAACTTAGATACTCAAACTCGCCCAGCATTTGCATCTTCTCTAGACATACTATTCACCTATACAATACTCACATATGCATCCCTCTTCTCCCCCCTTCCCCCCCAAACACATTGTCACTTGTGTGTTGGAGAGGCTACTGTAAATGTAATAGTGGCAATTAATAATTGAATTTGTGTTGTAATCTAATAATTTGTGATCATTCCAGGTCTGAAGAATGAATTAGTGGATCGTCTCTACCAGCATTTACAAATTGTTGATGTGCCAAAGATGCCTGAAGATGTAAAAGGTAAGGAGCTTATATGGTAGTTACATGTTAGAAGTAAGGGATACTGCACAGGTGTCTATGTACATCATTTATTCTGGCATCATGTTTATTCAGACCATAAGTTTTCTAGTAAGCCTATACTATATAATTTTTTGTTTGGTTACCAGGAATGTCAATAACTTCCCTAAGTAGTCGGGAACTTATGACTTTATTTAGAAGTGCTATTAATAAAACATCTTGTTTTATTAATAGCACTCTATTCTTTCACTCTATCTTATCCTTATTAGGACCTATGTATTTTGATTATGTAGTTCAGCTTTAGACAGTATTATAGGATGGTTTCTCTGGTCAGCGTACTTCATACTTTGTCCCTATCGAGGCCACTAGAGGCAGTGACCTTCAGATCAATTCATATTAGAAAAGTAGTTGATTTGTTAGTCACGGTGTTAAATATATGCACCACAGCCTGGCTGATAGGGATTTTCTAGAATAAACTGTTACATTATGAGAGAGTATTACCTGTGTGTCTTATATTCTTAATGGGACTCTTTATTTCAGTAACAAATTTGTATACATGTAATGATGAAATTTGTAAACTGCATTAATTAAATATGCTTTATATTTTGCCAGATAAATTGGGAAGTCATCATGGAGGTGTTGAACAAAGTCCATCGGGAGAAAAGAAAGATGGAGGTGTGAGTGGGTCAGATCACCAGAAGCTTGCACATTCTCAACAAGATGAACAGATGCAGCAGGAAGATATGGTCATGGAGGAGGATGAAGAACAGAATCAAAACCAAGGCCAGAATGAGCTCATCAGGAAGGCTAGAGAGCAAGAAGAGGTAATAAATATTATTTATTGGTAGAAAGAGTATTGTACTGTACTTTTTTGTTAATATGGTAAGCGATTGGGATTGAAATTTAGGCCTCCAGGCCTAGAAAACATATAGGGTACGTTGTTTAGTTTCACAACTGATAAAATGTGCTGTATACGGAATTTATATTTTTGTAATTGTATCAGGAATGCTATTCAGTAAAGCTTGTCATATTTTAATGGTTTGGGATGGGCTCATTTGAATATACCTGTAGATGCTGTATAACAAAATTTTAGACATTTTTGCTACCATAGTCTAAAAGGCCTAATTACCTATCGTTGTGTACAATTTAAGCTGAAGAAATCAAATGCATGGTGACAATGTAGAGGCAAACTGCGCATCACCTGCTTTTTTTTTTTTTTTTTTTTTTTTTTTTTTTTTTTTTTTTTTTTTTTTTTTTACCTTAGGCAGCTCTGATCATAAACATTCATTTCATATCTCATCTTTATTTATTTGTGTTTATTTACCCATTTAAATACATATTCATGCAATTTTTATATTAATCATTAGTTTATTTAATGAGACATGATCATTTAGACTGTAGAAAAAAAATTGTACAGTGTAGTCTTTATTATTTACATATTCAAATACTGTACATGGTTATGCTCCTTTACAGTATTATATATTAATTTCTAAATTAGGAAACAAGACAGTCATTTTGTTTAAGAAATGAGTTGGAAGTTAGCTGCATTTTACTAGCTCCATTTCATTCCTAGGCGGCTGGTTGGCTAGCTAAGATATATAAATATTTGTATCTTTTTGTTTGTCTATTAGTACATTATTTTGATTTATTCCTATGTGGAATGATCAAAGTTTTGGCAGTGTTAATTTATGACAATATGGTAACCATTTGGGTGATGATGATTAGTGCTAGCCGTTCTCAGTGTAAATTGATTCTAATGACTAGCCAACCACCCTGATTAAACACCTGGATATTTATCTAGATATTTGTGGTCTGAAAGCATATTACAGTTTAAATAATAGTCTACTTGTAAACTGGCAAGTGAACCCTTTTCCTAAACAGATAATATCCTAAAACTATTACTTTATTGTATTAGAAATTGCTGGTTTAAAATATAAAAAGTCTATGCTTAACTTTTCTTTGAAATGGTCTGAAATTTTTTTCTGTAAATGAAATTCTAGGCAATACTCAAATAGTTTCAAAATGTCATATCTCACTTGTTTTGAGAATAATACACCATATTAATGTAACCAAACCTAACAAAACCTAACCTAACCATGCCTAACCTTAATGCAATCTAACCATGGATAAGGAGCAGATAATATCACTAATTACATAGTTGATTTGATGTGATTACCCCAAGGTACCTCCTCCCAGAGGGCAGGTTGGGTTAGTGAGGGTTGGTGGTAGTCCGTGTAAAGAATTTTTTCACGAGCTTTGCACTGTGTTGTAAGTCACACTACAAATTTGTTTAAGAAATGACATACATTACATCCAGTCCCAAGTCCTTTTCTCGTTTTGATCTGTGTTGCCTTTCCCGTAATGATTTAGATTCCTTCTGGTCTTCAATCTTCGTTAATCATCTCATTACCTTAGACTTGTTAAGGTTGAACTCTCATGGCTATTGTCTGTTCACTCTTCTAGTCTTACTGCAGCTCTATACAGTCCCCCTCAGTTTTAACTTCATTTATTATCTTGTCCATGTTTGCTGACAATGAAGTGTACAAACTCACTTCCTCTGATTGATCATTCGCATAGATTAGAAACAGCAAGGGTCCTAGGAGTGAGTCTTTGTGGATCCCACTTTCTATTCCCCTCCAACTTGTTGCATCCCCTCTCCTCTTTATTTTCTGATCTTTGTTTCTTGTTTGTCAAATGCATCTTTGCCCAGTTCAGCTTGCCTTTCCATCTTATACAAAAGTCTTTTGTGTGGAACTCTCGTCAAATTTTGGACTAAAAAGATGCAGGTTACCTAATCTCCTTTCTCCTGGTGTATCTTAGTGACCCAGTCATTGAACTTAACTGGGTATCATATATTAATTGACCTCTTAGAAAAGCGAACATGTTTTTAAATAAATACAACACTTCATTTTGTAAATTGTTATATATTGCTCCTTCTATATGAAAAGTTGACGAAAACTGTGTTCTCAGATGATTAGCCGTCAACGGGAGATGGAAGAAGAACGTCTGATACAGCATAAAGTACGAGAACAGCAACGGCTTCTTGAACAACAGCAGCAACAGAAAAAGCAGGAAGACCTGTATCGCTTACAGCATGCAGCCTTCATGGAGAAACAGAGAGAGGAGCAGGAGAAAGAAGTACAACTCTTAAGGCTACAAAGAGAGGCTTTAAAACAAAAGGAAGAAGAAAATATAAAGGTGAGGGCTTATTAACTTACTGTATCATAACCATTGTTACTTGGTGGAATCTTGTTAAGGTGTTGACATACATGGTGACATAGTTGAATATTGTGTTTGCTGGGGAAGTATAGTAATTATGGTTTGTTTTCTTAGCATGTGTCTGCTTGAAGAGAGAGCTTCATTTAATGTAATACTTATTAACATGCTTGATCGTGTACTTTTTTGAATTGCAAATCATAGACACTGTTTTATTTGGGCAGCCCTTTTTGTATTTTCTCTGTGTATATATATATATACATATATCTATGCAAAAGGGTTGAATAATTTGGCAAATAAATAATTTAATCCTGGAAGTTCAAGCAATTGTTTTTATAGGAAGTTAAAATGTGATATTATACTTTATGTACAGTCATAATCCTAGATTAAAAAATTTATTTGGCCAATATGTTAATTAGCTAAATTCTATGTAAATTACATGAAAAGGTAAATTTATTTTATTTTGACAGCTTCCAGCTCCTGGAGTACCCCCTGGAGTTTCAGCAGCTTCAGCACGTGCCCCTGTGCCCCCATCAGTTGGCGCTAGACCCGCTAGTGTGGGCACTGTTCCAGTCTTGGGTCCACCAGGAGTTAAAGCATCTGTTGTTGTACCGCCTTCACCATCTTTTGGTCCTAGGCCCCAAGGGCCAATAAATGTTGGTGGACCAACAGGGTTTACTGGCCCTAGTCCTGTGCCCAGCACAGGCCTACTTGGTCCAGGACCTGGATCATCACCAAAGCCTACTCCATCCCCACAGCAGCCTTCCCTCAGACCCCCACTTTTACAGTCATCAAGCCCACGCACTGCCACACCAATGACTCCCCAGCGTCCACCTGTAGCAATGTCAAACTCGTCTGCTAGACCCCCTGTAAGTTTTTTATTATTGTTCATTATGCAGAAGTATCATATATTGCACTACCAAAGTATAATCTCATCTTAGGCTTACATAAGGGATTTTTGCAGTCATTTAATGCTTTGCATCATTTGTTAGTCGAAATTCAATATTGGGTGCTTTTAATCTCTAGCAGATTTATATAGGTTGAGTTTTGCTGGGTTCTCAGTCATATTGGTATTTCCTTAAATGAGAGTGTGGACTCTGGAGCTAAGGAGGTTATCCTCACTTCTCATTTCCTGAAAAGGCATTTCTTATTCCAATCTCTACCCAGTCATTCATTCCTCTATCCATGACCGTTGGCAGGCTTGTTGGTTTTGGGTTACTGGTAACAAACTGTGTGCTCTAAAGGGTAGTCTGTCCCTTAGCCTTCCTCCTCCCACCATAACAGGCAGTGGGAAACGGCTCTGGGAAGGTTACATACTGGCTATACATGTTTAACTCGTGGGCACTTAATGGAATGCTGCCCTTCTTATTGTTCAAACTGCATTGTCCCTCTTACAGTCGTGCATCTCCTTGTTGAATGTCATGATTTTCAGGATGTTCATGTGTCTTGCTTCCCGACTGGCTCTCGCTGTCATTTATCCCCTCAGGAGAATCCTTAGCAAATTCAATATCTTTGATTTTACTTGCCTTATGCACTCTCATATTGTCATGCTTAGTAATATTTAGCAAATTTTTAATATCCTGTGACTTTGATGGTGCTATATAGTCTTCCTGGGTTAGTGACTTCTTTTGATAATTAATTGCTTACATAAGTGATATTTTCTGTGGAGCCACGTCAGCTCCCTGAAGCTATCTGTACTGATATGTGCTATATTAGTTTGGGGTCATTAGTCACAGGAGTTCTTATGCTTACCAAGAACCACGAGCCAGACCCTGGTCCCCTGAGAGAAGCTCAGGGAGCAATGGCCTATGACCACTTTACATTTAAAGTACTGTACAGTGCACTGTCATAATTGTCATCGACCGGGGAAGGACCCAGAAAAGTAGGCGAATCAAAACGGACCACTGTCCCGTGTAATCTACATCTCAAAAGATCAAAATAACTCTTCTAGAAAGAAACCAAACAAGCAACCCTGCATGCGCCTAGCACTTCTGCTCGTTAGCACTACCCCCCTCCCCATCCTATGAGGGAGCCAGCTCGCCAGAGCCGACAGCCTACCACTCCAGTTATTGGACTGATGTGCTAGTGGTCACTTCAGTCAACTCTGGCCTCAAGTTACTCTGGGTGAGCCCCCAAGGCTCACCCAGAACCCTCCCTGACACCCTCCCTCCAGTCGGCGGTTTTTCATCATTTAAGAACTAAAGTGGTCAGCTTCCGGCTCCAGTGAGCTGGCGCCCCCTCCCCTCTATGGGGGGGAGGGGGGCCTTGTTATTGGCCCCCAAAATTTTTGGCCTCCCTTGCCTTACCCCCTACATGGGAGGAGGGGGTAGTGCTAATGAGCGGAAGTGCTAGTTGCATGAAGGATTGTTTGTTTGGTTTCTTTCTAGGGGGGTTATTTTGATCTTTTGAGATGTAGATTACATGGGACAGTGGTCCGTTTTGATTCGCCTACTTTTCTGGGTCCTTCCCCGGTCGATGGCAATTATGACAGTGCACTGTACAGTACTTTAAATGTAAAGTGGTCATAGGCCATTGCTCCCTGAGCTTCTCTCAGGGGACCAGGTTCTGGCTCGTGGTTCTTGGTCCAAACTAATATAGCACACATCAGTTCAGATAGCTTCAGGGAGGCTCCGGGGCTCACACAGAAAATGGCGTTTCATTACATTCAACGCTGGTTTTTTGCCCTGGCCATATTTGTGTACATGTGGTTCCATGACGAGTATATATGGAGTTTAGACTTAATAGCATTGATATAGCCTTTGCACAAGAGTAATGGTTATGATTGTGTTTCAGGGTGCAGGTCTTCTGGGTGCAGCTCCCCCAGCAATGACTCCTCCTGGAGAAAGCCCAGAGAAGGGAGAGAAGCCTCCACCACTCATGTCCCTACAGGTCTCTGCCCCCAAGGAAGAGGCACCCAGAGAAGTCAAGCTTCCACAAGCACTTGAACAAGCACTGGCATTTAAGTCAGAAAGGGCCAAACAGGTATGTTATTTGTAATACTGTATAAATGTTAATATTTTATGAAGTAATTTCTTGCGCTAAGGTCTTACTTGTTGAACCCATCTTCACATTTCCAGAATGTTCATTCTCTTAATACAGTTTGGCCAGTTTGAAATAAAGTACAATAAAAATGTACTTTATTTTCCATTAATATAAGGTTCTACATTCATTATCCTCTACCTCTGTATGAGTTGCTTCAGGACCTCTCTGCTCAAAATATTCACAAGATAAATATTATAGTTTTCTAGCTTCCTATCATTGGGTCAGTTTTCTTTGCTTGTAGTTCCTTCCCTAGCCTCTCTGCACCATCCAATTAAGTTTCTGTAAAGGAGATCCATGGCCCACTGTGAGCCTATAAATGAAAGCAGGGTTTATATTTTATAGTTCGTGAATATTATGACCACCATCAAGAAGACCTTGACAAACTTCAGGAGTAGGCAAATAAATGATTGCTGGAATTTAATCCAAATAAGTGTAAAGTATTAAAAATGGGTAAGGGAGACAGGAAACCTATAATTAACTACACCATAAGGGGAAAACAATTATAAGAAATAATAAGAGAAAATGACCTGAGAGCAGATGCTTGGGACTAGCCTCACCCAACTTTTCAAGATGATAAATGAGTGGTATGGAAATATCATAAGCTAGGCGGGGTCAGCTCCAGTGCCCTCCTTTATGAAATATCTCATTTATTTCAGTAAGTCAGGGATTTGTTTTCATGTAGAATTTTGTTAACAGGTTTTTGCCTGTTTGTAATATTAAATTTCCTGAGAGTGAGAGATAGAGGGATGTTGGGAGAGAAGGGATGGGGAGATATAGGAGGATTAGAGAGAGGGAAGAATGGGAGGAAAGATGGAGAAGAGAGAGAAGGGAAGAAAGAGAGGTTAGAGAAAGGGAGGACAGAGACCCGGGCACAGCTGGGTATCCCATCACGTTAGATGTAAGACCAAATGAGCATGGGGAAATGGAAAACAGTTTAAGAAAGAACCAACATAGTTTAAAGAAAGCAAATCCTGTATAAAAAATTAAAAGATTCTTGTGACACGATGGCTAAGATAAGTAGAAATGGAAAAGCTGAAGGGAGTGCATATTATTAGTGCCAGAAAGCTTTAGGCATTGTTCTTACAGAATATTATTTTACAGAATGGAAAAGTAGGTTGAGGAAGTTGAACTCAACATGTAAAATAGTTTAGACAAATTGAAGAAGGACTGGTTAATATAAGGTGAACAAGATTGAATAGGTGGAAAGTGGCAAAACAGACATTGCAAAAACAGTATTCCACAATTGTTTGAGAGTAGTGAAGAAGTGGAGTGAGCTTGCTTCTCTGCCTATGACTTTTACTCGGAAGTGTATCATTCTCCGTCCCTCTTTGTCACTTTATGGTCATCCGCTTGTTTACAAGAATTCTGCTAAGCTTCTGGGGTTAATCTTTGACACTCGTTTGTCTTGGTCGGCCCATATATCTTACCTCTTTGCTGAATGCTCTAAGACCCTTTCCCTCCTTAAGGATTTGTCCCATACTTCTTGGGGGGGCGGATAGGCGTACGCTCCTCTCTTTACATTCCTCACTTGTCCTGTCTAAACTCGATTATGGTTGCCCTGCTTACTCGTCCGCTTCTCCTACTCTTCGCCGTCTTGATGCTTTACACCATGCTGGGTTGCACCTCAGCTCTGGTGCCTTTTGTTCGACTCCCGCCCTCAGCTTGTATGTTGACACTGGCTTCCTATCTCTCCAGGATCGCCGTGATCGCTACTGTCTTTATTAACTTGTGCAGTCCTTGCAACATCCTTCCTCTCGCCTCTGTCATGCCTTGACTTTTACCCCTCCTGTATTTCCTGTTCCTCTTCACCACCTCCCTCTTTTTGTCTGGCTATCTCGCTTACAGAACTCTTCCCATTCGTCTTTCTCATATTTCTACTCGTATTGTTCCTTCCTTGCTCCCATCCCCCTTCCGAAGTTTTGTACATCCTTGACCCACGTTACTAAAGCTTTTACTCTTCCTACGGTTCCGAAGCGCCTTTTTCTTGAGCACTTTTCTTCACACTCCTGCTCCGTTTCCATTTTCATCTTCACAGTGGAAATTTATGCTATTCTCTATGCTCTTCGTCTCCTGCTTTCTCGTTGTCAATCCTCCTCTGTGATTGTAGTTGACTCTCGTAGTGCCCTCGTGGCTCTTGGGTCCTTAAATCCTGTCCATCCGATAGTTGTCGAGATTCAACATTGGCTGTTTCTTAACTCTAGTAAATTTAAACATGGCGAGTTTTGCTGGGTTCCCAGCCATATTGGTGTTTCGTTAAATGAGCGTGCGGATGCAGCCGCTAGAGAGGCTATCCGCTCTTGTTCCATTTCCCTAAAGGTATTCCTTTTTCCGACTTTTACCCGGTTATTCATTCCTCCATCATTGCCGGTTGGCAGGGTTGTTGGTCTTCTGTTGTTGGTAACAAACTGCATACTCTTAAGCATTGTGTGTACCTGTGGCCTTCCTCCTGCCACCGTAACTGGCGGTGGGAAATGGCTCTAGCAAGGTTGCGTCTTGGCCATACTCGCTTAATTCACGGACACTTAATGGAGCGCCGCCCAGCTCCTTATTGTCCAAATACCATTGTCCCTCTTACCGTCGTGCATATCCTTGCTTAATGTCCTGACTTCCAGGACGAGCGTGTGTCTTGCTTTCTAACCGTCCCTTGCAGTCACTTGTCCCTCGATAGAATTCTTGGTGAATTGGTTACTTTTGATATCGTTCGCCTTATGCGTTTCTGTTCTCGTATTGGCATGCTTGGTGATATTTAGCTCCCTCTGATTATTCCGTGCGTTTGATGGTGCTCATAGCCTTCCTGGTTTGGTGCCTTCTTTTGATAATTACTTACTTGCTTCTCTGCCATTCCCAATATTTGTGATGTCTTGAAATAATAAATATTTTGCCAAATAATTTTCTCTATTTTTTATTGCTGTTTTATATCTGGCAGGCACCTTGAACTTTTCACATTATAATTACTAATGCAAGCATTTTTGGCTACTTATTTCATGAACACTTATCCAGAATTCTTCAACAGTTGTGTAATGAATTACTGTTTAATCTTTATCATTTGAAGGTTCAGTATAGGGAAAATTTGTGTATATCTGGTCATTGTGAGCTGTAAAATTATCACCAAACTTTTTTTGTGTGTACCCCAACAGGTTGGTGTGAATCCAGAAGATGTTGAAAAGGTAGAAAGAGAAGGGCTAGCAAGAATGGATGAACTTGAAAATCAGAAGCCCCAGATACGAACTACAGTTTCTATGACCAAATCTCAAACGCCATTTATTCCTCCAGTCTATGAGGAGGAGGATGAAGAAGTTCCAGAGGAACCTAGCCAGAAAAACAAACAAGAAAAAAAGAAAAAGAAGAAGAGGAGGAGGAAAGGTCGCCATCAACTCCAGGAGGAAATGGAACGAAAAAGAATTGAAAAATTAAAGAGAGACAAGAGTGAGATTGACGATCCCAACATAGAAATTGAGTATATCCAAGACTCCATTGAATTAGATATAACAGATCCTAATTATCGTCATTTTACAAAGATATTTGAAGCATTCAGAATTGCCGAGCCAGAACCAAAAGCAGAAGAAGAGAAGATACTGCCTAAAGTGGAGATTCCCTTAGTGGATATTAACAAAAAAATTGGCCCAAAAGTGCCAGGTATTCCACTAGATGATGATGACGACGATGACGATGATGATGACCTGAAGAAGGAAGAGGATGATAAACCAAAGTTATCTAAAAGGAAAATGAAACTTTTGAAACGCATGAGCATTGCCGAGTTGAAGCAAACTGTCAGTCGTCCAGATGTAGTTGAAATGCACGATGTAACGGCCAAAGATCCAAAGTTACTTGTTCATTTAAAAGCCACTAGAAACACTGTACCTGTGCCACGCCACTGGTGCTTTAAGAGAAAATATTTACAAGGCAAACGTGGTATTGAAAAGCCACCTTTTGAACTTCCTGACTTCATCAAGCGCACAGGTATAATGGAGATGAGAGCTGCACTTCAAGAGAAGGAAGACCAAAAAACACTCAAAGCTAAAATGAGGGACAAGGTGAGGCCAAAAATGGGTAAGATTGATATTGATTACCAGAAACTTCATGATGCATTTTTCAAGTGGCAGACTAAACCGAAGATGACAATTCATGGGGACCTTTACTATGAAGGCAAAGAGTTTGAGACAAAGATGAAAGACAAGAAACCTGGAGAGATGAGTGATGATTTGAGAATAGCTCTTGGTATGCCTGTTGGAGCCAATGCTCACAAAGTCCCTCCACCTTGGTTAATTGCAATGCAGCGGTATGGTCCACCTCCATCATACCCAAATTTGAAGATCCCAGGACTTAATGCCCCTATACCAGAAGGTTGTAGCTTTGGTTACCATGCGGGTGGGTGGGGCAAGCCACCTGTTGACAACATGGGAAAGCCTATTTATGGAGATGTATTTGGCACTCAAGGCAAGGACTTTGATACTCCTTTAACAGAAGAAGAAGTGGAAAGGACATTATGGGGAGAATTAGAGAGTGAAAGTGAAGAGGAATCTGAAGAAGAGAGTGATGAAGAATCTGATGAAGATGTCAGTGGGCTTGTAACTCCTGGAGAAACTGGTCTTGTCACTCCTTCTGGTATCAGTTCACTACCCGCTGGTCTGGAGACTCCTGACATGATTGAGTTGAGAAAGAAACGAATGGAAACAGAAATGGAAGGGGGTGATACTCCTGCTCTTTATACAATTCTCCCTGAGAAGCGAACTGAGACAATGGGGCGAGCAATGATGGGCTCAACACACACCTATGATATTGGTGCAGCTGCAGCTAGTGGCATTGCTAGTAGGTCAGCCACACAGGGAGTGGAAGTAGCCCTTGATCCCTCAGAACTTGACCTTGTAGATACAGATGCCATGGCTGCACGATATGAAGCTACACTTAGGGAACAGCAGAAGGGAGAAGAAGAAGATTTCTCTGATATGGTGGCTGAGCATGCAGCCAAACAACGTAATAAAAGACGAAAGCAACAACAAGATCAGAACAAACCAACTAAAAAGTATAAGGATTTCAAGTTCTAAAGGAGATACAGTAATTACACGTGATGAAATTATATATATTTGTAGTTAGACAATTAAAGAAGCTTTCGTATATTTATTTCCTAAGTTTGTGTTTACAAAACAATGTGTCAACATATGCAACACGGACCTTTGAGCTAGCATTGCATACTGTTTGGGTAGATTTTAAGTCAATACAGTTTTTAAATATATATACTGTAATTCTTTTTATTAACCTTGTTCCAGATTTTAAAATTGAGTCCTGTGAATAATGCAGTTGATAGATTGATTAGCCTTGCTTTTCTTGGAATGACTATGATAGAGGAAGCACCCAGTCCCAGCACTGGGCTCGAAGCCTGAAGCTCGTCGTAATATTGTGCCTAATAATGTTTCTTTCCTGCAGAATGTGATGGCACAAGTTTTGTTCATGGAAAATATAAAGCTATTTTCAGTCCATTTTTTGTAGCTTTTTTTTTTTTTATACTTTTTGGATTACTGTACCTGTAATATTGTGATTACTGTACTGTACCTACAGAGTAATCCATCTGTCTCTATTGTTGATGACTAATATGTATGTGAAACATACTGCCCTGTATTCCTACTTTTAATATGCTCAAAATATAATGTTGCTTATAGGTAGGAGGAAATAAGTCATTGTTGGTTTTCCAATATTGGGGGACAGAAAGCCTTGTCAGGCTTATCGAGGTCTTCCTAGGCTAACGATTGACTTTTCCCAAAATGCAACCTACAACAGTTGTCTAATTCCAGAGTATCTTGACTGATAGGAGAATAGAGGCAAGATGTTTGCCCAAACATTTTGCCTTGCACAGGAATTTTATCTGGGCCCATTCAGTTGTGAGCCCGCTGCAAGATGCTTCCATCTTTTTGTTTTATTTTTTTATGAATTTGAGTAAATTACCGTAAGTGCATTATTCGTTATGCGTATTATTTCTAGGCTACATCGTATGCTTTTAGTCAAAGAGTGAGATCTGTAGTATTTGATATTCTTCTTTAGGTAAATTGAATTGTAATGATGCCCTTAATTTCAAAAGTACCTCTGAAGATGCTTGTCAGCCCAAGACAGCAGGTGTCCAGGTGTCTCGGGTACTAGAGGGGTGGAAGGGGGTGGTATCTGTCTAGACACGGAGGTGACTGTGCACGTATTGTTGTTGATGTTGAGTCCTTATACAGTATTTGAGCATGCAGATACGTTAGTGAATAGACAGGCTCTTCTGCCTAAGCAGGATACTTTTGATATCGTTCGTCTTTTATGCGTTTCTGTTCTCGTATTGGCATCCTGGTTGATACCTGGTTGATGGGGTTCTGGGAGTTCTACTCCATAAGCCCGGCCCGGGGCCAGACTTGACTTGTGAGAGTTTGGTCCACCAGGCTGTTGCTTGGAGCGGCCCACAGGCCCACATACCTACCACAGCCCGGTTGGTCCGGCACTCCTTGGAGGAAACGATCTAGTTTCCTCTTGAAGATGTCCACGGTTGTTCCTGTAATATCCTTGGTGATATTTAGCGCCCTCTGATTATCCCGCACATTTGATGGTGCTACATAGCCTTCCTGGTTTGGTGCCTTCTTTTGATAATTACTTACTTCAACCTAAGCAGGAGATTACTGTATCACTGTATACTGTGGGTATATAAAAATTATTCTCAAATTAGTGCTTCTTTACATAAATGTGTTGGTATGGTATATCTTTCTGCTTTCATTAATGTCCTGAATATCTGGTCAATTTTAAATATTCTGAGACAGTGCTGTATAGTTTTCTTAGCTTGGCACCGTTTTTTGATAATTACTTATACTATATGCCTTCCTTCTACCACCGTAATTGACAGTGGAAAATGGCTCTGGCAAGGTTATGTATTGGCCATACATAACCTTGCCAGAGATTATGTATGGCTCACGGGCACTTAATGGAACAGCACCCTCATTATCCGAACTGCATTGTCCCTCTTAGTCATGCATTTTTTTGTTGAATGTCCTAATTTTCAGGACGTTCGTGTGTCTTATTTTCCTGACTGTTCCTTGCAGTCACTTGTCCTTCGATAGAACCCTTGGTGAATCCGAAACCATACTGTACTGATACTGTATACATTAATAATAAAAAGACAGCTTGGTGCCTTTTTTTGATTAGTAATGTATGCAGTACAAGTAAATTATCAAAATTCATGCCTCTGCATAAGAATTCAGTACAGAATTATATATATTGCAAATCAAAATATGTAATGTAGATAAATATATTCACAAGTGTATTTACAAAACTAAAATACAAATATTTAAAAATTAAGGTAAGGTACAACTTCATATATCTTGTACTAATTTATTTTATCAAAGTAAAACAAAGTTTGCCAGAAATATTTTTCATAAATAAATATTATAAAAACAATTAACAAGTCCCTCCGTATGTAACATTATTCAATGGTAATAATACTGTATGGTACTGCTTTTCCAATGCAAGCCAGCAGTAGTACTCTTGTCAAATACTCTGCAACATTATAATTTTCACAGTAAAACAATGCTGGTGTCACATGCTCACTAGGTGGTGCGATGTAAGAATATGATCACTGCATACAAAAAAAGGTAACGGGAATCAACAAAATTGACAAATAACTCTTGAAACTTGCAGCTTCAAAAAGAGAGAGAATCATAGATTTAAGCTAAGGAAACAAAGGTGCTGGAAGAATATTAGACAGTTCTCTTTAGAAAAAGTGGTAGACTACTGGAACAAGTTAAGTGAAGAGGCCAAAACCATCAGCAGTTTCAAAGCATCACATGACAACATGAGTACTGGGAAGACAGGACACCACGAGCGTAGCTCTCGTGTAACTACACTTGGGTAATTACTCACTGGCTGTGGGTTCCGTTTGCTCGCTGATTGCTGGTGCTGTACACTCGTTAGGTAGCAAGTGTTTGGCACAGCAAGGCTATGTTGTACCTAATAGCCAGAACTGCACTACTTGGCCTAGTATGCAAGGTCTGTTTGCCTAACAGGCCAAATAATTTGTATTATTTTCAAATATATTTTTCCAGATTGATTTTTTTAACAATGATAATCAGTTATATTAGGAACATGAATTACTGTCTTAGGTTTGAATAGGTTAGGTTTTACAATTTTGTTTTAGTTTTGACTGATAATTGTAATTTTATGTAATACTGTAGAATAAAAACTCTCATCAGAATTATTTTGAAAATTTAAATATTTCATGAAAAATTTGGCTTGTTAGGGAACTCTGGTTATTAGGTATGACAGATACATCGACACACTTTACTGCACTCTATATTAGTTTTAAAATTTATAATTGGCCCTTCAAATGGATTTGATTACATTAAGTCAAGAAGTATCATGTGTCCTATTTTCTGGATCTCTGATGATAAAGATTATAAAATGCAGCAACACATTTAAATAAAATCAGAAAATACAGTTTCAAACTATACTTTGTATATATATGAAGAGGAAATGTTGCATGAATACTAACAATGAATGTCATTATAGGCAAGCAATTATGTACTTTGGCTGCACCCTGGATATGGTTAAAAATGATTCATTTACTTGATTCATAAAAAAAATGAATAAGGAACTGGCTATACTGTTCCTTCTGTGTATAATTTTCACATATCCAAAATATATTGATGTGACCTCTCGCAAATTTTAAGTCAATATTGACTTATTAAATATATGCATGTGACATACTTAACATAATAGATACCCTTATAAAGATTCATAGAAAACACCGACCTTACCTAACCTTCTTAGTATCTTAAGTAAGCATCTTATTGCTTCGTAATTACAATTATTACTTAACCTATACCTATTATAGGTTAGGTATATTGTATTACGAAGCAATAAGATATATCTTAGATATAAGAAGGTTAGGTAATCGGTGTTTTCTATGAATCTTTATAAGGGTATCTATTATGTTAAGTATGTCACCTATGCACATATTTAATAAGTCAATATTGACTTATTAAATTTGCGAGAATGTGATATGACCTTAAATATTTCAGTGTGTGTATGTGTGTGTATATATATATATATATGTGTGTATATATATATATATATATATATATATATATATATATATATATATATATATATATATATATATATATATATATATATATATATATATATATATATATATATATATTTTTTTTGCACTTTAATATTCCACAAACATTTTAAGATATTGCAATTTTTTATTCTACACTTGCATATGTGACTGTACTGTAAGCCACTAAATACACTTCATGTGTGTTATCGATAACACAACATACTTGGTAAGATTAACACTCCATAACAAAAACCTTGACATGACATAAGAAAAGCGTCAACTTTTTATAGTTTTCCCAGCCTGGCTCGGATCATAACGGTGAGCATTTCTTTAAGTACAATACTGTACATTTGTCAACAACATTACGTTTAGAAATTTATAATCAGTTTTGAATAAAGATTTGGTAAATCTTAACAAATAGATTCTAATGCCAATGATTAACAATAGGAATAACATGTTTGAGTAGAAATAAAGGCCATTTTATAACTGCTGTATGACTACATAACAGGCATTTCTTATCCAAACACTAATGTATTATCAAATACATTGTAAACTCTCTTCTTTCTTTTTATCATACAAATAAAGTTATAAACTCAGAAGTGATGAGTGAACCCATAAGAGTGAGGATTGGCTGTAGAGAAAAGTTTTAGTTGGAGGTCGTATATATTGATGAAATACCAGTACCTCGATCGTAGTATGTAGGAACATAACACAGGTATGTTAGGGAATACCATATGTGCCAAGCTCATCAAATTATGAGCTATAGCAGCACAAAACTTAAACTTTGTAAAACCACTTTTTAAATGGTGAATATTTAAGTATTGTAATGAACACCCAAAATATGTATGTTGTTTAAGGCATAGTTCTTGGAATACATGACAGAAACCTCTGGTGAACTGTGTTGGTCAATAATACCATCCATGCATCAGTCTCCTGTACAGTCTAGTAGTGCATCCCTCAGCTTACGTAAATTCGGCTTGCTTTCCTGAAAAATAAAAATTAGTAATTCATTCACTTTTGTAGTTACAGTATACACCCTCCTTATCAAAAGTATTTCAGTTAATTAAATGCTTTATCTATCTTTTATCTTTCCCAAGCAGCATCTTGGTTGCTCCCTGAGCTAGAGCCAGGGACTACCCTACCCAGGACACTGCTCACAATCCAGGCTCCAATTGGATTTTGTCCCAGCATGCCAAGCAACTTTTCAAATAGTCTTTGAAAGTTTCAAAGTACAGAAAGTTTCTGTACTGTACAAGCAGTACAGAAAACCACCTCCAAGCAATAACTGGAAATGCAAGGAAAGCCAGATATCACTGCTAACTGCAGTACTGAGAAAACCGGTTGCAATCCGACCATCACCAGGTGGTAGTCAGGTCGCCACTACAGGTCAGAGGAGCCAGCAGCCCTTACCAGAAGCCCATAGTCATCCAAGCACACTCTGGAAAAGTGAAAGCAAATGAAGGGCTTCTCAGAAAGGTCCATTTCAATATATTCAACTTATTTCTGGGCAAGGTCCCCTTTGTTACTCTATTTACCAACTCTCCATGAACCCAGCACCCAAAAGGAAAGAAAACCTAAACGAAAAGTGATTTATCCATACAGAAAATAATAGCTTGACAAGGATGCAAACTGGACCAAGATGCCCAGGGAAAGACTACTATGACCCCATCCAAAGGTCAGACTAAATGCCTGGTGGAGAAGCATCTGAAAGAAAGAAAAACATTGACACAAAACACTAAGTTGTAGTATAGCCCAGCAGGGCATCAATAGAACAGCCACCAAACAAAACAGAAGAACAAACAAGTCCTACATGAAGAGAAACCTGGCTGGTAAAAATGAGCAGAAACAAAAGAAATGCCTTGGGGGACATGGAACACCCGCCCCGAGCAAGTCAAAAATGGGAACCAGGTGACGGATCAACAAGCCAAAATGACATACAAAAGGAATGCAAGGCCTAGACTGATGGGAATCTCACCTCTGAACACATCAAAGTTTAGGTGTTCAATCCCACGAACCAAAAGAGGAAGGGTAGATTATATTGAGTAGAGGAAGAGGGTTGTTACCCAGCTCCTCAGTATTGTGCCCCTATTTCTCCAGACCATATTTTGGGACACAGAACATCTTCCAGGGCAATGCCTGGTGAAACTGTGCACAACACCAGAACTGGGGAATTCAACTAAGAGACCCCAGACACCATAATGGAGAAAATGGAACCCACAAGAGTATCGAGAATATTGGTTGGATATTGTACCTTCCTCATTGTTAATCCTTGACCTGTTAATCACTTGCTGATAATTTATCTTCCTCATTTTTCACTATATTCTTTTCCCTTTGTTTTCCCTAAAACAATCTGAAATTTAGTTAAATTACATACCTTCTTGTTTATTGTTGCCAGATGAGTAAGGTTGACAATGGGGACAATGGATGGGCGACCATGGGCACATTGAAAAGGTAACTGACACGACCACAATGAAGAAATAAGTTCCTCACACTGACTTAATGTTAATTCATCTCCAAACTTGACAGCTCCTGAAACAACATTGGTCAGTGATTATTTATTTCTGGATATCAAGTGGAAATCAAAGCATAAACCAAACTTTCTGAGCTACTATACACAAAATTCACTAAATTTAAATTAGTAAGCAAATCCAATGGAAAGGAGCAGTTCTGTCAGGTGATGTGGTATTATTTCTCATAAAATACTGATTTTACAAATACTGTATATAAAAAGCTAGATTCATTTTAACTGTAGCCAATTAACACTTTCGTGTGCCCGGTGGGTGACCCGCCGGGCACCACAAGGTAGGCCGAATGTTGGCCGTGAGCGCATAAACCACACTCAAATGTTTATACTCTTTTCAGCTTTCTCACCTCAATTTTCTTGCTACGTCATTCAGTTTTGGTATCAAATTGTTTGCAATATCATAGCGCGCCTTTTAAAACCAGTCCCATAATATTTGGACAATAAATGGCATTTTTATAAACTTATTAATTGATGACGGCGTTACCGTCATCAAGGCCTCTTGAGTATTTAGGTTTTATAACGTTGGGACCGTCATCAGAACGCGAAAGTGTTAAGAGAGGTATGCGCGGGGAAGCACATCTCAGGATATGAAAGATTTGTAATAAATACAGGGTTCTGTAATGATTAGAGGGTGCTATAATAGGTACAGTCAATATCAGTTTGGACTGGTATAATGATCATAGGCTGGTTCATAAAGGGATGATGGTACAGTGGTTTTGTAATTCAATTTTAATTGTGTTCTGTTATGGGGTGGGGGCGGGATGAGGGTAAGAGAGATGGTGATGTGATGAGGAATGGTGAGAGGGGGGGGGGGGCTGGTGTTGGTGGTAGTTCTGATGATATGGCACACCACAAGATGATAAGAATATATAAGATCAATTCAAATTACCTTTTCCTATTTCTTTACCATATAAAATGTAGTTAGAGTACTTCTAACACTCACCATCTACCATGGCTGCTGTTCCAGGAAGCATGTGCCATCCTTACACTTTGTGAACTACAGTACACCAGTTGGTACAGTTTTCAATTATTACCACAATATATATATTCCACAATAATTATTACCACAATATATATATTCTGCCCGAAACGCTTTGCGTAATAGTGGCTTTAGGCATTGTATGTACTAGCTCTATCTATAAAGCCAACAAACTTTGTAAAATCTCTTTATGTATGTACCTTACCTAAATAAAAATTATTATTATTATTATTATATTATGGTGCACCTTGATGTCCTACCTACCTTGACCTTATCTTGAGATGATTTCGAGGATTAGCGTTCCTGTGGCCCGGTCCTCAAGCAGACTTCCTTTTTGTTACACATCCCCAGGAAGCAGCCCATAACAGCTGTCTAACTCCCAGGTATCGATTTACTGCTAGGTGAACATGGCCATCATGGTCAAAGAAACTTTGCCCATTTGTTTCCGCCTCCACCGGGGATCGAACCCGGAACCTCAGGACTACGAATCCGAAGCGTTACACATTCCCAGGAAGCAGCCCATAACAGCTGTCTAACTCCCAGGTATCGATTTACTGCTAGGTGAACATGGCCATCATGGTCAAAGAAACTTTGCCCATTTGTTTCCGCCTCCACCGGGGATCGAACCCGGAACCTCAGGACTACGAATCCGAAGCGCTGTCCACTCAGCTGTTAGGCCCCTTTGACCTAACATAATGTGAATACCTGCAGGAAATCAACTCATATAGCTTCTCTCTCTTACTCATTATCTATACAGTACAATATTTGTTTAGCTGTAGTACCTGATTATTATAGCAAATTCTCAAATGCCTAAATTGTGGGTCATCACACCATGTATGTGCTCTCAATAACCCAGTTTTACCTTCCTTATCTACCTACTATATCACTTCATGCACTTGAAAGTAGAATTAGTAAGAGAATGAATGTGTGTGTGTGTAATTACCAAAGTGTAGTTACACTATGAGAACCATGCTCGTGGCATTCCATTTTCCCAGTACTCTGTCATATGATGCTTTGAAACTACCAATTGTTTTGGTATCCACCACTCACTTAACTTGTTCCATCCACCTACCATTCTATTTGCAAAAGTGAACTTTCTAATATTTTTGGGTATCTTTGCAACCTTAGCTTGAATCTTCTTTGTCAATTTTTCCAATTCCAACTACTATTTTGTATGTTGTGATCATAGCACCTCTTTTTTTTTTGTAAATTCTTTTGTTATTCTACAAGTTCTTGTCTTTCTGCTTTATTTTATATTGCACCTTTTTTTTGATGTGTTTTTTCATGAGATATATACAAGAGTTTTTACATTCTTGTACAGCCACTAGTACGCGTAGCGTATCGGGCAGGTCCCTGGGAATACGATCCCCTGCCGCGAAGAATCGTTTTTTCTTAAATCCAAGTACACATTTTAGGCTGTTGTTTTCTCCTATTCCCATGGCATTTATTCACAATGAATTCCATCTGCCAATTATTGCTTCATATATTTATTCTGTCCAAGCCATCTTCAAGAGCTTGACAGTGATCTACGTTTCATATTTGCCCTAGTAGCTTAGCATCACTAGCAAACACGTTCATATAATTCTGTATTCCTTCTGGTAGATCATTCATACAGACAATGAACATTACCGGTGCAAGAACTGTACCCTGTGGTACTCCACTAGTAACATTTCCCCAGTCTGGTACATTGGTTCTGATTACTGCTGTCATTTTTTGTCAGAATTTTTTTTTATCCACATCAAAAGTCTTCCTGTCACCCCCTCCAGTATGCTCCAGTTTCCAGAACAACCTCTTGGACTCTGTCAAAACCCATTTTAAAGTCCAGATAAATGCAGTCAACCCAACTGTCTCTTTCTTGTAAAATCTCTGTGGCTCTTATCATAGAAACTAAGTAGATTTGTTACACAGGATCTTCCTGTTCAAAAGCCACACTGTCTGGCTTGTATATATACAAGCCAGACAGTGTGGCTACGAACCTGCATGACATAGCGCTCCTATAATTGAGGAGGACTTCTTTGCCATTTTTGTAGATAAGAACCGTTTACCTTTGTCTATTACCACTACACCTGTACGGAGATGCTGTTTTAATATATAATATAAAATACAGTATATAGGATCACATATAGAGACATTACTTATATATTACAAACAAGCATCTTTATGTACAGGAATCAGTAGATAAAGTATACAGCACAAAATTATAAACATTACAAAAATTAAAAGCACAGAATTACAAAAATAATTTTTAATACAAATTTAATAATTTCATGAACCCATATTTTATGAGAATAATCAACAAATTTAATACTTTACTGAAGGATATTATAAATATAACTCACCTCTACAAGCTATACTATTTAGTACATATGTAATAGGCTTTGGCACAACTCCTACTACGCCTGCTGTCTGATGAAGCGTATGACACATGTCACGGACAATGCTCTCCACAATAGCACTAGCTGTTTGACAACGTTTGTGGCGCACCTCATTTGCTTCTTTAGCCACCAAACAGCTTGGAATTGATTGAAATCTCACTTTTGATGGACTTATCTAAAATAAATAAAAAATTTATACAGTATATAAATATACTGTACACACACACACACACACACATATATATACACACACATACACAGGTTTCATGTCCCTGACAAAACAAATTATTATTATTATAAATTATACGATCAGTGAGATCTAAGTCATCACATTATCTTTCTTTCTATACCACTAACAAAAAGTTCAAGATCAAAATTCATTCAAATTCTTTTTACAATCTTTTCACACTTATGTGAAAGATCAGATTTTAATCTTTATCGTGAACTCAAACTAATTATCTTGCTTATGTTGTAACTACCTACATTACATCTTTTCGTTATGATGTAATGAATGTGACTATGTAACGAGATTTCCCCAACAATTGTGACAAAAACAAAAGTACAGATTGTTGACTGTGTATTGTAACACAATACTGTCCATTATTTACTGTATACTGTAATACAATATGTTGTTTACTGTGAAATGTAATGCAATACATAGTTTCTGTTTACAGTCATACAATAGATTATAAGCTGTGTACCATGATAAAATAGTTACCTGAGTGAAGTGAAGACCTCGCTGGATAAATATTTCAGAAAATGCCATCATCATTCTCACTTCATCTTCTGGAAGTGACATCTCAAGCGGAGGGGTAATTGTTGAGCTGCGAACTACAGATTCCCCGGAGTCTAACACTTCAAAATTCTCTTTAATAATGGCCTCTAAACGAACTCTCTCATGAACTGCATGTTGGTCAAAGAGGACAATCAGTTCACTAGGTCTCTGCTCGTGATAGTCATATGGTGGATATGTGATGCTGCAAGCTATAAATTTCTTGTCTAATTGTCCAATTACCTGAGAGATTGAGGAAATGCTTCATTATTGCTTTATCTATATTGCATACATTTTGTCAAACAACTTTCTACTTCACAAGCTTACAGGATATAGTAATATAACTACATATTTTTTTAGCTTTCTAGCAAATGCCAAAGCAAGTTTTCAGCAAGCCCTTATTTGACAATTACTGTCCAGTATTCACATTTCCAAACATCATGTATATATTTGTGCCTAAAATCTCAACAAAACAGGAGACTAAGAATTTCTGTCGCAGCCATAAACTGAAGGGCCCAGGTTTGAGAATCTGAGAAGATCTCTTGTCATTATCTATCATAAATTAAAAAAATATTAAGTGTCTCAAAAGCAGTTTATATATTTTATATATACAGTATCTACATAAGACTCAATTTAGAGAGTGCAGGTCAACACAAATATTACTGGCAGCTTTGTGAAAAAGCAAGTCAACAAAGATATTATTGACAGCATTCAGAGAAAGTATTGCACTTTCAGCTTAAATGCACGCTGAAGAATAGATATGATTAATTCCTTCAAGCACTCCTGCTGTTTTAAGTCCACACATATATATATATATATATAATGTTATAGATTTAACAGAAATTATCAGTCTGATATATAAATTGTATGCCAGTTTCTCCAACAAACATAAAATGGATTTTTTAATGGGCCAGGCCATAATCCATCCAGGATGGTGCACACCCGGCAGGCTCTTATCAACCTTTGCCACATTCAGCATCAGAGAAACTGCTGAGCTCTGTAATGCTGATAGCTAGTTGGCCCACCTGGTCACTACCCCGTCCACCACCACATGTCACTATCTATATACGTATCAACAGGGTAGCCAAGCATTGGTACTCACATTTCACTAGACTAGAGCCCTGGATAACAAGAGGGAGGGAAAAATTTAGAAAAAAAATAAGAAAAAACATGAGCAACTAAGTGGCTTGCTCATGGAAAAAGCTTTTCCTCAACAAAATCCTATTTCTGAGCTGGAGAATTTGCTTGTTTCCTTAGGCAAGCCTAATTCTTAGATTGTAAAAAAAAAAAAAAAGAGGCAAAACTTACTTGAACTACAGATAGGTGTGAGATGGGGCAGCAGATGAGGAGGAAGGCTGCAACTGCAAAGATCAAGATTTTCAAGCCCTTAGACCCCTGTTTGATGAGAGGATCATCAAAGAATGTTAAGGAGGCACAAGGATTCAAATATGTGGTTTGTGCTCCAGAGCTGCTGGGAACTTGACCACATGAGCCAGGCGGGTGTAAGCCTCGAGTCAGCCACAAAAAGCTGCTGTGCATAAAGGGAAACCCTGGACAAGAAGTTGGCATGAAGCCACTTTCTGGAATAAAATAGGAACATAATAGAGTCCTATTGATTAATACAGGTTTCTGGATTTTGGATTAGATAATCCAACTTATCCAATCACATTAAAGATGAGATTCTTCCTTACTCTCCAATACCAGGGTACGACAAACCAACTTCACTTGTGCACAAAAAACAAAGTACAGTACTGCCTGCCATCCATCAGGTATAGGGACACAGAACTAAACTTAAAAGAGCGCCAGTCTAGTTCCACTGTGCAAGGTTACCATTCCTCAACAAAATAAATGCTTACATAACTTAATATTTGTGGTCTTTGCAAATCTGCCTGTAACTGGGAAGAATCATGCCAATGTGAGGTGACATGTGGGTGCTAACATCTGGTGGAGGCTGGAGGTAACAGCCAGGCAAGACAACTACTATAGCAGTCAGCAGAGTGCTGCTTGCCAGTTTCTTTGATGATGATGAGTAATGCTTGGAGTGGCTGAAGAGTTCATCTGAATGTATCTTTTGGAAGCCAATTCATACTTGTAAGTTTTCTCCATTGTCTTCCTTGTCTCAGTATGACCAAACATGGATAGTTAATAGGTCCCCACTGCACTGAGGCAAGATGTTGACTGTAACTAGGCATGTCCAAGGAAGAATATGACATTATTGTATTTACAAGAACAACCGAGTGCTTCAGCTCAGAAAAGCACACATTCTTTCCAGCAGAATTTGCTAACAAAGATTTACTTATTACCTATAATTTTATCAATTCATATATTACAATGATACCATATATTTACCTTACAAGATTGAAGCATTTCCCTAGAAAACTTGTATGGATGGACAATATTGTACACCCTCACCACAGCTCCCTTTTTTGTTATTGCTCCTCTTTCTGCAGTTGTTGCCTGAACCTCTGAGGTGAGAATGTCAGCATCCATAGCAAACTGTGGAGCTTCCCACAACTGGCAAATCTCTGCTACTTCTGCAGATTCTGGCTTGTCTTGGTGAAGCTCTGTGGGCTTGCTTGACCACTTAATGGTGTCTTCATCAGTTTCAGAGTCTTTAAGTAGTAAGGCTATTGCTTCAGAGACTTCAGCAGTTAGAAGTGAATCATCTTCACTAACAGCTACAGGGTTGTTACCTTCCTTCTCTTGAATATTGATATTAGTACTACATGTATTATTTAATGAAGATTCCATATTTAATCTTGTGGAATATTTACTTTTTCTACTCAAGTCTTTATTTTCTTCAATATCCTTCGATTTTTTCCATGATAAAAGAGAATTAAAACCATGGCTGAGAGTAAATGCCTGCCTATTAGCTGTAACTTTTCCTAAGGGATTATACCAAGGTTCATGTGTCAATGGTATTTTGAGAAGAGGAGCTCCAAGTGGTTGACTACTTGTCCATTCTGGAACAAGCTCTTGTGGTGGAGGATCATATGATGTGTTTCCTGTCTTCAGATGAATATAAACTTTTCTTCCACTTTTATCATATACTTCTTTCCACCTGTTACCTGGACAGGCAGCATTATTAACTCCTTGGGTGCTGTCATCTTGTTCATTATTAACTCCTTGGGTGTTGTCATCTTGTTTATCATTTGTAACTCTTTGGTTGTTGTCATCTTGTGCATTATTAACTTCTTGGGTACTGTCATCTTGTGCATTACTAAATCCTTGGGTACTGTCATCTTGTGTATTGTTAACTGCTTGAGTGCTGTTAGCTTGTGTATTATTAACTCCTTGGATGCTGTCATCTTGTGGATTTTGTGGGTCAGCATTATTCTCTCTTGAAGAACACAGGGTTACATCATTATAAACTTGATTAGTTATGGTTTTATTCTCTTCTATGTTTATAATTATATTATCTTTAGGTTTGACACCAAAAGATTCCAAGTCTGAACTCATTCTCGTACTGTTTTCTTTCAGAGCACATGATTTTGCTATTAGTGATGTTGTGTTACTAGTGCATTGCAACTCCTCACTAGCATTTTCTAGATTTCCTTTTTGAGTACTATAATTTCCTCCAACATTAATCATCTTACCATGAAAAGTTATTTCACATGATGGCAATTTTTGCTTAGCCTTTGGTATCATCAAACTTGAACAGGAAGACAGGCTTCCTAAGGAGAAAACCACAGATTCAGTTTTTTCAGAGTCACATGTATTTACACTGGATGTCCCCCAAGATTTTGGTAGAGCTGCTGCCATATCTTCTGGTATTGTGAGCTGGGAAAAATGAAGACTTTCAGAGAATGGATTTGGTGACTTGGAAGAAGGCGAGTTAGTTTCCTCATCAACTACGTTTTTGCTACTGTCTGTGATATCTATGGTATTGTTTTGGATATCAAATGAACTTAGTAATGGCAGAACATGCTGCTTTTTTACTTCAAATTTGCTTTCATCACATTGCAAACTTTCATTTTGAATGGTATTTTCACTGAAAAACTTTCTGTCTTTGACAGTATGTGATGCAAGGGTTTGGGAATGTGACCTTATGGCAACATTTATAATCTTTACAGTAGAGGAATTTATATCCTTTAAATCCTCTTTTTCATAATTTTGGGGCAAAATGTATGATTGTTCGTATTCTTCATGAATGTCATTTCCATTGTTGCGTTCAGATGTAGTGTTTGTAATACCTCGAGTATCATCAACGTCTTCATGAATTGTTGAAGGGTTGGAGTCTATAGATTTAACATGAGTTTTATGAGCTGTTGTTATAGTAATATCATAGTTTACATTTTCATTTAAATCATCTGGGGGTGTAAAACCTTCAGAGAATCGTACAGCAGCACTGTTATCTTCCTCTTTGTTTTCACAGTTCAAGCCACTGTATATCTTGTTTTGTAAACTTGTACACGAGTCTGAGAGTGTAAAACCCTGAGATTCATGTATAATGGCACAATCTGTGCCCTGATTATCTTCAGAATGCAATCTGTTGCATGGATTATTACTGTAAGAGATATTTTCTAACTGAAAAGGCTGTGTTGAGGAGGAGGCAGAACACACGCCATTGCTAGAGTCAAAGTCTAAGCTATGTGACACACTACTCTGGTCACTCTTTTCTGTATTCTCTTTTCTGGCATGCACAACATATGGTACATGTAACAATGGTGGATCATGTTCTGTAACAACTTCTAATGGACATGATGTCATCAGTTTTTCCTCCAATACTGTTGTACTTTTAACAGAATTGTGATTGCTTCTTGAAGAATCTAGAGGATGAATTACTTTGTTAATGGGTTCAACTGGGTCAACTCCTTCAATAGTTCTTTCACATTTACTCTGATAATGTGATGTCTCCTTTTCAAAGGATGTTGAAACTTTACTATGCTGATGTATATATTTGTTTGGTTGTTCCAATATAGTAGTAATATAAGAGCATGTATTAAAATTCTCTGTTGTATCAAGGACTTCATGCGTTTCAAGATCGAGCTGACGGTGAACCTCTTTTGAAGAACAAAATTTATCAGAATGTTCCCTTGGAACAAGAGGTTCCCTCTCAACACTTATTGACTCCTGTCTTGTGGGTTTCTTATAACAAAGGGAATCATCATCATTTATTTCCAGATTTTCCACAAACCTTTCTCCATCTGATAAAAATTCTCTCATATCATTCTTTGGTTCTATTTTCTTAGAAATGACTGGTTGAAACCTGAAGCTACTGTTAAAGTCATTCTTATCATCATTAAATATTTTGCTTTGTTTGTGTTCTGGGCCTTGTACACTAGCCTCCACTTCTTCCCAAGATGGTAAGATATTTGGCTGGGTCTTATCACAACATTTATCTTTTTGTTCATTGAATTTTCTTGCATTGCCAGACATACAGTTTGAATAACCTGACATTACATTTGTTTTATTGTAGCCAAAATTTTGGAGTGTTTGCAATGTTTTTGTTTTGTTTTGGTGTTTTTTCAGTCTACTGCTTAGAGATTTAGTAAGGGATTTGTTCTCATTAGTCTTTTTAATGTTTGATCTTAGATTAGTATCAAAATCCAAGTCGTCTCCTAGTTTCTCAGAAGTCTGCAAAGAACTTCTTGTTATGTTTAGTAGAGGTGGTGTTGAAGGGGTGTGTCTCACTGCCTGTTCAGGAGTCTTGAACGACTCCAATTCTGTTTTTCTTCTGTCAGCATTGTAAAAATTCATGAATTCTTCTAAGGAACTCATATTTTCACTCACATTTTTAGGGAGTTTATTTTCATATTCCCCATTCTCAGAAATATCACAGTTTTTCTTTAACAATGGCACTCCAGTTTTTACAACAACATGATTAAGGTTTGAAGTACCTTTCTCTTTTAATAATTTATCACTTTCAAGAGAATCATCTATAAATCTTTTAAATTGCTCTAAAGAGCTAGACATACCAGTGTTGGTATTTTCCGTTTCTGAAATATCTTTGGTATTGCTATTACTCTTGTAAATATTGTCTATTCCTTGCAGCTTTGAATCAAACATGGAAATTATGGGTGGTGAGGAATCACATTCCAAGTGCTCATCCTGGGAAGTGTTATTTTTTCCACTCTCTTTACTAGAAAATGAGCTTTCATGAACTGCATTTTTATGAATGGCAATGTCCTCAGTATTGTCTTCATTGGTATTAATGCTACTAAACCTGTCAAATTTGTTGTGACTCTTCTTAGCTCTTTTGACTGGAAGACTGTGAACAGCTAGCAAGTTGTCCTGGGTGCACAGCGTGAGTCCATACTTCTCTTGAGACACTCCTTGTACACTGCTTTCTTCTCCAGCCCTCTTCAGGCTGAACATATCTAGAAGCGACGGGCTATTTTGGGTCATGGTCAAACTTCCTTCGTCTTCCATTTCTTGGTCTTTACCAGATCTACGATACCTTTCATCAATGGAGATAACCAAGTTCTCTTCTTGTATGAATTTTATGATCATTTCCTCAATACAAAGTAACAACTTATCCCAGTCTTTAAATTCCACTAGAGTTTTGGTCGGCTCAAGACATATGTCATAGTCACTATAAGGGCATTCAATATTAATTAAATATATTCCGTAGAGATTCATTCCTTTTGCAGGACTTGAAGGAGTTTTTCCTGGTCCTGAACTACTTGGATGGAGTCTACTGCTAATGATTGAGCTTCTAGCCAGGAGCCAATTAAGTATTTTATGTATCTTAGTTTTTAAAATAACCCTTTTATTTACATAAACAAACTGAAGAGCCTTTGTCAAGTGTGGTTGTGTGCTAATGTAACCTGAAATTGAAAATTGATCAAGTGTATGTTCTACTTCTGCCAGGGCCTGGGCTTTGTCTGCACCAAACAGCTGCATAAATGTGGACATTATACTAGTGCACTTTGAGGTCTGCATTATCACTGTGCCATTCTTATCATTTCTAAAACTAAATGATACTTCAGGATGCATTAGGGCAAAACTTTCCAAACGTTTCCTTATGCTCTCAATATCAATTGCTTCTTTTATTAATTTCCTTCTAACTGGCATGTTATACATAAAATCTTGAACTGTTAGAGTGGTACCAGCACTTGGTCTTGGATTCTTAATAACACTAACAGACTTTTCTTGTCCATAAGTGAATAGCTTAGAGAAGGTTTGAGTAGAACCGCGAGGTTTAGTTGTGATGTCAACAATAGCTGCCATATCAACAATGCTGGCCAGTGCTTCTCCACGGAACCCATAATGTGACAAATTACTATTGAGATCATCAAGAGTATGACACTTGCTAGTTGCATGCCTGTAATTGTAAGATGAATGCATATTAATATTATAATGTTCTTTAATAAAATATGAATTACAATAATTTCTGCATGGAATCTAAGTATCAATTTGTATAAATAATCTTTGATATCCAATTTTTCACACTACAATATTTTTCCATTTAGTTTTATAATGCAAATTTTATTAGTTTTAAATATCCTACATAGCAACATATCTATTCTTAGGGCCACAGACATCACATGACACATATTTTTCACACTACAATATCTCTCACAACTGCAATGTATTTTCAGGTGTTAAGATAACTCCTATTATCTTACACATATATTCACTTAAGTTATATTAGCCACACATCTCCAGCTTACACATGATTGTGTTGATATGTTATATACATAACAGCTTCCTCCCAGTTACTAAACACTTTCCCAAGCAGACTATTGTATTTAAAAACACAGAATTGAGTATTATCAAATCAGAGAGCTGTTATAGTGGAGGATAAATATATGCAGAGAAGAGGTGGAAGAAACACATGGTTGGGATTAAGGTGAGGGGAAATATTAAATTTCAAGAGAGCATGTGATAAAGTGAATGGAAAGAGTTTTTGGAGAACAATGAATATGTACAGAGTTGGAATGTTATAAAATTAAGTAAAGAGAACTTATTCAGCAGGTAAAGCATGCAGAACAATTAACTGCATAATTAATGAGCGGTATGAAGTTAATGTAGGGAAATGCTAAGGTTGTGTAATGTGCTGTACCAAGTAGTTCTCTGCATATATGGAAGGGATCAAGATAAGAATACTATATACAAGGGTGTGAGAAGAATACATTGATTGCCATATATATAATTTACAGTATGCAGCTGGTGTAAGTTTTGGCAAATTACAGACAAGGTTTAATTGATGTATGTGAGAGAAGACTGACTAAAGTGACTGTGGACAAGTGTAACATAATGGAAGTAGAACGGTATAGAAATCCTACGCGTAAGAGGTAAAGAAAGAAGCCATAAAACTGGTCAATCATTTTAAATAACTTGGGTCTGTAATTAACAAATGAGGAATGTTTGAAAGAGAAGAGAATCATCAAGGTGTTAATAATAGTTATTTCACTACTTTATAAAGTTCTAGTTGCAGTGAACAAAAAGTTAGTAATGTAATTTATGCACATCCATGCATTTGTCATATAAAAACTGTCATACCTTACCTTGTTCCCAAATATTTAAGATCTCTATGACGTATTCCATAACCATTGTCAACAATCTGAATTCTAAATATGCCAAAATCCACTCTGACAGCTATGCAAGTTGCATTGGCATCAAGGCTGTTTAAAACCTGAACAAAATGTAAAACACAATTAATTATCATTTAATAAGCATTAAGAAAATGCAGCTCAATATATATACTGTACAGTGGAACCTCAGCTTACGAATGCCGCTATTTATGAATTTTCGGGTTACGAGCTCAATTTCTTTGTCAAATTCTATTCAGTTTACGAACTTTGCCTAGAGTTGCGAGTTTGTTGATACACGTATGGGGTCAACCAAGCGCATGGTTCCTGGTAGAACAGGTAACCGTGCCTCAGTTTAACAGTGCCTCCTGCGTAATGACAACCGCGTTTGAATTCTTTGTAAAGAATTTCATTGTTTTTCAGCTATTTTTTTGGCTTCTAAACATAAAAGTAATTATTATATACCATGCCATGGGTCCCAAGAAAGTCAGTGGTAAGGTTCAACCAATGAAAACACATGTGAGGATGACCATAGAGGAAAAACAATTCTCTATGGAAAGGTTCTTAGGGAGACAAACAAGCAGTGAGCCACAATCAGGTCCTAGTGGTATGCAGCCAAAATATAGGAGAGAGAGTACCCCAGAGAAGTCATCACTGCCTGATGATATAATGGAAGGGGACTACCCTTCCAAACACTAACACTTCTCCACCTCCACCACCCCTCCTCACCGTCTTCCATACGCCAACAAGAGTCATCAATAAAGGTGAGTTACAATATCACTTGTACATAATATAGTACAAAATACTTGTTTTATTATGTATGAAATGTATTTTGAAGTTCATATTTTTGGGAGTGTGGAATGGATTAATTCAATTTACATTATTTCTTATGGGAAAATTTGTTTTGAGTAACAAATTTTCGGGTTATGAGCTGTCTCTGGAAACGGATTAAATTCGTAAACGAAGGTACCACTGTGCACTAATATTAATTTGATTAAAATGCTTTAAATCTAGATATTACACAATATTTAATAATTCAACAAAGCAATACTGTACAGGTATGTATCATTTGGGTACTATTTTGCATATAATAATTTAAATTTGTAATAATTCAGGGTACAGGCACCCAGTGTATGTATATATGTTAGGCTGATATCAAAGTACCTCCCCAAGGTTGAATTATAAACCCTTCCCAGGATGCAATTCCACGTCAGTTAACTAACTCCCAGGGTCCTTATTTACTGCTAGGTGAACAGAGACATTAGGTGAAAGGAAATGTGCCCAACTATTTCTGTCTTGCCCTAGATTCAAACCTGGGAATATCGTTTTGTGAGTTGAGAATGAACCCAACTTAATGAAGATGGAATTACAAGCATAACACTGATAGGACCCACGAGGTGCCCTGTCAGGTCTGCTAAATAGTGATTTAACTAGATCCCTTTTTAAAGCAGATTTACAAGTCAGTGTCAGGAAAACTGACTATTACAAGTGCTGACTCCCTTATAGCACACTGCACACTTCTTTAGAGATTCAGCATCCAGAAGCACACTATAACACCACTCATCCATAACAGATACTAATATGATATTCAAAATTACATATTATTTATTAATATTATTTCTTGAGTTTTTTGAGATGATTTCGGGGCTTTAGTGTCCCCACGGCCCGGTCCTCAACCAGGCCTCCACCCCCAGGAAGCAGCCCGTGACAGCTAACACCCAGGTACCTATTTTACTGCTAGGTAACAAGGGCATAGGGTGAAAGAAACTCTGCCCATTGTTTCTCACTGGCGCCCGGGATCGAACCCAGGACCACAGGATCACAAGTACAGTGTGCTGTCCGCTCGGCCGACCGGCTCCCTATTAAAATTATTTAACATTAAAGACTACAGTATTATTAATATTAATATGTAATGATACTGCATTAAGGATTTTTAAATAATTTACCACTAATTAAATATGAAAAACTGATTACCTACCAATTCCTCCACACACTGTGCAACAGAGATAATGGTAATCCCTGACCGCAACTGAGACCGCACTGACTCTGGTAGTGGTAGAATTTTCCCTGACATGGTTAACATGTGTTGCAACTCCTGCAATTAAATTAGCAATAAAAAACAGCATTGAATGTGATGAAATGCCTCTTTCTGGATGAGCCCCAGTGACTCCCTGAAGATATCTCAATGTGATGGCTCTCAACTACTAGGTCGCATCAACCACCGAGTTCTATTTGGCCTGCCAGGGACCTGAACCAGAAATTGACTCTCCCCCTCACAGAGGCACAGAGAGCAGGTGCCAATCGGCCGGACCAGAACCAGAACCTTACTTATCCCCTCACAGAGGCACAGAGAGCAGGTGCCACTCTGCCATACCACTGGGAAAGCCTTCAGAAAGTCAGTGAACCAATACAGACCACTGCTTGTTTCAAAAGAACCAAAGCCTAGAGTGTAAGTGCATTTTTTTACAGCCAGTGTGTGGGCAATGAAGACATGTCGTATACTAAACCAACATGGCACCGTAAACCTCTTCTTTCCAAAGGCTGTCCTCAAGCCCCTTAGCTGCCTCTGTCATTCTTTTCCTTGACTTGTTTGTGGGAATTAATCACTGGAATGCATTTTCTGGCACACCTAAGAACTTCGTCCTCATTCACTGGATGGTAACCTCTTTCAGGTTTCACACACTCCCTAAAGGAATGATCATCAGCTTGGCTCCAAAGGCACTGCTCATGCGCTGCTCCGGGGTATAAAACAAAGGCAGACACATCAGCTGCCCCTCGTCTACTGCTGCTCCTCTTACTGTCACTAATCATGGACCATGATTAGTGACTTAATTAGATTAGATTATTGATTAATTATGATTAGATTGGATGATTACATGATTAGAGATTGGTCGATATTTCCACCTCAAAACTGAAGAGCAATAAAATTTGTCTCTTCCCTCTAACTTCCCACACACTAGTGAGGTTCCAGCCAATCAACGACGCTCACCTCCTTCCATGTCACCGCCTATTGGGCGGTGACATGGAAGGAGCCAGCCACTGCCTATTGGGTAATGGTGGTCATCCATCCTTCTTAATCAGACTGCATTCCACTGATACCACATTCCCCCAAACTCAGCATTTTTCCACCCAAATGCACCAGAGAAGAGAAATCTGTTAGTGCAAGGGCAGTACTATGGAGCACACAGGGTAGCCTTGAGCATATGTATCTTCAAGCACACTATGACCCAGGTCCATACAGCACAAACCGGATAGAAAATATGTTCATGAAGCTAACTAAAATATAATTATGATACCAAGCAAATGGTCCCTGCAAGACAAAGTTCAAGGATGGCTGGCATGTAGCCTAGAAGCAGTGGGATCCCATGTGACTGATTGACGACCCAGCAGCCTTACAATGGACAACCATAGGTATCCACATCAGGGACAGAACTGGCTAGGAAGGGTGGTTGATACATGAAACTCTGCCCCACCCCTTAATGGAGGGGATCAGTGCTAACAACCTCATACTAGTGGTTGACAGATTTGATAGATTGCTTACAATGTTTTGGGAGTTGTTTGCCAGTTTCGAGGCATTGGTTCTTTTGAACCCAGCAGTGGTCTGCATTGGTTCGTTGACTTTCTGGATGTTTTCACAGTGGGTGACAGTGTCACCTGCTCTCTCTGCCTCTGTGAGGGGAGGCCAGGTTCTGGTCTGGTCCCTGATAGGTCAGACAGAACTCTGTGACTGATGTGACCACGAAGATGGGCGTCATCTGAGCGAGATAGCATCAGGGAGTCACAAGGGGCTCCTCCAGACAAATAAATTATGCTAAAACATGCTTTGAAAATAAAGTGCTTATGATTTATTCAGTTTTGAATGATTTTTTAGCAAAATCAGCTAAAGTAAGCTTATATTTTTAAAAAATTTAAATGATGTATAGAACCAAATATTTGAACAAGCTAATAATCTCACCACAATACTTGGCTTGTCTACTTTTTAAAAATTAAAATAATAAAATAAGTTTAGGTGAAAACAAAATATTATACAGTGTATTACTGTACAAGAACAATTGAAAACATACTTAAAATACACTGTAGTGTCAATATTTCACTGATCTTGTATGGTAGAACTACTTGTCCACTATAACAAAAGCAAATTTTATATGTTAAAAGTGGATTAAAAAATTCAGACTTTGAAAATGTTCAATAGCTCATATCTGAGCATGGTTATCCCTAAAAATGATCCTATTGATCCCATTGCAGGATCTGAAACAGAGCAGGTACACACTCCACAACAGAGCTGCAGGAATCTTAAAACTTCCTGCCTGGGTTTACTGGTGCTAAGGAGATAGTGTTCACCAACAAAAATTAATGAAACGAAGAAAAACCACGATAAATTCTAATCATTATGACTACTTTCATGACATAATATGAAATTCACAATAGTGCTAGCAGCTATTTTTAAAGCAAAACAAATTACTGTAATGTTATGCATGATTAACCATAGCAATGCTTTTAAACAGGAATTTCTGTGCCCTTTCAAGGCCAAATGGGAATAGTTTTAGATCAGGTGAGATTTGCCTGTGACAAAAAATCCTCCCAGAATTAAATTGACTAATTCCAGGAATGGCTGAGGGCCACAGGGCTAGCAACATTGCAAACTAGACATGACTGGGTTGATCTCATCAAAACTTTTAAAGTATGTACTGAACAATTTGGAGGATATTGATTCAACCCACCACTTTTTTAAAGGCCAGATATAACTCATACAAGGAGCAACAGCTTCAACCTTAACAAGTCACAATGAAGAACAGGAAACAGGAGATGCTTTTCACCCAGAGGATTATAGATCCATGGAACTGCCTACCTGCCAAAGTTGTAAATGCTAAATCATTGCTTCAATTCAAGATCCAGCTGGATAAACTGTTCGTATTTAATGGCTTTAGGCATAGTATGTACTAGCTATAAATCCAACATTATGTGTGTAACTCATTTTGAATATATGTACTTTTACCTGGATAAACATTATCGATTATCTTATCTAAAATCATCAATACAAATGGGGTGGGAGGTCTTTGACAAGCCACTGGCTTCCTGTCCTTATCAAGGTCACTAATGGGATGGTTCATTATAAATTCATTTAAATAACATTAAAAGTAAAAGCATCAATCAACCATAGTTGTAGTTATATACCTAACTGGTTTACATCATAAAATCTTAAGAGTACATACAGTTCATTGTATAATATATTGAAGTAAATTGGATTCCCATTGTCAGGGACAGGAAGCCTGTTACACTTATCGAGGACCAAAAAGCAAAATGCTGGCATTCCAAAGGGGAAATTATGATGTGACAAGAAAATTTCTAATAGGAATACCATGGGAAACATAGCTCAGAGAAAAGAATATACAAGACATGATGGCCTACATCACCCAGAAGACAGGTTTAGCCCAGCCAAAAAAGAATAAAATGAAAAGCAAAAAATGAATCTGTTAAAGTGTGAAATAAAAAATGGGAGGCTATCCCCCAAACAACAAAACATACACAAACGACAAAAGAAAGCCGCCTAGTGGCACTGCCCACTGGACCCCTATACCTCCAACAGGGCAGCACTGGCCACCCAGATCGCACACTACCAAAGATCCAAAGTTCAACCCTCACAAGTACAACTAGGTGAGTGGCATTAAATATGCCAAAACTAGAAGATTGAAGAAAAAGAGGCAATATGATCACTACGTACAAAATAGTAACAGGAATCGATAAAATTGATGGGGAAGTAGGTAGTAGGAATAGTAGGTGCAGTTTGCATGAAGAATTTGTTCTCCCGATGACTGCAATTACATGGTAACAACCCTTGCGGAGCGGGAGCAGTGGGTTTCTTCTTCTTCTTGATAGTAGGTGCAGTTTGCATAAAGGGTTTAGACAGTGGGTTTTGTTGTTGTTGTGAAGGCTCACGGTGGTCGGTTGGAGTACAGTCACACCACGTTTTCTTTAAAGGTAAGTCTGATTTATGAGTATAACTTGTGTCTTGCATTGACTGCTACTTTTGTCCCCGTTAATTTGTCTTGATGTTCTTGTAGCAACTGTATTAAGAAGTAATACTTGTAGCAACTGTATTAAGAAGTAATATTCTTGCTCCAAATTATCAGAAGTTTCAGTGCTAGATGTGCCTGTTAATTCAACATAGCCTATCCCTAAGAATGCACACAACAACTGCAATGTGAATAAAACTCCGTAACTGTAAATGTAATTATAATTTCATACAAAACATGTATAATAGCTTTGTAACAATGTCAAGCAACACCTGCTGGGGGGTTTGATTATAGTCGTTTATCCTCTCTGGAATCTTTTTTGCACTACAACTCATTGACGTCAATAGTCTATAAATCATAATGTGCACCATACAGTATAACAAATAAGATATATGTACCTAACAAAAACCTTATAAAGCTCATAATAAAACAAGGGGTGATATGTGCTCTACTGAAGCTTTCACATCTATAGATATGAACATATTGAAAATAAGTAATTTACGTAATTATTATGATTTTCTTTTGCAGAAAGTAGCTTCAAACAGACATCATGTGAAAATAACTCGTTTTTAAGGCAATGACAATTGTTTTTCCTTATATCAGAATTGCCATCCCCGCACCTTTACTCCATTTAAACCATATATTATTGACCAAGTTCACAACCTCTGGCATTAATAACCCAAGATTAATAGACTGCCTGAAAGACGCACTCCTAGAACATGATAACCATTTCCCATCGTTCTCAAACGACTGACATAATACAATAACTGGAAACATAACACGGTACCACACATTTCTGCAAGCAAAATGGTCTCCTGTCACTTTTGTTGCTGACATTGCTAAGACCCTTTGTAAGAACCGATGAACCTTTAGCCAGATGTGGTCTCTTATATTCTTTAATGTTTGTGTCATTGCTCTTTTATATTCTTTAAGATCTTAATATTTTGTATTATGATTTTTCGCATAATGTAAATAGAGCTCGATGAGTGATGATAACGTGACTGAAGATATGATGACCAAACCACACAACAGATGATGAGGAGACGACGACGTGTTGGTCCGTCATCAAGTGATTTGGACCATTATCATTATGTGGTTTGATCATCATAAATAGAGCTCTATAAAAGCTTTTAATTAAGCAACGTTGAATTATTTAAGACTAATGTCAGCGTTTATACTTTGACGTTTGTACACACATACTTTATCGTCTTGCCAAGTATGTTTATTATATTTATCAAATTATCTCAATTCTACGTCATAGTAAATACTTTTGATGTCACCATATAAGCATTAGTAAGATCCCACTCATCGCATCTCAGTGGTTCAAGAGACTTGAAATCTTCCTTTCCTCTCAGTGTCATACACTTAACCTATTTTGGAACAGAGATAACAAGGAATGTTTTCATTTCTTGAGCGCATGTTGACTCTACTTTAAATATGCAGCGCAATGTTTATTTAGGTTTATTTTTTACAACAATATTTTTCCTTTGCATTTATGGTAGTAACCGTTTTCACGATTTTTTATATTTTACAATTACACTGTTGCAACACTGTAGACGCTTGCAATGTTGTGTTGCGGTGAAGTATCAGCAGCAACATTCACGGGTGGTGTAGGTGGGCTTGCACCTTTTGCTCTGCTGGTAGGGGCTGTACACTACTTGGCAGCTGATAGTGTAATATTTGCACATAGCTGGCTGTTTCTGACCGCTACTCCCACCACTTCCCCACGGCTGTCTGTTGCTGCTGCTCCATGTCCGCCCCCAAGAATTTCCCGAGGTCTTCATACTACCGACGCCATCCCACGACTTGCCTGGTAAAACTGGTTGTACGAGCATGGACGAGTGTGTTAGCTCTGGGTTGCGAGGCCTCAGGGACTCCATGATGAGCCAGGGTGCAGACTCTGACACTTGACCTGTAGCTGCTGCCTCGACTCTTTGTTGGGAATACGGCCGCTGCCTTCCAGACACTCCAGTCACTTGCCTGCCGGATGTGGACGTTGTTTCAGGTGTTCGGGAAGATGGCGCAGACGAAACAGGTGACTGGGAATGTTCGCTACCACTGAGGGTAACGTGGACTCCTGGCACGTTATCTTCAGGTAGGTGTTGTGAAGTGTGAGGTCCACCAACGGAGGCGAAGACCACGTTGGGAAGAGTGTCCTGCGGAGTGAGGCGCACGTGTGTGTTGAAGCCTTCCACCACCCGCCGGGAGTCTGCCTCTACTGGCAACTTATGGCCCAGAATTACATGTCCGCGGAAACCAGATGGAACCCTGTAGCCAGGCGCTCCCGGGATCTTTTCTCCCGGCTGGATGGGGCTTCCGGGACGCTGGGCGAGCAGGGATGAGTTGATCATGTTTTGAGAGGCCGACATAGTCATGACGTTGATGACGGGTCCACCGGTGGTGCCTGGCAGGGTGATGCTGGTTCCCGGACTTGTGGCCACCAGCGGCACCGTCACCATGTCTTCTGTCCCTCTCACTTGCTGCGCTTCAGCTGTCCCCGCCTGACCAACCCAGGGTCGGTGTTCAGGTTCTGCATCAGCTGTGCCCACCTGGCCAACCCAGGGTCGGTGTTCAGGTTCTGCATCAGCTGTGCCCACCTGACCAACCCATGGTCTGTGGTCAGGTTCTGCATCAGCTGTGCCTACCTGACCAACCCAGGGTCGGTGTTCAGGTTCTGCATCAGCTGTGCCTACCTGACCAACCCAAGGTCGGTGTTCAGGTTCTGCATCAGCTGTGTCCACCTGGCCAACCCATGGTCGGTGTTCAGGTTCTGCATCAGCTGTGCCCACCTGACCAACCCATGGTCTGTGGTCAGGTTCTGCATCAGCTGTGCCCACCTGACCAACCCATGGTCTGTGGTCAGGTTCTGCATCAGCTGTGCCCACCTGACCAACCCATGGTCTGTGGTCAGGTTCTGCATCAGCTGTCCCCGCCTGACCAACCCAGGGTCGGTGTTCAGGTTCTGCATCAGCTGTGCCCACCTGGCCAACCCAGGGTCGGTGTTCAGGTTCTGCATCAGCTGTGCCCACCTGACCAACCCATGGTCGGTGTTCAGGTTCTGCATCAGCTGTGCCCACCTGGCCAACCCAGGGTCGGTGTTCAGATTCTGCATCAGCTGTGCCAACCTGGCCAACCCATGGTCGGTGTTCAGGTTCTGCTTCATCTGTGCCCGCCTGGCCCACCCAGGGCCGTGCTTCATCTGTGCCCGCCTGACCCACCCAGGGCCGTGCTTCATCTGTGCCCGCCTGACCCACCCAGGGCCGTGCTTCATCTGTGCCCGCCTGACCCACCCAGGGCCGTGCTTCATCTGTCCCCGCCTGGCCCACCCAGGGCCGTGCTTCATCTGTGCCCGCCTGACCCACCCAGGGCCGTGCTTCATCTGTGCCCGCCTGACCCACCCAGGGCCGTGCTTCATCTGTGCCCGCCTGACCCACCCAGGGCCGTGCTTCATCTGTCCCCGCCTGACCCACCCAGGGCCGTGCTTCATCTGTCCCCGCCTGACCCACCCAGGGCCGTGCTTCATCTGTCCCCGCCTGGCCCACCCAGGGCCGTGCTTCATCTGTGCCCGCCTGACCCACCCAGGGCCGGTACTCTGGCTGTGAAGATGACCCGCGGCCCTCGTCACTGTTGGGCTGTTGGTGTAGCGCAGGCATTATGGCTTCTACAAGAGGGAGTGGCGGTGTGTGAGGGGATGGCGAGGGACTCCCACCGGGTAGGTGAGGGGAGCTGGTCTGGACTTGATGAATCACAATTGGAGGGTCTGGTGGGACAGCCTTGTCCTGCCCCCCGTTGAGCTGCACTGGTGCTTCCGGAGTCAGCACCGCTGAGTCCGTCGGTTGGAGGTGTTCATAACTCAATTCTATGGGTTGTAGATTGAAAATTTCAGGTCCTAGATCAAAATAAGGTGGCTGTTGACTGGGAACAATGTTATAATCATTATCATAGTATTCAGAACTGGTGTGATCATAGTCATACGGTGAGAGAGACGGTGAAATATTGACAATCTCGCCTGGTGATGGGGCAGGACCCAGGCTACCCTGGGAGTAGGTGGCCAGGCCTACTCCTTTTTTTATGTTCCCTGTCAATATCCCAACACCTTCATCAATGTAAGGGCGAGTATGAATCGGCGCCTGCCCCACCTCGCTCTCCTTAGGCGGTTGGCCAGAACCGCCCACCAAGCCTCCGGCATCGATAATATGACCAGTGTTAGGGTAGCTATCCACCATATGTGGCTGGTGTACAGTTTCCACGATGCTACTCAGCATGTCATGAGCCGATGCTATATTTCTACCTAGGCCAAGCGTGCCGGATTCATCCAACCGAGGTGAGTCTTCCCTCCCTCGGTCCTGCAGCAATCCGGGATCAGCCAAGTCATCAATCACTATTCCTTCCCATTTATCATCTTGGTCCTCTTGTTCTTGTGGAAGGGAATCACGGATCACTTCCACAGGAACAAAATCTGTATGCAAGTGTTGCTCTTCAGAATATTCCTCTTGTCCTGATTCAGGTTTCAGGAAGTCAATGTGTGCAAATTCCTCTTGTGACTCGTCTCCAGTTAGCATATTATCGTCGACAGAAAGATGATTACGTGTTGAGTGTTCAGGAATAAAATGTGGTTGGGATGGGTGTGTATCGGCTAGGTGGTGCGTACCACTGCTGGAGTGTGCCACACCCAGGTATGACCCCCGAGTCACCTGGCCTGTGAGGGTAGCCAAGGCTGACCCGCCTTCAGAAGTCATCGTTGCAGATGCCAGGCCTTGACCTCTTAGCCCGCCAGTTTCGTCATAGTGTTGTATTGGGTTGAAGTCCATCTGTGCCTGACTCTTGGCGGCACTGGAGCTGTGCGCCTGAGCTCCAGCGCTGCCACCCAGCTGGGTGGCATCCACGCTGGAGACGAGTATAGAGGCACCTTCGTGTGTCGAAACTTGAGCCCTCGACGAGGAATGAGCCCCCATATTGACGTGAGCTTGGGACTGGTGGCCATTATTGTGAGCCACGGCAGAACCCTGAACGCCGTGCATGTTGCCCATTACTTGTGAGTGACTGGTGCCTCCAGGATGTCCCCCACTCTGGGCCTGTGCGGAGAAGAACCCTCCGACGCCTGCACTGCCAACTACCTGTGTAGCTGGCCCAGAGTCAACCACAGCCTCAGCCGTGGCTCCGTGTGACCTCTCACCTATATGTGCCTGCGTCTGTACCCGAGAAGGTCCAACATAGAAGTCGAAGCCATTATGTGAGAGAGGATATCCGACTCCAGAGACGTCAGACGTGCCGCTGGTGGGAAGATGGTCGTCTGAAGATTGCAGGTCGTGCTGGGCAACGTTCTGGTTTCCGTCATCACTCAGATACTCACCATCTCTCGCGTGACTTCGTTTACTTTGACCTTTAATGCTCTCATTGCCATCTATTCCACCATCGTATCTATAGAAAACTTGTCCATCCTTCACGATAGTTTCTGGTATGGCAAAACTCCTAACGTTGGGTTTGGCATGATTTCTACCCTCTTCAAATGCTTCGTTCTCAACATCGCCCTCTTGTCCTGATTCTTGGTAGAAATCTCGGTAGTGCTTGAATCCCTGGCCATCGTCATCCGTCCTAAAGAAGGAAGGAGACAGGTAGGGGTCCTCCTGCAGCACCACTTGGCTGTGTGGAGCCCCTGAGGTGCCGGAAGCATCTGTAACAATACGAAAATGTAAACATACACAAGTTCACACAATGTTTACCATAATCCACAACACCATATGCAGACGATGAGTCACAATAACGTGGCTGAAGATATGATGAACAAACCACACATCAGAAGATGGAGAGAAACTCACTGGTGGAGTGGTGGGCACCAAGAGCTACTGTAGGCAGCACTGCTGGAGCTACAGGATCGCTCTCCACCGACAGGACCCCAGACCTCCGCAGGTACATTGTCTTCGGTTTGGCTAGGTGCCTAATGCCAAGCTTGGGAGCATACTTTGTTTTAGACCTGGGTTGGGCTCTCGGCAGGATATGCAGGGAAGATAATGTACGGCTGGCCCTGCCGCCGCCTACCCATCCAGTTCGGCCTCGACCAGCTGAGCGGCGGCGCTGTGTTGTGGTCACTAGCAGCCGGCGGTGACGGGCGCTTCTCTTGCTCCTGGCTGATGGCCCTGCCGATAGAAGTTGTCTTAGTGGTAATGACATCTGTATCGTGGGCCACACGGAAATACACAAATTGCGTTTCATTAAAGAGCTACATTTGAAATGGGAACTAAACATGAATAAGGATCGAACTACACATGAATAGGTAATTAGGAAATGCTCGATAGGGTTGGTTCGATCATTTTAATACACCCTTTCCTGAACGGTGTGGCAACTCGAGCGGACGGGCCGGTAGTTATTAAAATAAACCTTTGTCAGTATGGCTATATAGCACTGTGTCACAGGGTATTTAAGTTTCTATACTATGGGTCATTGAGGAGGAGAGTATGAATGAGCGGATATGAAGCAGTAACTTGAGAAGAGTCCATATAGACCTGAGTGTACATATAATCGTGGCCTCCGGCTGACCTGTGGGTGGTGTGAATGATTCCATCCTGGCAGTCCCGGTGTTGAGGTGGTGTGAGGTGGGCGGCGGTGGGCGGGAGGGCGCGAGTCGCCGTGTGAGTGTGTCGTGGCCCCAGACCGCCACAGGGTCGCCCTCCACCGCTGGTACCTACAAAACAACGCCTCGATCTCAGCACACCTTAATTTCCATGAGATACAATGCACTCCTAATTAGTTATTACAACAATTATCATGACAGATTACTACTGGCTGTATTATACAGTGCAGGTAAGGTATACATAGGAACTAAAGACAAGTAAATGTAAGCTTGAATAAGCAGATACTACCCGGTGGTGCTCGGGATAGTCTGTCTCTTCCTCCATCTTCTCTCCCCCCTCCCTCCTATCCCCCTTTCCCCTCTCTCCCCCATCTCCCTATCCCATCCCTACACAAATTTCTAAAAGCAGTTCTGATGTTAGCCAGCCTTTCATACGCCGCTGGTGATATCGTTTTGATGTGGGCTTCAGGAAACAGGCTCTATCATTATAGCTAAGTAGAATTGTTACACAGGATCTTCCTATTCGAAAACCATACTTTCTGTCCGTTATGTCATTACTTTCTAGGTGTTCAACCTATTTAGCTTTAACTATTTTTTCTAGTGTTTTGACTACCACTCTTGTTAATGACACGGGTCTATAATTTAGAAGTTCCTCTCGACTTCCATTTGTATAAATTGGTACTATGTTTGCCTTTTTCCATATATCTGCTAAGATTCCTGTGCACAAAGATGTCTTGAATATTAATTGGAGTGGAATGCTCAGCTCAGTTGCCCATTCTCGCAGCACCCAAGGTGAAACATCATCAGGTTCAACCACTTTATTCCTCCCTAGCCCCGTGAGTAATTTGTTCACTTCGTCTTGTATCTGTGCACACACACACACACACACACGCACACACACATCCCCAGGAAGCAACCCGTAGCAGCTGTCTAACTCCCAGGTACCTATTTACTGCCCTGAGGTGTGAGGACCTTCAGGGCAACACTGCATTTCATTACACCAACTACACCAACTCCTAGCTATAAAAAATAGTATATATTTTTTAATGCATTCTTTCATGGTCACGCATCGGTTCTTTGGGTGTAAATATCTGTGCTTGAGACTAAATACATAGGCAAGTTAATAATTTATATAGTGTATAGGCTACACAACAATCATTATAAGGATAACGGCGGCAATATTGTTATAATTGTATATCAGTTCAGTAAGTTAGGCATTTGTTTAATAATTAGTCTATTGACCACAATCAGGGATTTTGAATTAAGCTTAATTAGTTAATTAATGGACCCCTTTTCTCTTTTTTGTCACATAATGTTTCACACATAACCGGTTCAGATCGTTCAGTTCAAGAACTGAACTGAACTTTGTACTAAGAAATTTACATTTGTTAAGAACCAGAGAAATACAAAACTGAATCAAGTACAAGTGTCTTAAAAACAAAGTTAAGAATGCTGATAGTTTTTTCAGACGCATAAATTGTGGGATTTAAACCATAAAAGATGTGGATATAAGCCAGTGTTTGCGTGACTAACATATGCGAGAGGGTTGAGGCGTCATCCTCGCGCGCTCCACAGTCACTGGCGTCACAGGGGCGCCATGGCTCCCGTCCTCAACCAACAGCCACTGGCGTCACAGGGGCGCCATGGTTGCCATCCTCAACCGACAACCACTGGCGTCACAGGGGCGCCACGGCTCCCATCCTCAACCGACAGCCACTGGCGTCACAGGGGCGCCACGGCTTCCATCCTCAATCGACAGCCACTGGCGTCACAGGGGCGCCACGGCTCCCATCCTCAACCGACAACGCGCACCTCCAAGTTGCACATCAATGACATTATGTAAACACACCTCGAACACTATTTATGTAGGACAGACGTAAATCTGTGTGTTTATGAATGTAGGTTGTATTAGCATTATAAGAGCACTACAATCACCTTCTGTGGTTGATTGTTCAATAAATCACTGAACTATTTGTTTAACAGATCTCTAACCTTGTCCATGGAGGACAGAAGAAATGTACATATGCTGGTTAGCGTTGTAAATGTGTGGCCACGTCTGTGACAGAAACATAATAAAAAACTCCAAATATTAATTTGTTAAACTAAATATTAATTTAAAAGTTGTGTACTTTAATGAGATATTGCTAACGTTGAATTACGGTTAGTCTTATAATCCGAGAAACACAATATATAATTAATTCAAAATAATTATAAATAATTTATATATGTAACAGCCTGAATAACCATTTAAAATGGACATAAATTAGCAGTTGCATTTTATTACTGGCAAATGAAAGGCTCTGTAGCTGGGAAGTAATAATCGTTACTCGTTATTATTATTATTATTATTGTTAATATTACCAGCCATTAGCTGAACAACGCTCTGATGCCTTAATCTAAGTGCTATACAAATCTGAGACACATAATTAGTAGGTATATGTTAAGCCACAATATAAATATGATAATATAGGTTTCACACCAAGAAGCATTAGTAATACGATATCTAGTGTGTTCTTCAGGTTGGTTTTGTCCTCGTTAGGCCCCATATATATCATACTAGTGGAGTACCCGGCTGTGTCCGGGTCTCTCCCCCCTTTCTCCTCTGTTTTCACTATCCCCCCTCTTTTCTTTTTTCTCATCCAATATACCCTTTCCTTTCTTTTCTTTTTTTTTTTTGAGATATATACAAGAGTTGTTACATTCTTGTACAGCCACTAGTACGCGTAGCGTTTCGGGCAAGTCCTTAATCCTATGGTCCCTGGAATACGATCCCCTGCCGCGAAGAATCGTTTTTTCATCCAAGTACACATTTTACTGTTGCGTTAAACAGAGGCTACAGTTAAGGAATTGCGCCCAGTAAATCCTCCCCGGCCAGGATACGAACCCATGACATAGCGTTCGCGGAACGCCAGGCGAGTGTCTTACCACTACACCACGGAGACTGTTAACTTTCCACGGTCTCTCGCCACTCTCACACCCTCTCCACCTTTCTCCCCCCTCTCACACCTCTTTCCCCTCTTCTTCTCCACTCTATCTCCCCTCCTCTTCACTCTATCTCTCTCCCCATTGGTTTCAGAAAATGTAATACTGAATTCACGATCATTGTTTTCGAATGAAGAAATCTAGGGACTTGGCCAGCCATCTTTCACTGATTACGTGGGTGGTGGGGGAGAGGGGGATCACTACTGGGACTGAGCCCCTTTTAATATGACCCTCTCTGACCAGCCTATGTCCGTCCGGTACCCAAGACCATTCACCCTGCAAAGTTGGGCGAGGCTAGCCCCGAGCGTCTGGCCTCCAACCTTGGATAGACAGACAAATAGACAATCATTCTTAAAATATATACTGTAGTTCAGATTTTGTGCACTGCTATAGTTAAAAATGATCTTGTGTTTACAGTTGACAAGGTTAATATGGGGAATAAGGATTAATAAATTAAGTTTAAGCTTAATATGAGTTCTGTAGAAAGACAAAGGACAAAGAGGACACGATTGAATTTTCAAATTGATGATAAGGAATAATTAAGAGATATGTACCAACACTTAAAACATAAATAGAAATTATAAAACATAACTAGAGTGCGAAAATCTGGATATAAATAGGATAAATTTAGGTTTAGAAAAGAAGTGGACATAAAAAAACAAAAAGTGCAAAAAAAAAAACACGTTTTGTAAAAGCCATTATAGTGAGGTGACGCAGAGCGCCGCGGGCCACCGTGGTGTGAGCCCAGTCTGTCCCAGACTGTCCCAGACTATCCTAGACTGTCCCAGCAGCCTGGGACACTCTGGCCAACTATGGTCATACCATGAACATGAAGAATCACAAGTCAGGGAGAAAGAAATAGAAATATAGGCCGCAGAGGCAGAGTATATGAGGACGTGTGAGGGAGGTGTTGGTGGTGTGTGTGTGTGTGTATATAGATGAGTAGTTGATTTTGGAGATGACGAGAGAGTAATTGGGGAGTAAATGAGTAAGAGTCGGTAAGTTAGAGGTGGGAGAATGAGTAAGTGGAGAGAAAGAGTGTGAGGTGACAGCATGAGCGGGAACACAGACGCCGCCGCCATGCGCGCACCCCCACACACACACACACATGCACTCTCCTCATGTAACCACTCACTCACTCTCCTCACCACACACTCCCGCCTCCTAATTACCCATCCCTACATCTTCCACTACATCTCTTAAATAGTTAAAAGCAATTTTGAATAACATAAAATAACTTTCATGCAAGCCACTGTGTATTATACACAATTGTTTACAAATGTACAAATATTCTGGAAGATGGCAACAGCCTAAAGCGAGTTCTCTGTTGGAAATGTATTTATGTTAAATAAACAAGCCTTTTCTTAAGGCTATCTATCTAAAGCCAGTTGGAGCCTGTTTCTGCGAACTACTTTGTGAGTTGATTTGTTTTGTAATTACCCACAAATTAGGCACCCGCTAAGAAAATATGAATTGATATTACTCTCAGTGTCACACTACACCATAACATTACTACACTACATGGTACACCATACCATCACTACACGGTACACATACCATCACTACACTACACGGTACATCATCACTACACTACACGGTACACATACCATCACTACACTACACAGTACACCATCACTACACTACACGGTACACCATCACTACACTACACAGTACATCATCACTACACTACACGGTACACCATCACTACACTACACGGTACACCATCACTACACTACACGGTACACCATCACTACACTACACGGTACACCATCACTACACTACACGGTACACCATCACTACACTATACAGTACACCATCACTACACTACACGGTACACCATACCATCATCACAATAAAGCACACTTAAGACTGCACAATCACTCTACATCTTATGTGTTGCGCCACACATCACACTACATATGAATATGTACCTGGGTAGTGTTGGGCAGTGTATTCACCTAGTTGTACTTACCTAGCTGTGCTTGCGGGGGGGTTGAATTCTGGCTCCTTGGTCCCGCCTCTCAACTGTCAATCAACAAGTGTACAGGTTCCTGAGCCTATTGGGCTCTATCATATCTACACTTGAAGCTGTGTATGGAGTCAGCCTCCACCATATCACTTCCTAATGCATTCTATTTGTCAACTACTCTGACACTAAAAAAAATCTTTCTAACGTCTCTGTGGCTCATTTGGGCACTCATTTTCCACCTGTGTCCCCTAGTGCGTGTGCTCCTGGTGTTAAATAGTCTATCTTTATCTACCCTATCACTTCCTCGGAGAATCTTGTATGTGGTGATCATGTCCCCTCTAACTCTTCTGTCTCCCAGTGACGTGAGGTTTAATTCCCGTAGCCTCTCCTCGTAGCTCATACCCCTCAGTTCGGGTGCTAGTCTGGTGGCAAACCTTTGAACCTTTTCCAGTTTATTCTTATGCTTGACTAGATAAGGACTCCATGTTGGAGCCGCATACTCCAGGTTTGGTCTGACATATGTGGTATACATATGTATACTACATATACTCTTCCCCCCCAGGTACTCCCACTGTGGGTACCTGTGTGTTGTTGGGTAGTGTGAGTGTAGTACGCCTTTTCCCAGGGCGTACCTTGACGGGGTGAGGGCGTACCTTGGTGGGGCATGCATACCTTAGTGGGGCGGACGTACCTTGGTGGGGCATGCATACCTTAGTAGGGCGGGCGTACCTTGGTGGGGCATGCATACCGTAGTGGGGCGGGCGTACCTTGGTGGGGGCATGCATACCGTAGTGGGGCGGGCGTACCTTGGGGCGGGCATACCTTGGTGGGGCATGCATACCGTAGTGGGGTGGGCGTACCTTGGTGGTGAAGAGAGCGAGGTGGGGGGCGGGAGGCGCCTGGAGCGTGGCCGCCGTCGTCATCGCCGCCAGGAGGAGGAGGGAGGCTGCGGACATGACTGTCACCAGGGGACCCATCAACCCTCTTTACCCGCTGACACTTGCTGCCTTACTGCTCACCCTCCCTTGCCTCTTCCCCCACCCACACGCCCACGCCACCACCCACACGCCCACGCCGCCACCCACACTTCCCCATCGTCGCCCACACGTGCCCCTGCTCTAACTCGCGTGCTCCCCCGCCCACACTCCCAAGCCACACGCTGTAGTAGTGAAAGCAATTAACATAGTAACAAAAAAAAATTAGGCTGATGTTTACCGTCATCGCTATTATCACCACCACCATCATCAATGTTGAAGACTGCGCCCCACATGTAGGTGAGGGAGCCCCTGACCTGCTTCAGTGTCTGGAGTGCATTCCCTCCCACACGCTTCCTTCACAAGTCTCACACACACACACACTCTCTTTCTCATATATATATATATATATATATATATATATATATATATATATATATATATATATATATATATATATATATATATATATATATATATATATATATATATATATATATATATATATATATATATATATATATATATATATATATATATATATATATATATATATATATATATATATATATATATGTAATCTCCATCTCCTAAGATGGAGATTACTGTAACAGTATATTTTGGTAGCAATTTTTCTTGTAAACATATGTTGTTAAATATAACCGAAAGGGTAAGATTAATGATTGTAACACGAATCTTCTCAATATTTCTTGTTTTTCTTCACTCTCGAAGGAAGTTGAAAAATGAACTCCCCAAAGTTCATTTTCACACTATATTTATGGCCTGACGCCTAGGGAAACGTTTCGCAAGGCACTCCTTACATTTTCAAAGACAAATTTTTCATACTCTGCCAAGGCTTATATTCGCTTGGGGTGAGGTGACATGGGACATGATTGAGATGAACAAGTGGATCAATGGCATAATGGGTATTAATAGGACTTTGCGTGTTCTATGTTCTTGCTTCTACTGTTTCTGTGTTGGTTCGGGATCTTGAAGTGGGTTGAATGTAATTATGTGTTAATTGGCTGTTGATTGCTGGTTTTGACTTTGATGTGTAGGGCCTCGCTGATGCCCAGTCTTCTGTTGTTGTTATACCTGTCGATTATTTCAGTGTTGCTCGTTAAGATGTCTTTGGTGATGGGCTGGTTGTGTGAGGAGATTAAATCCTCCTTGATGGAGCCCTGTTGCTTGTGCATTATTAATCGCCTAGAGAGAGACGTTGTCGTGCCTATATCATGAGATATTTGGGGCTGACAGTCCCCAAGTGGGCATATGACATGCCCATTTGGGGGCTGCCAGCCCCGGCATACCCGTGCAGGGTTAATCGCAAAGCCTAATACTTTTTTATTATTATTAACAAGCCTATTGGTATACACAGCAATGTGCTGTTACCTTATTTTGTATGAAAGATTACACAGTGTAGATAAAAAATTAGCTATAAGTTATAAGTTCATCAAATATCTCCATCTCCGTTAGTCATACATGGAATCAGGAGAGAACATGAACTGTAAGGCTGATCTGTTAGCCTCCACTAGCAAAATCTGGGTACAGCATAAAAATATCTTCCAATTTTCCCGAGAGTATGAAGTAGTTACAGAGCTCAAAGTACCTTATACATCACCTCAAGGTAACCTCAAGGTAAAGTAACTAATGTGCCTTGCGGCAAATTAACACATGTTATTTATTTATTTATTTATTTATTTATTTGTTTATTTATTTATTTATTTATTTATTTATTTATTTATTTATTTATTTATAAAGTATGATAAACTTGAACCCAGGAGTCGCTCAGGGCGACAAGCGCCGGACCCACCCTAGAGAACACTGAGGAGCAAAAGGCTGGCAGTAAATGCCAAAACACTGTTAAATTTTAAAATACAACTGGAAAAGATCCTCAAGGCAAATGGGAGGGGGGGGGGCTTCGACAAGCCGGCGGCTTCCTATCCTCGTTGAGGCCACTAGGGTTAATGACCCTCAGGTGAATTATAAACAAGTCCACTCATGTATGTCAACCAACAAACTCACATTAAACATATAAAATACCTACTGCATTTTATTTGGCAGTAAATCATCAAATCTAATTCAACTTCAGATAGACAATGTTAACATTAGCAATAAAAATGAGGGAAAGTTCCTTGGCCTATTCAGACAAGAGACTCCACTTCAACACCCACTCTTCAGCAACACAGCCAAAAACGTATAAAAAACGGTCGGTATATTCTAAAATCCGATATTATGTCCCCCACTCTGCTCTCCTCTCATTATACTACGCGCTAATATATCCCTATCTTACATACGGTATCTGTGCATGGGGGTTCAACCACTGCAAATTACCTCAAGCCCATCATCATTACTCGGCAAAAATCTGCTATTATCACTATAACAGTCTGTCTTCAGACAACACACAGCTCCTCTGTTTAAGTCCCTTAACATGCTAAACATACACTCACTCCACACATTTTCATGTGCTATTTACATATTTATAAATAAATATCTCTTTGATATCCCCAAAGTCAAACTAAATCTATGCAAACACTCCATGCAAATAAAAGGACCCAGTCTATGGAACTCACTCTCTAATGAATGAAGAAAAAAAATCCAAGCTATGCCTTATTAAAAAGTAAAACCAAAAAGTACCTAATTTCATCATAGTTTCCTACCTTGTGTTTCAAACTTACACTGTATCTTGTACTACCCACTATCCCCAATATTAGTACTTAAGACATATATTTTCACCTATCAATTTATATTGTAGTTATATGTTGATATAAACCCTTGCTACAATGTACCTCTTCATCTTACCGGGAACCGGTGGCTGAGCGACCAGAACACTGGACGTGTGATCCCGTGGTCCCGGGTTCGATCCCGGGCGCCGGCGAGAAACAATGGGCAGAGTTTCTTTCACCCTGATGCTCATGTTACCTAGCAGTAAATAGGTACCTGGGAGTTAGTCAGCTGTCACGGGCTGCTTCCTGGGGGTGGAAGCCTGGTCGAGGACCGGGCCGCGGGGACACTTAAGCCCCAAAATCATCTCAAGATAGGAGATCTTACCTGATAATAAAAATGTTAGATTAAAGACCTGCCCGAAACGCTATGCGTGTTAGCGGTTTTGCAAAAATGTAAAAATACCAGTCTTATGTAAACTTACCAACCCATTGTACCTTCTTGTGAATCAAATTATTATTATTATTATTATTAATCACGTATACATACCCTCTGGCTACCTGTCCCCTAGCAATATGAATTATTACTTATTTAAATACAATTATTGCAAAGATTTAACCAAGTAAAATGCAAAATTATGACATATATAATATACATATAATATACATTTTTTTTATCAAAATAATTATTATTGTTATTATAGTAATTAATCTCCGTTACAAAAATAATGAAAATGAAGGAATATATTTCACGTGAATTTAGATTTGTGTGAATATTTTGAGATTTGAGCTTAGACATTATATACGAACTATGCAATAATGAACATAAAAAAATTACGCAAAAATTTGATAAGTATATTTGTTTTTAAATATAATTTTGTTTAAACTAAAATGTATTGTTTAAAATTTGTCTATTTTAAGTAAATATTAGTTAAAGAAAGTAAATATGAGTTAAAGAAAAGGGAAACGATTTACTTTTCAATGTTGTGCAAGCAGGATTTAATGAAGGGCCGGACCAGGCGGTGAACACCATATTCGTCAACTCAAGTTGCTGCAACATGGGAAAACTAAACACAACATCGGTTAAGTAAGGACTGGTATTCATCAAACATCACATAATATAAGTTTTTTTTAATAGGAACTAATCGCTGAGGGAATTCCTTTTGATAGTTTCACCTGTGTTTTTGTTTTAGATACAAGGCCATAGGGTACTGTTGTTGGTTTAGGGGCCGGGCTGGCAGAGGTGCCGTGTGCTCCGGTGTACCATTAAAGGGTAAATCACAAAGCTGTATGGCTAAATGAACGTCGCCTGTCGGCGGAAACGCCTGTGTCTTGCAGCGAATAAACACACTGACAGGCAGATGGTTGGGGAGTCCCAGGAGTCCATCAGGGAGATAAGCAACGGCCCCACCCCCCCACACAGAGAACACTGGGTTGTCAAGGCAAAAACACAGCTCTTCCTAAACTCGTACTCATTTGGGCAACAATGCCCAAATGTTCCAGTGTACCCCAACAGAGCAGAAGCCAGTCGCCTACCACATCTGAGGGGCACACCAGGAGTCCACCAAGACCCGCCAACCCCCGGCACCCCTCGGCTAAGCCAGCACCGAACATTATCTCCTCGCCCAAAGAACCAGTCGGAAAACATTCAAAACCTATCAACTTTCTTGTGACCACAAGTGATATGTGCGCCAGGCCTTGTAAGAATCTGGTCCGTCTATTAGGAATGCCGGACGGCAGTATCAAAACTGCTATCTGGCATTCTATGGGTGCGATATGGGTAAAATCGCATAATGGAACGTGAACCAGTGCCTCCCCCCCACCCCCCACCCCTGGCAAAGCAGGTGTCCGGTGTCCAGACATCTGCTTGGCATCAAGATTAAACCAAGAGTCCCCATGGGACACTGTATTGGATACAAGAAATGCAAGATGGTTCACCTCCTGATTTTAAAGCCCCCCCCCTAACTAAACTCAACTCAAACAAATCCAACTTAACTGAGCCACACACAGCCTAACCTGAACTAATTACATCCTAACCTAATGATATACACAATTAATGTGTTGGCTTAAGTTAGATTGTGTTAGGTTTGATTGAGTTTGGTTAGATTAGTTTGGGTTAAGTTACATTAAGTATATTTTAAAATCCATTGGCAAACCAACGTGTGTGCGATGTGACTTCAGTCCATATAATTTGATCTACCCAATTGTAACCCATCTATGGAAGGCTCAACACAGGTTCACAATACCCCTCCAAGCACTTCCCTATGTAAATATATATTATTTCAACTCAGATCTTAAAGTAAAAATTTTAATATTTATCTTTTAGATTGAAGAACCAAAAGGATGAGGAGCTTTTCCTGGCTCCCACACCAGATGGTGAGGGCAGCATTGACGATGAAGAGGAGGGGGACATCCAAGATGAAAAATCCCATGCACGTCTCCTTAGTGACATAAGCAAGATGAGCAAAAAGAAGAAGTAAGTGACATTAAAGAATACCTAACCTGTTATTTATCTTGATATTTTTTATGGAAAATACCTTAGATGCCAGTTTATATAGAACAGTGTGATTGCCAATTTGTGGTTAACTCTTTGTTGTACAAATAGCTTGGACACAAGAAACAGTATTTTATTTTCCTTTACTCATTTATCACATTTACTTCTATATTTGTTGTGCACACACTATCCCATTCTGTGTTTTTTTTTATTCTACCAGTATCAGGAGTAATAAAATATTACCTATTCATCTTTCATACTCTTTCAAAAGTAGATATTGTATTCCCCTACTTTTCATCTTTTTTTTTTTTTTTTTGTTAATCCCACTATATATTTCAATTCATATCTTAAAGGCATGGCTTCCATTTGGCAACATAGTTTTATATTTTTTTAACTTGTTAATATATTTCATTTAATGATGTCATTACACCATTTCTGCTTATTACAGTTTTGATGAATGATGGATCTTGCATACAAACTTTTCAACTATATAGTAGCTTTTTTTTTTTTTTTAGTAGCTGGTCAGCATTGCATAAATATTTAATGAGCTGAATATTTATGGTTTTCTAGAGACCTTGGAGCTAATGGAGCTAATTATTCTGTAATTCCCAGAAGTACATTGATCCACTGCACACTAACGGGATTAATTAAGTCATTCAAATAAATGTATAGCAACAAATCCACTGGGTTTCAAGCACTCCTGTAAGACATTGTGAGGTGCTTATAAGTCACCAGAGAATTGTAAATACAGGCAGGATAATAGATATTCAGAAAGCCCAAAGTAACATAGCCCCATTGTGCTCTACAACCAATAAATTAATCTTCCACTTAACCTCACCATCATCTAGGTCGCAGCATCATTTTAACAAGGTTCAGCCTCCTACCAATCTTCAAATACTGTACATCTTGACTGCTTTTGACAAGTGGGCTGGCTGAAATGGTTAACTAGATATGTTTTTTAATGGATTAAAATTTTTTTTTTTTTAGGTAATTAAACCTCACAATAAATATCAACTTGGCAACTGCAGGACAGTTTAGTATTCCTTTTGACTCACCATACTAGTACTTAGCTTGGTTGCATTGTTTCATGTTCATTTGCCTGTGCTTTGCTGTCTTCATGCAGTGAGTGATACAACAGCATTGGCTTTCCTCTTTGAGTTGTTGCAGTAAGCGGTAGTAATGTATTCTCGGTTTAAATGTTTAAAAGTCAGTGGTTTGGAACCTGGGCACTGTTGACTCTAGCTGTTCCTCATGGTTGTATTATGACAGACTACCAATTTAAGAACCATATCAGCTTTTCTTCCACTCACTTCACTGACTAAAGTAGAACTGAGAAAACCTGCAGAGAACAGTCACCTCTGCTTTCTCATATGGGACAAAGAAGAGTACCTTGGGAGGATCCAAGGAGGTTTTGTACTCAAACTAGGAAGGGGTCTACAGTATATGACATTCCCCATCTGAAAACAGGACCCATCTGGCCTGGACACCAAAACTCAAGAAGGGTATACCCCTTGTAAGCCTTTGCAGACAAAATCCTTCCATTTACACCAAGAAAGGGGAGTTGGCCTCGTAAAATGACCTAGCAACTGCTTTCCAAAAACAAAGGAAATAGTAGAGCCACACAGACAGGCCTCTGACTTCCTATGAGGTATTAATACAGTTACTGCCTTCATGAAGAAGTGATTGGCTGAGTGCCTGGGGTCTTTTTCTGCTAAACCTCTTGGAAAGCAGTCCCAGAAAACTCCACCTATGCTACCCTCCTTCTATTGGCAACCATGAGTCAAAGGCATTTGGGTCTTTATTAAAGAAGAAAGGAGGCTGTCCAGACACCACATCATCAAAAGCAGAAAACTGCAAGCAACTATATCAGTGTACTTCATAAGCTGCAGTGTGAAGACTAAGGAGGCTAAACCAAGATTACAACCTACTGTTGATTAAAGTCACAATCCCAAGGATGGAAAAGACCTTGAACCCAACAACAGGAATGCTGGAGACAATAAGGGTGGTTATTAGGATCAAAATAAACAGAGGCTCTCCCTAGAAAACTGCCCACAGAAAAATCATATTTAGTGTTGATTAGTGTCCCCATAATCCTCAACAGGAAGAGAAAGCTTGATAAATAACTTCACAGAGGCACAGATATTGAAGTAACCAGACCCCAGGTGCCACTCAAAAAAAGGGAATTTCATTCCATTCAATATTTTATTTTTATTGCACTTTAAAGCTCCATTCATTTGTAAGAGATATATTGTGCTGTACTTTTTAACTGTGTATTCCTATCCAAATCTTCTCACCATTTAGCCCCACATGTTACTAACTATATATATTAATTTATGCTCAGATTTTGAATTTTCCTATTTTTTCAGACCTGAAGTAAGACGAGATGTGCGTACATCCCTCGGGGCAGGTGTGTGTATGGTTGACACAAGCGACATTGTAAAGAAACTTGGCAGCTACTCTTTAAGCAAGTCCTCGCAGAAGATTAAGTCTCTTGCCAAGCCCCACGAGAAGACTGTACTCCGCAGGGTTAGTTTGATGAATATTATTTTTTTAAATGTTCTGGAGGGATCCCCAGTGGCTTCCTGAAGCTGTTTTGCTAAGATTGATCGATACTGAAAGGTCACATCAATCACTGAAGATCTGTTTGGCCTACCAGGGACCAGAGCCAGGACCTGGCACCCCACTCATAGAGGCATAGGCAGTGAGTGCCACTTTGCCACTCCATTTTCCATTATCATATTTCCAGAAAGTCGGTGAAGTTTTACAGACAATTGGAGGATTCACAGAAAACAAAGCCTCAAAACTACCAAACAATTCACAAAGAACAAGGGATTCACTCAAACTTGTGTGGATTTGGCATTTGTTGCATTTTGGGTCACATGCACTCAGGGTTTCTTCCCTATGTTCCCACTAATGCTGCCCTTGCACAGTTGGAGTTATCTTCCCTGGTGTGTTTGGGAGTTTGCTTCTGAGAGGCCTGGCCACCTGGATGGAGATCCTCACTGGGCTATTCACTAACCTTTGATTCCTCTGTTGGGGGGTGCCCTTAGTTGGGGGTGTTCTGTAGGTAGCACTGGGGAGATAGGGGGGTGCACTGGGGTTTTATGTGCTTGTTTATACAGTGTGCCATAGTTGCCATTCGTAGTTTGGTTATTTCATTGTGTTTAGTGACTGTTCTTTCAGCAAGCAGCTCTGTTGCCTGGGGTTTCTGCTTGACTAGTTACCTTCAGGTCCTGGTACTTTCCCTACGGGTCTATGGAGTGACTCATTTTATCACGATCCATCAAGTCCACACTTGCTACAGTTCTGTGTATTGTACTTGCTTCTGATGTTAATGTTGCATTATGTCACTCCCAGGACTGTATCAGTTAGGAGCATTGTAGTAGTGATAAGGTGCACCTCTGAGTCCGATGCCTGCATCAGCAAAAAGGCATTATGTAGAAATTAACATTTCTGTCGACATTGTTTTATTTTATTGCTTAATTAATTAGAAGGTACATTGTATTTTGTAACAAATTTGTTGTGTACATGCAATACTGTACAGCGTCTTTAACCACTGTGCAGCGGCACACCAAGGTAATTAGGGGTTCCATAAGAGATGCTAATAAATAAGCTAATTATGATCATATGTAAATATGTGTATTTTTGAGTCATTGTCGTGTTTAACTTTTCTCGTTTAACCAGTATCAAGAGCAATGATAGAAATTGTCTTCTTTCAGTTGACAATGGATATCCATGTGTGTTTATCTAAAATATGACCCAGAAATATTTCAAGGGTGCAAAGGTTGAAAAACGTTACTATAGTACGATGCTTTCTAGGTTAAAAACATTTGTTTAAAAGAATTAGCCCATTCTAATTTTAAGGTGTACTTGTATTATGTATTATAAAACACACAAATACTTGTTCAGAATTATTCCAATTTAAAAATCATAGATTTGCTTCTAAAAGCAATGGTTTATAAATTTGTCATTCAGACATGGCTCACTGTGCTACTAGTATGTATTGTATGTACACACCAAAATTTGGTATAAAATCCATTATACATTCTTGCAAATAAATAAATAAATAAATACTATAAATAGCAGTAATGAAAATCTTAATTTCTACTGATTGCCACATTGCTGATCTGAGCCAGAGGTGTTACATCACCACAATGATTCTCGACTATCGTTGGTCTCAACAGGTGGCTGTGTTTCTTCATCTGCTCCCAACTTCATGGCAAGACCACTTGAGCAGTTCATCATAGTGAGGCAAAAGTGGACTAGATCTTGCCGTGTAAGCAGTGCCCAGGGCCAGGAGTTATCAAGCATTGATGCAATCACGTATGAAACCTGTTTTTGATAATTACTTGTGAAATCTGTACATCTGTCAGCGATTATGGCAGCTTTGTTTATATTTATTTATTTAACAGTTTACAAGCTGTAAAACTTCACAACCCGAGGTTATTATTTTTATTTTAAATAACATTGTTGTGCTTCAGAGCTCATAAACTGTTTATATACTATAAACAAAGCTGCCATGATTGAGTAAACATGTAGAGGTTTTGTAAGTGGTTGCATAACTGCTTGATGTGCCCTAGCTCTAAGCAGACCCCTGGTCCTGGTTCAGGGATCAACTGAGGGACTACTCAGAAAAAAGCATTTCATGCTACTCAGTGTCATATTTTTAAACATATACAGAACAGTAATATAAATACAGTACTGTAAATCATTTGATTAATTAAAAATCTCTGTTAGGTAAAGTTCTCATTTGGCTCTCCAATTTATTACTTTCTCAGCTGTCTTTAGGTATATTTTATTTTAGCTTGGCACTTATTTGCTACCATCTTATACTGTATATGGGTCGATATTATATGAAGAATTTCAAACTTTTACCTTTTTTATGCTTTATTTAAATTATGGAAATTGCTTTAGATTTGAAATTAAAATTTCTTGACCTGTTTTTCTTTACCAAGGCAAAACGAGCGGCTGGCTTTGAAAATGTGGCAATGGAAGTAAACAAGTGGGGTAAAGTGGTTCATCTTCGGCGGCAGGCCGACCATCTTTCCTTTCCCTTGGAGAAGGCAGATTTAAGATTCAAGGTACTGGAGAAGGTGGAGCCAGTGAAGCTACGATCACCACTCGAGCAAGAAGTTTATTCTTTGTTGCATGGAGCCAAACTCATTGAAAAGAAAACAGTATGTATTGTGATCCTTAAGAGACTTAGTTATATGTTATAAAAAAAAATCCCTTTACCTCTTATAGTTTTCATTTTTTATCAATTTGGCATATTCGAGGTCATGATTCATCCCATTCTTATCATGCATCACTCATCATGATAAATACAGGGCATATCATGTCATGATACAATGCCACATTAGTAAAAAAAAAAAATTAGCATAGAAGGAAGAGTCTTGAGGCAGCCATCATAAAATATGTGCACACCAGTGAACAAAACGAAGAGGCTTTCATTATCACTTGCCTCATGACAAATTAGTACAGTGCAGTTATATTGAAAGGGACCAAAATATGGGTCAGTGGGACTCCTTTAGACTCTTTCCCCATTGTGTTGAGTATATTAGGAGTTTGATTTTATAAGCTGTATTCTCTTGACAGCTCTTGAATGGTGTATCTTTCAACATCCTTATTGCCTGTTCTTGCCCTTCCTCCTATTTGCTGTTCACTTTCCCTTGAAACTGGTGTTCCTTTATCCTTGATGAAGAGCAGCTTGCAATTTGTTGCAAAAACCTTTGTTCAGTTCATGAATATTTTTAAAGACTGACTTGGAATAAGTCTGATAACAAATTATTAAACACATCTTGTGATGCATAAGCTATACAACCTCAACTGTTGTAAAGCTTTTCTGACATATGTTGAAAATTAGGTAAGATTAAGAACTTAACATAGTTATCATATACAAATCTGTGATGTATCTTTAAATTTGGTTATATTACAGGAAACAGAGGAGGAGCGAGCCAAAAAGCGTGCCTTATCCCTACAGCAAGTTCAGGAACGGAATCGTGAAATGTGGCGGCAGAGGGAGCTGAAACGGCGCTATGAGCGCAAATCTATGATGCAAAACAAGAGCAAAAGCCGAAAGTATGTGAGCATAATTCTTTTTTCCTTCTGATATATTTTTCTATCATTATACCTAGTGCTAATGTTTTCATTCTTCTTAAGATTTCTTACCTTCTAAACCTTTATCTATTTCATTATTATCATGATCATTATTTCTCCATATCCCCAATTTTTGCTTGAGATTTTCTGTGCAAGAGATTCCATTGCTGTAGTGTTTACTTAATGCTGTGGTGCCCAGCTGTTTGTGCTTTCCTAGTTGTATTTGTGGGATATGAGCTTACAGCTCTTGTGTAACACCTCTCAACTCTCAGTCAACCAGTGTACAGGTTTCAGGATTATCTTCTTGGTGCTGATTGATCAAAAACTAAGGGCTCTCAGAGTTATCTTTGTAACTCTTGAAATCACTTGGGCTGGACGGTAGAACGCAAAGGTCTCGCTTCATGCAGGTCAGCATTCAATCTCTGACCGTCCAAATGGTTTGACACCATTCCTTCCTCATCCCCTCCCAAATCCTTATCCTGGCCCCTTAAACATGCTAAATAGTTGTAATGGCTTGACACTTTTCCCCTGATAATTCCCTCGCTTCCCTCTTAAAATAGTTTTCAGTGTGGCCTAGCTCCTTGGTACTCCTTGGAAATACTGTGTACTTTTGAGGAGTACCTTGGTACTCCTCAAAACCTTCTCCTACCCTGGAAAAGGAGAAGATACTCCTACCTTCTCACTACCTTGGTGGTGCCTTTTGGGACTCTAGTCCCAAATCTTTGGGATCTCTGGTCTAGTCTTTGGTGCTAAGTAGCTACTGTATTTATGTTCACAGTTACATTCCATGTCAGCTCTTTATAGCTGAATGTTTCATTTGAGGGTGTAATCATGTGTTTTTTTATTTCCCTTGAAATCTAGAAGGTAATATATATAGCCCTTTTGTTTAGACAAAGGGCTAGCCTTGCCCTTCCCCCATTGTAGGTACAATAGTACAGAGCTCGGTGAGATCTCACCGAGTACATGACTCTGGTGTTGACTACTGCTTTAGGAGTAGATTATTACCTGTCACATGCTGTATTGGTTTGTCTCCTACATATTTCTGTGAGAACAGACATTAAAATAAGAAAACTGTTATTGTTTTAAGGTCATTAAGAATTAATAACTACAGTTCAGTATTTAAATTCATTAATTTATATCACTATTTTTTTCAGACATCATCGGTTACTGCGTCGAGAGAGATTAAAGAAGCAGAAGGCAGAGCTTGAACAGCTTGAGAAGACAGATCCAGAGGCAGTATTAGAGAAGCTGGAAGAACTTGAACGGGCAAGGGTGGAGGAAAGGATGAGTCTCCGCCACAAGAAATCCAAGTGGGCTCATCTCCAAGGCTTCCGTGCTACTAAAGATGAAAATGTGAGGTTTTTAACATACACAGCATTTTCAATAACTCAAGAAACTATATATTTAAGCTAAAATAGTTTTTTATTTGTCTTTTATGTTAATATGTAATGGTAATGTCTTATCACAGACATAATAACAGGATAAAAACCCACACTTATGTATTTGTGTGTTTTATATAAATATTTGAACTACACAGTCTTTCGCACTCACCTGAGTGCATTATCAAGGTCTGAGCATATACACAGAAATCACAATAGCGTGATATATCAAATGGGGCATATGGGAGAATTGTGTGAAATCATGGTTGTGCTTCGGAGAAGCTTCGGGATCCTCGTGAGGGCAGTAGCACTCCAGGTTGCAATTCTTTTGACCATGTTGTGGTATAGTTGACTAGGCGCATCTGGGAACATCCTGTGTGTAAGTTCGAACCCTCATCACGGCCCTTGTGGATTTATTCTTCTGAGTGTATAGTTAGGACAAGATTTACATCTCACTGATTAATACATCTCACTACCCAGGATCCAATCCTCGTATCCTTCATGACGACCTGATCATGTCACCTCCATTCCTGACCGCCAATGTTCGCAAGGGGATGTCTTCTAAGGTATTGTGATCAGTTGTCTTTTCTGTCATCCTGGGATTCTGTCAACTGGAGTTGCTATAAATAGTTATTCTTCTGGATGTTATCCCTCGTTACTCTCTCCATACCCAAAGGAGAATGGCTACTTAGATTCATCCATTTATTCACATTTAATTTTAATTCACTCAAAATAATTTGTTTGTAACACTATCCTCTTTAATAAAGCTTTTGTTTCTAACAAAAAGTATTTAAAGTACTGTATTAATTAGAACCCCTTTTACTACAGTACTCTTCTAGTTCTAACTTATTACTTTTATAGATTATTTCACACTTCTTAAAATCACTATTGTGGTCCTTTTCCCAACTACGGTTTGCTGCAGCACTTTTACCAGCTGTAATTCTACCTGCTTTTTTGTGTTCTTCAATTCTGACCTAGAGTTTACACCATGTTTTCCCCACATAGACGTCGTTGCAATCTCTTGAAGGTAATATATAAATGCCTCCCGGATTTCTGTCATCCTTTATGCTTGCAAACTCTTTCCTTAATATTGGGGGTAATTGAAATGTCCCGCTCTGGCACTTCACTGTCTGTTATCACAGTTAACAGTGGTGTTAGTGTTATGGCACCCAACGATGAACTAAGCAAAGAAACCATTGCTCAAGTCTTTGCTTTAAAGGAAGCAGGCCACCAAATTCAGGTAATCAATTGATTGTTGGTTGTAGCCAGGTTGACATGAGGAAGTATTGATCACGTTTCCAAGGGGAAAACAATGATGATACGCCATCATAGAAACATCGGTCTGGTCATCCCAGGAAGACTTCTTCAAGATCTACCTTGTTGTAACATGAAGGGTACTCTCTAACGAACATTTTAGAAGATTCACAGGCCTTGAGACACCTCTATACCAACCCATTACCACCTAAACCACCCCATCATCTGTACCAGCCCATCACCACCACGGCACCACCTATACCAACCCATCACCACCACCTATACCAGCCCTTCCTTGATGATTAGTTCAAATTAAGGAACTAAATGTTTTATCAACAAAACATGATAAGCATTTATATTTTCTAGGCAATGGCTGCTTTGAAAGAAAACCAGAGGATGCACCGTGAACTGATTACAAAAGTTGTAACTAATGCTGAAGACGAAGATGACCAAGAAGTAGAAGAAGCATTAAAGGTGAGGCTCACTTGGACACTTGTGTTCCAGGGTAAGACATTGCTTTTAATTTTGTTTAGATTTTTTAATTATTAATTGTTTTTAATTATTTTGTTTTTGTTTAGTGTGATGTTACAGAATTGAGTAAGGAATGTTGTGGAGATGCATGGAGTGTGAAAGTCAATAAATTAAAGATTGGGGTAAGTATACCAAGATGGTTTGGAAATGTAGAACAAATGGATAATAGTAGACTGGTGTATTTGGATGAATTTTGAGAGTAGGTGGAAGAAGAGAAAGCCAGGAGAAGGTGGGCAGATGGGATTAGTGCATGAAAGGTGAAAAATAAGTGTGAACAGTGGTAAGAGATGGGGCTGGGTGGATGTAGGGAGTGTAAGGTATAAAGAGGGAGTGAATTTATGTGTTTATACTGCAATTGATAATTCATTAGAAGCACTGTAGTGATTGTACACCTTGTCTTATGAGATGATTGGGTGCTACTCAGATGACTATACCCTCAATGCTTCATAAAAGCAGGTATACAGTGCTTCTTGTCAATTGTCATATGCATTACATGACATTACATTTACTTCCTCCGGACAAATTGCTTTCATCAAGCCTTGTGCTTAATTATATGTAACACAAAACTCAAATACAGAGGAGTTATAAATGTTCTGGAAAATTTATATATTGAAAGTTTATAAAGTGTACAAGTCATATGGAAATGACAATACAGTACCGTTTATGTTAAAATAGTTAGAGTAGTGGATATTTTTCACTTGAAAAAATTTCAAATTCTGTTTGAAATTTTGGAAGTCTTCCTTCCAAAACATTCTTTTCAGATGAACATCAGGTAATCTCCTTTAAGTTAATATCTTTACATCTTTCTTCAGAACTCTACTAAAGTTTTACCTTTTTTTTTTTACAGGAAAGAGAAAAAGCTATAGAGGAAGGAACATATGACCCCATGAACCCATGGACTAATAATCTTAATAAAGCTTCATCTCAATTGGCTCAAAATAAAAATAATGAAGACGAAAGTTTTTCCAAATTTAAACAATTTTGGGAAGAAGTAAACAATCGCAAACTGGCAGAGAAGAAAATTCAGGAACACTTAGACAAAGGAAGAGAGGTAGGACAAGATGAGATGATGGATGAGCAGGAAAAGGAAGAAGTTGAGAATGAGCAGGTGGAGGTGGAGGAGGAGGAGATGAAAGAAAATATAAAAAGTAAAGTAGAACAAAGTAAAGATAATGTAAGAAAACGCAAAGTTAAAAATAAAAGAAGGAGAAAAGGTAAACTGGTTCCAGATGTAACTTCCATCACCGAAGAACAAAATAAAATAGAAACTACTTTACAAGAAAATAGTGAAGATGAGAATAGAAGTAATGATTTAATCAGTATTGATGAGATGTTTGATGAAGCTGAGATAGGAATTAAAAACAAAGTGAAGAGGAAGCTTCAGAAACTTGGAATGAGCACCGAGAGTGGTGAAGCCTGGAAAAAGGTTAAGAGAAGACGGCAGGACAAGCGTGTAACGCAAGTTGCGCCAGTCTCTATAGAAGAATTTGATTTTTCAAGTAAGAATGATAAAGATAATATTGACGAGAAACTAGAAAGGGTGAAGGCATTTGAAGATGGGGACTCGATTCAAGAAGGAAGTACCGATAGGATTCAACAAGCCGCCGACACACTGAGGAAAGGAATGGAAGTGCAGGAATCGGGTACCACAGCTGGCAAAACTATTCCAAGTGCATCAAAGAAAGGGGATGTAGATCCAACCAAGTTTCTCCAGGTATGTCCTTAAAATTAAATCTTGAAGTTCATTGATATATATAATTTTGTAATTTGTTTATATTGCAATGTACTGTGACCAAGTCAGTTCTTTGATAGAATTTGTTTTTTGTATTTTCAGTTAAATGCATAAAATGCATGCTCAAAGGTTAATTTATCTTTGTTGTTGATTTAATTCAGGTAGATGCAAGAAAGTTGGCAACTGCCATACCAGACAATGTGGCAAGTGGGGAAGGGTTGGATGATGACGACAGTGAGGAAGATGAGGATGCTGAAGATGTCATTCGTGAAGCATTTGCTGATGACTATCTTATTGAAGAATTTAGGTGAGATTTCCATTAATCTACACTTATCTTAAGTACCTTTTTAAGTAGACTACAGTGTCAAATGATTTCATTCTTTTGCTATACTATTCATGAATGCACTGCCTGCTATAGCAATTCCAGGCTATAAACTAAATATCTGGACCAAGATTGTAATGTATAATTAAACTGACCATAAAAAGCTGCACCAGCCCAACAGTGATTCAGCGTGACTACCCTAATAATTGCATGGACCGTAAGTACTTACAGTACTTACATGGTACTTACAGTAAGTACCGTACACATGTGGTGACTTATTGAGTACATGAAATTTAATGAATACAGAATGCAGAGTTCAGTCACCAATTGAACCAAGTCCTGAAAATAAATATGGCACAACATTTATTTAGAAGTTTTATGAATTTAATATTAATGTCAAACTCATAAACTTTTAAATAAATTTTACAATGCAGGTTTTGAGATATAGTAATGTACTAATGTACTGACCAAAATGCATTATCACTCAATAATATAAATACCACACATTTGCAAAACAAAAAATATTGGGGTTACTAAGATGGAACTGTAAATGCTTCAATATATACAGTATATAATATAACAAGATAGAACTTGAAATGCTACAGAATATAACAAGATGGAACAACAGTGAAGAACAGGGGTGCCATAGGCACAATCAGCGAACACTGTATAAACATCAGAGGTCCACGATTGTTCAACATCCAACGAGTATAAGAAATATTGCCGGAACAACCGTGGACATCTTCAAGAGAAAACTAGATTGTTTGCTAAAATAAGTGCCGGACCAACCAGGCTGTGGTGGATATGTGGGCCTTCAGGCCGCTTCAAGCAACAGCCTAGTGGACCAAGCTCTCACAAGTCAAGCCTGGCCTTGGGCTGGGCTTGGGGAGTAGAAGAACTCCCAGACCCCCGTCAAGCAGGAACCCAAAATGTTAACGTAGATAATATAAAATGGCATGTACAATACTCATTCAAATTGTCAATCTTGGAGTCTGGGCATGTGTTGAAATTTTGTTTAAAGATAATGCTCAAAGTCTTAATCCTTCCCCTTCCTCCTAATCAAGGTTTATATTTGTTCTAAAAGTCATTAGCAACCAGGGAGCTTCACAACTCGCTTATGATAGGAACCTTCCTTTTACTGCCTGACATCAGTTAAATTTCAAGTTGTGTGTCAAGCAAAATAGTATGTATCTTGGTCATGCAAGACTAAGTTTGTTGTTAATGAAGGCATCAAAATTTGAAGATGAATGCTAACAAAACCGAAGATCCAAGTAATTTAGATTGCAACACGTGATTTAGTATGACATTGTGTGAAGATGGGAGGGTTAAACATTTTGAAAAGTGCTTGTAGCATTTTGAGATAAAAAATGAGAATTGGAAGACAAGACTGAAAAGGGTATTTAAATATTTTGCTGATTAAACAGTTAATAAAGCAATGTTTTATTGCTTTTATTTTATTTATTTATTTTATTTAAAGCAAAGTAATGTAATATAAAAAAGTAATGGAAATATAAGTTTGGATTAGCAGTTCTTTTGCACACCTATACTGTAAACAAAGCATTTAACCTTTATGTAAATTGTAAGGGTAATGTTACAATGGTAGAAATCACCTTGTTTGAAAAAAGTTATGCTAATCTGTCCAAATTTTGTAATCATCATGAACGCCAACAGCTCGGAGAAGGCTGCTGCCAGGGAACGAGACCGACCCAAACTCATGAGCCTTGCCCTACCTGGCTGGGGAGACTGGACTGGACCAAACATAAAAATGTCAAAAAAAAAGATTCGGAAATTCAGGTGAGTGAGTGTACTGTATACTAGCTCTACCTAGTCTTTATTATTTGGCCAACATGGTTTTTCAAGTATAGTATATAAATTTATAATGTGCAGTTTGAGATCACAATAGCTAGGTAATTGAGAAATAAATACAAAAGAAATCAGAATGTAATAATTGATCAGGGTGATGTGCTCAGATGTGTGTTTTTAAGAAACTTTCTCTTGCAGAATTCAGACTCCACGAGCACCTCCACGTAAAGATCTTACCATTGGCAATGTTATCTACAATGAAAAGGCTGATGTTCATGATAACCTGAGAAAGGCGATGGTAAGTTACAGTACCTTGGAAACAAGTTATCTTTTGTGTGCAAAGTTAGCAGCAGGAATCAAGTGTCATAATAGAGCTACATGCCATGCCTAGTTTGTCTGTCATTCAAGGGAAGCCCCTTGTGGTTCCCTGAAGCTACAATGCTGATATAGTGCCAAACTACAAGATACCATCAGTCAGAGAATTCTTTTAGGCCTACAGGGGACAATGAGCCAGAACCTGGCTCTCTCTAAAGAGGCACAGGCAGCAGTGGCACTGGGATAAAATTGTCAGTGAATTTGAATCATATCCGCCACCACCAGGGAAGCACCCACAAATTCTGTGAAACAAAACAAACCACTGCTGGTTATATGGAAAGATTGACACCTCAAAATTGCCAAAAAAAACTTATCCCCCCCCCCCTCCCCCAACAATGTAAACAAAAGATCGAAAATTCATTAAACAAGTGCAAGCTTGTTTGCCTCACCTCCCTCCTCCCCTCATTTGAGGGGAGGAGGGAGGCAGACCAGGTCAGCCAGCTGCTGCACCCTCGATTCTTGCTGATGGTAGCTAGTGCCTGGCTGTCCACTCTGTTACTTTGGCTCCTGTTTCCTGTTTCAGCTAAGTGGTGGTTTTGCCTTTGTGGCTGTTCTAATGCATTTTTGTGATGGATGAGCCAGGAGTATAGTGCTTAGAGCTGCATGTGCACAGGGTTTTCTTGTGTGTGTGCTTCCTAGCACTGCCCTTGTGCTGTCAAGGTTCTCTTCCCCTGGAATGTTAAGGATTCACTCCCTTAGAGGCCTTCCTCGCTTCTGGTTATCCTTGCGCTTTCTAAGTCCGTGTGTTTTTGGGTTTCTGTCTTTCCTGGGGTCGGGCGTGAGTGTTGGCTGGCAGGGTGCACTTGTGTTTGCGTGACCTAACCAAGACACACCGAGGTCGGCCTTCTCAACCTCCGGCAAGTAGGGCTACCTTACTTAAACTTGTTCTAGTGTCCACACAGCTCTATACCCCTTAGTCTTTTGCTCCATAAAGATTACTGTTCTTGCTTACATGGGTACCTGTTTTCTAATTTGGGTTCCAGTGTAGAGTTCCTAGTGCCTGGGCTTCCTGCAGGGCTATTCCCTGCAGACCCTGAAAATCTCCTGCAGGTTCAGAGGTCCTATGGATATCCACACTGAACCTGCCCCCACTGTCTCGATTTACAACCCTCGAACTCAACCCAAGTTCGAGGGTTTTTTCTTCGTTGTGATACCTGCGGTGCTTCCTCCTCCCTAGCATGTCCCCCGTTTTTCTTCTCTGTAGGTAGTTAGCTTCAAGGAGCCACAAGGGAGTCCTTGCAGAAAAACCAATGTTGAATGTAATCAAACACCAATTTCTGGATGAGGCCCCGGTGGCTCCCTGATGTCCCCTTCCCACAGGGAGTCGGTGGTTGTTTTTTCCATCATCATTGAACTGAGAGTGGAGTAGCCGGCTGATCTGGTCTGCCTCCCTCCTCCCCCCAAACAAGGGGAAAGGGAGGTGGGGCAAACGAGCTTGTGCTAGTTTCATGAATTTTCAATCATTTGTTTACATTGTTGCTAGAGTTCTTTTGGCGACTTTGAGGTGCCAATCATTTCATACAACCAGCAGTGGTCCGTTTTGTTTTTCTGACTTTGTTGGTACTTTTGCTGTGGTGGCAGACATGATTAAGATTCATTGACAATTTTATCAGTGCCAATGCTCCCTGCGTCTCTTTAGAAGGAGCCAGGTTCTGGCCCATGGTCCCCGGTAGGCCTAAAAGAACTCTACAACTGATGGCCCCTAGTAGTTTGGCACTATATCAGTATTGAAACTTCAGAGAGCCACCGTGGCTCACCCTGAAATTGGCATTTCATTACTTTTAATGCTTTTTTTTTAAACCTCCATGTCAGTAAGCCTTGAAAATATAAATGTAAATTGACAAATTTAAAATGACAAATTAAATTAGTCTTATGTAAATTGTTAATTATCTCCCAGCCAAGTTTTGTCTGTTACTAAGTTCTTGGACAGTCCTACAATATTCCTACAGTTAACATCAACATAGTGTTAAGAAAGAGCATGGATTTAATTGTAAAAATGCTTGAAGTTCTAATCCAATATGCGGTATTAAAATGTATATTTAATGTACCTGTATTGGAAAGCACTTCATCATGAAAATAACTTCTTTATTTTTACATTCATTCACTTTCATTGCCTACAGGTGAGTGACTTGCCCTATCCATTCAAAAGTGTGAAGGACTTTGAAGCCTCTGTACGGACACCAGTAGGACGAATGTTTGTGCCAGAGGCTGTACATAAGAAATTAACAGCACCACCATTGGTAACCAAGATGGGCAGTGTCATTGAACCAATGACTGAGGATGTACTGCTCAGACACAAGCAGAGAGGGCAATCAGTTGGTGAAAACCCAAAGAAATCTAAAAAAAAAAAAGTTAACAAAATGGAAAAAAGAAATGAAGTGGTAAAGATCGTTAACAGGAAGTATAGCTACACAAAAAGGGGAAGGAAAGACAAGAAAATACTGAAAACTTGCTAATAAGGTAAAAAAATTAAATTGTTCCTAAATATTGTACTTATTAACTCGTCCAACATTGCCAAATTTCATAATTCAGGGTATTACAAATGAAATCAGTATCTATTATTAATGCAATATACTGTACTGTATAATAAATAAAATGTACAGTATATAATTCTGTAATTTAAATTTAAATAAAAAGAGTGGTTTTCAAATTTATAATGTTTTTCATATTTCCTAACAATTTATTAATTTAAATTATCAATATTAATTCTTGGTGTCAGCCACCAGACTATCAGAATAATTTAAAAAAGAACTTTTGCGTGTACAGTATAAAGCTTCTAAGTAGACTGTTGTAATTCAGAATTCTTATTAAATATCGACATTTTGTATGATCATTTTTTTCTCCTACATGAATTACTGCACAGATTTTGCACATTCTTATTTAAGTGACAATTCTCTTTCATAATCTCCACCCTGCCCCTTTTCTTCCACAAATGTTACCTCGTCATGGTGTGGGGCGCTTGAGCAAACACTTTTATCCGAAAGACAGTCGTGTAGTTTATAAAGGCCCTCCTCTGGCCAACAGATAGGAGCTAGATAAAGTGTATCAACATTATCAACTTATCCTCAGGCTAGGCTCATCCAACAGGCAGTTGACCCCAAGGGTGCATTAATCAATTTTATTAACATACCATACTGTACATTTTCTTAAATGTAAGATATTACATACCAGAATTTGAAAAATAGCTAAGCCTAACTTAGGTTAGGTTGGGTTCTGTTGCAATTTTTCCTATTTGCAGTACATGGATAAAGCATTTAGAAAGGTGTGATTCGAGAAGAGGACATAATGAAGTACTGTTTGAGAAAAGTACACGTCATCGACTGAGCATGTGTAAAGTGTTTTTCACTCAAAAAAACGGGGTTTGGCAGCATTTGGCCTTTGTTGATCTCATATGCTGTATAGATATAACATGGCTGTCAATAGTATTCAATAGTAAGGCTTCAGATCTCAAAATGGCAGGGCCATCATACAAGTACAGTGGTACCTCGGAATGCGAGTGTCCCTGTATGCGAGTTTTTCGGAAGACGAGCAGGATTTCCTCGAAAAATATGTCTCGGAAGGCGAGGGTTACCTCGGGACACGAGTTTGTTGATATGCGTACAGGCCGACCTAGCGGGTGGTGGTTCGGCGATCGTCGCCCCTCCACCCCTCAGTTTACCATTGTTTCGCACCCAGTGACTACCCCACATCAATTCTTCTCGCGGATTTTCAGTGTTTTGTTGGATTTTTGGTGATTTGACTATACAATTTGTTATTACTGTATATATCTCACCATGGGTCCCAAGAAAGCCAGTGGTAAGGATAAAGGCCAGAAAGCCCATGTGAGGATGACAATAGAGGAGAAACAAGAGATAATTCGGAAGCATGAGAACGGTACACATGTTGTTGAACTTTGTAGGCAGTACAACAAAGCCACATCAACAATATGCACTATACTTAAGAAGAAAAATGAGATTATGAGTGCTAAAGTGGCAAAAGGAGTCAGAACAATAACGAAACAAAGACCACAAATACTTGAAGTAGAAAAGTTGTTATTAATTTGGATACACGACAAGGAGTTAAGGGGTGACAGTGTTTCGGAGGCCATTATTTGTGAGAAAGACAGGGTTTGGACAGATTTGTGGTGAGGAAATCGAGCAGTGAGCCTCAACCAGGACCTAGTGGCACTCAGATAAAACGTCCCAGGGAGAGCACACCAGAAAGGTCTTCACTGCCTGATGTGATAATGGAAGGGGACTCCCCTTCCAAACAGTAACTCCTCTCCTCCTCCCCCCTCCTCACCATCTTCCATACGCCTACAGCATTCAACAGCAAGGTAAGTAATAACTGGAACATAGTTTTGTAGGTTTATTTAGATGAATTAGGTATAAAAATTTAGTTTGATGTGGGGTTTTTGGGGTAGTCAGGAACGGATTAATTCATTTCCCTTTATTTCTTATGGGGAAATTAGCTTCGGAATGCGAGTTTTCGGAATACGAGGCGTCTACAGGAACCAATTAAACTCTTAAACTGAGGTATGCCTGTAATACTCAATTATCATCCCATTTTGATATTTCTTCCTCAGCCACCTTGAGTTGCTTCAGTCAGAAAACACAAATGTTACCTTCCACCACCAGCATTCTGGGGAACACGAGATAGAAGTACTGTACATTTTGAGATGCAAGAAAACCGTATTACCAGTGTCTTGGACATTGAAGGGGCACTTGTGCAAAATATCTATAAAAATAAACGCAACATAAGCACTGGAACGATTTAGATATGAACCCAGCACATATCTAAATTGGTGAGAGGGGTCTGAAAGATATTCCAAATTACCTTGAAACTTTTCTAAAATATCAGGGCCATACAATTTTAAATACCTGTACCAACATATATACAAGCCTCCCAACCCCTTGGTGGTAAATGTAGGAGAAACCTTAAACAATATAGCCGAGTTGATCTAAGACAGGAAGTCTTGTTACTTTTAATGTGATTACAGTACTGTACTCTATTGCATACACGGAATATGATGTGCAGAGTATATAGTATTTTATCCCCTTACCAGTGCAGTAACTCCATTGCTTGTATTGCAGTAATATTTCATCTTGAATATTACACAAAAATAAGGTTGTCATAAAAACTAACAATAGAGAGGGAATATAAAAAATCAAATATCAATAAATTCTTTATGTAACAAAAAATATGAACAATGGGGTGAAAGTGAAATGCAAAGAAATAAAATAAGTCTGCATAAAGCCACCCAATAATACAACTATGACACCCAGTCATAACTTTAGTACTTTGAACAAATGACTTGATTTACAATTGACTATCATGAACATGTTTGTTTGTAAACAGAAAATCCAAATATTTTTAAAAATTATTTATACAAATGCATCACAAATTTTACTGTAGCCTACGTCATAGTTGAAACATTTTTAAGGTCATGAACTATGATGGCGTTCAGAGATAAGTGTTATGATCATTGCAATTCAGCATTCAACGACCAAGTTATTGGCTGAGTTATTGACACAATGAATTGTGATTATTAAATCATATACTTATCCAACAATAAACTTCTTTACAGAAAATATAATTTGGTTATTATGTGTAAGAAAATCTGTCACTATTACCTTATCTTTGTTTCAGTTGTAATGCAAATATATATATATGGAAGTTTGAAACATTCCTAAATAAATGGGGAAAACAGTTAATACCCCGAATACTGCCTCCCAATATAGAATACTGTATACATTTCTCCATGCAGTAAATACTGCCAATACAAGAAGCATTCAATTCCATCAGTCTGCTTCAGTTCACACACATTTGGCCAAACAGCAGCCTTTTCATAATACAGCAACATTTCAAATGAATTTGGTTTCTTGGAGGTCAGTTAACAAAATATTTAATGTGTAATCACTCAATGAATGCAAGACAGGTCCCCTCCAGTAATTGCCATGTCTAAACCACTTTGCAACAAGACTTGCCTAACAACAAGCAAATACAAAGAATCAATGTAAACTAATTGGTACCATATCTAGTCTTTGAAAAATAACTTCAACATTTCAAGAACCCAATAATTTTTTTGTTCTAACGTGACTCAAATGTCACCACAACTTGTGCTCGACAAAATGTTAATTTTGTTTATATAATGTAAAGCTTACAAAGTATAGCATGCTAAAGGTACAAAGATAATATAAGCATTAATAGGGATTTTACACACACTAAGGTTTTCAATATTTAAGCAAAAACATAATGTACCTTCAGGGTTCAGAGATAATATATGGGTGTAAGAAAAATGGGTTGCTTTATTTTATTATTGTAACAGACACATAATTGACACAAAGCTGGGCTAAAACACTTAAAAATATTATTATAATCTGTACAAGATTTATTGTACTGTATGTATAATACTTTGAGTAAAAGACTTTGCAAAATAACTGACAATTTCTCATTTGAATCCTTACCTACGTACAGTATAATACTTTGTGGTTTGGTATCTCTGCTATACCTGTCAAATTAGAAGTTTTAAATACATTAGAATTTTAAACAGTTTAATACAGGACCGTAAGTTACGAATAGTAAACTGAACATATATTTTTTGCCCATTTTAGCGTACTAGAATTTGGGTGTCAATATTATGTGACAGTACCAAAACCATCCTATATCCATCCAATCAGATATTTTAACCCACCCTTACATTAAAGCACAAAATATTCAAAACTTAACAATTACAATATTCTGTATATCAATATATTTTGCCAGTCCTTGAGTATGAAAACCTTGGGTTATGTGAACTTCTATAATTTGGGCTCAAGAGTACACAATATGCTATTCGTAAGTTTAATTTTTTAATTTACAAACAAAACCAAATTTTGCACCTTTAAATGAAATTATATTTTGAGAATTACATTAGAATAATATATTCTTTTCAACATTTTCCCTGGATTAATTAGTTTATTACAGTTAGAAAAATGAGGAAACAAATTTGTCAGTTTACCAAATGGGTTATACTATTTCTGGTTCTCAAACAGCTTTCTTCCCAGATGTGTAAAATAGTTTCCAACTCTGTACTCAGTAGTTGCTATGAAATCAATCACTACAATTATGAAATCAAGATGCATGTCAAAATGTACAATGTCCATATCTGTATTATTTCTTTCAATTCAGAATATTGAGCCAAGTCTAAAACCTTTTTACATGCTCTGTATCTCTTGCCGTAAAGTATTATTGAGTAAACTTTTATCTAATGAAGCATCAACTGCAAATTACATTAGGTCTTACAAGACAGGCAAAGCCCTCCCACAATAACTTTGGCATCATTGGATCATAAGTATCGTGTAACTATCCTTACTGTCTTGGACTTCAACACTTGCAGATAGAAAATAGAAGCAATAAATTTTTCAGCTTATTTTTTTGTTAGCACTCTAGTATGAGATGGAACAAAGGATGTAAAATACAGATGGTAGTACCAATAAATAGTTATTGCTTGTTTTATCAACTTATGTTTTAATCAACTTGTTTTATCAACTTATATCAACAATTTATCATGTTGATTCCAATTAACTTTCATAAAAGCACTGCGAGTGACAAGAGTACATTAACTGAATGTGTTATTTAGCAATTTCTGGAAGTTCAAATTGGTACAAATACAATATTTTTTGTTGTAAAAATTTGTCTTTAATTACGGTATATAATATAGGTCTAGAGAAGCAGAGTGCCAGGAATTACAAATTTAAGTCCTGAAATATTAGTAGTCAATATAGCAAGTGAATAATGAGATGGGGTAATTTGGGTGACATTAAATGGGTGTCAGGGTGTGTGGAGAGTAATCATGGTAACTAGTGAAGACAAAGAATAGTTTGAGATGAAAGGAAGCATGTGTGAAGATGCCGAAACACTGGTGTCTGATGATGAGTTTGCCACCACTTCATCAACATGAAAGTGTATTGAAGCTATAATTATTATAGTTGGATAAAACACTGATAATCCTGTCAATTTGTACTTTCATCAGCAATAAACTCTATAACAATATTTATTACATTTTGCAATTGAGCAAAATTATTTCTGGATCAAAAATATTAATTAGATTACATACTTTAAATTAGATATAACTAAAACCAGCAATAGTTCTTTTATATTAATGTGATGCAGCTACTACAATAGCCTAATGTTAAAATTACACAAGGGTTATCTCAACCTAAAAGATCTGACAATGCAGTAGACTCCATTATTAACATTATTACTGTACACATTAACTACTGACCAGGGAACCTGTAAACAAGAATATACTGAAGCTGGTTGAGTGCCTGTGGATGTCAAATACCACACACTAATATTTTACTTGAGGAAGCACAAGGTGGTAATTTTTCACGTCACTATCAGAAATTACATTACATACGATTTTATACAAAAAAAAATGTATGGTGTGCAAGACTAAAATTTTTATTTACATTGAATATACTGGAGAGTACTGTATAACAATCCAAAATTCCAACTATCACCAAATCTTGTTTTAAATCGCTGCCAAAAGTCGAGTCTTCTACATTATCGTGTCAGTTTTGTAACTAAATGATAAATTGACTGATAAGTGATTAGTAACAATAATTATTAACCAGAATTGACTGTTGTACCTCCATAATGATAATAAACTACTTGATTACTCCACATCCAAGTTTGCCCAAGTTGAGCAATTCTGCCTTATGCATCGATATGTACCTTAGTATAAATATGTATAAGCAAGCACTTTTGATTTTATCGTGGTAATGCATACACTCACGTTTACAGCTATTCAAAATGAGTACACAGCCTTAATAACACACACATTTGTGTAAATACTAGAGTTGACTATATACGCAGTACAAAATTAAGGATGGAAAATCTAATATTTGTAGCCTTCATAAATGGCCTTACCAACAAAACAAAGGGTTCTCAATGTCACGTGGGTTTCACGTTTATATTCTGAAAGACTTTATATAATGGCAATCATTTTTAAGTCAACAATGCCATGGTTAGGTGTGGTATAATAGCATATTTTTAGGGGGGACTCAAGTCAAGCTTACTTTTCAACATGGTTTTCATTTATATTTTTGATATTTTGCTGTAAACCATAAGCATGGACACTCGAACCTTATTAAAAAAAAAAATATATATACAACTGTATACAAATATGTATATATATATATTTTTATATTTAAATCGGAGTTTTTACAAACATTACTTCAACATCATGTCTTTGGCATCATTGGAAAGAACAAAGTTCTATAATCATGAGGAAATTTTCTTATTTTTTATAAAAAATTAGATTTTTGTAATATTTTGTTCACAAAATTTACTTGTTTTTTAATATACTCTTTGTGAATTGTAAAGCTTGCTGATTTTTGTATTGTTCCCAATTTCATCAATTCTTTAATTTTGCACTTTGGCAGGAAAAGTTTAGTGTCACAAATCCTTAACACTATCCAATTTAATTTATATATATATACACACACACACTTTCCTATTTTTCCTATGACTTGTATATAATTAATATGATTCTGCTTTAGGTTTAACAGCACAAAAATAGGCAAATTGCAATAAAAAAGTGAAAAAAAAAGATGATTTTGGGCCATTTTAAGAGTAATCACGTAGCAAGTGCTCATCACACCATACACTGATGAACCCAAATGTTTACATTCAACATGGAAGCTTTGTATTAGTAATGGTAATGGGCCAATTACAATCACATAATAAAATGTATATTTTTTGCATCTTTTAATGAAAACCATTTAAATTTATACATGGCATTAACCCCTACAAACCCATGGCATTACACACGTTTCAATAACATGTATTTACCCAGTCTTCACCACCTCAACATAAAAAAATCTGCCAACATTTAATACATCATTATTTTCTTCATTCAAAATTAAATAAATTTACCAACTGGTATAAACTAATACAAAATATACACATTGGTTTACTAACAGCAACACAATGCCAGAATACACAACCCACATCAACCTGCAACCCGTTCTCGCAAATTTAATAAGTCAATATTGACTTATTAGTTGCGTGCATAGGTGACATACTAAACATAATAGTTTCCCTTGAAAAGCTTAATAGAAAACACTGACCTTACCTAACCTACTTAGTATGTTAAAATAAGCATCTTATAGCTTCGTAATTACAATTGTTACTTAACCTATTATAGGTATAGGTTAGGCAATAATTGTAATTACGAAGCAATAAGATGCTTATCTTAACATACTAAGTAGGTTAGGTAAGGTCGGTGTTTTCTATGAAGCTTTTCAAGGGAAACTATTATGTTAAGTATGTCACCTATGCACATATTTAATAAGTCAATATTGACTTATTAAATTTGCGAGAACGGGTTGCAACCTATAAGGACAACAATCGAGATTCAGAGAAAGCCAGAAATGACACTCTTATGAATAGCAGGTGTGATGTGATCCTGCCACTGCTGCTCTCTTTACAATACTCATACCCTCCAGGATGACTTCCAATTTTGTTGGTCCATATATCATGAGGGGAAAACTGATTTAACTCTAGTATAAACTCTGCCTACAGTACAAGCTTAATCCTCATAATATTTCCATACCTTTTTTTTTTTAGTTTATATGTTGCAACAGGTATAGGCCCTACAAAAGGTGTAAAATTAACTTTGTATTAATACAAATTAAAGTCCAAAAAAGCAGAAAGATCCAAACATATGATGCTATCTGGAAGCCTCAGCCAATCTATTATAAATTTAAACAAATTTCAGGATATTATATATTCTTGTAAGTACAAGATCCTTCTCCAATTCCGAGTATGAAACATTTTAATAATTAATGAAAGTCCTTAGATATCAAAACAAATATAATTGCAATAAACCATATACCGGCAAATGCCAGGCAAACTATTAAACCTAAAAGCAATACAAAATATAGTAAAGAAAAGCTGTTTACATAAAGTATACGAACTGTGATTATTCAGCTGCCAGTGGGAAGTTTCTAATGAAGTGGTGATGAGCTGGAGTTATACACTCATTTTGACTTATTAATTGGGCATATTTCACGTATACATCATTTCTGCCATGTGAGACATCTTCTTTGGGAGGTAGAGAAAGTTATCAAGATATGCTGCAAGTTCATCCATAGTAACATCTTCATAGTCTGCACTGCGAGCTTGTTGTGAGCATGAACGAACGGTGCCACTTTCCAGTGTCTCTGTGAGCGAGAGACTTTTAAGGTCTGGTAGTTCTCCCTCTGTTAACCTTCGCCGACAGCGTCTTTTATACAATACTCTACGTGACTTGGGTTGACTGCGGTGTTTACACCCATGAGGAGAAAACTCTAGTTTCTTGTTTGCACTATATTTACTATCACTGCTCAAACTCTTATTGCCCTGAGACACACTTGCAAAGTCTTTTGCCTCTGTTTTCTTATTCAATGATTCAAACAAGCCTGATTTAGGAACATTAAATACACCTGGTGCAGATGTTCCAACATTTAACAAACAAACATCACTAGATATCTTAGGGATTTTACCAATTTCTGAAGCAACTTCTTTCTTGGGTGACTCTTTATTACCTATATCTTTAAATGGACTTACTAGCTCCAAAATTATCCCTGTGAGGCTACTACTACGCACCTCTAAACTATATTTAGCACCCAAAACTGCCAACCTACTTTTCCTGAGCAAAGGCTTCTTTTTCCCAGGAGAAAGGTGCAAATTAGCCAGTGAATATTCCAGAAATGGTGGGTATTTTATGCCATGTAATGAACGGCGATCACTGCTTGACAAGCGATGCTCACTTCGTCGACGCAAACAGCCTTCACACACCTCTAATTTGTCTCCGTTTCTTTCCCCTACAGTTTTTACTTGATTTTTATCAGGATCCTTAATAGGTGCTGTCTGATGACTACTCTCATCTTCGTCACCAGAAAAACTCATAGTAGGTAATGTGTAATCAAGTCTGGCAGCGGGCAGCAGCTCGGGGATAGGCAGTGTCACAGAGTCATCCGAATCCTCAACAGTCGCTTTCTTCTGCACCAGCACACCATCTTCATCACTTACTGCAGTCATCTGCAAGTTTTTATCACCATCACAAATTATTCTTCAAACATGCAGAGATATTATATGACATGAAATTCCCTATAAGGTACAGTATATTATAAGGCAAATCTTCATCATTTGAGCAGATTATACAAGCTTGGAAAAGATCCTAGTAAAAATTAACAAAGAAAATTTTTATTTATAAAATGGTTGAAATGGGAATAATTATACAAGAATGTACAGAAACTGCAGAAGGCCTATGGTCCCATAAGTCAGTTTTAGGTGGACTGTATATGTACATTCGATCATCTAGACATTCAAGGTCAATACCGAGTGTGTCTGACTCAAGCAGTATGTGTGCGCGTGCGTTTTACTGACAGGGAGCTCTGGCACTGATAGGAGAAGTGGGCGCTGGGGGCCATCATATGCTCGACTTGTCCAGTGTATAAAATAGGCTGTAATACAGATATTCAGTATATTCTCACTTTTGCATATTTTGAATCCAAATTAATCATTCTATAAGGAAAAAATACTTATACTATTTTTTTGTTTGCTCATAGGTGAACAATCAAGAGCCACACACTGAAGATTAAAGTGTGCAATGAGCATTTTTAGAATTATAAAATTCTGACAGCAATAAAATTACTGTATGAGCTCGGTTATGCTAAGTCCACTGAACTGAATATTTGGGTTATCCGGCCAAAATTGCGTCCAGATAATTTTCTGCCAAACGTCACCATATCTGAACAGAAATCTGGATAACCAGAAATTTGGTCAGATAATACAGACTGACACAAAGTAAAGATTGCATAATTTTCTGGCAAAACTTCACGATATCCGGACAAAAACCCAAATACCAGTATTTGAATATTAGGTTACTTAAATTTTCAAAACTACACATTTCATGATCTACAGTATCAAACAAGATGAAAACTACAAGGTAAGCTGAATTTTCTCTTTTAAATTATATTTTTGATTTATAGTACAGCATGTGTGAGATTTTGAATATGTTGGTTGTGGCACAAAAAATTGTGAATATGGTTTTTTTGGATTTCCCCTTCAAGAATTCTGTGTATCTGGTGAAGGATCCATCCCATATAGTTTGGTTAAGTGAGCTTAGACAGTATATGAAGAAGCCCTCTTCACTAAATATTGTAGGCTGGTATATGCTGACAACAGAGGTGTGATTAAAGCAGAAGAATATCTAAATAAAATAATATGGCAATACAAGCAAAGAAATAGTAATTAGCATTACCAGACACATGTATGCTGTATATAAAATACCAAGTGATATAAACCAAAAAATATGAAGATGTCTTCAGAATTATGGCAAGTGCCAAAGACAACATGGCAATGGAATCTTGACATGTTTCCCATTAGAAAATTGTGTCAGTATTACCATGAATGTCTCTTATGCACCCCCCCCCCCTTGTTTCAAAACCACAATGACCACGAAACCACACTCCCCCCTGTCCTCATCAAGTCACCTTAACCCACCACCCCTTCCCCATTTCTCTCGACAGCCCACCGTTCACTCGGAGTCTTGCCAACACAGCAACAGACCTGCCATCACCTGCCACTCAGATGAAACTAGCTAATCGGGGTAAAGGCCTCATGCGGCGTCAGGAGCCCCAGTTCACCTTGAGCCTGACCCTGGCCTAGTCTGCCAGTGTTCCTGGTACTACCCTCCTACAACTGTCTGCCTCGCTCCCCACCTGGCACTCTACATCCTTAACCTTCCCTCCACCTTCCACACACATCGACTAGGTAAATATTATTAACACAGTAATGACGCATCAAAACATATATATACAGTATATAACTGAAATACTCAGTCCCGCCACATATTACGTGGCACTTGGGGCCTTTTGTTGCACTTGTGGCCCTGCTGAGGGTCAGATGTTTAGCAATTACAGCTCACACCGCCACAGTGCCTCCAGCAGCCGTGCCTCCTCCCTCACCAACCTTAAAACGCATAAATTCTGGACATTTCAGTCCCAAGTTTGCTCTCTACGACGATGGAAAACACACGACACATCTGCTATTCTGCTGCTCAGAAGAAAACATTGGGTGACGCATTTTGAAGACAGCTTCTGATTGGGTGAAGAGTGTGTACGATGTGTTGTGATTGGTCAGTTACAATGCTGTCTGGGAGTCTTAACCAATCACCCACTAGGACGCAATCGTCATTTCTGTATTTTCTAGCAGATACTGCTAAAGGACTACAGGTGTACCTATTTATTTATTTATTTATTTAATTTTAATTTATTATTTATATGCAAGAAGGTACATTGGGTTGTGAATAGACATACATTGGTGTTTGAGGGTTACATTCTTTCAAAACCACTAACACGCACGGCGTTTTGAACTAACCAAGAAATTTACCTGAGGGCCACTAACACTAGTGACCTCGACGAGGACAGGAAGCCGGCGGCTTGTCGAAGGTCCCAATGTAATAATAAGTAATTACTTTAAAACTCAGTACTTTGCAACCACCAACATTTGTTTTAATATTGTAGACAATTATCCAATTTTGGATAATTGTCTACAATTTTCCACCCTTGCCACACACCTCAATCAGAGTCTAATCTGAATATCTCTAAACAGTCTTCTCTATTCTCACTGCATGCACACTGACATTGACCCCGAACTAAATGTGCTACCTCATATCTAAAATAATTAGTACAGTAGTCATCATTACTGCAGGTACTACACAGTAAACCTTGTAAACAAACAGAAACTACAATACAATAGGAATATTCATTCTGCACTAACTGCCCGAAACGCTTTGTGTAATAGTGGCTTTAGGCATTGTATGTACAAGCTCTATCTATAAATCCATCAATGTTTGTATCTCACCTTGTATGTATGTACTTTATCTGAATAAACATTTGATTTGATTTGATTCAGTTTGATGAGGTTGGCAACGCTTCTACTCAACCAGTTTACATACAAGTTGTCCGCTGATGCGTTGGTAACACTTTCCTACTGACAAACAGCATCAGTCAGTTTATCTCTTAAGGAATTATATTTGTTATTTGTATTATTTTTCCACCACAGACGTGGCCACACATTTATAATACTAATCAGCATAGATACATTTTCTTCTGTACTCTATGGACAGGGTTAGAGATCTGTGTCCATCTCCACTCCATGTTGTTTAAGATGCAGCTACCGGGAACAAAACGTTCCAAGTAGCACAGGCTATGGTGATCCCGTAGTGAACTTACCTGGCACAGGAGCTGGGCTGTAACTTTGTTGTTCTCCACTCCACTGTGTGTAAGGGTGATGTGTAAGCCGACATCACCACCACTACTTAGGAGTGGATCTCCACTCCACTGTGATGCCACATTACGAGCTCACCATAGCCCGTGCTACATGGACATTTCGTTCTGAGTAGCTAAATCTAAAACAACTCCGATGATTGATAAAGATTAAGCCACCCAAGAGGTGGCACGGGCATGAATAGCCCGTAAGTGGTACAATTTTTTTTTTCTCAGTATTCTGAGGTTGCATTTAACCATCAAACTGTTATCGCGGGGGAGGATACTGCTTCACAGTCTTTATGAGGGTGTCCAGCTGCTGGACACCTTTGTTGACCAGGAGAGTGGCTGTGTTGATGGCTTCAGGGTGGCCACTGCATGATTCAGGAACTCTTAAAGCTCTTCTAAGGTCATTGGTTGCTTCACATTCCAGAAGATAGTGAAGTAATGGCTTTTCTGTGACAGTTTGGCAGGAGATGCACTCTCTCTGTCGGGGTTCACCAATCTCCCAGTTGCATCTGTAACCTAGACGTAGTCTATATAGCCTAACTGCTATTTCCCTGTGGATTCCTTTTGGGATATTTAACCTTTCTAATTTGGTTGCCTGAAGATACCATGTTGCAGATGGCGAACCTTCAGCTATTCTCTGGTGTAGGTCGGCTTTGTTGAGGTGTGAGAGTTTTTTGGTGATGATGTTTTTTATGTTCTCTAGGCTGGGTTGAATTGTTTTATGTATCACTGGATGACGAGTTGCCAATTTAGCAATTTCATCAGCTTTTTCATTTAATGGGATTCCAATATGGGATGGGATCCAGTTTAAAGTTATGTTGAGCCCTTTGCCTTTAGCGACTGCTCCTTGATACCAAATGGTGGTAATTATTTCCACATTATCTTTCCACTGTTTTTGTCCTAGTATTTGAAGTGCAGCTTTTGAGTCTGTGTGTATGATTGCATTTTGAGTGTTTTGTGCAATCACATATGCGAATGCCTGTTGTATGGCAAACAGCTCAGTTTGGGTTGATGATACTAGTCCTCCCAGTCTCCAATATGCCTGAACGCTGGTCGTGCAAAGAGCAGCGCCAGCACTCTCATTTTCTGTGTCCACCGATCCGTCTGTGAAGATGTGGGTGGCTCCTGAAAACAACTCCGCTGTGTCCACTCTTAAATAGTCGTGGTGGTGATGTCGGCTTACACATCACCCTTACACACAAGGTTATAATGAGCTCAATTCTTCCACAAAATGAGAGACGGCACCACTCCCGTGCCAGGTAAGTTCACTACGGGCTCACCATAGCCCGTGCTACTTGCCCCGCTCCTGTGCCAGGTAAGTTACGGGCTCACCATAGCCCGTGCTACTTGGAACCTGTTCCGAGTAGCTGAATCTATAACAACAACATTCCACATAATGTTGAGTTGGGAGCTTCCGCTCCTCTCTTATGATGTTGTTGAGTCTTGTGCATGGGGAGGCTCCAAGAATTATCCTCATAGCTTCATTTTGTGATTTTTCTCTAATCTGCTTTCAGCCTAGGAGCTGCCTCATATGGGCCAATATGCATCCTGCAGTTATGTCATGAACATTCTTCTGTTCTTATGTTCTTAGTACTGGGGAAATTTGTGAGGTGCAGAGCATGGTAATCAACTAGGGACCTAACGAACATCGTGTAGACTATTCTGGCTTATTTGATATCAATTAAGGTCAAGGAAAGACCTAGTATGTGTGTGAGTGTATTAAAAACCATTGTATACAATGATTTTTGTATAGAGAACATTGTATACAGCACATTGAGAAAGGATGTAGGTTACATCCGAAAATACACTTACACATATATTGGGTCCTTCCTTCACCTTCATTCAAGCACTACGGCATTGTGGTAAGTGTCTCCATTAATACTAACGTGCCTTTCAGCAAGTATAATTAAAGGTTTTTAAAATTTTTTAAGCCTAAACTGGAGTTTGCTTAGAATGGCACAGTAAATATTTACTCAGAGGTACAGTGTTTGTATTGCCTGCAGTTTGCAATGCGTTGATCACTGAAAACATTTTTTTTTGGGGGGGGGGGGGTGAGCTAAGAGCGCTAGCTTGTCTGTGGAAACGATAAGGCCATATTCAGTACTTCTATTTGCAAGTGTATGAAGGAGAGTCTGCAGCCGGTTATCACTGCTTGCAATGATGAAACTGTTAGCTTCATCGACTTGTGTGAGCAAACCTTGTTGCATAAACTGCGATGCATCAGCACATTAACAATTATAGGGCTGAGCACTCGTCCCTGAGGTGTGCCCAATTCAAAGGAGGCATTATAGCAACTCTTAACCTCCTTATGAATGACTTATTTAAATACCCCCTTAATCCATTTCAATAAATCTTCCCCTTGACTCCAAAAAAATAAATGTATTAAAATATATTACCCTGAAAACCATATAAGTCGCTAAAAATAAATATTGGCTACTTTAATTACAAATTCGTTACTGTTAGACCGTCAGCTCGCTACTTTCAGCAATTTCCCTGCGTGTACCCTGTATACCCTGTGTACTCTCCTAATTGTGCTTGTGGGGGTTGAGCTTCGACTATATGGTCCCGCATCTCGACTGTCGATCACTGCCTAGTGCATTTCATTTGTGCATTGTAATGTATTGACTCCCGACCTATTTTTCCTCTATCATATCACCACACATTTCTCTCTAGCACACAAACATTCATTTACACCCCCGCACATATCCCCAGGATGCAGACCGTATCGCACATGTCTAATACCCTTTTTTACTGCTAGGTGAGCGAGCACTGTGTGTGTATAAGAGCTGTTAGCTCTTGGACCCTTTCTAACCGTCAGTTTTCTAATGTATTGGACCACTTTTCCTCCATCATATCTACCACACATATTTGACACCTACATAAACCCCAGGAGGCAGCCCGTAGATACTGTGCAACTCTCACGTACCTATTTACTGCTAAGTGAACAGATGCATCGGATGAAAGAAACTGCCCATTTGTTTCTGCCTGGGTCGGGAATATAACCCGGGCCCTTAGGAATACGACCCCTTGAGCGTCGAGGATGATGGAGCTAATAAGGCGTAGGATGGTGTTGCTTTAGCTTCAACTACTCTGAACAAAAGTTGCAAGTAGCACGGGCTATGGTGAGCCCGTGAAGGAGAGAGAGAGAGGGAGGAATAGGAGTGTTATTGAGGTTGGGGGGATGGGGGACAATGGTGGGAGGGTTCAATAGGTTGTCCGGTACCGAGGAGTCAGCCAGCCATGCGGGCAGTGTGCGGCCGGCCGCCCCAGAGATCACTACCTGTCTCACGCGCTCCTCTTACCTCGCCTCTCCACGTGTTATTTCACTATTATCAACCCCCCCAAAAAAGTGACTGAGTAAAACGAACATAAGTGCAACAAAGATAACTTACTAAGTGCTGCTGAAGTTAGCACAGGTGCAGGCTTCCCTATACCAGAAGTTAAATGAATTCTGATGAGTGAAGAATGCACAAGTTATCCTAGATTGCTCCTAGAGATAAGAAAAAAACTATATATGCTCTTTACACTTAAAACCAATTAAGTGGTGTTGACTACATATCTGAGCGGCTCCAGTTGAAGTGTTTGGAAGCACAATGAGGTGAGTGTCACCGTTGTTCTGTTGTAATGGTTTAACACGAGTCAATGAGGACCTGTTTACACGACGCAGCGGACCTCCTTTATATTGTGTAAAATAGACCTGAGTAACCCACATATAGATCTCGCTAGTCACTATAGGCCTCTCGCTAGTCACTATAGGCCTCTCGCTAGTCACTATAGGCCTCGAGGGTAAAGGTTCAGCACGTTTACGGTCAGCCTCCCTAAAGTTCCCACTCGACCTCCCAAGATCGACTGGGAACTGGAATTATAATAATTTATATTATATAACATATATAATTGATTTGCACTATATAATATATATATTATATATGCGAAAGCTGCAGGAACACGCAAACCATAGATCACAAAGAACTTTAATTGACCCGGCCAGGATTCGAACCCACGCCGTCCAGGATCGCCCCTAAACGTACACTGTACAGTACAGCACCGTGACCACCGGCATAGGTCCGAATCCTGGCCGGGTCAATTAGTGATATTATATTTGTTTTATTTAAAATGTTACAACAAATGAGTTACATGGAAGGTACATAGATGATTATCATAAGTTGAGTTCCTTCAGTTCCTCAGATGGCGGCCGGAACCCTGAATGCATTGTGCATTCCCCCTCTGTATCACCATGCTGAGGCGTCTGGAAAAAGAAGCTGGAAGCTTTAGGGTCTCTTTGTTGTGTCAATTATCCTAAACCCAGTTCCTTCGAAAAACTGGTGGCACTCTTGCCCCAGGCGCCGAGTGTTTCAGAAGCAATGGGGACAAAATTGTAGTGGTGATCCAGTTCTCTGGGATTTGGCTGATTCCCTGTGAGTGGCAGCGCCACACGGATGTACAATAATATTATCCCTGAAGGATTCGAACCCAGACAGCCAGAGGTTCCTTTCACTTTGGCATGTCCAGTATTTTCACCACTAGGCCTCGGCGACTGTTAAAAGAATTGGAAGTTGTCACTCTTAACCAAATTCCCAACAGCACTCGTTGACTTTTTTGGTCACATTTTTCATCAAATCACCTCTCATACTGGGGCCACGTGAGTAACATTTGTGCATTTGTGCGAACAAGCTTGAACGGTCCCCGAGCCAATATGCAACATAAAACTCCTCACCCCTGAAGGATTCGAATCCAGACAGATACAGCGACAATAGAAGACATAATAAAATGTAATTGGGGTCGGTCTCGAGTCCATTGTTGATTTGACGATGTGCATTGAATTTTGTAAACATTTCATAAAGCCTGTAACTTGCTGGGCTACATAAGATAACAGAACACAAAAATATAGTTTTTTGTTGGGGAAATGTTTGTGAAAGTAGTTAAATAATGTCAAATATACTGTATGTCTTTTTTAACTATTTGGAAGACGTACAGCTTTTAATTACATTTGGTAAGTCATTTCACAATTTGGAAACTTGATTTGCACGACATTTCTGCTTTGGTTGAATCTCTACAAATATCAGACATTTGTTTCTAGTGTGGTGCCCACGGGTTTTGTTACAGCCTTCTAGGAAGCACTTAAGGTCAGGATTAGCATTGTAGTGTAAAGTTTTATAAGAGTAAAAGTAGTGTAAAGTAAATAATTATCAAAAGAAGGCACCAAACCGAGAAGGTTATGTAGCACCATCTGGTGAACACCAAGGAATTTCCCATCTTTTCTGGATCCTATAACCAATGTTCCAACTGTGTAAATATTTCATTCAAAATGATCTGCTACACAAAATTTTAGCCAAATATCCCCAGTTTGCTAACTGTGGGTAGTAACCGAGTGATTGTAACCTATCCACCGCTGCCCACTGGATGGGGGGCGGTGTGCAGGACAAACATATGAATTGTGACACTAATTTTCCACACATGTCAGTTGCTTAATTTAGAAACTGTACTTGAGGTCGATCTCGAACCCATTGATGATGTAACGACTTCTACTGAATTGTGTAACTAGCGCAAGATTGTAACGTTAGCTAAATGAATTGTGGGGTTCAGTCCCTGAGCCCATTATGTGGCTTTGTAACCCTTTCCACTACCGCCCACAAGATGGGTATGGGGTGCATAATAAATGAACTAAACTAAACTTCTCTGGTCATAATTTGGGTGTTGTTAAGTCTTAGGTTAATTTTATTGTTAGACTGATTACTAAACATATAAAACGTTTATCGATGTTAGCAGTCGGCAACACGTACTTTTTTTTTTTTTTTTTTTTTTAGTTCAGTATTCACTGTAATTTAGAATAAGTGGGTTAGCATGGGAGAAAGTGCAAGTTGTCATCCGCAAATAGGTTTCAAGTTTTGATTGTAAATGAGAAAGAGGAATGGACCACTCTTATGAACTGGGATGTCTTTAGCCGTTTAAGAATTTCTGGGAAGGCTCGGAGCTTAAGTGTAAAGCAGTGTAGAGCTGCTACCATACAGTGTAGAAAGGTAACTGGATAAAAACATCGCGCTGGCAGCCGACAAGCCAGACACCACAATGTGACACAGCTCACAAGCCATAGAATAGACTAGGTCTAGTCCATAGACCTAGTCTATGGACATACGGGCTTCACGTATGCAGCAGACAAGGACCAATGGAGGCATCCCACACTCCCATCCCTCAATCGTCGTCGCCTCTTAATTACAACAACGACAAGGTCCATTAACTTAGGCTACCATACACAAAAATATTTATTTACCTGTTAAGTGTAAAATAAGTGTAAAAATGGAATTATATTGAATACCAAATTATTAGTCTGCCTCACATTATACATATACTGTTTCTTAAAAAAAATTGGTTCCCGGTGTTCTGCAGCTTCCGAATGAGAAAGTGAAAGTTGGTATGTGATGAAATATTTTGAGTCAGGGCCAGCATTTATTTTAGATGACATTCCACCTGCACTTCTGCCAGTCATTCCCCACCCTCCACTCCTGGTTTTACTTCGACTGTTACCTCCAGTTATTACCCCGCATGTTTCCTCCCCCATGCAGTTATACTTCTGCCTGTCACACCCCGTCGGTGTAACACCGCAGCCGATGGATTGATGATGATTAAGCCACCCAAGAGGTGGCACGGGCATGAATAGCCCATAACACCGCCGCCTGTCAGCCTCCGCATTTATAGCTCCACCTGTCACCCCTCCGCAGTTAAGGTCCGCCTGTCGTCACCTAGTTGTACCTCTGCCTGTCACCCCCCTTCCCAGTTATACCTCTGCCTGTGTTACTCTGTACGCACCACTCCTGTGCCAGGTAAGTTACGGGCTCACCATAGCCCGTGCTACTTGGAATTTGTTCAGAGTAGCTCAATCTATAACAAACTCTGTACATGGAGTTGTGTGTTTGGCGTTTTGTATGCCGCGTGTTTCTTTGCTTGAATGTCTGTAAATGTTATAAAATTGTTGTTTTTCAGGATGTACTTTGTTGAGAGGTCAATGTTTGGTGGTAATTGTTGTTTTGTTCATACTGTTATGTTTTCTCCAAATTACGGAGGGGGGGTATACTTCATAACGGCCTACGTGTTTTGTTGGTCTCAATTTGATTTAGCCTCTCACCTATGTAATTATGCCTGTATTTCGTACTGTATTCTGCGCTAGTGTACTGTTGCAGGTTTGTTGTTTCACATTGTTCATTTTCAGTGCTGCTTGTGCGTTTTGTATAGAGTATCATTACAGTACTTTTCTACTTCTTCCATCCTCTTTCTACCTCTATCTACTTCCACCTACTTCTTTTCTACCTCTATACCATCAGGCGACACTGACGGTGACTGATGGTATCGGTGATATGTTTGTATTTCTAATATGTTTGTGCCTAGCTGTGCTTGCTTAGCTAGGGTGCGTTGTGTAACTGCCTGTGTGTATGTAATTGTTGTGCGCTTTGCTACTCATTTTCGTACGTTCACGTGAGTTTAATGTTTGCTGTTTCTTAGTGTTCCTGTGGTCTATGTATCTGGAATTATGTTTGGTGTTATATATTTTATTTGTAAATATTGTTCTTTTATAAATAAAGAAAAAATATTCTCCTGAACGCCGAACACGGCTTTTCTTGTTAAAGTTAGGCTTTGGCGATGCCCCTTCCCCACAGTTTATACAAATGACTTACTGGTAGATATCACTTCATTCGTTGACGATGCTTTATTGAGGTGACGTGTGCTTGTCTCTAAGACTTATCTTACAGCTTCAACTGCAATTAATAATAATAAAAATAATAATGGAGACAATCAGTAGGAACCATGACTGGAGGATTCAAACCTGTACTCTGGGTATTCCCAAGCAACGCCTTAGACAACTACACCACATACGGTCACACGCATTGAAACCTGGAATTCAACTGAATCCTTTAGGGTTTCTGAGGCTTCCACTGAAGCCTAATCAGGGATTTCACCCCACAATTATTACCTGCAGTTAGCAAACTGGTGATAGTTGGTTAAAATTTCTGGTAGATAATTTTTAATGAAATATTGAAACATTTCTTGAAATATTTGTTATAGAATTCTCTGAATTCACGAATATTTTCGCACTCCATCACAGTGATAGAGGGTGTGCGAATAATTTAGTTGACACAGTTTACATTTGGTCAGGTCTACATCAACAGGCAATGAAAATTCCCAGATACATATAGCCAGAGTCTTAAGTCGAACAGTAGTAACATCAATAAGTTCAGGGCAAATGGGAGGAGGACCTTTGACAAGCCGCCAGCTTCCTGTCTAAGTCGAGGCCACTAGTGTTAGTAGTCCTCAGGTAAATATGCTAATTCAAAATTGAAACTCCTTGCCAAGAGAACCGTCGTGAATATGTAGTTATGTGTAGTCTTACGT